AGCCGAAAAATTCCCCAATTTTAGAATCTTTTAGGAACTCAGTGACGCCTTCTTTCAACGAAAAGGCCATGCCAGCTACGCCTCCGCCGCCGCGAGCGAGGGAGGCAGACATCGCCGCCGCCCCGATGCGGTTGGCAAGAGCTGCAGTCGATGGCGCCGCGGAAGTAGTATCTCCTTCGACATCGGCCTTGTTGGTCTTGTTGACTACGCACGGAATTTCCATCATCGGCGTACCTTCGTACGGGTCGAAATAGACGTATCTGCCTGCCTCCCACCGCTTCTGTTCGTGAGTTGGCATTTCGCCGTGAAGTGTCTCGTTATCGTAGGCATTTTCTGGATCGACAATTTTCTCTCTATAGCCTGGCTTGGTGTAGATTGCCCACTCGCGACGCAGTCCAGCGTGCGCATCGACCGTGCACACGCTGTAGAGCCAACACCCGCTCAAATACGACCACCCAATGTAGTGACATGTCGTGAGCGCGGTACAGGCTTTAACGCAGTCCTTGGCCGACTCAGCGCGCGCTGAATGCATTGTAGTATCAGTTGCCGCACAGCCCCAATTGTTATATGTCAAGGCTGTTAGATCTGCTTTGCCACCAGCGAAAGTATTGCGCACGCCAGGAATCTGTTCTGCTGTCAGAGGATGGATACCCTCGGTCTCCGGCAGATTGATCGACAGACCCACGCGGGCCTTGCGCGGAGCCGCCACCGGTTTCGCGACGTCACCGTCCACATGCTTGGCTGGGAGTTTCAGAAAATTGAAGGAACGTACTCGACTCTTCAACTCTCACCATTTCCTCTTGCTGGCAGGTGAATGGAACACCAGAAAAGAACAGCTTGTGGTACCATAAGAGCGATCATTCATAAGACTAAAAATCGCAGCATAGATAGGGCACGAACATATATGAGAATTTTTAGTAGTGAACTATTACAGTAGTGATTTATTTCGCCGGTTCGCAGCATAGATAGTAAATACCTCGCACGACCAATCCGATGCTGTACTGCAATGCTACTGAACGGCAAACCGACTCCACACATCGCTGAATCTGGCCTGCGGGAGAGAAGCAATCCTCCTGGCGCACGCAGGCAAAATCTCTTGTCTTGTCCTCGTCTGTGAGCACTTCGACGAGAACGCTCGCAGGACTTCCGTATGGCACCATGACGGGCATGGACGCCATGTCGGCTTTCCGGTAGAGCACCAGTGTGTTGAAGAGCACGTCGTGTATGATCGGCCCGGCCACGAAGGAAACCTCTGCAGCCTGCTCGGCGGAACCGCACAGACCTACGTAGTGCGTTTGCAACGGCTCGAATGAGGGAAGCATCGAACAGCCGTCAATCTCGATCCTGCCCAGTGCAATGCTTAGAGGGCTGATGTACACCACATGGCGCATAAAGTTCAAGAGTAATTCTTTCTACTCGAGGCAAAGATATGGAAGAGTGCCATAGCATGTCCTGATTCGCTTTGTGCGTCTGTATAACGACTTCGCCCAAATGGTAGTGCGTCTCCATGCCGTTTAGCCGCAACGTGAACGTCTTCAAAACGCGCCGACAGCGGCCTTCCGGCTGCGCGCACACCACCGCGCTAGCGTCCGCACCGCAGTCACCCTGGCTGGCGCATTTTTCGCCTTGCGTGTGGTCCAGCGTCTGCAACTGCATCACGCTAGGCGGTCGCGAAAACACTTCGAACGGTAACTCCCAGTAGCCACCGCGCTCGATCGTCCGCGGATGCCATAGCTGCGTGTTCACCATCACGTCGTGATGACTGGAGAAGTAGATCCAAGCGCTTCCAGGATTCCGACACTCGAACTTGTACTCGTCGTCGCTGGGCGAAAAGTGGGGAGTCATGATGCACTGAGACTCGAAGAGTCCGCGATAACCCAGGTCGATCAGCTGGCCACCCGTGTACTTGTCACGGCGGTCGTCGGACAAAAGCGCCGCTTTATACGTGTCCGCAAGCTCCTTCTCCAGCACAACGAGGTAATTCAACACGCCTCCCGGGGCCGGTGTGGTGGTCGTTGTGGTCGTCTCCTTTCTTTTCTTTGCATGTAATTTCCGCAAGTAGTAATGCGAAAGCTCAGCAGCGATAGAGTCGAAAGTTAGTCCTGGTTCTTCGTCGTATTCACCGTCTGCATCAACTTCAACATGTTCATGATCACTTAACATCTGTGCATCCAATCGCCTGCGATGTCCGTGGTGTCCGCCGTGCTTCTTTTCGTCCTCACCTGAACCTGGATTCAGGTATTGCTTTTTTCGATCCAATGGCGTAGCACTGTTGCACCCACAGCCAACGTTGACCTCCATTGCTGCTGTTAGCATGTAGCTGCTCGTCTCAAACGTAGTCCATACGCGACTCGGGTCCTGAGCGATACTGGACGAGACATCCCAGCGAAATGGGTATATGTCGCCCAGCGGAAAGCCATCTCCACCCGCAACTGTAACATCGTTCACTTCCGTGATAGCCAACGGATCCTTGGGAACCAAATACATGCGGACTCGTCGTAAATCTTCAGCGGCGCAGCGGATGCGCAAGATAGATTGATATCGCTTGCGCAACGTGTGGAAAAACTGCTCGAAGAATGAAAGGGAAATAAACAACATGATGAAACACCGTTTGCTAGAACCATCGCGAAGTCATGTATTTGCGTGGTCACCAGGAGGTAGCTCGTCTAGCTTGTAAATTTATCTATGCATGACCATGTTTTTTTCAACCTCGTAACTCATAACTCGGTAGGAAAAATCAGCTCGGAGTAGGTGCACGAAGAGGGCAAATAGTAGTCGGACACGTCGATTCTGTCCAAGCCTGGCGTTCTACAGGTAATTCCCGGAATGCTGTATTCATCAATTTGCACGCTTAGTTGCGAGTACAGTGGGTGTTTCGATGTCACGAAGTTTACATTCATCGGCACCGCTCCGCCACAGGAAGGTATGAAGAATCACAATGGAGATCTTAACACGTAACACGACTGATCCTTCTATTCAGTGCGAGCGACGTCCGCTAATTACATACAAGTGCACTCAGGCACGTCGGTATTCTTGGTATCACCTACTAGCAGTGCCAGTCCCAGTACCCATGCATCCAAGATAAAAAAAAGATGACGGACCAGTACTGAGGAGTCACCAGAAAGCGTGCTTACTTTTCATTTATCATCTTCCATACAGATTGCTATGACCGACCGCGGCAGCACAACTTCCACGGCCCTGGGCGAGCAGACGGTGTGGATCAGAGACAAGTCATCGTCTTTTTTTATGCGTCCATCCGCGCTGGTCGTCTGCGAGAAGCCATCCGTGATGACATTCTCCATCGAAAAATGATCCAAAAATTAGAAGTCGTCTGCCTCTTAACAGGCTCAACATGTCCTAACTAACATCAAAAACAAATGTCTAGAACCGGCGACGACAATGAAGTACTTACCTAGACTTAAGCCGCACAAGTGCATGCTTCCGAGTACTTAATCACGGACAACTAAACTTTTTACGAATACCAATACTAGGGGAAGGAAGCTGCAAACCCAAAATGAGAGTAATCACAATGAGTTCGTTTCGGTCTTCTAGCCTTAATGGCACAGTTCACTGTTGAGCGCTCCGAAAGTCTCGGTGACGACCATATCGAGACTAGCCTGATCTCCGTCATCCTGAATCGAATGACAGCGCGGAACCCGCTCCGCAAATGTTACCGAGGTCGGATGGGACGTTAGAAAAGGAAGCGCCCTCTTCTTGTTCTACTTCCCGATGGATAGACAATAACCTACAACAACTTGTACTTGGATTATACCCTAGTAATTGTTTCACGGCTCTTTGCAATTATTTCCGCTTATATATTTCCTTCATCTGTCAAAACCAGACCGGGTAACGTTACGCAAGTAACAGTGGGCCGTAAAAACAATAATTTGAGGCGTTTCGCGTGTGGGAAGTTGAAACAGTAGATAGAATTGTCAACCACTTCGCATGAGTCGCATGCCTCGAACCCGACGACCCACTCCCCACGCGAGGCCCATCGTACGAGGCGCTTATTGTGACGGTTCACATTAATAGCGAGCTGCGCTGCGTCATCGTCTTTGTCTTTCCCGTGGTGTCCGTGACCGCTCAGCCTGCGGACGCGTCCAGACGGTAGCAGCTCAACACCGCCGCGTGCAAAGTCTGCGATTCCGAGGCGTTGTGGTACTCGTACTGCTGAGGTCGTTCCTCCGCTATTAGGTCCTGCTTTCTTCAGAGACGGTACAAATTCTACCGAAGACTTCGACGCTAGCGATGCGCCGAAGAGCAAACACCGCGCTAATCCCAACATCCTTACCACCTGGGACTGTAGCCGCACCATGATCTACTAAAGGCTGGCGTCCCTTGCCCTTAGCGCTTGTTCGTTGCACCACCTGGTTGTATTAAGAGCCTTGCTAGAGTTACCTCTTCGCACATGTTCTTTTTCTTACCAAGCTCTCGTGACAAATGGAGCAACGCTATCTCGCCTAGAGAGGCTGCAGCTTTCATTCCCAGACTCCTTCTGCTTGTTTCAGAAAATTATCTCCTCCACCTTCTACAACTAGTGCGTTCGCTGATTCCTCGCATACGTCTCTTCTTCACTCGAGCATTTTTCATTAGACCGATCTGTTTTCATGTTTTAGGGTCCTCTTCAAATCTCTTGCTTGTTACCTCGAATTGTATTTGTAGAACTAACCAGATATAAAATAGAGAGACAGCTTTAGAGCGGTGATACTTTTTCTTAGTCTCCTCGGTGGTCGTGCCGAAAAACCTCTTCACTCATTATCTGGCAACACCTCATCAAGAAGCTAGATTCAAGCTACTCCCTCTCCGTTGTGATTGCTTGCGAGTTGCATGACGTGTTCCAGTAATGTCAGTTGTGTAGATGATGAGATCTCACGGGTTGTACTTGTATTCATCCATAAGCATAATATCTGTTGTAGAAGTTGTCTGACTTCGATCATAGACTTGTTCAAGTTCGACATTCATGTTCTAGTATGCATCTATTCAGGATAATAGTGTCTAGCGTATTGGTATGCTCATGAGTATCGATATCGAAGCACATTTGCTTTGGTATTACAAGTAAAGTCCAATTTTCTGCTTGGGTTACCTATTAATGTAGAAGAGCAAAGTATTAATACTTGTTTCAACATATGACCTGTTTTTCATTCACTTTTTACAACACTCACACTAACACCGGTTAGAATACCTACTATAAAAAAAGACAACAATATTTTTTTGCGTGACTGTGACAAACTTGTCCAACTTACTTTAAAACTTACGCGTTTTCTCGTGATTTGACGTTTTCCATCCAGTAATTCTTATTCTGTGTTCCCACATACATTTGTTGATCTCGAACTAAAAAATCCTTCAGGTACGTTTTGATGCAGTCGACAATAATGAACGATGACCATAATTTTCATTTCAAGTATCACTGAGGCCGTTCGGCTCCAACTCCAAGTAGCAGGACTCATCTCGCGGAAGGGATAACATGCTATGAAAGACTAGAAAGAACTCATGATGATAAATGTGAAGAAGTAGCACTACCCATAATTCCTGATTCCTCGATAAACTTTAACAAAAACTGACTTAAATCTGAAATGACTGCATCTCTAGTACTATCAGAATTATTGAGAGAACCAGCATTTTGCCTTTGATCAAGTAGAAACTTACTCACTCGAGCTGCATCGATTGGGTCTGTCTAAGATACTTGAGCTTGACAAAAGAGAATTTGGGTGTGTGACGTTCGCGAGGCACCAGAGTGAATCGAGCTGCCTCCGTCCGATGAGGATGTCGTGGTGGAGGTGAGGCTTGTAGAAAATATCTAACGAAAAATACTATAAGTGAATAGTGCCAAAATAAACATTGCAAAAAGTATACTATTAGTCAATCTATCTTACTAATCTACATTACTCTTATCTATCCCCCCCACTGATCACCGCCACAAAACTCACCCCCCGCCCCGCAGGAGATCAGCTCGGCTCTTTCTCGAAGCTATTGCCCATAGCCTCGGGCCCCCTCCCCTTCAGCTCAAATCCACATAGTCGCCGACCGTTTTCCTGTTGGATCTTACGCCACAGCCCCTCGGCAGACTATCAGAAAAGAAGCCAAAAAAAATGCCCGACGCGGGTAGGGGCGCAAGTTGGCAGAAGAACTCCGACGAAAAGCGGCTGACGAAAGCCACCCGGCGACAGACGTCGGACAAAACACACCCGAAAGACCACGTCTGACGAAAGACGTTGGGCGAAAAATGTCCCCAGAGAGATGTCTCACGCAAGACGCCGGACGAAAGTAAGACGTCTGACGAGAGACGTCCGACGCAAGAAGTCTGATTAGAGACCGACGTCCAGCGAAACACGTCGGACACGAGACGTCTGAAGAAAGTAAGACCTCAGGCGCAAGACATTTGACGCTTCACGAAAGACATTCGACGAAAGACGTCAGAGAGCAGACGTCTGCCGACAGATCGACTGCTGGCGACAGACATCCGACGAAAGACGTCCGACAAAGGACGCCGGACGAAAAACGTCGGGGGACAGGCATGACGTCATCAGACGACGGACAGGCCGGCGCCAGACGTAAGACGCCTGAGGACGGCGTCGGCCTGACGAAACCGAAAGGCGTTAATAAATCCGACGAAAGACGTGAGCCCGACGAACGCTTCAGCCTGGCGACAGATATCGATCTGACAGACGAAGCAAAGAAATTGGCCCGACGAATGGCCTCAGACGGTGAGGCGGGAGACGTTTGGCGAAAGGCGCCAGCCCCTCTGACAACAGCCGCCGGCCTCACGAAAGGAAGCGCAGCGCCTCTGCTCTGACGAAAGGCATCAGCCTGACGAAGGAAAGACGTTAGTCTGACAAAAGGCGTCAGCCTGACGAGAGGAGTCAGCCTGACGAAAGAGGCCACGCCAGCCCGGCCGGCGAAGGGCGTCGGCGTGGCGAAAGACCTCGGCCCGACGAAAAACAAGACGCGCCCCAGACAGAATATCACCACCCGACGAAAGAAGAAGCCCCGCCGGCTGCACATAGAGAAACGAGACTCAGCCAGCGGCAGCGCGGCCATCCATGCGTTGCTGTTTCTTGGCCCGTCAAGGTCGCCCCTCTTGCCAGCCTGCCACCGCCTGCCGGCTACGAGCTTTGGAGCCTTGCCTGCGGGTAATTATGCACGCCCAGCGATTCTCTTCCGGTTTTTTTTGTTGGACTGCCGTGGAGGTCTTGCAAATTGTTGAGAATTTGCGCGACCCCCCCGGCGGTCCAATAAAAAACCGAAAGCGGCCCACTTATCAGCCTGCCAATAGGTCGACGCATCTACTATCTAAGTCGGTGGGCTTCGGCAGTCTCGTCGTAGTCGACTTATCGAAGTGCACTGCTTAGCCCGCGGGCTGTCTCTAGCTGTAGCCGGTGGGCGAGTAAGTGCTAAACTTGAAGCCGGGCGAAGCTTGTGGGGGCTAGTATCAACATGCACAAGAGCGAATGCGAATCGCTCTCAACATGCAGCGAAACAACGCATGGACGCACCTTGTTACCACTTTGAACTTCCTAGATCAATTCTTTCTTACATTTGATTTATAAGATGTAGGCAGATGATGCAGCAGAACTACATAGAAAAGGTGGGGAAAAAATAGGCGTAAAAGTTTTTTCAATATTTAAGATGCTAAATGCAGCAGGCACGTCGAAGTGTACCTAGTAAGTACTTGGTCTACTACTCGATGCAGATCATTGTGAGGGGTACGCAGATCAGCCCGATTAATATGACGATCGGAAGGCCGAGCTTCGGAAAATCGTTGAAAGAGTACGACCCAGCACTGAAGGCCATCAGATTCGTCTGATAACTTACCGGCGAAAGCATCTGACATCCTGCGCCGATCATCAGAATGCACACTGCCTGGTGCACTGGAACGTCTAAGGACTTCGCAGACTCCAGACAGACTGGAAACATGAGGATGACCACCGCAGTCGCATGGAAAACGATGCCGAGAAGCAGAACAACGACGTAAATACCCACCAGCAGACCTGGCGTGCCGAAAGGGGCCATGGCATCTGTGACATAAGTCGCAAGAAGATACGCAACCTTTGTATTGCCGATAGCATCTCCCAGACCAAAGGCGCCGACAATGGTTAGCACCTGTTTTGTAGTGGTTGTAGAAGATGAAAAGCATCTTGTGTTGTGTTGATAGATGTAAGTAGAATTATCAATCTTGTTGCGACGCAAGCACATTGTCATTATCTATTGTGAAGATGGAACCGAGGCTACAGATGCGCGGAGGAAGCATGTCCTAACTACAACTAGACTTCGTGGTGGCCGCGGCCGGTCTACTTTAAAAAACAAAAATTAAGGGAAAGAAATGAAACGAAAGGAGTATTTAAGTGTGACCATCGTCATCTAGAAGAACAAGATTTACCGTCCGGATTTTGATGGCTTTGAATGCTTGGTCCTTTGTCATGCAGTCCGTGTATGTAAGAGCGAAACTCGCTGTCATACATGCTGTGAGCAATGGCAGGGTATTCGTGGAGACGCAGTAGACCATGCAGAGAAGAATGGCTATACTCGCTACTTGCTTGGCGACTGAGGGCCCCGCGGGTTTTTCAGGGGCGGCCGCGGCCTCGACGTCTGCCTCAGCCTCCGTCTTCTCGTCTAACTTCTGTTGTTGCTCGTCTTCGTCGACAATCACGCGCACGCCAAAGAAATCGCCGTCTCGCTCGTGGCGTTCTGCAAATCCTTCACGCGCCATCAGCAACAACGTGTCACCTGGCTTGTAGCGCAAGCCACGAGTTTCCTGCTGCGTGTAGTCGAACACGGTTTTTCGGACCTTCTTCTCGTCGAAACTCACACTCAAGGTGCCCTTCAAACTCTGCGTCAGCCCAAGGGGTCGCAGACCGAGCACGCGAGCTCCGTAACGTTTGCGAACCTCCGTAGACGGGCAAATGCGCTGGTTCACTAAGGGACAAGAACTGTCCAAAACTACCTCGCAAATTTCTTGTGCGTCACTCATCCGATACACCACCGGAGGATCACCTGGAGACGAAAACATTTCGTTTTCGTTTATGAACTTACTGTTATACTTATAGATAATTAATATATATTCATGAAAATACGCGGCCCGCAATACCTTTCCGTTAGATGGAATCTATGTTTAAATAATTTGTATCGATTTTGTTCAATGCGTCTGCGTGGGGTAGTACTATGGTATCAATCTTCACTCCGTTTTTATCGTTAACTAGACAAGAGGTCAAACATAGAGAGATTGAAATCATGTTGCACTTGCAAAATAGTAATAGAGTACCAATATCTCTGGTAAGTAGACTCGTCCCTGGGTTCTTGTACAACTTGACTAGTTGCGAACTGCTTGTGTAAAGAATAACCACGTCGTAGTTTTTGAAGACAAACTTAGGATCGGTCAGATCTTTCGATTGCCCGAAACGTTCCACCGCAATGAGCTCCGCGCCAAGGCTATTTCGATCGAGAAAGTCGACCTCCCGGACCTTCTGGTCGGCATAGACGTCTCCCATCAATTGCACAGAGACTAGATAGCGTTTTGTGTCCTTGTGTTTCTGCTTCTTCACCGCGCTTTCCTGGATTTCTAGAGATGAGGAGCGATGAAACCCGTTTCCATTAGTTGTGCCGTTCTCCCCTTGTCCAGCGTGATCACCATCAGCGATCATAGCCGCCGCCGCGCCGTCGTGAGCCCCCTCTACGTCTTCATTGGCATTTTCTTCCTCGCCATTTTCCAGTGCGGTTTTCGTCTCGGCCTGAAAATCGGGAAAAAGCGGCTCCATCAAAAAGATGACAACAAGCAATGTGCCTAGGGTCGCGCCAATGCTCACGGGAGCAATCTCGAACGTCGTGAAGGGAACTTCGCCGTACTTTTCCATTTGCCCTTGCGCGATCAGGTTGGAGCTCGTCGCGAAGATAGCCACGGTACCGGAAATCAACAAACAGAAACTCAGAGGCATCAGGAACATGTTCTTGGAAATACCGATGTCCATCGACCACTTCTCAATGATCGGCATCAGAATCGACATATTCGCCGTGTTCGACATGCCCACGTTCATCACAATTGCAGGCGCCATCAAACGCAACGTAGCCATCTTGAATCCGCGAGGCTTGCCTGTTTTTAAAAATACGGGTTGAAAAACTTCCACATCCACTTAGTGCTACAACCTCTCTACTTAGAAAACTCGCAACCTAAGACTGAAAGATCAAATGGGACACTGATCCTGATGATGAAACCACGACTCACTACTTAATACTGAGTGTGCTGGTGCATGATGAGCATTATCTAATAAATAACGTGATATAAGCGTGAGATTGATCAGTGCCAGAGAGAACAGAGAGATAGAGCTAGAAGAGGAGAGGAGAGGAGAACACCAGAGAAGCCTACATGAGATGAGTCGAACAGCATCTACTAAATAAAAACAGAGATAAATATTAAAAGTAGTACCCAGAAGCGCGAGGAAGATTTTCTCGACTGCACCAGTTCTTTCAACTCCTTGTGCGACGACACCCAGTACGGCGACACTCAGCACCACGTCATTTGAAAAGCCTGCCCAGGCTTCCTGGAGCGAGAGCACGTTGGTGAGACACAAGAACAAGGTAGCAAAAACCAAAACCACATCGCTCTCTTTCCCTTCGACCAGAAGTTTGAGGCAGATTGCGGTGGTCCAGATGACCAGGTAGGGCTGCCATTCCGGTACCTTGTGTGCGTTCTGCTGAAACAGCGGAAAGAAGTGCTCTTGGTACATGCCTCCCAGGATCGCTCCCATCACGATGGCGAAGGCCATGGTTCCGTGAAAGAGTTCGGCGTAGATGGTTTCTCGCCAGTTTTCCTCTGATATCTCGCGGGCTTTTAGGGCGCCAACGCGTTCTTCCATCTCGTTCTCGTCGACATCAGAGTCGCCCACGTCGTCCGCGTCGAACGAGCCCCTGGGATGGACAATGATCATGCTCTCTTCCTGTCCTGACAGCTTCGCGACTTCACGCTCAACGTTGTCACCGGAGGTGGCAATGCTCAACGACGGCGCCTGTTCGACAAGGCGCAGCTTATCCAAGGCGCGAATGATATTGACTTGTGCCATACCAAGCTCGCGGTCCACGCGTTTCTGCGCCTCCGGACCTTGAAGACCGGGAAACAAACCGTGCATCGCGTTCACCACAATATGGCGCTGTCTATGAGAAATCACGCCTGGCGCCGAGCCTTGCTCCGCAGAATTGAATCCCTCGGCCGTGGCGCCCTGGGAGCGGTTGAGCATCATCCGCGGCGCGGTTGGAGGCACTCGGCTGTCTCCGAGAGCGGGTGCCTGGGGATCACGGCTGCTCGTCCTTTTCACAAGCCTCTCCGCTCCTGTGAGCAAGCCCGCGAGCCGATCCTTCGTAGACGTATCAGCTACCGCTGCTTGCTTTTCTACATCCTCGGGACTGGCGCCGGGTTTTTGCAGCAAAGCAGCACTCAACTTCTTGTAAGCGGTCTGCGAGTCTTCGGCATCTAAAGCATCAGGAGCATCACTGGCTTTCGCAAGTTTATCAGCCCCAAAGCTGCGCGAGCCCAGATAGGCTCGCCCCACCATCGTCCAACGACTCTTGCCTGTTTCTGGCCCGTCAGCCTTCCTTCCGGCGCCCAAGGCATCGGTAAGCACCAGCAGGAGCGGGTGTAACCGCACATAGGAGTGGCCTAAACGAGTACCTCCCAAACATTCTGTCAATTCATGTTCCAGGCTGGGAACCTCAGTCTCCGTGTCACCTTGAGCAGGGGCAGCTGCAGTTCCTTGTTCCGCCTGACGCAGCAGCTTCTTCTTTTCCAACACCTCCACCAAACCCTTGCGCAACGTCTTGTTTTCGCGCACCTGATAAGGTATTTATATTTTCATCAAAGAAAGTCATGTGAGTGCCCCTGATATGACCCTTCGTGGTCACCGTAGAGACAAAATGGCAGCCGACACAGAGGTCAACTCCCACAACAAATGCCCAGTCAGGCCCATGGCGATCCCTTCTGACTAACTCAATATCCCTGACGAGACAAGAAGGTCAGAAGGGGAGGAAAGACAGGTCGCTAAGCTGTTTGCCTAACCAAGGTGGCGAGCCATCTCGTGGAACCCCAAAAATCATACAGCCATAACATTAGAGCCAATTCAAAGAAAGACACGATGACCACTATCTCTTGAGATTATTCAACCGGCAAAATTAAGATTAAGATTAAGAGATTTCTGGCATGCGACAGGCAGGGGCCATGGCTCCAGAAGTCTGGGCTCGGAAGACATCAGTGCGTTTCACAGAAGACCAGAAAAGAAACAAATTGGGATACCACAGACATACCACTACGGAGACGGAAAAAGGATACTGGGAGATAATAGATGAGGACAACATGAAATAACGCTTCCTTCCACTACATCACCGAGAGAAGGACCATAGACATTGAGAACACGGGTAAGCACTTCAAGGGAGGAGGGGGCTACTAACTAACATCGTGACACCACACAAATTTCAAAACAGGAAATGACGTCCTGATCACGTCACACGAGAAGTATCTCAATCTTTATCTGCGATTACTATTCATTGTCGATATCCAGCTTTAGGTTAGTCGTAAATGAAATCTCAACTGTACCAGAAGATCGAATTCCTGTGCAATTTTTCGAACGGTCTCAATATTTTGCGCCGCGAATTTTAGGAGCTTTTCGATTTTGTCCACTTGTCTTCTGACTGAGCGATCTGACTCTTCTGGCGTGATAAACTTGGTCTCTGGCAGTGGCAGAATGGGAATGTTCATCGAAGGTGTCGCTCCTTCGGTGAGAGGATTGTTCGCAACAGGTGTGACGATTATCTTTATTTGCGTGTCTTGTTCTAAGCCTAAGCCTCCAGCTTCCACTACCCGGTTCTTTTTCCCAGTTTTTGCGGCATCTTCTGGCACAGGGAGTGGGGCGACAGCGGAGGTTTCTCTACTTTGTCGCTCGCTCCAACGCTTCAATGAATCGCGTAGAGACCGTTCCTGCGAGTTATAGAACTGCATGAAAAGAATGATCGCGCTCTGCAGTTCTTGCAACATGCGATCCGTGGTGTGCAACGGATCTCGGTTCAAGTCCACCAGCAGGTCTGCAAAATGCTGATAGGTAAAATAGTAGACCCTCCATTCCGGAATAATGTTCACGCGGGCTCTCCAAGTCTCGGCTGGCCTCCATTTTTTCTTGTTCACCATGTCAACAACGAGCCTAAGCCTTCCCCAACTGGGGGTCTCATGTTGATTAACTCGCGCGCAGGGAGGAAGATAGTAACTCCTTTGGCCACGAGCTTCCTGGTCTGGGGGTGCATCCTGGTTCCGACCTCGAGAAACAGGAATGGAGGACATCTTGATTGATTCACAAGGGAGTTCAACGATAGATACCTTAACTAAATAAAGACGCAGAAAAAACTCCAGAGGTATTGATTATTTCGGGGTAATCGTATCTTTTACTTGTTACAACAAGAGTTAGTGATAGATATTGATATGCTTGGCTGATAGCACATTTTTCTACGGAAGTACTCGTCCTCGAATATGGAAAAGTATGCATGATCAATAAATCTATCATCACAATGTAAAAAATTGACAAGAACTTCCACTCGTTAGTCATCTCAGATAAGAGAAACATTCAACAAGAAATCCTGTATGAATACCGTTGAATGATTGCAGGGCGAAATATTGGATAGACACGAACCAGAGTGGTTGGGACAAAGGTTTTCTCTCAAAACAGAGAAGGGCTCTCTCTCAACCAAATCATGCGGTGGCACATCAAAAATGCTCCTTATATCATTGCTCGAATAGGTACGCTCCTGATAGCAGGACCTCGTGCACAGAACACTACCTTCTCAGACAGGGAATGAACTCTCGATAAAGACACTCAGGAACAGATAAAAATATGAAAATAGATGTTGATGTCACGACGAACAGGATGAGGATCATTCACGAATCTAAGTTCATAAACTTCAACGTAATCAATTGTTCTCTCAATCCATCGCTTCCAAAAGAAGGGACAGACTCACTCTCAATTTTCTGGCATTCAAGATTTGCAAATTCCCTCAAGACGGAAGCTCTGTAGGCCCTCTCTTCTAGCTAGGCATGATCGGGACAGCAAGTGCAATACTTGCTTCATCGACAGACTGCCCTCTCGCAGAGATTCTTCTGGTGGGGTTCAAGACACCGAGTAAGCGCATGTAAAGACAGAGACGTTTCTACTGTCAGGTATCAATAGGTTACTGTCTCGCACGCGCCAGGAGACCGCCATGCAAGACGCAAGCGCACATGCTCGTGATGCTCATGTCGTTTCTACTTGATAGAAGAGATACTGGATGTGATTTTTTCTTTCTTTGAGCATGTGCAGCAAAATATACAAATGATTGATGCTCGAGTAAATTAATTTGATTGCGTTGTGGTATATGCAGAGTCAGAACTTAAGCTTAATATCATCATCGACTCACTAGGTCCATAATATCCAAGGCAGGATGCTATACGACGGCAGACCAAAGTCGAAATTGATGGAAGTCCTGGATTATACTCAGTTCATCAGCCTCCGGCTAGGTGGATCTAGAAAAATCAGTGCTTACCTACATGAACTATGATACACTGGCTATATTAAACAGTAGAACTCGTAATAGCACTACCCCCAATGCTCCCCGGCTACATGATCAGCGAATAAATTTTCCTGAAAATTAATAAAAATGCATCCATTGATATTTTCCATGAAATGAAAGTACTCGGACACAGACTACAATGTCTTATTAATACTTAATCCTTTGCAGCCGCTCGACGAGAATATCTTTTCTGCCAGCAGTACTTAGTCCTTTTTCTTTGAGTCGTGCCTTAAGTTCCGTCATCGTGAGAGAAGTGAGGGACGCTGGCGGCTTGAGGTTACTAATGCGTCGGCCGCTCCCATTTAGTTGTCCGCTCGATGGCGTCTCGCCGCCTACAATCCCTCCCGTCCCAAGATCGAGCTGCCGCTCTTCACGATTGTAAGTATTAAAGCTGGCCCACTAGACGTGGCGGCTGCTGAGAATGCTTACGTAATAAGTTGCTATCTGTCTATGTCTACGCACAGTGCTCGATAGTCCTGACGGCGTTAGTCGATCCGGATTGGACCTACGACTTCCCTGAGTCTCGTTTGAGGACATGCTCGACGATAGTCATATATTAATATTATACATATTTCTACTAACTTATATATGACTCAGGGCCGAACGGAGGGGCCTTCCACCTCCTTCCCAGGCCTCCAGGGGGCACAAAGCTCGGCCTTCCACCTACTTCTTCGGCCTCCAGGGGACACAAAGCGCCGGGAAGGGACCGGGGGTAGCCCCTTGGCGCCCTTTTGCGGCCTTCCCTCCCCGGCAGACGCCTCAAAAAGGGGTCCAGGGCGCCCGCCCCCCCCCCCCCGCTAGGGGGGGGGGCGTCGCCCCGCGCCCTGGAACATATATAAATATAAATATAATAATTACGTGCTTCATTACTAACCCTATTCTTGATGTGGATGTACAGGTTGAGCAGCGTCACGTGGAGGAGCTAATTGAGGTGAGGTCTGCGGCAGTTTCGGCGGATGGATCCTCTATAATTACTTTGAACCAACAGCATGCAACCAAGTGTTGATCTTAACACTTTTAGGAAACCATTTTTGTGATTGTGTGATCCAAAGGTTTGTGTCTCTATTTGGCGTTTTTAAGCAAACAAAAAAACAAGGAATCAGGAAAACAAAGGTACAGCAAGTAAAGGAAGACGAGAAAGAAAAACCAAGCCAATGCATGAAAAAAGAAGGGTCAAAAACCATCAAAGATGAAATATGGATCCAGTTAAATCCTAAGTTAGTCTTGTTGCAGCCTACGAGGTCCCCCGGCAGGATCACAATGCCAAGGAGGGGGGTGCTCGCGAGCGCCTTGGATAGGGATGTTACTGAGGTCTCGTAGGTGCTAGCTCACACCTCAGTAACTCCAAGGAGCTCCACAAGACCAACTAAAAGCTTAGATTAGCTAACATAATAATATGCAATGTCCCTTTGTATATCTATATAACTTCTAGATGCGCTAGTCCACAGGCTGCCCCTTCTCTGATCAGAGCGCAAACTCTGGTATCGAGCGCTATATATATCAGGTGTAGCAGATGTGATCTGCTATCCACTTTTTCTTTTTACCGGCTCGCACTCCAGTCAAGGTTAGGTAAAAGGTATATAAGTACAGAATTATAGTAATGGCCAAGCTAAGTAGGATCCGTCTATTCTAGGCGCCGCGTGTCGTCCAACAGCCCTGGAGGTCTTCTCATCAGAGGCGGCCGAGGCCTGTGCTTGCCTCAGAGAAGTGCTCGGCTCTCGCGCTATGTGCACCCACTAGTTCGCTCCAGGGTACCGGTTCACCAAACTAGTGCACAGCGCGAGAAATAGGACGTATATATACTAGTTTACTCATAGGTGTTCCTTGATAGTAATTTAAATATAAATAAGTAAAAACGTGAGCAGTGGGGACGGAGTGAAGCAATTGCTCGTCAGACAACCTCCGAAAATGAGATCACATCTTGCTTCATGTCTTCTATGTTATGTGATGTCCCAGAATAAAAGAAGAACTGTTGAAAGCGCCTCCTCCGGCTGACGGCGATATTCCCCGATGAGCAGCTCCTGCTCCACCCGAGGACGAGAGGGTATTTTTGCTTTCCTCCATTTCAGCATCTGAATCGACATCATGGAAGGAGTCACTCTGCCTCCGCTCTTGTTGTTGTAGTTGTTGAGAGATTGCGCCACCGAAAGGTTTGAAAGAGGTCTTGTTGCTCGACGATCTCGTTGAAAATTGTTCTCGAATGCTCCCGACACGACCACTAGCCCCGCCCAGATGATGATGCTGTTGGTATTGTGGAGACGAGGTTGATGTCGTGTTCATCTTGTTCATACTTGAATTTGCACTCGCGAAGTTCAAGTCGGTGTTACTGCTAGTAGTATTGTCACCTACAGTTGCTCCTTGAGGAGGATCGATCACAAGCGGAGAACTATTTTTATCTGATGACGGCCAGTCACTGACGAGATCCATGCCATCCTGGTCTGGTGAGCCAGAACCTACTTGGAGATTGACATTGACATGTTGCTGATGCTGATTGTTAATCATTGACGCTCCCATTGTACCAGAGGTGCCAGATGTAACGACGTGCCTGTCTGTATGGGGACCGCCTGGTCCAAAAAGCTCGTCATTTTCTTGTGAGAGCAAGAATGGGTTCCGCGAGTTGTGAAGCAAGTCTTGATTCAGGCTTTGATCATTGAGTTCGAGGTTGTTAGAGTTTTGCTGTTCCTTTTGAAGATGGTCTCCTCCTACCCCAACCTGGTGCTGCATGTCGATGTTTTCGGTCGACAATAAAGTTGAAGACATTATCACAGGCGCTATGCCGAGGCTAGTGTCAACATTGCTCATATACTGGGGGGAGGAGAGGGACATGCTTGACGAGGTAGAAGTGGTAGACCCGATGTTCCCGGAGGCTGGGAGCAACTGGTTTGTTCCGCTTGGCGGTATGGCGCCGTCGGCATTAGAGATGAACATGGTCTTCCTGTGATTTCAATAGATACAACGGCCATTGTTTGATGTCATCTTTATGCGGGAGCTGTAATGTACGAAACGAACAATAAAAAAACTGGCAGTCGCACGACCGAATCATGTTAGCAACAGCAAGTAGTTTGGATTATAAACTTTGCCTTAACGGTTGGCGAGGGGAGTGCAGAACCACTACCTGCGTTAGGACCTCCACCACGCAAACTTGCGATGCTTCCACTCCGACTGAGATTTCTACTGTCCCAGCTTCGCGCAACTGCTTGCTGAGCCCGCTCAGCGGAAGACATCCTTCGCGCCCCTCCCCCCATTTGTTGCTGCGATGACACATTCAGAAAGGGATTACTACTGGTACTGCCACTGTTAAACAATGTAGAGGCTCCTCTACTTCTATCTCCTCCTCCGCCACTGCTGTAGCTGCCTAAGGGCATCTGCCCAGACGGGAGCACGCCACCCCTAAGACCAAAGCTGCGCGTTGTTCCACGATTATTAGAGAAAGGAATACACTTTTTGTACATCTGGGTAGGTCTGCTGGAAAGTATTAAACGCAATGCTTTTATCAGTTCCAAAGACTTTGGAGAGACAGCGCGACTCTTCCACTGCTAGACCATAATGCTAAGACCGTTTCCACTGGTGATCGGTTCGGGATTCTCAACGTCATCAGGCTCTGGACTGTCCTCAATACGTTCGTCCCAACAATCGTCGTCATCTTCGATAACTGTAGCTCCATTGGACGTAGAATTGCAACCGTTTTGGTCATCAGGGGGGCCACTCCTCGTTCCACGAGGTGGCGCGGCGAAACCGTAATTTCTTGTCTTTTGAGGACCGATGCCTGTCGGATTAGCGTGCTTACTATAAACACCTGCTGCACCTTTAACACTGAGCTGCTCGTCGCCAGACGGTGCTCCACTATTGCTCGTGCTGTCGCCACTGAAAAGCACATTCACTTTGGAACCGCTGTGAGACGAATGCGGCAGTGTGTTTCGTGAACCGCTTAGCTCGCGACTTGATGCATTCCCTCCACGTATTTGGTTTCTACCGTGCTGCATAGCAGTTGTGCCACTGCCGGCGCTGGTGGAGCTTTGTCCAGCTCCGCTGTGATGCAGGTCTAGCATTGAGCGCAACCGCTGTATTTCCGCCTCCTGATTCTGCACTTTTTCCGATAAAAAGCTGTTCTCTCGTCGTAGCTCGTGAATGTCTAGCCTCAATTTTGACATGTCCTCATGACTCTGCATCAAAGATTCATCTCGCATTTGTAGTTCGGCTGTTGTTTTTCGGAGACGCGATGTGAGCTCGTTACTTCCTGCTTCTTTCTCAGCTAGTTTGCCCTGGAGACTCGCAATGCGAGTATGCTGTTCTCGTTCACGCGCGCGCAGACCGCGAAATACGGCGTCGTTTTCGTTCGAATATGATGTAGAAGAAGTTGCGTTGTGTGCCGCACTGTATCAAGAATGGAGAAGACGAGGTATCAGCATAGTAACAAGTCGATAGAAAGTATGAACTTCTTTTCTTCACGTACAACTAGAGCAGATTCGGAGTTCCCTGACAAGAACGAGCTTCAAGATTGGTCCGTCGTAGAGCTAGAGCATGTGCCTAAAAAAACAACTACGACATCTTCAGACCACATCGTTTCATCTAAAGCAGTACCTCTGCCTCTTGTTCTTTGCAGATACATCCGTCGTACCTGGTTCCGGCGTTTGATTGCGGCTTCTACCCGTTCCGCCATGTGTTGCGATTGAGCCATCTGCGCTATTTCGAAGCTTATTCCTCCCGAAAAGGCTTTCTCGGATGGCACTCCCGACTTGCGATAGCATACCAGGAGCTCCCGATGAGGCGGAGCCCTGGGCTGTGCTGCTGCTGCTGCTCGATCCACCTCATCGAAATTGGGATTGGTAATGCTTGTTGATTATTTTAATTTATTGATCGCGTTCGTGAGGGTGAGGAGCAAATCCGAAATTATTGCCCGCATCTGAATAAAGATTACTCTACGCATTGGCTACAAGCTCCGACAAAACGATGAAACTTTGAAAACTCATCCGCAACTTATGAAGAGCTAGCATACTTAGATACCATTTTTACCAGCAGTAGCATCCCCAGCGACTGATTGCCGTATACGCCGTTGCTCGCCAGAATGTCGTGGAACAAAAGTTCCTTTCTGGTTCGTTGTGGTGGATGCATCCCCAGCAGCATTTGACGAAGCGCCTCCCCCTGCGGCGGTCCCACCTGCTCCGGTGGTGCTATTATTGCCAACTCCGGTAGCCCGCTGTGGCGCCGAGAAGTTGCGGCGAGGTGTTCCAGGTCGTACGGTCGAGCCTGCAGGCCCACCCGACGCTTTGGAGTATGCACCGCCTGGAGGCCTGAGTGCTGAAGAGCCGCCTCTTGTCGGAGTCGCGCCCCGCAAGCGCGCGTTGCCGGTGCTGCTCGACGTACTCCGCTCGGCTGCTATCCCCGTTCCACCGCCAAAGGAAGATGCACTCGAACTACTTCCACCTGCGGTCGACACTCCACTCCCAGCAGGCATGCTGATATTCGCAATAGTCCCTGTGGTAGCAACAGTACCACAATTCGATGACGCTGAGGACGCCGAGGAAGCATCGCCTGCAAACAAGCCGTTGTTCTGTTCGGTCCGTGAACCCGCTGGGGGACTCTGAAAGCGCTTCATCTTGCGCGCGGGCGACGGGGGAGTCTTCATCTCCTCCGCAGAGTTTGACTCTTGTTGAGCTTCAGCAGCTGCTGCTGCACTCGCCGCCTGCTGCTGAGCGCGCTCTTGCAGAGTACCGGAAAGGCTCTGCCTCGCTGTCATAGGCCTCCCCGAGTCTTTCTGGTTCCCTGTGCCAGTGTTGCCAGCGCCGCCTCCGACGCCAGCCGCCGAAGAGGAAGCCAGATTGTCTGGGGGAATGTTCAGATACGAGAAGGTGTTCAGTATCGCCTGAAGCTGGTGCTGAATGGGGTTCACAGTGATCAAAACCAATGTGGGTTGGCCATTCGCGGAACTGCTCTCCAACGCGACACGCAGCAGGCGAGTGAGCTTATCATCGCGACAGACGGGTTTCAGCGGTTGCCCAGAACGCAAAGCACTAAGAACTTTCACAAGCGAGAGGTACGTGGAATTGATCTTCTTACTCTCATCAATCCGGCTTCCTCGTCCTGCAGTGTTAGTCTCCCGATTATCTTCGCATCCTGCAAGATCCACCATAAAAAGCTTCCCAATCTGCTGCTGCACGGGCTTCGTGTGGTAGCTCATCGCCTGGTGTAACAGATAGAGATAGATGAGAGCTGTCAAGTTCGTTGTAACAACATCTAAAATAAATACATTGATTTATTTCTATTTGAAAATATTTCAATGAATCGGCTAGCAAGATCATAAAAAAACTGAAGACAAGTCGTAGAGCCAATTCGTAGAAAGCTCGAACTCGAAGAACGGGAAACCAATGTCAATTTGAATTTGGGACTGAAGCGAAGAGTTACTGCTCTTGCCGGTGCCGGTGTTTTGACTGGTGCATCTGTCTCGATCTTCTCTACTGCTATTTGTATGCAGCAATGACTACGGCTACTGCGATCATTGAGACTGGTGGCGCCAGTTTTGCGGTGCCGAATGCGTTTCTCATAGAGCTCACGAAATTGCTCAACCGACTCAATTGGGACGCTCATCAGCTGCGCCACTACTTCCTCGCCGCTTTTGTCCATCTGCACCGGAAGGTCGTCAATGCGGTACCTCTCAATATCATGTTCTTGAACTTGATCTAAATGAGAAGATGACAGGAATGATGGCGCGGCTTGCTTCAAACATACTTCGTGTTCTACAATCTCTGTCTTCTACCCAAAAGACTAACGCGTCACATACAACAATCAATGTTTCATGCAATAAATTGCAACAACACGTGAGCATCGTGTGACAGGCAGGTGAAGCAAAGACCTCTCCAAATCCAAAAACCTCCATTTTGAACTAACAGTTCAATGATCTGCTCTTAATCATCGTTCAATAGGTTGACATCATAATTCATTACACGAATGGTAAGCAATCTAGGTAAGTACTTTCCATCCCCGGCCGCGCTACCCTTGACGCCACTAAGATGTGGATTGCCCTCACCGAGCCAACGCTTTGTGACGACGCTCTTTTTGCTAAAAGCCTCTTCTTTGGGAAGATCCTGCAGCAAGTCGCGGACTTTGTCGCAGTAAAGTTCGTACAGGGAGAAAGTTATCTTGTAGTCCTCGCGTAACGGGTCACACTCTTCCCAAATCTGCAAAATGTGTCTCACTGCAAGAGGAATAAACCCTGCATTAGACTCGAGGTCGTCGCCCTGCATAGTGTAAGTCTTACCGCTTCCGGTAGCACCATGCGCGAAGACCGTGCAATGCCGACCATCGAACCTGAGTGAGTCAGTGTGAGTGATACTGATAGTTCAAGATGTGCTTTGCTTCTGGCAAGCGTTTGCACTTGCAAAGCCAGCCCGGCAGAGAGCTATGGCTGCGACTCACTCCCACAACCAGAGAGACAACAAGCCGTCATAACGCTACTTTGCTACCACACCAGGGTAAGCGCGCGGCCACCTTGCCATGGCTCAGCCTGCATCGCGGATGAGGGAAACAACACGACAGCACCACGACGGGGGCGGGCGGCCACGACTCCTTTGCGATAAACGAAAAACCGGGGGCCCCGCCTCTGGTCAAGTGCCGAAGCTAAGGCTACGCACACCCACAACCACAACACTAGCACTGCATACACTCAGCGCAACCCTAGCGAAGGCAACATCCACGAACATTCGAGGGCCGAGCAGGCCCAGAGCGGAGCCGACCGACCGGCAATAGGATATGAAGCAACAACCAAAAAAAAGAATGAAACCAACGCCCGCCAACAATGAAAGGGAGGCTGGCAAGGCGCGCACAAGAATGAAAAAAAAGGGGGCGGCGGCAAACTTCTCGCCCAAACACCTGGAACGAAAACCCAGACCCGAACGAAAAGGAAGAGCCGAACAAAGAAACTCGACCCGAACAGCGGTGGCATTCCTTCCAACTGAGCGGTTGGCTTACACACCGCGACAAGCACAGCAGAAGCCAAGGCATGCTTGCCCTCAGAAAAATGCAAGACAACATCAGCCGCGGAGCTTGTCCGGTAAGGGTAGGAATGCTCTGCCGCGTCAGGTAGCTGCGAAGCCTGCCCGCACTGGTGAGCATGCGGGCCAAATTCAGGAGTCGCTTCGGTCCTCATCCTTATATTTTGCGGGCCGGGGCTTCTTGCCCGGCCGCTTGCGGTAACAAATACAAGCCGCACCTCCGCCACCTAACAGGCCACGCGACCACAGAAAGAGCTTCCCCCCCGTCCTCTTCCCAAAGGGCGAAGAGCGCGGCCGCAGTCACCCACGCCCGCGCCCTAGAATACGATAAATCCGAGCGCGCGCGCAGAGCTATCGCAGAGCTCAGGGAGGACACTGCCGAAAGCCCTACGGCATCCGTTGGACTTCCGTGGCCGGTCTTCACCAAATGACTCGCGAGGTGTGTGCGCCAAGCATGGCCGCCAGGCGTTCCCACGCCGTGAGTGTCTCCGACTCAGAAGCCCGAAGGCCTCGCACATTGTCCCGCACGCATATAACAAACACGCACGCAGTTGCGGCGCCTCTCTCCACTGCGGTCCTGCAGACGCTACCCTGTTCGGCCCACTCTCTCCGTGAATGAAGCGCGAAGCCGCTGGCAGATGTTCCTTCTCCCGCGAAGCTCGAGAATTCGCCCAATCGAGCACCTTGCCGCCACCGAACTAACATCATCAAAGAAGCAAAGGAGAAAACGAAGAAGGGGAACTACAGTGGTGCCATTGCTCTGGATCCTAGCTCGGACTCGAAGACGTCGCTGGTACGCTCGTTTTCATAGACGCCATCGAACGTGTATGATTTGTCTTCGTATCGCTCGTTTCGTGTATCTCGGAGGAAAACCGTTCTTGGCTCGGTCCTTTCTAAGACTGGTATTTTCGTTGGATCTTCGGGTGGCCGTAATCGTAAAACCATTCGCAGGTTCATTCCCGGCTTGTTTCCGGTACTTCGCGGCTGCGGCTGCGTCTCCTGTCCGATGGTGCCACTGAGGTTCACCCCAACACCAGTGAGAGACGCTGACAGCATTCTCGCAGCCAGCAAGAGAGTCGCTACCCGCTGTTATTTTCGTTCTGGTTCCCGCTGCTACCGACCGCTCTGCCGCGTAATACTTCAAGATGGACAAGTCTTCGACGTTTCACAGAAACTAGACGATTTCAGGATGCTCCTACTTTCGCTTTTTGTTGTCACGAAGCAAGTATCGTGGGTATCATTTGCTCGAGATACTCAATCAGCAACTTCTATGGGCGTCCGGGAATTCCTACATTTCAACGCTCTGGTGGACAGGTGACACGCCGGGAATACCCAACTCGTCAACAATCGGCATCATGCGTAGAACGACTGGCTTCTGACCTGCTATCGTCCATCATGTGGAGGTTTGTCAAAAACGCGATTGTTTAAAAATAACGTATTTTTTTTTGCAAATATGCGCTACAATCTTATATCAATACGGGCTACAACTTCGTTCGCGTCGCTCAGTCCTTGTAGCACAACAAGAATAAGAAGGTCAAGCGTTCAGGTGGAGGTCATGTCTACATTTTACAAATACAATTAACTTAGATTTACCATTAAAAACAAGGATGATGCACAAACCGCAAGTGCCTCCCGCGCAAATAATTGGACTACGTGCAGTTTTCTAGTCCTTCGAAGTTTTACTTTTATGAAACCATAAGCAACTCTAATATGGAACTTTCCCAGAAGATTTTCTCTCGTTTATCTTCATCATCGTTTCCACCAAGAAAAGAATTTCCGCAAATTTTATCAAATTGTTTCTCCCGTCTTAGCATGCCTGCCACTAAATTCAACATAGTGAAACATCTCCTTCTTTTGCGAAATAATCCTTTAGCCCAGATGCAGCTGGTTTCTGCTAGCACATCCTAGAACAGCGTTCAAGCCCCGATGATCTAGTGGCAGCCATGGTAAGGCGAATGCCGAAGACGAACACCTCTGAGTCAGCTTTCTCCGCCAAATCTTCGTGCTCCTAGTGTGCTGCCCAATAAGAAACAAGTGCGGTCTGTCGCTTACGGTTTTTGATTCTCCTGGCAGAACTGATACATCGGCAGGACAAAAGCAGAAAGTTGGCACTTAGCCTGTCTATCATCCTCGGCTTACTGAGCTTTTCACAACAAGGTACTTAATGTAATACACAGGTATACATCTTCGATGGGTTAGTGCATTGGCCCTACACAGTGTGAGCGGATGCTGAAACCAAATTTATTGAGTTATACGTATAGTACTTAGACATACATAGAAGTGCAAGTGATCTTTAACTCAATCATGTTCATGGTACTCTAAAAGCGCGAGTAACTAGTAAGAGTACTAACTCGTCTTTGGTGAAGTACCTCACTACCCATTGCTACTAGGGGCTTTTTGTGTCTGCTTCTTCTCCTGAGTGCTTCTTCGGCACCACAAACTGCTGAAGCTGGCGACTCTGGAAGCCAGGGAATGAAGGCATTGCAGCCAATAGCTCGATCCTCTGAGTGTTCGTGTTAATGCGGACATCGGAAAGACCACCGAGATTCAGACGCTTCGCCAACCCACGTGAAATTTTAGGTGGGAACATAGAGTCTGGCAGCTTTACAGGTATTGATGAGGGTGTCACCACGACTTCGCCTTCCCTTGTTTGTTCTTTTACGTCAATGCCACAACTTGTTGATGTCCTCGTTGTGAAAAAGCAACAACTCCTTAAGATACCATAGGCGAGGTAATGTATGTTAATCGGCTGTAGTTTTAGCTCCCCTTTCTGACGATCGAAGAAGGCCAGCATCGATTTGTACATCAGCTCGCTGCTTGCATAAAAGTGGTTAAAAGACCACCAAGGCTGAGAACAGCACTCATGATTCTTATCCGTAAAACTTGCAACTCCAAATGAGGACTGCTGATGGTGCTCAACTTGGAGCTCACGAAGTCCAACAGGTGGCGAGTTCCAAGCCTCGCTTGAAACTCGGGATAAGTCTTCAGTATTTTGAAATTCTTCGGGAACAGGAGATCTGCCGCGGGTTTCTTTCCTTGCTTTTTGAGGTTCGTCCGGAGTTACATCGGATTTCCTGGAATCACGCAACAGTTGGCCAAAAGCAACACTGTCCCGTTCAAACTGATTCAGCAACAGGATGCTCTCTCCGTGTTTTCCATGCCGTGCAGTTCTCCCACAACGATGGGTGTACTGTTCTACACCCAAGAAACCCATGCCGACTTGTACCACAAGATCCACCTCACAGAAATCTAATCCACGACCCGCGACATCAGACGCAAAGAGGATTTCTTTTGTACCCTTTTCAGAATGCTCCTTAACAACTGCAGAGTTTTCATTTGCTTTTGGACTGTCGTCATCGTCTATTTGCTTACTTCGTTCCGCAGTAAAATCTACATTGAGGTCCTTTTTGAGTCGTGTTGTCGTAAAGCGCTCAACGACGGCCCTCCGCTTATCCTCCGCTAGGTTCGTGTGAAGCGCAAAGTATTTTGCGCCTCGAGGGTATCGGTGAAAGTGTTTTAAGAGCACGTAGAAGAACTGAAGCATGCGCCTCGTAGGAAAAACAACCAGGCATCGTCGGTGCTTCGGGTTGCTGAGAATCTGGACGAGGTCAGACATCAGGTTTTCAGGCTGATACACATGGTAAAACTCTGTACGAGTGCCTGCTGTTGTCTGGGGCGAGGTACAGGAGCTTGAGCCTGAGTCCTCACTGTTCTCCTTGGCGGAGGCGTCGGCTTCGTCTATCCTTTCCATAGCGCATCTTCCACGTTGGGAAAACTGTTCATCCTTTGTTTTGCCATGCGCCTCTGAAAAGCCCCCTTCCAGTTCTGTCTTTTTGAGGATTTCCCTGCTTTTTTCATGTCGTGGTGAAAAAGCTCCTGCCAGGAAACTTGGATGTAGTGCGCAAGATGGTGCGTCGGCGTTCTCTTTCAATCGGTTATCTTTATGTACTCCTGTTGTGTCAAGAACTGCAAAATTCCTTCGTAGTAGTTTTCTCTCGGCTACCTTCTGACGATCAAAGGCGAAAGTTGCTGAAGCCAGCACGGTTTGCAAGTGTCTAATGCCCAAACCAGGAGTATCAAAGATCGCATTCGATTCGGCGACTGCAGGTTTTGACCTGTCTCTGGCCTTGATACTTCGTATTGTGTCCACAATGTACGACACTTGATGATAATACGCGCTCATGTCCAGTAATGCGTCTGCCTCATCGAGAACAAGGGTTTCCAAATTCCCAAACGAATTTCGGAAGTTTAACGACCTCCGAGATGAGTCGCACGATGTCTTTTCGCTTCTCATCAAATGCCACGCAACTTTTCCTGGCGTCGCAACGAGGATATGCGGGCGATCAAGCTTGATCCGCGCAAGATCTCCTAAACCATGTTGTGGAATTGAAACCGAACTGCGCTCTGCACCACAAGCCACAGCAGCTCTGGCATCTTCTTCAAAATATCCGTGTTCTTTCTTGGTATATTTGTTTTTTGCCTCGCTTCGAACCGGTTGACAACTGTGTTCATGAAGACTTTCGTGCTCTTGCAAAGACTTGGCTCTGTTACCAGCAGAAGTCAAGTGAGTAAAGCGCACGTCGGGTGTGAGAAGTAGTAGTTTCTCTAGTGAGTCCCGCACCTGGTATACAAGATCACGTGTCGGGCAAAGAATGAGTGCCTCGATGTTGAAGTCCTGGTCAACCTCTCGAAGATTGTGATTGCCGCCACAGGTAGCCATTTCTCTTGATTGCCCTATCTCAGCTTTTCGTAGGATAACACTCCGAATGATTGGTATCAGATACGCCAATGTTTTACCGGTCCCAGTTGGTGCTTTCAGTATTAAATCACGTCCAAAGTTTTCTGAAGACCAGGCAAGACGCTGAATCTCCGTAGGCGACGAAATTCCGAAAGCATCGCCTAGGCGCTCAACGACATCCGACCAGATGGCCTCGCTAGAAACAATCGACGTGTTGTCTCTATCCAACGGTTCCAAACTAAAAGTAAAATGTCCAGCACTCAAGGCGTCCTCGCACATCCCATGGCTATAGTCCAGCTTCTGTGAGGCTGTTGCGGCTGAAAAAGAACGTGAACTCTGTGAACAAGACGCTGCTGGAACCCAACGGCTTGAACTACTGGCTGACGTCCCTGTTTCCAAGTTTTTAGCTGCTGGAACCCATGAGCATCCCGAAAGGCCCCGCCAATGCGCTACGCTGCTCTGCCGCCACACAGGTCGAAAGGTGTGGAGGAGGTCCGAGCCTGCCCCTCCGCAAGGAGGCAGAGCATTCACAGTCATAACTTGTTGCATGCTCTGAGGGGCCAAAATGTTGTTCTTGGAAGTAGCAGAATCTAGGTGATTGAGAAACAACGTATCTGCATTCCTTTTAGAGACACATAGCTCGCCTTGTTTTAGGCAAATTCTGACGTCTTTCTCACCGTCATCTTGAAACCGTCTCACGATAACAGGCGTACTCATGTAGTCGATTGTACAATCAAAAAAAACATTCAGGTCTTTGATGCCGTTTTCATTAGTACTAGCCACATCCGAGCACTGGCTCCTTCTCTGAAAAGAGCAAAGCGACAAAGCACTCCCGGAGAGACTATACGGCGCTCAAGAGGTTGCGAACAATGTCAGCATCTTTCCAATATCACTTCCCCTGAATATGGGTCGCGCTCGTGCGTGGTTTCCTATCCCCAATTTCAGGGAGGACACTGAATAAGCGATATCTTTTGCGTGTGCGTTGTTTGGAAATGCGTAGTCTTGAGACTCCTAATAGAAGATCCCCCCTCCAGCCCTAGCAATGGTAAGAGAACAGATACCATTGTTACGGGAAATAATGGGAACATACCTCGTTCTAAAATTCACCGGTCGTGCGTACCGGTGCTTGTGCGTATACAAAATAGAATTGAGACACAGCCGGCGTTCGTCCTCATGTTTCTTGATAGTTAAACTTTGATTTTCGACCTCCGAAGTCAAATAAAAACCGCCAGCTGAAGATGATGTTCTTCTCTACAGTTTCGTGGTGGCTGATAGTAGCATTTTTGATTTTGTTAAGGCAATTAGCATGATGAATATGAATCGTAGGGGTTGAGGCTCTAGAAAGCACATAAGTGATAAGTGTTCTTGGTGTAATATGCCGCGTTGAAACTGAAAAAATGTCAATGACACTTCGTTTCCAGCAATTGGTGCTAGTTGATAACAAGTTGTGCATCCGTATTGCGTCTCAACTCCTTCTCTTTTGACTACAGCGACACGACGCTAACAACACTGTCCATATTAGCACCAATCCAAGTAGCTATGGATGTTTGATGATGGCCTTGAACTTGATCATGATTCATATTAATTAGGAAATTAGTACGAGAAGTGCGAGTGTGTTACGACTCATTCTGCTGCTGGTGGTACTGTAGTTTGTGATCTAGGTGGTCCATGAAAGCGAAAACGATAGCGGATAACATGAAAGAAAAATAAGGGCGTCAATAATGTTGTCGGTTCAAATACTAGCATCGGAAGGAGGTCGGTGTATTTCTTCTTGCGCCATATTAACTAGTTCTATTTGTTCAGGTTCAGAAAACATCATCATGATGGTTTCATAACTCGGACTAGCGACTTGACTTCTTATTCTCGTGGTTGTTCTTCGTAACTAAGTGGGTACTTAGTACGAGTATGCCACAAAGGCGAGGCGGTACCAAAGAAACTTGCATTTTTCACCTCGCCCACAAAGCGCAATGCTAGGTGGCAACAGCAGTTGCTCCACCTCCTGCAGCTCTCGGACTGCCTGTTTTACTAGTGTTTTCGCTGGCGGTCGTGTCGACGTCCATGGTAACCGCCGCGTGCTCATTTTTTATCACGTCTCCTCCCGCTGACATCGTACCTGGCAGACACGGTGATGGCTGTTGATGACTACCCTCCATGCTTGTGGCTCTTGGCACATCACTACTCCTCTGGTCGTCTGCGCCAGAAAAAGGAAGTTGCTCAGCTGAGTTGATGACGCTGTCGTGAGCTGTTTTCAGCTTCGACGGATCCTCATCGTACTTTCCTCGTAGCCGAAAGAGCTCCTTGAAGTGCGTTGGACAGAAAAATTCGCCGGAAGGTGCGCGACTAAATTTCCCTATTGACAGCTTGCCGTTACAGGCTTTACACCGGAAGCAGTCTTTGTGGAACAGGGCGCCATCCACTACTAGCTTTTCCATCGCATATACCGTTTTGTTGCTGAAGAATGAATGGGTGGAACAGAAGATGTTGTTACAACGAACTGTTTACTACTCTATAGGAAGTTCTTCATATATAATATTCAAACATCCTGGTGCGTGTTGAACGCGAAATGAACCACTGCAAGAGCAGCAAGTCAAGACGCCACAAAATGTATCATGGGTCAAAAATTACCACACGATGCAAGCAGTTGAGGATGACGCCGGTGTGCTGCCTGAGTTTGGTGCTGGCCCACTCCTCCGACATTCCGGACATGTTGTCCCAAAACCCTTAAATTCGGCTTTACACCGGTCGCACTGTTTCACCATTTTCAGAACTAGGTAAGATATTTCTCTGGTAGATGAAAATTGAAGATAGACATAGACGTTGTAGATGTAGTTGTACAGGTACTGGTCGTGTAGATGGGACCAACTAAAACTATACATTACCACGGATCGAATCAGTGTAGTAAGAAAAAGGAATTGGACCTTCTTCGAACATAAAAAAAATACAAAGCAGACGAGCTCCGGTTTTTTTCAGTGCTTCACATGTATCATCGAAAATGTTGGTCCCGTCTTCTTTCAGAAAGAAGCCATAGAGGTAAGTCGATACAAATGCTTGCGAAGCTGCACAACGCCACAACAACTATAACAAACATCTGAAGAAATATAAGAAGTCAAGCAATATAGTGCTTAGCCCATGCCAACAACAAATCAGGATTAAAAAAAAGGCTTAGAAGGTAAAGGTAGGAAAACGGAGAAAAACACTCAAAGAAACCGGGCTCCGGTCAAACAACATGTATGGACATATTTGCGTCAAAGAAAACAAAAAAGCGGCATTGACGCTGCTGTCTGGAGACACAAATCTATAAGTAACCTTTAGTTCCCTCATATTGATTCGTGCGTGGGAACTTCAAGGTGCGTAAACAGATGAATAAGCAAGCGTACTCGTATATTCACGATGAAGTTGACACATATCTTCTGTCGTCTTCTAGCTACGTGGCGACCAGGGCGCAGCTTCAACGCGCGTCGCGAGGCAGGTTGGGCACACGATTTCTGGGCGACTGTCCAGACTGGCACTTCTTCTACAAATACTGCGCAAACGATCGCAATGTGCGATTGCAATTGTTCTCCCGCGGGCACGGCCCTTGTTGCACGCAATCGCGGGCATCTTTATAACCGCGCGCGGGCAAGGGCATCAAACGCGCGCAACGTAGGCATAAACGATATGGAGGATATCCCCAGAGTCTGAAAATGTCTAGATAACTTTTTCGAAACCACCTTGATGATGTTGATCGTCGATGACGAAGACCGAACACTTTTCTTCATCATTCAGAGAGGGAGAGCTGTATCACTATCATCTACCTGAATACATTTCCTAGGAATGCAATGTGGTAGTCACTCGTCATGTTACGTCGCTGACGCGATCACTTGCGATCCTCGACTTTCTTGAGTGCTTCCCTCGTTGTCGTTGTATAAAGGAGAAAACCAAAACCTGATGAAAATCTTGAGGTACTACAACGTCTCCTACTATTGAATTTCGCTCAACATCCTGCAACGCTTACGACGTACAGCGTACTGCTGCAACTAGATGAACACAGCGAAGATTTTCTTGACAAACCAACGTCGCTGACGTTTCTTTGCTGTCTTCACATTTGTTTGGTTCTTTGTCCAGCAGCAGCACTCTTGGTGAAGCAGAAGCAGAAGGTGACTAAAGCTTACATTCATCCCAAACGAGTTGGTTGCAAAGTGCAAAATTCGGCAGAGGCTATGGAGCAGGTATGGGTGTACGGGTGGAGTGGCAGTGGCTGCAGGTTCAATATAAATATGAATGGGACGCATCGGCAAAGTAAAGATGGTTTCCTACGATTAGAAGGGTATGCATCGCTTGAGCAATAGCATGAGTCTTTCTATTATTTCTTTTACCAATTGGCCAACAGATGACAACTTTTACAGATACTACAGTATCTATGTATAATAAGATTCGCTTTAATAGTTCATTCTTATGCTAGTATGGAAAAGCAGGCAAACGGTAGGAGATCGTCATGAAATCTTGCATAGGTGAAGGATCGTTAGGTTTCCAACTTTAGTGTAAGAGTAAGACGTGGTAAGCTAAGCTTCTAATCAGTTGTGGTTTTACTTGTGGATGTGGACCAGACAAAAGCGAATTGAGTACGACTCGTTGTTATTCTTTTGCACCTCCTAGTCCGAGTGACCTTCCGTCCACTGGGGATGGATACGACTGGAGCTTGACAAATCGCAATTGTAGGGAGGAAAGGAGCACTAAGCTGCTGCTCATGGCCATCGCAGTGCCAGCCACCAGTGGCGGAACGGAAAGGCCGCAGCAGGTGTAGAATACCCCAGCAGCCAAGGGCAACATGAGGAAATTGAAGCAGAATGCCCAGAAGAAGTTTCTTTTGATGGTCCACATGGTCTTTCTCGCTAATTGCAACAGTGGCACGAGCGTTTCTGACAGCTCTTCGCGCACAAGAACAACGTCTGCCGCGTGGACAGAGACGCTAGCTCCACACCCGATAGCCAGTCCAGCGTCGGCGGTAGCCAGAGCAGCCGCGTCGTTTAGTCCATCGCCGACGAAGAAAACGATACTGCGTTTTTGCTTACTACTTCCTCCCCCAACTCCGATCTTAGTCAATGAGGATACCGCGTCGCTGCCCATGACATTGAAGAAACTCTCGCCGTCGTTTGGATCATCTACAGAACTTGCCGCGCCAGGGCTTTCTCCCATGGCAATTTGTCCGGTTGTTCGACTTACTTGCTTGTTCCTCTCGTGGTTTTGTCCACCCTCATTGCTATGATAAACTTCTGTGGTGGCCGTCCCGCTCGCGGGCCTCCTACTTGTTGGTCTCGGCAGAGCTTGCAGCTGCTTGACGAAGGCAACTTTATCCTGCGGGAGGCACTCCGCACGTACGTTCTGGGGATAAGCTATCCCGACTTCCTGCGCCACGCTACGGGCGCATTGCTTTGAGTCACCTGTGCACAGGTAAACTTCAGCGTGGAACTCCGCACGCAGTTGTCGTATCGTTGCAGCCACGCCGTGGCGCACACGATCTGCCACAGCGACCCACCCTGCCGGTTCCTCGTCAATCGCAACATAAACCGTGGTCGTGGAGGAATTTTCCACCTCGAGGTAGATCTCCATCTCGTTCGTTGTAGACGCGGTCGATGTTCGGGTAACTACGCCTGATTGATCTGTAGAAGGAAGCGGAAGGAGCTGCATAAGTGCACCTGCTGCTGAGCTGGACGAAGACGCAGAAGGATCAATGGCGCCATCTTCAGTGTTTTCATTGTGATGTTGTTTTTCCTTGATGAATTTAGCGCTCCCGATCTTGACATCGCGCCAAACACCGCCTCCGGGCGTGATTCCGGCACCAATTTCTGGCCACGGAAAGAAGACTTGGCCTCGAATTCCGCGCCCTGCTATATTCTCGAAATTTCTGATGATTTCGCCACCCGACAAGAACGAGGCGCAAGCGGTGGTGTAAGTGTCTTCCTCGCCCCGACCGTCGAGCACGCTTTGTAACTCTCGTTTGGCGTGTGCCAAGAGAGCAACAGCGAGCGGATGCTCCGATTTCTGCTCGAGCGCACAGACAGCATGCCAGACATCGCGGTAGCAGTCGGCTTCCTCTCTTATGGCGACCTCACCAGCAGTGTCCACCGGGCGACCAACCACGGTGGCTTCACCGGCTAGCTTGAGTTTTTCCTTAGATGTAGAAGCCTCCGTAGTCGTTGCAACATCTGGTGAATAAGACGCGACGCCTGTTCGCACCACAATGCCCCTTGATGTGGACGCGCCTGACGACGCAGCGCTGACACCTCCTGCCTTCTCGTCATTGGGAGTTGTTGGTTGAGAGCCTGAGCCTGACAAGTCGTCTGTTGCTTGTAATTGTTGTGGGGCTGGTACCTCTGTTTGGGGCAAAGTTTCTTGCGCTCCTCCACGTGGAGTTGAAGCCCCGAATTCGTACGCCAGCAGACCATGTGATACCACTCGGCATTTGCCCTCGGTTATTGTCCCGGTCTTATCTAAGACGATGCGAAGCCCCGTCCGTGCGCCGGTCTCTAGAGGCTGGGCGGCTTTGAGAAACATCCCACGTTCTGCGGCAACACCAGTCGCGACCATTATGGCAGTCGGGGTCGCCAAGCCTAGCGCACACGGGCACGCCACAAGCAGAACGGCGAGTCCGAACTTCAAGGCGAAGAGAGTATCAAACGCGTAAAGGAAGAAACCGTTCATGCCAACTTCGTCTGCCATCGTGTGCGGGTGTCCGTCTCCGGTTGTGGAAGAGGCAGTATGCGTTGAAGATGTCGCTGCTGATAATGTTCCTGATGATGTTCCCGAACTACTGCTACTATGACCACTATGAGCCGCGCTGGTGGTAGGCTCAGGTGAAGCAACGTGCGCATCTGCATTCGAGGCAAGCATTTCGCCCTGCATACCTGCAGCTTCCGGTGACATCACGTCTGGGGACGCAAAAACCACGACTAGCCACGTAATGGTGGTTATCAGACTGAGTAGCATCACGGCAGGCACGAACTTGCGGGCAATTTTGTCCGCCATGCGTTCGATTTCAGGCTTCGTGGACTGCGCCTCGCGAACCATGGTTGCGATTTCCGCTAGCACCGTTTTGCTCCCGATGCGCGTCGGCTCGAGATAACACGACCCTTTCAGCAGAAACGAGCCTGCATAAAGACTCTGTCCCTCCTCCCTGACTACGCCGCGACTCTCACCAGTCAACAACGCCTCATCGACAGTCACCCGTGTCGTCGAAGAGCTGCTTCGTCTAGAATGAGAGCCATTGGAAGAAGACGAAACAGTGCTAATAGAGGCGGCGGTGTTGTTGCTCGCGAAACCACTTCGAGACGCTCCTGAGGTGATTACGCCGTCCACTGGAATCCGGTCACCGGGTCGTAGCAAGATGCGATCCCCATATTGTATCAATTCCAGAGCCAAGGACTTCGTCCTTCCTGTTGTTCCACTCATCAGCATACGAGCGGTATTGCGCGCATCTTTGGAGCTTTTTTGTTGCAGGAGCCGCTCGAGAACGCCGACCTGAGTGGAGAATATGTTGACAGAAAATTAGGCAGCTCCAGCTGCTAGTACGTAGTCGTAAGTAGTAGCCTAGTGGACGAGTAGTTCTTCGAAATTTAACTTTTATTCACGTGATCGAAAAATACCGTTCGTTGTTTGCTTCTGACCTCGAGATATTTTCCTCCCAAAAGCACCGTTATGAGTGTGGTTGGTGCCTCGAAGAAATGCGGCGGTGGCTGACTGCACTCAAGCTGGAAAAAGGATGCCGCGATGATCGCAATCGCGAGGACCAGCATCGAGTACGCGTAAGAAATCGTGGCTGCCAAACTTACCAAGACATCCATATTTGGCGTGCGATTGCGCCAGGCCTTTCGCGCGCCGCGATGAAACCGCGCTCCGAAGACAAACTGGACTGGAGTCGCTAGCAGGATGAAGATGAAGGTCCGGAGGTGCAAGCCAGGAATGATCTGTGTGTTGTTGAGCACGTAATACAACCTAGTGTGCGAAAATTCGTGCGGAAGAACAAAAACCATTCCGAGCATGGCCAGAGCAAAGGGTAGACTCCGGAGACAGTTTTTCTTCAGTTCTTCTGCCTCCAGATCTTCAGGCTTGTTTTCAGCACGAAACCGCTCTAAACGGGCTTGGTTATGCACGATAGCACTGCAAATCTCGCGTCGTGCACGATGCAAGAGGTCACGACCGCCAAGGAGGTGCGGGAAATAACGAATGCAAACAAGCCGATCGGGGTCTGGGGATTCCGCCACGGGCCGTGTTGAGGATGGGGACCCTGCGACAGTAGAGGGAGTTGCATTTGGTGGCAATGCTGAAGAGGAACTCGATAATGGCGCTCCTCCTCCAAAAGCACCAGTCCCATTATCGTGTCGTTCTTCTGCGCCATTGTCGTCTGATGATGAAAAAGTGCTGCCATCAAGATCGTCGTCATTCCAGAAGTTATTGTCAATGTCTGAAGTCTGTTCTGCTGGTTGTTCCGGCTGCTCCTCGTGCTCAGATCCCGACGAGAGGCTTCGCACGCGCAATCTACCTCCTTTCTTTGACGGTAGTGGTCTTCTACGTGCTAGTTCTACAGCGCTCTCTCCCGGCAGGTCATTTACCGTGCATACTCGGTCAACAAGACTTCGCATCACCCGGCTGATGTAACGTCGACCATCGCTGCTTCTTCCCGGTGAACTTCGTCTCCGAATACCAGAAGAAAAAGACGAAAGCGCGCCTGTTTTTCGACGGGGTTTGATCTCGCGGATCGACATGATAGCGTCCGCTGGAAATACGCCATCATATTTACCGCCTACGGCTGATATAGCATCAAGGGTCGCCTCGGCAGGCCAGCCCCACAAATGCAGCTCGCACACCTCATTATCATCGATATCGTCATCACCATCAGGGAACGCCTCTACGTCCACGCCGCTTCCCGGTGCATCCTTGATCGGTGCTTCCTCGTCCGCCCATGTTACCGATTTGCGCCGAATAGGACTCGAGTCTTTTTCTATCTTGTTCTTACTTGTAGACAGTGATTCGCCAGCTCCATCTACAACAAGGAGATCTTTGCTCGTAGCAGTAAAGTGGCGTCCAGCGGGGATCGCAGCAGTTGTAGCAGAGGTTGACGAAGATGAACTAGAATTCTCATGTTGAGGTTCTTGTACTTCTACTATAGCACTGGCACTAGTACGACTTGATGCTGTCGCACCAGGAGCGTTGCTCGTTGAGGGAGCTGCACCACCTGCAATCGCAACATCTTTGGTGACCTCGCCTTCGAAACCGATATCTTCGACATTCTCAGCTAGGTCATTGGCCTTCACGAACGTCGGATCGTAGCTGACTACTGCTTTATTGAGTAGGAGAAGGACGTGCGCTTGCTCAACACCTTTCGTTTTCCGAAGCATGTTCTCGATGGCACTGCTGCAGGCACTGCAGGTCATGCCGCCTAGGCGTAACTCGCATTTTCGCATCATTTTGCGGCAGTTGTGTGTGCGAATTGAGTTCTGTCTTGATGACCGAAGCTTCTTCACACTGGTACTTCCGCAAAATGTTTTGCCGTGGGAAGTTCGCGTTATCGGGTCGACTATCTCACGATGACTAGCAGGTGGACTAAAACCACGTCGACGAAGAGATACTCTGCTGCTTGTGCTGCACTCTATCGAGGTACTGGTGGGACTAGTAGCTTCCGCTGTGGGGGATTTCTGCGTTTTTTTCAACAGTGGTGTCGTCAGGTAGCATTTACGACCATTACTTTTAGCAGAAGTAGAATTTTCCAAGATCTTGCGAACGGATGTGGTCGCCGCATCCCAGAAGTTTCGAAGGGCTGAGTGCTGCTGAAGGCAGATAGAATTTCTCGATACATCGCTGGTTCTATTTTCCAGAACTATGCAGCGTTGAGAAGTTGGCGATGAGGCAGGGTCATGATGCAGCTGCGGAGTAGTGGCTTCACGTTGACGCACAACATCCTGGACATTGTCTGCTGGAATCGGAGCTCGCTGAGACGTGAATGTCAGGTTGCGCTTTTCAACCATGTCAGCTGCACTTTCCTTCCTAGCCTCACGTGCAACGCTTCAGTTGTACAGTCATCGTGGCATAAAGATAAAGCTCTTGGTATCTACCCTCCAACGATTTTGTCTAATTACGTCTTCAGAAAATTGCAACAAATGAGCAGCATAATCTATGACGTATGACATTGCAACACTTGCATAGGGGGGAATCCAATGGCTGTAGCTGTTCAAATAATACTATAACGGAAGTCCTTTTTTGTCGTTTCAGAAACCGCGATACAAGGCTGCAACATGCTACGACTAAGAAAGCAAACCAATGAAGCAATAAAGGGCAGCGGGCGGGGGGAATTTTCGCCTTCTAGTCATCAACATTGCAGACGCTACACTGCGGTACCTGTTTTTTGAGGGAAGAAAACCGACACATCGGTCACTGTCAGTAATACAGACAGGAGGACAATGATACTTCATATTTCTCTCTGGCCCTTCAGTTTCAGCGGCACAAGTGAAATAAGTAGCATGCATCTGTCAACAAAAATGTCAGGCGTGTCACAATCAATCGGTCTCTCAGGTTTATTTAGCTGAACACACGCTAGCACGAAGGATTTTTCCTCCTCTTCTCCTCGTTTCGAATGAGCCTCGCTTGCTTGTGGATACATGGCTTTTTTGTCCAGACTATCGATTTCCTAATTATGATCACACCAAGCAACTACACAACTATTATACTGTGAGGCGCGTGCTTCACGAGAGAAGCTAGTTCTCGGAACAATTAGGTTTTGAGCGCCAGTTTTCGCTTTCGGACCACAATATTTGATTCATGGCGACTTTACTGGAGTACTTATGCACATTATGATCGTCTTTTCTCTACTTCGTCTTCGCGGAAATCTCTCCCGTATCCTTTAGAGTCTTTCTTGCAGCTAGAACAGCGAGGGCCACAAAGGCAGAGGCGACGAAGCCCGTCGCAGGAAACCCGATCTCTTGCAAGATGTAGCCGGCTACTGGCGGCGCCACGATCCCAACGGCCGATCGCACAGCGTGCCTGAGAGCGATAGCACTCCCTTGTTCCTCCGTCCGAGCGTGGTGCGATACCAGACTTGTAATCACGCAGAATGAAAGGGGGGACATGGAGGGCTTATTGGGAACACTCCGGAGAGAGTAGATTAGACAAATTGAAGACTTGGTAGAGGAGAAAGCCTAGCAGTAGTGGCATCTGCCTCTCCTTTGGAATTACAGTTTATTGACATAAAGTGTAGATGAAAGCCGACAGCACCGACACCGGAAATAGGACAAGAAGGACTTGAACCTTCGTCGTCGCGTTCGCGTATACCGCGAGAAGAAAGACTATGCAGAAAGTCGCGTACTCGACAGCTTTCGCCTCCCCGAGCCATCGAATTGGAGGCTTTATCAAAAAAGTGTTCACGACGATGCTTATTGCGGCGTAAGCAGACATTACCATCCCCATTTCGCATGCCGGAAAGTCAAACTTGTCTATCGCAGCGACGGAAAAGCTGCTCTGTTGCACTTGAAAGCCGACGGATAACAGAGTCGTATACACCAAAACGGCTCGTAAATTATCGTGGTCGCGCAGAAGATGGAAATAATTACGTAAACCAAACACGTCAGTTCCTCCCGTAGAGGTCTTCACTTTTGAGGTTGATGCTTTTTTGACACTACCAGAAGTCGACGCTCCCGAAGAAGAGGTCTGGCGTTTAGGCGTTACACTGCGACCTCTGCCGGCTCTGGAAGTGCTGCTGCTGCGCCTCAGTGGTTTAGATGACGAGCGTGCTGAAGATCCGTCACGCTTGGTACCTCCTCTAGTGCCCTTGATGTCAGCTGCTTTTGCACCCAGCCCTGCGCCGCTTGTTGCACCCGCACTAGCCGTGCTCTCGACGTCCCCGAGGCAGAAGACGTTCATCACGGCAACGGCCATACTAAGGGCAAAGGCCAAGAGCGCAACGGCGTGAAAACCGAATTGTTCTGCTAGAAAGCCGCCGAATAGTGAACCAAGGACCATCCCTACACCGTAACTGAGCGCTAGTCTGCCCAACAATACTGCGGAAGACTCCTTCAGTGACTCAGAGAAGTCCATTATCTCACGGCTTTGAGTACTTTTTGCCTTCAGAACAAGTTGCTCCTGCTCAAAAAGAAGCAGCTTGGGGACGTAAGATTGAGCTACCTGCATACATTGCTGGAGGCATGTGGGCAATCTCGAGAGAAAAAGGACCGCTGTGTGAAACGAGAGCCCGAGAAAAAAGTAACTGGCCGCAGATCCGAGAGTCGTAACCACCATCCCGAACCTTTATTCAGTTGAAATTGAAAATCCAAATTCATGATTACGCAAAATACAGCAAGAGCATCATGAACATAAGTACTTACCATGATGTTAGCGCGACGTCAAAGGTATCCATGATGCCGTTGAAATTCATCAAAAAGCACAAACAGCGTATTTTTAACCTAGAGAATGGCCTACCTCTACTAGCTGCAGGACTTCTGGTTTATTAGTCCCATAATCGCTAGTACCGGGGTGAGTAGACATCAACGTATCTTCCGATTGCCGCACCACCTAGGATTTGCATCACCGATGTCACAGTCTGCAAGTAGCCGAATGTTATGGCGTCAGCGCCCAAGGACTTGGAGAGGTAAGGCAACACAGGTTGCGTGATCCAGTAAGCGAAGGCATAGCTTATGATGTTCAGATGCACCAACACTAGCGGCAACAGTGTGCGATTCGAAACGCTCCGACAGTAGGCATCATCACCTGCAGGTGGCAAACCTACGTATGAAGCGAGCAGCCCACGAATCCCGGAATAGCCTCCACGCGGGGCGCTGACGCTAACTTTGCTCATCTTCTTTGACGCCGACATGATCTGGTCTTCTCAGAAATAGGGCGGCAGTAAGTATTACAAACCGAGGTAGGACAAAAAAGTTGCGCGGAAGGAAGAACTAAAGGATAGAACTTCAGCGTTTTGCAAGTGCCAGCGAAGCCGTGGTTAATCGAAGCTGCTGCGATGGATCTGAAGAGAGGCACAGCTTGATATGATATAATTGGTTGGTTTGGAGGTTTGATGTAGATAAGTTGAGTATTTGACTTCTAGTTAAGGAGGAGGATAGAAGATCGGGGTTCTGCTGCTGGTAGCTGCGTGGCTTGCACCCCAAGCCACGCGAGTCCGGGCCGTCTGCTGCCTCTGCCACTAGCCTCCTCCACTATCTAATCAAAAACCCTAATCAACTACTCAACTGCAACTAGAAGAAGTCATGTCTCAAAATCAAATATATGAAGCTCCATCGATCACCGGTTCCACTTGGCTGGCTTGTGCCCCTGTCTTAAGCACCTTGCCACTTCGTCCCCCGCAACTTCTACTTTTTTGTCCTCGTTGGATTTGTAATACCTACTCCCGCCATAAGAAATGTTGACTGAGTACAGGTAGTAGTATCTGTCTCTTTGCGAGCTCCTTGTATAAAGCCGCTCTGATAGGCTTAGGAACAATAAATCCGCAAGCGCAAAATATTGGATCTTCTAGTTCTTACAGAATGGAACGGCCTACGAGGATGGATGGCTAGAATTATGAACATCTACGCAGCTTGAAATCGAAGCTTGGTGAAAAGCGTGGATTGAAATTACTTCGGGATACGTAGGTACGCGAGCGTGTAGCACTTTCAAATAACCCACGGTTTTAGATGCCAGTTGTTTCTTTTATCCTTTCTCTCGCAAAGGTAGTTCGCTCCTCTCGTTCTTGCCTCAAAACCTCAAGGGGCCACTGTGCTTTATGAAAGTTGAACATGCAAAATTACTTTGCACCTGTACGTTGTTCCTGCTTATAGAGAGAAGTATGAGATCTTCGAACCATTCAATTGAGCGATTTTATACACACACCGCTTCATGCATCAGCAACGAAAACAAAACTGCAACAAGATTAAGAAGAACAGAGACGGAGTTTCAGGTATTTATTGAGGTTGCGAATGAGTGTGCGCAGGAAGAGGAGTTTGTTTTTTGAATAGACCGAATCAGCTTTTCTTCTTGCTCTGCAGCTGGTCTCGTTCCATTGCTTGGAGCTTCTGCTTGTCTGCCCAATTTTTACACTCATCACAATACGCAACGTATGAGAAACACGCAAGAATGACATTCACGCTAAATACTGCGACCACTGCAGATATAATCCATTGCGAGTCACCATCGAGGGAGATAAGAGTTGCTGCCAAAGCTGCTTGAGTGAGGTACCTGATCATTCAGATATTAAGCAGTGATGTTGACATGAGAGTGCGCCAACTGTTGTAGTTCATGAGGATCGATGAACGGGCCAGAGGACGAGTAAAATTCTTCCTGTGTTGATGGAATCAAAAGCTTAGTCAATACATGACACCCACTGGTACGGTGAAGAGCAACGCGGACACAGTGAAAAGGACGTTTTTGACGCGTATATTTTGATCAGCGAGAAGCAATGTACGCATACTTGCAGGTGTATACTTCGACCAAAACTCGTCGGTCAACTTCTGAATCTCTGGTGGCAAAGGTGGCTTGTTGGGGTTCATGTTCGTCGCAGCCGCCACGTCCTTTTTCATCGTGTCATGCATGCTTTTTAGTTCCTTCTGCTCTGCTGGGACTTCAGGTTGTTCATCTTCTTTTTCATCCTGATCCCTCACCGTGGGACAAGATGAACTTGATGCGCTGGCTTTCCTTGCCGCGACGAGCTCGTCGACAGGCGGCAGTAGTCGGAGTGTAGCAGGAGACCGCATTTTGACCAATAAGCGACGTGTTCACCGGTGTAGCAAGAAAAAAACTCGGACTATATTGAAATCGAATTAAGAAAAACTGGTATCTCAAGGGTCCTAAGGCGAAAGAGTGCCAGATATGTATTCAAAAAACAAGAATCAATATTCAAGGCATAGACAAATAGTTCTTTGCTCCTGGGCAGGCAAAACTTCTACTACCCAAGGATCTTCAGTGGATAGAGCCGACGCGATAGAAGGCAAGCCATCCAGAACCGTGAAGAGGAACTTCGTCCAGTGGTCAGCGTATACAAATGAAATCTTCACAGATGTATCGTCGGAGAAGAAGGCAATGCAGCTGGACGCGGATGCTTTGAAACGACGAACACAATTATCATAAGATGAGTACTATCACCACCACGGTTGTATCTTGTGGGTGACATCTTTTCTCTTGGCGTGTCATGCTTCGTTTTCGCCTGACTCAGGGGTAAACTTTCCACCTTTTCTAAAATCCAAGATCCATCTGTGCATTGATTCTGAAAAATACTTACACAGCGTGCATTCTGTCGACGAGGTCTATCTCTCTACGTATTGAATAATTCTGTATACGCAGCGTGCGACTGTGAAACAAGTTAGACGAGGATTACAAGCAAATCGTTCGCCTACTCCACTAATCAACAGGGGTCATATACTGAGCAGCGGCACCAAGCAGACCTGCAGCAGAACCAAGCCTCATCATCTGAAGTGCGTTGTCGTAAAAGTCTGACGAGCTGCTACCAAAGTCAGGTGGTTCACTACAACAACCGCCGCTCTCATCAACCTCTACGTGGCTATCTGAATTAAAAATGAATTCTTTCGGTCCATTTCTACTGCTGCTGCCTTCCACGACGTTGCTGGCGGTATTCGAATCTGCCACAGACGTCTGTGTCGACGTCGAAGGAGCATGGGAAGCTTCACCGCTATCCTTTAGGACGTCCTCGGGCGCGAATACAACTTCAGTGTTGTTGACCTTGTTTTCCGTAGAGGTAGACGAAGGGTCCTGGCTAAGGTTAACATTGGTACCCGCATCATTTTGCGGGACCGACGGTGGTGTCGCTCTCGCCGGTCCAGCTGATGCTGGCGCTAATTGAACCTCCGCTACCGATCTCCCAGTGGGTGTTGCTGTGGTTGTACTTGCCGTTGACGCAGATCCTCCGTTTGCCTGTAATATGGAACTTTTACCAGCAGACGAAGAGGATGGAGCATTTATGGCGGCTAATTTCTTTGCTCTCACCGCTTGATGTTCTAGCTGAACCATGCAGGGGCCCACGTTGATCCCCTGCCTCCAAAGTTTTTGGTGTGTGTTGTCGCAGTAGGGAAATCGCAATGACAGCCAGCAGCGACAAACGACCATGCGTTCACGACTCGCTACATTAGGCAAAGACGGCTTGAAAACTTCATGCACTTGTGGGTATCCGAGTACGTTCAAGATTTCACCGGCAACGCGATCAGGACCAACCTTGGCACCTCTCCCGACACGTGCGACAAACTGTTCACTTACTATGTTACTTACCTGCTGCGATGCGTTCGAGGCTGACCCGCTCGTGGAGCCTACAACTCCACCCATACTTTGTTCAGGTGACAACTATACTTTCAAGTAAGGAGATCATACAGAAGCAAAACGATAACATGCATTCGAACATGGAGTGAACGTTAGTGGAGGCCCAAACAACTAGTAGAAGTGGAACGTAGAATGGCGAATGTAGTGAATAAGAAATGGTGGAGTCGAATCAATCGGATTGATTCTGCTAAGAACTACCGAATTTTTTTTTGGCCCGACTCCGCGGTTTTCTAGTCATGCCCTTTCGCAATCCAACACAGACCATGCCGTCGTCGGTTCGGAGAGTCGTGGATGTTCTCCACCCTGGCTTCATGTCGACGAGCAGTAGGATCGAGACTCCTCATCGCCGCTGCCGGTGCAAAAAAAAGTTTTGTCTGTGCAAAGTCTGTGCTCGGGTTTCTTTCCTTGCATGGTATACAATAAAGTAAGTGTCTTTCCATTGAATCAATGTCGATGTTATTCATAATCTTATTCGCGCGCGCAACCGGTGTTAAGTTTGCATCGAAAAAATGTAATCTGAGTCGACGGCGTGACATTGACGGATAGAAATGAAACTGGACGTATTGCCGTTGGCGCTTCTCTATAACTCAAGCAATCGCTTCTGATTTCTAGGTTTGGAATGTTGGCGTGCTTCTGCTTCAGCTTCAAATGAAGCACAAATAAATATGTAACTACTTTCTCAATCATTTTTGTACATCAACAGCTACAATAGAGGGGTCGTTTCTTACATCAACAATGAGGGCCAAGAATCGTCTGCAGAACGATGAGGGGTCCTTTGAATATACATGAAATACTACACGTCGTTATGAAAAATTATGACGAACAAGGTCGTGTACAGGTACATTTTCTTCACTATGTGTCATTCGGTGTACAGCATGGAGTCAATGTCAAAGGCGAGCTGCCAATGTAGCCAAAAGAGATCGTAGAGTCCAAAATTTCATCGTAGGGTAAGAAGAAACGATAACCGGTTAGCGGTAGGCAAAACATCACGAACAACTGAAGACACTATACGCTAAATATCTATGTCAAAGAAACTGGGACGAAGGTACAGGTAGAAATCTACTTAACGAAGGCGGGTTCGGGTACCTCTACAAAGCTTCACCTCTTTTATGCAAAGTTGAATCTCTGCAACTCTGAACACGAAGTTTAGTGCAACGAGCTGCAAATATCCAAAGAGCACGTAGGACAGGTTCCGTTGGTCGTAACCCACTCTTCGACACATGCAACATGGAAAGTGTGCAGACAGGGCATGCGCACCACCAAATCTTCTGATTCGAAGTCCTGCGGATGGTGAAAATGATGTCCTTGTGATAATAAGGATGACGCAAACATTGTAAGCATGCATGCTACAGTTTTGCAGTTATTTATCTATCATGACCATAATTCATCTGGAGCTCGTTTGTTTTTTTCAAGACGAGATGTTACAAGGTACTATTGGATGACATAATCATCAATGGGCAAAATCAACATGAAAACGAAGTAAGCTGCTCTAGTTATTTTTTAAAAATAGTGTTAGTGAGTGGTACCACGAGGCATAGAACGCACTCTTTTGGCGCGGACCCTCCCTGAATGTAGGGTGTCCTTGGAAGCTGATTCCAGACATAGTCCCGCTCCGTTTGTCTCAACAATGCTTCAAGGTCGTCTGTTTGATTCTTCTTCGCTGATTGACTACCGTTGTAAAGCGACTGCGTAAAGCTTGTAGTCTGTTGAATGTCTGGAGATATCGGCGTCTCGTCAACCCGCAACTCATCTAGTCTACTCCGTGAAACGCGGCGTCTACGTGCCCGTCGGCCAGAAGGACTGTTTGAGGAGGAGGATGGCCCTCTAGTTGGCTGACCCTGACGAGACGCGGAGGAAGAAGTGCTTGCGTACGCGTAACCACCAAGCACCGCTGAGCTGGAGGTTGATATGGCGCCCTCAGCAGGGACAGGGAGGCGTCCAGGTCCACTACTGCTTGAAGACGGCCTCGAAGGCGATGTTAGAGGGTTCGCCCCACCTCGATTACCATTACCGCTTCCTCGTCCAGAGGGCGAAGAGGACGCGTTCTTCGCGGAGCCACGCGCGCCTACCGCGGAAAGCATGGCATGTACAGAACTCGCGAGCGCCTGCGACGAAAAGGCGAAGGCCTGTGCAGCGGCTGCAGCAGGACTGGCATTCCCACGACTGTCTCTCCGACCTCCGATGTTACTTTGTTGATGATTTGTACCTGTACGCCTAGTCACAGCCAAATCGGTATTCTTGGAGTTGGACTCAGGGTCCTGATGATTCATCCGCTGACAACTCTCAGCTCCCGAATGTTCTCGACTCGCTGGTGGCGTGGACAAGTTAAGTGGTTCCGTAGGACGGCGTCTACTAGTCGGACTTTTTACTGATTCTTGTCGGGGTGGATCACCTGTTCCCGTACTTCTACTCCCTGCAAGCGTTTGTGTGTTGGGATTTGCAGGTGCAATTGAAGCAGGCGTTGTGCTAACTCCCCTGTTCTCTGTCGTAGATGACGCAGCCACACGTGCTGAAGCTAATGCTGTTTCTGACGTAGTTTCATCAGGTAATTCATTCTTTCTTCTACCTCTTGGTCGAGTTTCATCGTCACGCTCGAGATCTAAACTTCTAGCTTCATGATCTGCTTCTGAGCTTGCAGGAATCTGCACCGTGCCACCCCCTGCATCGTCCAGGGAAGCGCGTTCCGCACTCTCTTCTGCTAACGGATCTGTGACACTAGCAGGCTGCCTGTCTTTTGTTTTTGGTCGCCGTTGTCGTGTCGCACTCCTTGGGTCTAGAAGATTCGACTTCTGACTTCTCGCCGTATAACTCTTCCGCGCCTTAGTCAGCAGTGCAATTGGTAACCGCACAGTTGTTATTCTCCCTTCTTCTGTTCTTACTGGTGTCGATATTTTGATCGTACTCGTGTCTTCCGTGCTGGAAGAGGGTGCCACCTTTTCTGACCGCTCAGAACCGACGAGGAGCTCCGCTTCGCAGAGGTATTCAGCCTGGTAGACGCGAACCACACGCACGGAAACGGCGGCCCGGAGTCCGCTTAGGTGAAAAACATCTCCAGCTCGTAGCTCGTCTACCACCACCTCCGAAGCCTGTTTGCCACCACACCATCGCAGCAGGTGAGGTGGTGGCCACGGCGACGACGAGGAAGCCGAGATCGTGGGAGCCGGCATGTGCATTAAGCGCTAGCTTCCCCACTTTAATGTGCTTCCTTCTTTAAGATAGCATTAGATTGTCTCTGAACTTGAGTTACTTAGATTCTTTGCTGGAGCCAAGTGAAGCTGGCATCGACAAGCATATCGCAAGAACAATCCGTGCAGTATCAGCAAGATTCTGCTTCTCTTATTTGCTTCAACACATTTCTCACTCGTAGCTACTGCGTTAGCAGGGCCCTCTTTACTTTCACATTCTCTGCCATGAGTGGCGAAACTGCTCTCTTTGTATCATACTTCCTATCATCAGCTGTGGCAAACCCATATGAGCCTTTAAGGTCACACTTCTCAGGTAGTACCACGACTGGAGTTCTTGCTCTTGAATTACTGATACAGACTGAAACACACCCGTTATATCAGCAAGAGCAACATCTCTTCTTGCCGTTCAAACGTGGGTGCATGCCCGTCTAGGTCTACGCACTCTGACTTCATTAATAGTGAGAAATTCAGTGGAAGACATTGGAAAAAATCCTGTCTTGGATGATTCACGCCTCCTCATTCTTCAACAATCAATGTAAAGGAAACAAGAAAATGCAGCGCTTAGACTTCTATGACATGATTGACATCGACGTCGCAAGATTTTGACATGGTCGGGCGACATGCAAGCGGAAGCGCAAGGCACTTTGAAAATCTTATGGAGGAGGAAACTGAAAGAGGACCACTCAAGGTACAACATCAGAAGTTTCTGGATCGTCACATCTGTTAGTCAATCCTGTAGAGTAGAAGAGAAGAGTTAGAATCAATCATCATTATGTCGAAGCAGATGAATGTAAATCTGCTTATAAAATCAATTTCACATCACCTGCCGTGTAAAAACTTCACCACACAGTTCAGCTCCTTTCACATCAGGTTGTGAAAAATCACAAGAAATAACTACAATCGTGTCAAAGACACGTTTTTTGATCGATAGGGTAATCCTTCGTTCGCTGCTAGTCTAGTACAAGAATGACGTTCTGATGAACAAATCCATGACCACATTTTTCAGAAAGAAGCTGTGCACGAGGATGACGGGAAAACTTAATTCATGAGATGCACAATGAGGATGAGGAAAGTGAGAGTTGTAAAACGAAACTGAAGATAAGAAACAGGTGATTCCTCTGAACACGAGGAGCAGACAACTATTACACAGTGCGCATTTCTCGTAGTTGTCTATTCCTTGACGTACTTCTTGTTCTAGACTCCTATTTCAATTTCTGATTCTGGTTCTACGGATTCCCAGCTTATTAATTGCAAGGAATTATAGGAAAGGAAGTTCGCGTAGGAAAAACGTCGAGACGTTCTATCTGATGATCCCTACGAGGGCCGCGCAGATGAGTCTCCGGATGGCCCCGGCCCGCCTCCGCTCTTCGAGGATGAGGATGGATCGTCTTTGTTACTACTTCCTTTGTCATCAGCAGGCCCTTGATCGTTCTTGGCCTTTTTCCTGCGTCCTCGTCGAGGACCAACGCCTTTGAATTTCTTCGGCTGGCCCTCTTCGTCGCTGCTCGTGTCAGATGACCCCTCTGACTCCGAACTGGATTCCCCGAACTCTCGGGGACGGTGGTAGATTCAGCATTTTTTGGAGCTCTTTTTGCCCATCCCTTCGTTGTCGATTACGGAGTCATCCCACGTCACGTGCATATTCGGAGCCGGCGGTCGCAGTTGCAGGTGCAGCACTGGTGGTCCCTCTACTACAACCTGCGTCGCCGAACCCTGGTTTGCCGCAGCCATCTGGTTGAAGGTCGAACTCGAACTGCCTCCACCGGGACTCGTTCCACCTGTTCCTCCTCCGAATTGCGAATTGTAACTGTTGGTATGATACAAGCCACCCCCTCCTGGAGAAGAAAGATTACTAGTATTGCCTCCTCCACCTGCAACAAGACTAATGCTACCACCGGCGCCTCCTGTTGCGCTACTAGTTGTACCGCCAATCATCCCAGACCCGCTGAAGAAGGGAGTGTTATTCATGCCACCGGGACTAGTGCTTCCGGCACTGCCTTCTATAGCATTGCTGCTGTAAAAATTAGCTCCTGCCATGCTGCTGTGGTGCGTAGCAGTAGCGGATGCACCCTGACTCGTAAACGCGGAAGGCGCGGTAGCGGCAGTATGCGAAGTATCGTGGTCGGGAGTACGTGGCCCCCTTCCGTCCATACTAAAAACAACAGCCAAGCTTTAGCTTTTAACACGTTTGCTCTTATTCAATTCCTCCCGTTGCATAAAAAAATCTAGGTGAGAGAGGAGTACTAAACAAAAAAACAACAAAAAACCTGGTGGTCTATGAGTGAGTCATTGAAAGTTTTTGGTGGTCGTCTATCAATGTCTATGGTTTTTTCGTAGGATTAAAGGATTGAGTCAAGTAAGGGTCGTTGGCAACATGTTTTACAACCATGTCGGGAACTTCTATTCAAGAAGTTCAAGGAAAAGTGAATTTGAATTTTGTATATTGAATATTTGAAATTGTTCAGAATTCCCCAGTAACATATCCTTTGCACCTCCGATCGAGAGAAGAGAGAAAAAAATTTATCAGTTGTAGAAATGGAAACTCGCATTTTTAGAAGATCTCCTGGTCTTGTTAGTTTTTCGAAAGATTTCAATTTCTTTCTCCAACTTCAAGTCGTTGCACTCAGAAATTGTATGATCATTCCTGGGTATCGGCGCTGCGCTCATCCTGAAAAAAAATCTCATAATATTAACAAAGATCCTCTACTAGCGGCCCTGTTACGCAGGAAACTTCTTCTAATGCATCACTTTGAGGAAGAGAAATGGAAATTGATTGTGACTGCCATAAAAACAGCCGCTTTTTTCCTGTCATTGTTTGTAAACCTGCTTCTGCAGCAAGCATTCTAAGTCGAATTTTGCCACTTTTCACATTCAGATCCAGGCGAGTCTGCATGGATACCTCGGTTTCTAGTTTTACTCCTGAGCGTTGGAATATGTATATTTAATGTAACAAGTGGATTGTATCGGACTACAAACTTCTGACGTTAAAAAGCTACGTCTAGCGTACTTGGATGCCGCGTCTAGAAAAAACTGAAATGGCCCCAATACACTAAGAAGCACCAGCTACGAATCAAGGGAAGCCAAAAACTTCAGTCTGTTTTTCTTTAATTGTCGTAAGTGCAAGTAGTTGCGTATAAGGAATACTAACGACCACGACCTCCGAACTATCGAGGGAAACTAGCCGGCTAATGTACTTGGTGTGCTTGTTTGTATCAAGGGAAAATCCGTACTCCTTCTCCAAAACCTCAATTTTTGACTTGCTCCCATACGAGGGGCCGACTTTAACTAGCTAATTTAAAGGTTAAGTAGCTAGTTTAGTTTGTTGGTTGTATCGAAGCGATTTCCACCGGATCGAGTGAGGCGGCTGCCTGGAAAGGAGTTTCTTGGTCATGTTGTCTGCGGATCCACCGGGATCCGCAGACGTGAAAAGACAAGAAATTCACCAATTCCAGCAGGTCCCCTCGACCCGGTGCCCAGAGCTTCGATCCAACCTTCTATTTTAACTAGCTACAAAACTACCTAGTTTAGACCACAGCTTGCGCGTCCCAATGCGGGAACTACAAGCAAAAATAAACACTAAGGTTGTGGAGAAGGAGTAAGGATTTCCCTTTGATACTTTGAGTACAAGTAGCTCTCGAATTTCAAGTAGTTACGCAGGCACGCCCACCCATAACATGTTATTCAACTAGTCTGAACATCTGAGTCGTGCTAGAGTCACGGAGTCGGTGGAGAAGATGTTGCGGGAGGCGGAAGCACCAGGCCCGTTGTTGGTAAGTCAGGGCGACGGTCAGCATGTCCGACTGGCATATTATGACGCCGTGAGAAGCTTCCTACGCGAAATGAATGCACATTGACTCCATCTGCACTTTTCTTCGCATCTATTAGATCCTCATTATAAACGTGGTGTCTAAGTCTATATGGTTGTACAAGTACCAATAGTATAGTACATCAAATACAAACGAGAGAAAGTGCATACGAAGCATTGTCCCGCCTAGGCTACTTCATCTCTTTCTATACTTTAATCACAAGACGAAGCATCATACTGACACTTATTACCGCAAAAGCAACAAAAAATGAGTTGAAGTTTCTAGCACACTAAGAAAGACACTCCAAATTCAATCTACACCATAACAGCAGATCCAATCTTTCCGCATCTAGGAAAGTCTTGCTGTATACTTCAGCTTCCGAGGAGGAGGAGGAGGAGGAGGAAGGGGAGGGGGAAGGGGAGGTCCCTCCTGATTTGGGTTCTGCTTTCGGTTTTTCCTGCGATTTTTCTGCAGGCCTCTCCTGCGGTTTCTCTGCAGTCTTCTCCCGCGGTTTCTCTGCCGGCGTCTTCTGCGGTTTCTCTTCGGGTTTCTCCTTAGGTTTTTCTTTCGAGTCTTCCGTTGCTCCGCCCTTAGCTCCGCCTTCCGTGTCCCCTCTTGGTTGCGCGGCCGATCTTGCATTTGCTTTCCCTTTCGCTTTCGATCCCGCCCTCGCTTTGCCTTTTGCTTTCGTTTTCCCTTTCGTTTTTTCCCTATTTTCTTAGAGCCCTAATTAATATCAACTACGCCCGTTCATTTTCATAGCGGTTGTCTGAGTTACAGAGAGAGGGAGAGAGAGAGAGACAGAAAGAGAGAGGAACCCCCGCGGTCTGGGGAGGGCGGCCCCCCGGCCCAGACCTGCCGGCGCTTCTGGCGCGAAGGCTTCCCCTCCGAGCACGAAGTAGCCAGCCTCTGGCCCGGAGGCCTTGCGAATTTGCCCAGGTGGCGCCCCCCTGTGTTTTTGCATCATCCAGCCCGGCAGGTTCCTGCCGCCCAGTTGTATGGCCAGGAGTCTTTGGGCCACACGATGGACCGCGTTGGCGCGGCTCCGCGGGCTCCCCCGGGGTCTCATCTCCCTGCACTGCCTGGCGCAGCGCGGCCCCCATGTTTTTCCCCTGGGTGTGTTGTTTGAGTTACAGTTATAATCAGGAAATCCGCTTTAGACACTGAGGACGAAGGTGTTCTTAGAAACCAGTGCAAGCCATGAAAAAGCATCGACAGTCTTAACCTTTCGCTTTTGGTTTGCTCTCCTTTTTCGCACGCAGGTTTTTTCTTGCAGGCTCATCGACAATCTCAGCTTTAACAGGCGCTGCATTTGTTAGGTGTTCGTCTATACCAACCTACCACTAGGTGCACCCACTGGTTGTGATGCTACGCTGTTCATAATCATGGAGCTACAAGGTAGCAAATCGAAGAAGATATCTCCGAATGGCGCTCATCAAGAAACGAGCGGTTGCGTGCAAAAAAGTCACCCAGACGCTTTTGCTTTTCTCCGAAAAAAATAATCACATGCACATACGTAGAAAGATACCGATAAATTGATTAACCACTCGTAATGCTGCACTAGCAGCTGGCTGCGATCGCGAGAGGACCACTTTCTGGGGAGCCTCTCCAGGACTCATGCACAGGCTGCATAGGTATGTACAAAAACCAGCAATGGACAACCCAATAACCGCCGCGATAAGCCAACATACCCAACGTGGAAGAAGACCCGGAAGACACGCGCATACCGGCTGTGCTGTATTCCTGTCCCCGGTAGGGTCAGATTCCAGCTGTCTTCTTCCAGCGTCAGCGTCGTCGCCAAAGTCCTTCTTAGAAGCTCCAGCATGAACAGTAGTGACAGTCGAAACCAAATTATCCACCTCCAACACTACTATTTCATAAATATCATCGAACGTCGAGTGGGTTGTAGGAAAATTATGTTTATGCTTGAAGATAAATATATAAAGAAGTACGGCATCTGGTGCAATTGCACCTAAAAAATTTAGTGTCCACCGTCGTATAATTGATTCGTTTTCGCATTCGTAGTTACAAAGAATCAGCTGCTAAGGATATCCCTCCCGATGATATTTTCGTTGGAGATTGGATGGCTTTCATAATGAGGTGGAATACGCGGTCCTCTCCCTCGGGTTCTGTTCTCGGTGAGATAAATAGGCGAGGCCTTCGATGTGCTCCTGAAAACGGAAGGGAGGGTGACTCGCCGTACCCTTCCCTTCGAGAATGTTGTTGAGAAATCCGACCGTCATCGTCCACACTAAAAGAGCCAGGCTGATCGCCGTACATATGGGAGACCGAAACTGCGCTCCCGACAACGACCAGCGCTTGAGCTTTTCCTTCTGCTCTAAAATGTGTCGGGTCTATTTCTTGTTGAGGGTCTATTTCTTGTTGACGCACATTATGGTTTTGTCGCCTGTAGTTGTCGCCCGGTGTCCTTCGCTGGGGCCTCCTGTCTCTGCTGGCGCTCCGCGCCGCTGCTCCTCGTCTAGCCGGACCGGGACTAGGGCTATTAGAAGACTCTCCCTGTTGTATTCTATCGTGATCCGACCTGTTGAAAGGATGATCTCTCGCTGAGGGCACCACGTCCTTAGTCCGTCTTCTCCTAAAAATACTAGTGTAATTTTCCCCGTCGGGAGCGGGGGGAGGCGGTAGAACTCGCGCAGATTTCGCAGGCCGGCTGTTTGGCGAGCCACCGTCGACACTCCGCTGCATGCTAGAAGTGCTGACGCTTGATCTTGGCGCCACACTGGCCAGCCTCTCGCGTCGCGCATGTTGTCTCTCCTGCTTCTGCACTACATGCTGCGGACTAAGTGAAGTAGACTCTGCTGCATCGGAAATGATCCGTGGATCCGGAGTCTCTTTTGCCCCTTCTTCCTCTTCGTCGTCCGCCATTTCATTTATTGATGTCTCTTGTCTGGTTGACGTCTGGTCATCTCTATGTTGTTCTCTTGGAGATGTATCATCAAGATTCGTTTTCTGTTCTTCGCGCCTACAACCCTTTTCATCGAGTTTCGTCGAGGATTGAGTATTGGTCCACTCAGGTTGGTCGACATCTGGAGGCCTCGGCGGAGACGAAGAGGAAGAGCCTTTTTGACCTGGCGGGCGGTCTCGTGAAGACGCAGAGGAAGAGACCTCCTGACGTGGCAGTCTGCCCGATAAAGATGAACCAGATCCTGTCTGATGATCTGGATCCCTCCGCGAAGAAAAGGAAGAGGGGGACCCTTCGTGACGTACCGGACTGTGTAAAGACGACGAGGAAGATCCTTCCTGAGCCACGTCCTGCGGGCGATTAAAGCTCCCACCACGACTCCTTCTCCATTCTGGGACTCCTGCAGATAGTTCAGTAGGATTGTTCTTTCCATCTTCGATGCTCCGTGCCTGTTCCTCTACTTCGGAACCTTTGTTGCTGGGGTCATCGTATCTCTGGTACTGCGAGAGGCTTATCCTGGGACTCTGAGAACCATCAACATCAACAGAACTCACGCTTGCATATGCCTCGTCCGTTTCTTCAGATTTCTTAGAACTCTTCGTGCCTTACCTTAAATGATATGGAATCAATGCAATCACTGATAACTCCGCCACGTTCAAAGTATTCATCAAGATTTGAAGAGGCATACCTTGTAGTTGTTATTGTACTTCATAGAAAAAAGATGTAATATCAAACGAAGAGATATTCATGATCTGTCATATCTTCTACAGTCGTCGTGTGCCTTAACAAGCTGAACGTCCAGAACCGCTCGTGCGAAAGCCCTCCGTTTCCTTGTTCGAACTTTCACGTTTCGAGTGGGACTCGGGCTCGAGTCCTCTCCCGCCCGAGGAGAATCCCCTTCAGGTGGACGACTCATCCCCTAGTTTTCGTAGTACAGCAAAAAAAGTCAGAGTTGCCGCCCTTGCCCATCTACATAAATCTTCGCAGTCTGAGGCTGGTGGCGGCCACTTTTTGTTGCGTTCGCACAGCATAAGAGACCAGAAAAGATGAGGACATAGAAAGAGGCATTGGTTTTCATTGTTGAGTGTTAGGTAGAAAAAGTGAATGAACCCCTGATGTTGTGGTCATGTTGTGACTTACACCTAGATGAAGTTTTCTTTTAGGAGGTACATTATCTCAGCTTCTGCGTGTGGTACCCGATGTTCATTTTCAGAAACAATCAGCACCTCATTTTTACTCGTATCTTTCTTTTGCTCGAAAAGTCATCACGATAAATTGCGCCTACGAATCTCAGGGTAAAAAGGACCGGAGGACAACGACTTTCCACAAAAACTAAGACTGATTTTCCTCCCGCACTACGACGACGTATAATAGATGTAGGTAAATCTTGTAAAGGCTTACTTAGTCACATTTGTTAGCAAGTTGGAACTTGTTTTCGTTCTACTTCCATCAAGCGGTGAACCCAATCATGCAAAGCGTTAAATACATATTAATTGCTGTCCTCTTGGTCGCTCAACAACTCCGCCCGGCAGATGATCCAGCGTGCCAACATTGTCCCTCTAGCATCCGACCGACGCAGATTCTCGGACTTTGTATGAGGATTGATCACAAACGGCCACGCTTACTCATCATGTGTTTCTTTTACTTTTCTATTTTTTTGCAACCGACACGATGTTTCCAAAACCGACAGCATTGACTAGCACAAGTGTAGTTTATCAACGAGATATTGTGACGGCTAAATCAGCCTGTTGAAATGTCACTTCTGACTTCTGATGTTGAAAACACACCTGCGCGCTTCAGAAAAGCTGTATGGATTGGACGCTCTGCGTCAGACTACCAGTCTACTCATAGAGCCTGTGAAATTCACTTGCGGAGGATAAAGGAGAAAAACAGGATTGTGATAAAAGAAGCGTCTGGGTGCTCTTTAGATGAGTTTAAGTTTCACGGGATACTAGGTAGAGGAATAATCTCGAAGATGGCTTGTTGTGCAAGCCAACAAGGACGTCAACGAGCAGGGCGACCATGAGGTGCACGTGCATCCAACCAAAATTACAAATAAGAGATGAAGGTTCGCTTTCCACTTCAACATGCCTCTGCTGGTCCCCTGCTGCTTTCCGTCTCGTCCGCGCGAACAAGGCCTGCAGCCATTGTTCGCCATGGATTTTTCTTCGATGTTGGATCTAGCTCCGCACGAGCGTTGTCAAGGTCGGAGCTCAGTGCACTGAATGATACTATATCCTCGCCACGCACCATGACAAGCCCTATCTTTCGCTGCGTCATATTCCCCTTCATCTCTGGGATCTGTTCTCCTGGTACCGAAGACCGCGTTGGTGATACTTTTTCCGCTAATCTCAAAGCTTCATCTTCTTCCCCAGCATCATCTACTAGCACTTCTTTTCCGCCAGAGGTGGTTGTACTAGGACTCCTCAGATCTGCGTGCTCTACGGTATCCATGAGAATCACACTCTCAGAGCTGTCGACGCACCACAGTCGCGCATAAAGAACCCGTCCGTCACGGATCTTTACGCGGACCTCGCGATCCAGCAAATGCTCCAACAGCGAAGACATGGTGTTGACTCGATAGTTTCTGTGTTGTTCCTAGTCACCTCTAACAAGCACAAATGTTCAGCTACTTCATGCCACAATGAAGTGAAACGTCTTCAAGAAACTCTGACAGTTAACTTATTCGTTCATCTTCATTAGATCGTTAAAGTTGATAGACTAAATAGCACAGACTTCATCGTAAATAGTCTGCCTGTTGATTGAACTTCCAGCCGATTGCAACTAAGTACTTGGCCCCCTGTGAAAATTTGGCGGGACAAAATCTTCGTGTTCGTTCTGCATCTGAAATTTAAGAAAGCGGTAAACTTGTTTGTCTCCTCTTCACATTTATCAGGCATTCAACGCCGATCCAAGATTGCTTCTGCGGTTTTCTCGTTTTCTTGAACACCACTTCTAGAAGCTGTAATAAAAAAATCATGGTGATCGCCTCTTTCTGGAACAACTTAGATGCTTGTTTACAACGACCGTTCGACTTCCATCACCATTTTCTATTCTGATATTTACGTCGTCAACATCGTCATGTACCAGAAAGATTCGGATTCATCGAATGAGTAGATCGACGTCTTTTTTGTTTCTTCCCATGATCTCTCGTCGCAGTATTCGAGTCCGGTTCTGCCAGCGCCACTGTTAGCACTCGGTCCGTCCCTCTAGCGCCTCTGTTCCAGGGTCTTCTGTAGGCGTGAGTTTATTCCTCTAAGTGCTCGCCTCACCTCGTGTTGCGCCGCATCCAGAACAGAATTTGCGATCCATCCTGGCTTCCGACTGGTCGCGAAGGATACCTTGCCACGGCACTCCGTCTTGGAGTCGTTCCCATCGGTTGATCCTCATCGAATTCGCGTTCGCGTTACTGGGTCTCCCCATCGAACAATTCGCATTGCTTGCTCTACTCTGTAACAACTGTACTAGAGCCCTTCGCTGTCGGTTCGGAATGATTGCACCAGGGAATAGTAGTCAGGCAATGCTTCCAGACCAGGGGTAAGCGGCGCTGAACGAGGAAGAGGGTGTCTCTCCTCCAAATCAGATGCATGAGTTCCAGGACGGTCTGGCGGCGACAAGAAATCTCGCAGGAATGTCATGGGGTAACGAATCTTATAGGGCAAAATGTCCTCGCCCGGCGCTTCACCCGGGTCAACCAGAAAACTGGTTACGGCGACCGTGCTGCTTCTGCCCGTGGAGGGTAGACGAGAAATCTTGCCAATGCCCGCTTTTTGCTTTCCTGCTTTAGAATAAAGTGGTATCGAATCTCGTCCGACGAACGCGTTCGTTTTCTTGGCCCCAGGACTAGAAACAAATGAGCATGATGTAGGAAAACTTCTCCTCTGTAGTTGTGCGATGACTTGGGGCGTGTCCAAATCCTGTGCAATCTTAGTTGTTGTGATGTGACGCCTGCTGCTCGAACCAGGGACACCACTCACTTCTGCCCGGAAGAAATCACTCTTCATACAACCACCTTGGTAGGGGCTGGTGAGCCCCGGCGAGAAACCCCATGTTACATCGAGCATGGTTCGCGGCGTTCTTCTATCAAGCGACTCGTCTCTTTAAGAGTCACTGTAACATCACATATCCTAGCTGCAAAAAAAATTAAAAATCCTATCTGTTGGAGTGGACAATAGGAACGATGAATGCCGAACGATTAATATTCGCCTGGTAAGTAGATGCATGTTTGTTGAAAAAGTATGACGATTTTTGGACACTTGTTAGCCATGCATGTCGTCGCAAGAACAGTTGGCTCAATAATAGAATCGCAGGTGAATGGAAAAAGGAGTAGAGTTGGAGGAAGGGAAGACGGATGTGTCTGTATTAAGAGCTCACCGAGGAAAGAGCAGCAATTGGCGCGACTTAATGTAACCGATCGATCATGTAACATGGACTTATCACTTTCTGCCAGATAGGGCTATGCTGTCGATTTCCTGTACTGCACTTCTAAGCCGGTACAACGAACGTAATCACGTATCTATCGACTCGGTCTCGCATGTCTTTGGCGAGTCAGTCAGTCAACTATATGCGGCAGTCTAACGAGCGACGGCGCTGGATAACATAACGGAGGAACAAACAGACCCAGGGCCAACTCTGGCCTGTGCAAGCACGAATGAGCTCCCGCCGACCTAGCCCGCAAAAGATCAGCCATAGCAGAAGGCCAGAGACTAGTCGCCTCGCGTAGTCTGTTACCAGGAACCTCAAGCGCGAACTCGATGCGGCTGTCTTTGGACTCTGCCCGCTTTGCTCACTCTGTGTCGGGCCAACGAAGGATGAGCCCTCAGGCAATCAATCAATAATATGCGGCCGTCTAACGAGCGGCGGTGCTGGATAACGGAGGAACAAACAGACCCAGGGCCAACTCTGGACTGTGCGAGCACGACTGTGTTCCCGCTGACCTAGCCCACAAAAGATCATCCATAGCAAAAGACCAGAGGCTAGTCACCTAGCGTGGTCTGTTACAAGGAACCTCAAGCGCAAACTAGCTGCGGCTGTCTTTGGACTCTGCCCGCTTTGCTTACGCTGTGTCGGGCTAATGAAGGGTGAGCCCTCACGACCCAGTTGAGGAAGAGAACCTCACTCCAAGCCGATCCCTGGACAATGTCACGCGGGCACATGGCCAGACCATCCACCCTCGTTCGCGATCTACCATGCTGGCCCGCGCCAGGGACCGTGATGCATGCTGAACCGGCTCAATCAATCAATCAATCAATCAATCAATCAATCAGTTTGACGAAAGTCCAATAATGTATTACTCTTGCCCGAGAAATTTCCACCGACTACTTTATGATCTGGTCGATCCTCACGTCTCCGAGAAGGAAAGATGTACTTGTTGTACGTCTCCCTATGTTTGTCGACAGTCTACATCAAACTTACTTCCGCATTGTTTTGCGCACGAACACGACAGCTTCGCTCCGTCTTTTAGGAAGCCAGAGGAAAGCGATACGAGAGCCAAGGATGCTCCCTTGCTTCTCTTCGGTCCCTCATCCGAGTATAGACCAACAACATGCATACCCAAGACTTCATCTAGCAAGATAACAATACCATTAGATTTAGTTGATCAAATTTTCCACATTCTCCGTCACCGTCTTCTTGTTCAGTGTCCGCAATTACGGTTCTCCCTGACATGAATCAACGATGTAATACCTATGATGCCCCTGGTGTAATCATTAGCGATTACAGGCGAAGCTCCAACTGAAAGACCTTACTATTTCTCGTTTCTGACGGAGACAAATTAAAAAAAACATATGCGCCAGGGCTTGGGGCTACCGGTGCCCCCCCCTAGCGTGGGGAGGGGGGTACCGGTAGCGCCCCCCGGGCCCCTTTGGGAGGCGTCTGCCGGGGGTGGAAGGCCTCAAAAGGGGGCCGAGTGACCTCCTCCGCTCCCTTCCAGGTGCTTGGCTGTCCCCTAGAGGCCTCCGACGTAGGTGGAAGGCCTCAAGAGGTGCCCAAGGGGCCGCCTCTGCTTCCTCTCCAGGTGCTTGGCTGTTCCTTACAGGCCTCCGATGTAAGTAGGTGGGAGGCTGCAAAAGGGCCCCAAGGGACCGCCTGCGCCCCCTTCCAGGTGCCTGCCTGTGCCCTAAGTGCCTCCGATATGCTTCGCCGCAACAGCAGCGCGCCAGTTATGGAAGGCCCCCGAAGGCGGCAAAAGGCGAGGGGCAGGACCCCCTGAGCTGTGCGGCCTGTACCCTCCGGGCCGTTGGTCATCGGCTTGCTGGATCTTGCTACCGTGGCCGCCTTCGGCAGCCTTTTACCCCGGAGGCCTCCCGCCTGCGAGGGTCAGCAGAGGCCAGGAGGCCCCTGAAGAACACGCAGAGAGGCGCAAGGGACCGCCGACGCCAAGTTTTGACGCCTTACACCACTAGAATCCGCGAAAATCAGCGCGAAAAAGCGCGCGCGCGCGCCACCACAGACCCGACCACAGGGGGGGGGCACCGTACAGCCCTAAAACATATATGAACTTTCCAAAGAAAAAAATCCTGGCGTTGAGCCAAGGCTAACAGTCAACAGTTGGAAAAAATATCAAGCATTCGTACTTAACTGCTTCAGTAAGAGATTGATTTTCATCGTAATTGTTTTTGTTGTTGTTCTTTATTAAATGATAGCGATAGCCAGTGACGTCTAGTAAAGAAAAAGGTACGTGCTGTCTGGCCTGTGATCATAAGGAGCCTGCAAACGTGCGAAGCTAGACGCACAGGCACAGGCAACAAACCTCATTTATCATTATCCCGCTTCAGGAACAGGTTCATCGATCTGACAACATCAAACAGTTCCAAATGATTCCTGCTGCTTCGCTGCACCATGAAGCTAAAACCGAACGTTCCTCGTGTCAAGAGTTGGCGGCTCTGAGAGGCTGAACTAGTAGATACTAGCCGACTGTAACTTCCGTTCTTCCAGCTATACAAAGAAAACAATATATTTTCAATACCACGATCTCACCAATATTTTCTCAATCACTTTTCGAATTCGCATTCGGATTCGAATAGTAGAAATTTTAAACATACGACATTTTTCGTTTTATCTTCCAGTTTTATTCCATTATCTTCTGTGAAGACAGCACTGATTTCATTCATTCTCCAACAAACAAAAGCTGCTACTCACAATTTATTACTCTTACAACACATTTTGAGAAAAAACAACAAACTCCTAAAAACTCGCTGTTATTACTCATGACAATCAGGGGATTATAACGAGTTCTGAAGATCATGCTCACTTCCTCTTCATTCTCATGTTGAATAACTTCTTTCCACAATCTAAAGAAGGAAGAAGAATGCTAAGCCGCCGATGATGCCGACTCCCGCGACAGAGCCAAGAGCGATTCCAGTGATAGCTCCTGCTCCGAGCCCTCGGCGTGCTGGCTGTGGCACTGCAGGATTGCCTTGCCCAGCAGGGTTGCTCTGCCCGGCAGCATTGCGTTGACGCCCTGCAGGATCGCCTGGCCCCGCAGGATTGCCTGAACCAGCAAGGTTACTCTCCCCAATTGCATTGCCCTGTCCGCCAGCATTGCGTTGACGCCGTGCAGGATCGCCTGGCCCCACAGGATTGCCTGGACCAGCAGGGTTGCTCTGCCCGATTGCATTGCCCTGTGCCTGAACGGCAGCATTCCGTTGACGGACTGCAGGATTGCCTGGCGCAGCAGAACTGCCTCCAGGCGCTGGCGCTGCTGGAACACGAGGAATAATAACTCGAAGAAGACGCTGGCTAGCTGCTGGAGGCGCGTTTCGTACTCCTGAGCCGGCAGCTGCAGCCTCCGCGGAAGCCTTTGCAGCGAGATCGTTGGCATGTTTACATCGCAAATAATGCTGAAGACTCTCCCATTGCCCTTTCTGCTGCTCATTTACATCAGGATTGATTCCGAAATTCTCTTTCTGCGATCGGTCAGATTTCACCGCGGTACCATCTTCGCTCGCAGTTGCAATATTCGCGTTACAATGCTCTTTCAGAAGGGAAAGACGTTCCACCACGGACACGAGCCTCTTATGCATCTCAATTTCCCCAGGTCGTAACTCTCGTGACTCGGAACCAGCGATAAGGTTGCGGCGCGCAAGCTGTTTAAATATTTGGGTTGTCTTAGCTGTTTTAGAGAAGACAAAAAAATCTTAAGAAAAATTGAAGAAATGAACTGCCGAAAAACATATAAGTATGCTAGTCAGTTCTTGAATCAGTCAACATCGTACTACGCTGTATTTGTATTTGGTGACACCATAGAATGCCATCCAATTCCAATGATGCCAACGCGCACTCTGCATCCCCTTACCGTCATGACGATTTACAGTGTGCCGTTTGATATACCTTCGATCGTCAAAAAGAGATGCTTCTACTCACCATAATAATTACACGACTCTTGTCGTTGTCCGGTATGTTGAGGCATCATGATCATTCATTCACCAAAAAATAAAAAGTACTCTTCTGAGCGCCTCGTTCAGTTTCGTCCGTTGGCTTTCTTTCGTACAGAATTTGTGTTTCAGCACGTGATAGAAGTAAATTTTATCTAGGCCAAGCTCATAGAGAATTTTTACTGCAGTTTGTCCAAAAGAATCTTGCAGCGGGTCAACGATAAAGTTTGCTTGCGATCCGCTAAAAAACTGCGCTCGCAATGGTTCCCAACCTGGGAAATTCATCTCCCTGACGTCATCCCACAATGCTTGTTCCAGCAAATCAAATTAGACAAGGACACACCTCCCCACGAAGTAAGTCTCTAATGGATCAATTAAGCATGTATGGAAAGAGATGCTGACTCCGGTACGACATCAGTGAGATATGATCGCGTCGATAGTATAATAAACAACGCAGGCACGCACGCGTCTTCATCTTGTTTACTTTACCGTGATAATCCTAAATTTGTACATCGTGATAGTCGTGGAAGACGAAAATGAGAACAGTCTTCAATTGTAGAAGACTCCTCCAACTAAAACGCGAGAACGGCTCTTTAGTCTCTAATCATAATTCCAATGTTTTTCAGAGGGCACTTTATCGTATTGAAAATTGTATGCCAGATCGTCCAGAAGGGGCTCTGCAATCGATTTCCAGGGCTCGGCATCCCCAACAAACGCAATGAAGCGCCTTGCTGCTGCCCGCGCTAACGGGGCTACATACGTGGCAGACAGCTGGAGCTCCCCCGATTTGAGTTGTTGCTCATGTCTTTAGAAGGAAGTCGAGAGCTTCGTCTCCTTGAAGAATCTAGCTCCTACTTCGGAATAAATTATGATGACTCTTGGACAGGGTAGAGCAAAAAAGTAGCAGCTAGAGGATGATCTCCTAGAGGACGTAAACTCATTTGTCAATCAAGATCAAATGACATTGACTTTTTTTTTTGTAGCAACGGTGTGCGGGTTTGCAAAAATAAATACTAACTAATACTTTTTTAGAGTTCTATGCCGCAACTCAGGAGTTTTAAGTTCTTTACTCTTCCCCTTTAGATCCCATTTCTTGAATTCACAAAGTTTTTATGCGGAAGAACCCCCGAAGGTGAAACACAACATGTGATATTGTAAGTATAAGAAGTATTAATATTTATATAATAGCACAGCTACAGGCATGTGATTAAGTAATCAGAATTACTAATTCGTCTTGATGGCATTGAGAGCGTTGCGTTTTTACCTAGTGTCTAAAGTTCATTACAGCCGCGCAGTTGTCATAATAGTCTTGCGGCAACGGCTTTTCCCATTTCTCTTGAGTGTCCTCCGCGTCCTTAACCAGAATTTTCCATAGATCTGTATAAGACGCCAGGCGCTTTTCCCAGGCCGGTATCCTACTCCATTCGGCTTTCACGACGGCTTTTGCCTCCGCAACCTCCGCAATCATCGCACTGTTCCCAGTCGTAGTTCTGGGAATCAACGAGAAACAGTTATCGACTGCGGGTGTAGAAGTATCGGCGACCGTGTTGAGAGGCGCACAGGTTCCGGTAATGGTAGCAGCGTCTGTCTCATTTTCTCTGCTTGGCGTTACCACCTGAGCGACACCTGGACGACTTTGTCTTCCGCCCGATGAGGGAACAACAGCCGGAGAAGAGCTATCAGCGTGGCTTCCGCCTTCGCCTGATAAGGGATCAAGAACCGCCCGGGGAGAGTCACCACGACGACATGCTGCGTCCAGTGCCGATCTCACCGAGGAGGAGGACGGGCGATTAGGTGCCTCAGATGTCTCCGGCGAAAAACAGGCGGTCGACGGGGCGGCGCTCACCGAGACGGGACGAGTTTCGGGATTTTCCAAGGCCAGTTTCGGACTAGCCGCTTGCGATTGCTCGAGCTGCGTTATCTTTGTCTCTGACACAGCCTCTCGACCAGCAGACGAAGAAGATGCTCCGGCTTCTCTCTGCTGAGGTGGACGTCTCTGCTGCTTCTTTGCACGACGCGCATCTCTTTTCATCCTCGCATATATCTTTTTTTGTCTGTTTTCAAGATATGCCAGGCGCTGATCGATTTTGTCGATCTCACCTTTGAGAAAGTTTGCCTTCTGTTGCAGCTTCGGAAAATCTTGCACAACTCGCTGACGATCTGTAGCGGTGGACGAGCGATTGTTAATCGTGTTGCGCGCGTCTTTTAGTTGTCCGGAAAGCAACTTCTGATCCTCAAAAAGTAAACGCTTCTTATGCTGTAGCTCCTGCGTCTCTTCCAAATACTCGCATGTGTTTTCCGCGTCTTGACAGCGGCGCTTTAGCTCGTGCTCGCCCGATTAGCGTTCATTTTTATCTGGTACAATCTCACTCAGTCACGCAAATCTTCCCAATAATTGCGGTGTGCAGATGAGGAGATAGCTCACATGTATGTACCAGGGAGGGAGCCCCCCTCCCTCCGGCCTGTGGATGGAGCTGTTGGGGCATCGGGGCGCCCTTTTTTGCGCGGTGGTGTGAGGATTTCCGGGGGCGAAGGTCCCAAAAAGCGGAGCCAGAGACCCCCCACGGCTCTCCGCGCGTACCTCACAGGCGTCCCGACTCTTGGACCCTATCAGGGGGACAGCCTTCGGGGGTAGATTCGGCGGCCACGGTCGCGAGGCCTGGCCTCCTGTGCTGGGTTGCCCTCGTCCCCCCATTGGCGGCAGCGTCAGCCGCCACCAATTGCCCGGGGGGGCTGAGGACCAAAGGCGAGGAGGAGTGGGGGCAAAGCGTGCTCGCCGGAGTTCTGTTGGACACATGCAGCACAGCGAAGGGGGTCAAGCCTTGCCACCTGCTGCCCTCGGAGGCGTCCCACCCCCCGGGAAGATCCCCCAGTGAGGAGCCCGCACACCGGGGGGAGGTCTGCCGGGGACATGCAACACGGCAAGGGGTCAAGCCTTGCCGCCTTCGGAAGCCTTCCACTCCCGGCCGTCGGTGCTTGAACGGCCGCAAGGGTTTGGGCTCTGTAGCGCACGCGCAAGAAGCCGCGAGGGCGCGAAGGTGGCCGTTTGGAGGCCTTCCCGCCCGGCAGTTAATCGGAAAAAAGGGTCCAGGGCCTTCAGCCCTGGAACATGTATATTGATCTGTGTAGGATCTAGGTGGCTATTGGTACTAGTACACATGTTATCAAGGATCATCCTAGAGAGATGAATGTCTCCTAGAGTGTACACATCAATGTGAAAAACAGAAATATTGACAGGTCCCGTGGCATAACGACATTCTTGCTCATCACATCTCAATCCCTTCGTTCTTCCACTCGCTCCTGCTCTGCCCCGATTGGTTTGCGCTTTTCGAGCCTCATCTTTTGTAGAGTTTATCTGTACCTGAAGGCAATCCACCCTTTCCTTCATGCGAATGTACGTGAGGAACTTATCGTCGAGGTCGCGCAGTGTCGCTTGGCACTCGAAGTGTATGACAGAGCTTTTTGCATCCAGAAAGAACATCCCAGCATCTTGTTTATTTTCAAGCAACATTTTTTACTACGTGCTTGCCAGGATGGTCTTGAAGATGTTCCAAAGGCTTAAGCCATACACTTCAGATTTGAGAGATAATCGTCTCCGTACTTTCGCGCATAGCCCTCTCGCTGCTCGCGGGACAGGCTTCGAATCCAGTTTCTTGTACCCTCCGCCTCTTCGCGCTGAATTTTAGTTTGCTCGTCCTTGTTGTCGTAAAGTCCAATGAACGTCTCTGCCTCCGTCAGTTCGCATCGAAGCTTGGTCAATACCGACTCATATTTCTTCGCCACTTTCGTGTCATCGATGGGTTCTGAACCACTAGAAGCGTAGGATTCATCGGAATCCTCATCAGATTGCATTGCCGCAGCCGTCCAGAAAACGCTGAAGAGTGGCAGCGCTGCACCAGATAACAACCACGACGACCGTCGAAAAATCATCATCTTCATTTTCTTCTATTTCTACTTTCCGCGTGCTTGCTCTAATGCGAACTATGCATGAATAGCTTTTTCCTCTTGCGTACTTCTACGTACTTCTTGAATGAAAAATCGTGTGATTCGAAGTATTCGTGGAGATGATGAAAAAGAACAAGGAACACGAACAAGAAGAGAATGAATAAAACCCATGTATCTAATACTTAATATTAGTATCCAATTAGATAATATTCAAATGCTGGAGTTAGTTACTTCGTGGTATTAGGTAGAACTACTCGCGAACAACAAGATAGATAATCAGTGAAGAAAACAATTTCTCGAGATTGGACTCACCAATCAAATTGAGATTCATTTGTCAGGACCAAGATCAAGAGTGCTAATTGATATTGAATTCGATTGAAAATAACCTCCAATCGAAACAACGAAACCTACGTTCATTTTTCGTAAAAATGTTGGCTGAAAATGCGACAACGGCTACCGCTAGATATCGGTGCCTTCAGGAATTTGATCTCAACATTCCTTTAGCCATAGATATCCTGTTTCCCAGAAAACACGACAGTCGGTCGCCGATCAGCTGGTCTGAGTGCGATGTATATCAACATAAATTCGAATTCCCGCGAACTTGCTAGACAGAAAGACCTACGATCAGATCCTCCTCTATGACTCATTCATTTCCCATTGGCATTACCTTGTTTACTGCGAAGTCGGTAGGAGCGACATGAAAAGTGAAGTACTCTATTCTCAATTCTTTTACAGCATTGGAATCATCTGTTGTCCAGCCTAACCCGACGCGGTCCGTCCGCCACCTAAAAACGATATGGAAAAGTACGAAAGTACAACTAAAGCGCTTCATTTTTTGTTTTTAGGAAATCAGCTCCTGTTCCAGCCCTTTCGACTCCATGTCCCGTAGGAGGCGATCCAGTCCATCATGGTCCACGCTTTCCTCCCACGCGTCTGTATTTTAGAAGATGGAAGACCATACTATAGTCTCCCTCGGCAAAATGATATGGCTCCTGAAGTATGACCGACAACGTGACCATAATCAAGCTCCGCAAACAACAATTTCGTGGGAATGGTAATGATAAACAGTCAAGATTTTGCCCATAAGAAATGGTCTCCGCGCTGTCTGAGAAGGAAGGCGGCCCAAAGAGTCGCAGGATGACCGAACGGCCACCAGGAACACGCTGAAACTCACGCACGGCTACCCACGAGGATTCTCCGACGATTAGAATGCTTAAAGTGCTGAAATTAATGCAATGCATGGTTAATACGGTCTTTTTGGTATTCTGTTCGAAAATGTAGTGAGAACCTAGCCCGACTTCAGCCACTGGTTAAGTGAGGGTAGGGATAGGTTAGGTTAGGTTAGGTAAGGATATAACGCTAGTACACCAACACCATCGCCCACTCACTCGTTCATCCTGGTCAGCGCGGCGGCACCTTACGGCGAACTGAACGGCGCGACCAAAGGCCTTGCCCACTTGACACCCACAGATGCCACTGTGGGGAAAGTCGCCCAGAATAGAAGAATAATGATATAGACCGAAGAAGACCAAAATTTTGATACTCTCTCGAATAAGAAACTATTCATAAAACTAGCATTTCTGCTCGCACCGGGCCGACGAAAGGCATATTCTCATGACGTATGCGAATGCAGAAAACTTGCTCCGCGAACACTAACTTGGATCCCAGCCAGTGCAGACCCGCTGTAACACTTTGCGCGTCTCCTGATGGATAAATTGGAAATGATGATATTTCATACCCAGAGAATGTCATATTACTAACGCATGGATACTGAATACAGTTACAGCCATTGATGTACTAAATCCCAAAAATGGGGACGATGAAATTGAGACTGTTATGATTACATAATCTTGAACTCCGCGTCTCAGTCGATCGATCAAAATAAAATCAACTAACCAACCGTGCGGAAGATAAAAGTGTCTGCCTCTATTCACTTTGCATGCGAAGTGCCACTATGGTGGAGGAGTACCGGTTGCAATTGCAGATTCTGTGGCTTTCGGTGGCTCTGGCATTGGCTCAGGCTTGGAGAAGTAGAACCCAAAGCTGAAGGCGTCGAAGGCGTTGGACGCAAAATGAAGTTTGCGATAGCCGCCGTCAATCGAGACCGATCGCATCGCTCGGATACTGCACTGCGGATTACTGTAAAACTCGATTTCAGCAGATGAAGAGGGCTTTGTACAAAACATGAATTAGCTGAATCATGAATTTGAGAAACAGAAAATGTGTAAAGATTTCATGCTTACGAGAAAAATGAGGGTTGTCATATTAAATTTTCATTTCAATCACGATCACCGGTAAAAATACTTTACGCCTGCCTGCTGCCATAGCAATAGCGCTAACCTATCAAAGATGTTGATGTTCATGTTAACGAAGGGCATTTGCTTCGCGACAACTCAAAGGACAACAAGTACAAGAAGAACAAGACTGTTATTTCTACCAATATGAAGAAAAACAAAAAGAAAAGCGATATGTGGATAGTCATGTGAAGTACGCTTACGAAATGATAGCTAGGAAACAAAGGAAGAATTCTTGTCATAAGTGATTCTCGTGTCAAACATAGTTTCACGTGCCAGGATCCGAGGTGCGGATCTGTGACGACTAAGCGCCATTGTTTTGATGTATTCGGCACGTAACGTCCGCGATAGGTTAGCGTTTCATTCAAACAACACGTTGCGTGTGTATACTGCCGCCCGTTCCAACAAGACGCACCAGCGGATGTCGTGTCTTTCTGAGGATTTTCCTCGTCACCATGATTGTTTTTGAGACTGTCTTGCTTTCCTATAGCTCTACTTTCATTTGCAAGGCCGAACGATGAAGATGAACAGCATTTTTCGAAGGTGAATTTGCCAGGTTCGACTCCCGTCCGGTTCCAGCAAGTCTTCACCTGCACGTGTTCTGGAGGCGGGGCTATGGTAATCTCCGGATCCCAGGGTACTGACTCGTCTTCGGTATAGATACTATTTGTAGCTTCAGGTTCCTCGTCGGTATCCCTAAGTAAACACTCAACATCTTCGGTGCCCGTTTTCCCATCCCCAGGTGAAGTAGAAGTGTCATTACCATTCGGCCTTCTCGCCTTGCAACACTTGTTGCGGTTGGATGTGATTCCATATTCACTTGCGTTTGTTCTTTTCATCTCAGGAGAAATGTTCTTCTCATCATTGACGTCAGCCCGTGCAGTTGCTGGAAATGCTTCTGCAATACTCTCTCGCCTCAACTCAGCAAGCGCAAGTCGCTCCTGGTGCAGCAATCTAGCTCGACGGAACAAATCCTCGTAATTGTGAGGGCAAACTCCGTGATCCAATATCCAACGCGCTGTAGGATTCGGATGCTCTCCTTTTGCTTCAGCTCCAGGTGTAGCGGAAATCAAAGGGTTCTGAACTTCGTCGTCTTCGCCTTCTACTATCGAACCGTCTTTCTTCGAACTAGCAGTTGTGACAATGCTTCCGCACGGTGTCCTTTTCTCTAGGTTCAAGGGGATTGCAGGCTCTTCGCGATATGACATCCGCAGTTGCAGGAGGACCTGCTGGTGTTCTTGGTCAACATCCTTATTGAGCTTGTCCTCTAGGCGTGCTCCCGTGTTCTCACTCGTCGTCGAGTCTCCTGTGCTCGCAGGACCATCTTCATGTGTAGTGTTTGACCCCCCCTGTAACCGTTCCTTGGCCCATCTTCTCTTCACTTTTTGATGATCGAGATCATGACGTGCCGAAGAGGTTCGATCAACATGGAGGCTGTTCTGAGAAGTTGTTGGAGGTAATTCTGATTCATCATACTTCGTCACCTTTCTACCCCCATCGCTCTCGGAAATACGCGGAACCTGCCGACTCAGCGAAGGCGCCTGACCCTTAGGGTTCGATATCACCTCCAGCAGCAAAAAGAACTGCAACGAAAGCACAACGCAGAGTCTACGATTGCTGACAAGTCCCATAATGATGCTAGCGAAGCAACTACGCCAACACTTTACTTGGTGTTGGCACTCCCTATCGCTAAAACTTCAGCATCTACGGAGACAAATGGTAAGTTTGATCAGTACAGGACCGAATGCTCTCTGACCGATTGTTCAGTTTAACTCACCCAAACACCGCATGAAACAGACCCGACAGAACCTTCACGTGGACAGATTTTGACTTAAGAAAGAGACTATAAAATAAGAACGATGACTTGTTTCTGATCTGCGATACTGAGATAATCGCGGTCTCGCAGACCGTCGTGCGGTCACAAGTTGCGGGTACTGAAAGGACATTGAAACTGCGATATAAAAGTACAACTCCCCATTGGAATCTTCATCTTGCGAATGAGCAGTCATGTCTGAAATCGGTTGTAGCCAGCGTCGAGATTGGTTGGTTCAAGGCAGAAAAAATGTTATACACGGTGTGTGGTTGCGAATACAGCGATGATTTCCCTATGATGCCGTTAAACTTAAAAAATGTGTAAGAAAATATTTCATCGTCCTGGAGGTGGTGGCATTTCATGCGTCGTAGTTATGGATTCCTGTTCTCATCTTCGCGCCGTTGCCTTTCCTCCCGTTCCGCAAGATTCAGTATGTAGGCAGCGCCGTAATTCACGCTGACAATCACACCCGTTATGCCCAACTGGTAGAGGAACGTCCTGAGGCACATGCGCTGTGAAAGCTGCGACAAAGGCTGGTGCTCCGGGAGGTGCAGCGCGGGGGGCTGTTGTAAATAGGGGAAATCACGACGCCGACTATTTTGTTGAGAAAGATGACAGAAATCGAAACATAGAATTGAAATTTCAAAGAAAAATGAAGCCGCTGAAATTAAGACGACAAAATCATAGGAGAAGGACCTTTAATTATGCTTACTAGTTACAAATCAAATTATAGCAGATACAAGCAGGTACCACTTTATCCACTCCTAGGTCACCCAGCGCTTGAATCGGTAGCCGGTTTTTCGCGATGAAGTATGAAGCCTCACCGCGTCTGAGGGTTACTAATTGAACCACGGGCGACAGAAATTGGCCAAAGAGGACGCCAAAAGAGAGTCGCACCATCGTGAGGTCCATCGCCGAAAGGTCGCTTAGCTTCCACGCGACAATTCTGTTTATGAGCTCTTGGATTGCGTCCTCCGCTAAAAGAGTACACAAATAGAGCGGCAGCCCGTCAAAGAAACTAGCAGGGCCATAGAGTCTCAACGTCTGCAAATTTAGCCTCCAAAAATCTGTCGTTTTTCCGGGAACGAAGACTGCTCTTTTATTAGAGACGAGAGCCCTGCAGCCTGTACTTACCCATGTATCACCCACATTCTAACCTATCTAAATTCTCCCTTGCTGTGAAAGCGTAGCTGCTCTCCTATTAGGACAAAATTGTACCCATGTTATAGTTCCATTGGTCACTTCGAGGGTCTACTAATACCAGGTACCCAATTATTATAAGGTCTGCTTAAAACTGGCGTGAGGTTTTGTTCAAAAAGCCTTAATATTCTGCAGAATTAGGAACGGGTACGAGAGGACTTCGGTAAGATACCTCAACCCTTGTCGCACTTGCTGCAGAGCCACGTGGTTTTCGCGCTCGTCGCGCTCCCTTCTTCGTGCTGGAGAACTCTCAAAGGACGATGTGGACCCATCGTTGTTTGTGGCGGCTGTTCCATTCGCCTGCTCAGAGCTATCTCGTGCCCTACTTGGCGCCGGTGATGAAGACCCGCCTTGATCGCTTCGAGTAGTTGACGAGAACACGGCACCAGGAGTAGCATTAGAAGTTGACGCTTCTTCTTGCCCGTTGTTGAATTGCCCTGACGCAAGAACACTACTGGATGAAACAAAGGATGTGCCGCTGTCGGTGGAGTTCAGGTTTCCAGATACTAGCTGACCTTGCTCGTCTAATACGATAACTTGGTCTGAACCATCCCCACTTTCTCCGCCGTTGGATATCGAACCATTCTGGCCTTTTTTGCGGCCACCTCCAAAGCACGAGAATCCGCCCTCGAGAGAAAAAAGTCCAAAAAGCACGCCGCATATTCTTCGTCCTGAGTGACGCGCTCCACTCAGCACTACTCGTGGTATGCTTCGAAACGCGGGTATGAGCGCCCACGCTCGCCGGATCTGTTTTCTAATCGCTAGCCACAAAGGCAGAAGTCGTGGCACCAGCAAATGATTGGCCCAAATTCGCTGCCAATCGCGAACGTAGACGTGTAAAAGCAGGAAACCAAAGCCCTGCCACGACTTGTGGACTGGCTCCCGAAGTACCATGCACCATGTAAGTTGGAACGGGGTGAGCACGCCCAAGCGGCCCCGATGGTGCGCGTATTCGTCACAAATCAGCAGTTTCTGGCATAGCATATTCAATGGATAGCCAGGTGCATTCCACAGCGTCGACATAAACTTCGCCTCCAACACGGTTCCCTGCAACGTAGTAAGCGCACCCTCCTCCGGCAGCAGCCGAGCGGGGTACGGGTTTAACAATGACCGGAAGGCGGACGGCATCGTGCTCGTGCGAGGCTTCGTCTCTACTCCAGCTGGTGCTCCTCTAAAATAATTGGCTTAGGTAGATGCAGTGCGCGAGAGTGCGCTCCATGATTTAACGTCAGGAATGTCGTCCCACGAAAGTGAGTTGTATTCTGACTAGCTACTTTTATTTCAGCTTGATAGGATTACTAGACCCCCAGAACCAATTCACTCGTGAGTGTGTGCCACGAGCGTGCCTTGCGCCGACGGCGCCTTTTGATCTACCACAGTTCGTCGTTGGACAGCGGAGTCGTTGTAAGTCGTTGCTGTTCATGACCCCGGCGAGATAAGTACTAGTCTACCTTTCCATTCCCGCCTGTTCAGTTAGAGATCATGACCGATATATAAGCTAAATTACATTGATTCAGAAAAGAACGAAGCTGATAAGTAAGCATACTTGTTGTATTCGAGGTACTAGATAGGCCTTCCAGATATGGGATAAGATCTCGAGTCTGAGTCGACTCACACTTACTTTTACACTATCTAAGCAAACGTATTGCGAGTACCTAAAATGCAGATAGACGCCGGCTCTAGGCTGAAGCCAAGATCCAAAAACAATTTCACCAAGAGGAGGAGGCAATTGATGATCAAAAGCGTTCGTTTTGTTCCACATGGATAGATTACCCGCACTATCTGATCCATCCACTTCCACATAGAGATCGGACAATCGTCTAGCTTGCTTTCTGTACCGCAAACCATGGATCCTTGTTCCCAACTGTCATACCGACGTAAATAATTTCACGGAACTGCTAGTGATGCCAACAAGATTTGTCGTGTAAGATGTACCGAGTTCTATGAGCATAACCAGCACACGAAATCATACATCAACGGATCCTTATTATCACTCGTGAGACGCCGGGTGTGAACACTGGGTAGTACCTGCCGCGCCTCCGAATGAGAGACCAAAAGCGGCCGTGCTGAAATCGAGTATTCATTCTGAATTTAAACAAGTTTTTGACATTAGTAGCGGGTTGGGAAGTAGCGCGAGTTGCTCCGGTAATAAGCAGCTTGAAGGTGCATGCATACAGTCCACTCGCGATGGCATCAACTGCCCATCTTTCTTCGCATTCCATGAAAGTGAGGCGGTCACATGATTAAGTCCATCAGCACCAGGATAAATCCTTGACGCAACTTACTGGTTCAATGCTTCCGGTACTGATCCATCTGGTGATCCTAACTTCGCTTTCTCCGCCTCATGCTCGGTCGCAGTGTAATCCTTGTCGTAGATGATGGGCTCGTCGCCAGCCGCGCTCGGCCAGCAATCGCGCATCTGGGCAAAGGTCTGGGCGACCATCAGCGGGAATACAAGCGTCGCATCGGCATATACCTTCACAGGTTTGGCGTCCACACGGATTTTTCCCCACGATTTCGCTTCATCGGGTCGAGCCCCACTGTCGGATCCGTCGAATTCTTGGGCCGTGCTCACGTAAACACAATAATCGCATCCGTTACGCATCAAATTCGCATTCATGGTGTGATGCTTCACCTGATGAATCATGTGTAAAATTTTTTGTTGTAAGTAGGTGATTACTTATAATTGTGGTCCGATAATTCGACTGAGAATCTGTGATGTTGACCAATCTAGATGTGAGCACGTCAACGCAATATTACGTTTCAGGACGCATCTAGTGCAGGTAGTAGAGGAGGCACAAGTTCGAACGGTAGGAAATTTCAAAGGACGCTTACCATGCCTCCTCCCAGCACAATAACCCCAGTCTTGCGTGCTTTCATTGCTTCGTCGTTGATACGCTTGATATCTGCCACCACGTCGACGACGAGCCCCGGTCGCTTGAACGTATGGAAGTAGAGCATGTCGCCGATGCTTCCGTCCGTGATGCTGGGACACAAGAGCGGAATGTTGTTTTTGTAGGCCCAGTAGCACACTGAATTTTCGTCATTAATTTCTTTGCCAAAACGGTGAATCATGGTCGAGGGTGTCCAGATGACTCCGTCCCTCTCTTGCTCGTCATGCATGGCATGAAGGATCGGTGAGATCCAGTCCTCGAACAGGCAATAGTTCTCGTTCGGCACGAGCAAATTTCCAATCCGGTTCAGTCCCTGTTTACGCAAAGCGACTCCATCTAGGTCAAATGCACCGTCATACGTGGCTCCCAGGCACTTGATCAGGTCCTCCTCGATGCCGCCAGCGCTACTTGTTGCGACTTGGATCAGCTTGTGCTGGAACAAAAACCGAAGAGGTTCGCGCAACCCACTGCTGATCAGATTCGAAGTGTAGGCGAGGAAAATCTTGCATCGGACGCTCTTGCGCTTCTCCAGGTCACGGAATTCTTCGTCTTCATCAGAAGCAACAGGTTCAGACGCCAAGGACCACTCTAACATCCGGCGGATCTCCAACACCGCTTTCCCGTAATTCGCAGCCTGAAACCCACTCGTCAAATAGCTGTCCAAAAGCTTCTCGTAGTCCACAAATGCTAAGCCTTTTGCAGATGAAGAACTGCAGGAGGGAGCAGAAGGAGAAACACCTTCTTTTTCTTGCAGCTCTTTCGAGAAAGATGACCTTGCTGTACAACTGGAAGGTGGACATACAACGTCGTTGAAATCGTAGCCACCCACTGGCCGCCGCGTGCTACGACTTAAATCGGTGCTCTTGACTAAAACAGCCTCAGCGAGCTGAGCCGGAATGTCGTTCTTTGTCGGAGCTACAACAACAGCACTTTCCTCCGAACTTGCGGGTGATGGCGGTGTTGACGCAGTGGCAACGGTCGAAGGACTCATAGCTACTTTAGCGGTGGCCCCAGCTTCCACAGAAGCCATCCGGTGATTTTGCTTGTGCGCAGTAGTCGTCATGGTCGCTATCTATCGTAATACTTTTCTTGACGGAAATAGAATCAATGCAAGACTTTAGTATTGGAAATTAAAATCAGTGGAGAAGGTAGACACAATGAAGAAACAGGGGAAGCTTCATTAATCATAAAAACAATGATCTGAACCTGTCCATTGAAAAGATGAATCGAATGAAGATGAGGACGTAGCGGAACCGAGTATCTAGTAACAGTCTGCGGAAAAATAAGAATACTTATACTTAAGTACATAGAGTGTCTAGTACGAGGATCAGAAAACAGACCCAGCGCAATCTTTTTTGCAGATCCTTTCTTCTTCACGAAAAGGATCTTTGTCTTTGTGCGTCCTCTTATCAATATGAGGAAACAGTTTGCCAATGATCTTCTTGAACTTCTTCACTGTCTTGGAAAGAACCTTCTCTTCATCAGGGATCCCACGATCACTCCAAACCAAAACACCACTTTGTTTCACGAGACGAACAATAACCCTCTTCTGGACATTCATTGTTCTTGTTGTTTGTCTTTGTATCTATAGGACGGTTAAGGTTTCGCTTGGTAAATTGGGTAGCGACTAAACAGGAGGACGAGAATGCTATCTGAGAATTTGTTTCATTTTCATCTGATTATGATCCATCTTTTGGATATTCCGGTCGGTCGTGTCGTTTAGTCTCTCCAGCATTTGGTTGTGCATAGAGAGGGCCTGCCCCATTGCCTGAGACTTTTCCTTGAGACCTCCAACAAGCTGCTCCATCATTGCCAGATCCTCATCCTCGCCTGTAGCTGGCCCTAGTTGTCTTGTAATATTTCCAGCACCACCAAGTGCACTTGGTGGCGCGCGAGGAAGTCCTGCTCCTGATGGTCCAAAATTGCTTCCAGTTGATGACGAAGAAGGATTTGAAGCAGACGCCGTAAAACCAGGATCACTACTTGCTGAACCTCCAGTCGAAAATACGCTGTTGAACAGCTCAGTGGCTGAGCTAGCACTGGCTCCCACGCTGCCACCGAAAAAACTGCCCAAGATGGATGACTCTTGTGGCTGCTCCTGCCCTGTTGTGCCTTGTGTACGTGTATCATTTGGCTTTCCCGCCCTCGCCTTTTCTTCCAAAAATTTCTCATTTGAGTCTAAAGTTGATGAAAAAGCACCCTGCAGAGACCCAAACCACGACGACATGCTTTTGAGAATCTTCTCGCTCGTGTCAAGGTTCGACTCCGCCGTATCGGCATAAGACTGCGCTCGCTGAATCTGCTCTGTTTGCTCGTCCAACTGCAAGCATGTCTTCGTCGCGACCTCGTCCGTTGCCTTCAGGGTATTGAGGGTTTTCCGCAAACTCTCCTGCGTTTTATCCCGATAGTATTCGGCTGATTGTGGTGCTGGCGCTTCTCCTGCTACTTGGCCCCTTGCAAAGTAAGCACCAGTAGAAAATCGCGGATCAGCGGTAGCGGACGGGTCGTAGCCACCCGGATAGGAAGAAGAACTCGATGATGCCATGTTTTTCGTATCGAAGACGAATGAAAAGCCTGGCTGTGGCTTATCCAGTACTTAAAGTTTCACCCGTTAGACCGAGGAGTACTTCTTTACAAATCACTGTATTTAATCCATCTTGCTAGTCGTGGTTGTTGGATTGACCCATAAGTCGCTCGCTCCCAAACGTGAAGAAAAGCACTTGTACCTAACCTGTCGCCCTCCCCTCGCTCACCTGAAACGTCTCCTGCAATATTGAATAGAAACCACAACAGAGCAGAAAGATCACGGTTGCCCTTGCCTCAAGTAAAAATCGAGATCGACCGAGGATCAGAAGCAAATAAAACATCATCGAGTGGAAGTCAGAAAAACTAAAGCCATTCTGCTTGATCTGAACACGCGGATCATATGAAATTTCGATCTTTCTGCGCCAAGAACCTTGATAAAGTGCATTTGCTTGATTATATTGATGTATCATCGAAGATAATCATTTCATTTTCAATGCGCGTAGTATCGTATGTACTGATAGGAATAGAATGTGGCTCGCTCATTTTTATGAACCACGAACAGCAGGAAAATCTAAATCATACTAACGAGTCTCATTCGCATTATTGACTAGGATTTTTTAAAAACTTAAATGACGTATGGATATGGAAGTGAAAGTACTAGATGTGAATAATTCGATTTCGAATCCGATGATATAAATCATGGGCATTTATTGAGTTATCATTTCATCTTTCGTTATTGTGTCTTCTTGGTCTGCTACGTCGACTTTCCACCCTCTCGCTGAGAAGGGTTTCGGATGGAAGGCACTCATTCGGTATAGAGGACAACCTCTCAGAGGTGGAGCTGCTCGTTCTGCTGCTTGCTGCTTCCTTATGGGATTCTTCCGAGCTGCCAGTACCTGCCTCTTCGAAGTTGACGCGCCTTGGAACGGCAGACACAAAGGAAGTTCCAGAATCTAAGGACGCTGCAGAGCCTTGCTCACGATGCAGATCATGGTGCTCATCGCAATCGTGAAAAGAAAACTCGGTCATCGCGCTCGTTGCCTCAACATCGAAATCGCTAGTGTTGACATTTTTGTCCTCTTGTTCGTCACCATGCACGCTATGTTGTCCCGTATGGCCGACGTCGTGCCCATGATGTTGTTCTCGTGGCGTCTCGAGCGGAGGTAACTGTGACCAGTCCTCTAGTTCCCCCGCGCCGTCATCCACAGAACCGTATTGGTCGCGATCGGAGACGTCATCGCTTCCTGAATCTGCCTCTCCGAGTTTCTCAGCGAAAACCGGTCGCTTCCAAATGCGCTCTCCTTTTTCATGATCTGCCCAAAGAGCCTCTATCTTACTCATCAGGTCGTCATACGTTTTGCACGAAGCGTAAGACACATGATCTTGCTCTTCTTGTATGTGTTGTTCTCGTGCTGAAGCGATGGTTGAGGACCCCTCTATTGACAACTGTGCGGTGCTCTGCTGGGCCCCAGATGAAGCTCTTGCCAGCTCTCTCATAAATTCACGTTCCTTGCGCCATCCTTCCTCGGTGCAGAATTTTTCAAGACAGTGTCGTGTTTCCGCCCCTTCGCGCGCGATCACCATGCCTTCCTTGTTCTGCCTCGTGACCATCTGGAACCGATCCACCATCTCCATCCCGTAGCTGATGAAACTGGGCGCGTTGATGATCAGGATCCTCCAGATGCCATCAGGGTAGTGTCGCGCGCCGTTCTCCGCAACAATGCGGCCATACTGCGCCAGTTTCGCAACGAGCCACAAAGCTTCGGTCAAACGCGTCCCCGCACAGTCCCAGACCGCTGTCGGGCCCAACGAGCGGCACTGCTTCGAGACGCGTTCGCGCCTCATGCAATCCGTGATATAGCACTCCACATTTTGGTCGTGGGAAAACTCGTCGTGCACTCCCTTCACAGAACGCAAAAAATAGATTACTTTCGCATAGAAAATAGGCGACCCATCCGGCGCGCGTAACAAAGGCAGTGATGATCCACCATCCTGGACGTTTGAAAGAGCTAATCTAGGAATTTGTTGTTCCACTAGCATGTTATTTCCTCCAAGCAGCTCCTTATCCGTCCTCGACTTCTTGCTTCCATGGCTACCTCCAGCGGAGTAGTTGGACTCTGTTGCACTCGATGACGAACAGGGTCCACCGCCTGTTGCAGTGGAGGCTGCACTGATGCCACCCGTGGATGATGAATTGGTTTCCCGTGGAAGCGTCGGGTCGTTCGGATTCGCGAGAAGGTTGAAGTTCGTAACTGCAAAGTGGTGGCGACTATTTAACAAGTCCGTGAAGTCGTTGCGAAAAACCATGCTATCTGCCTCCAGATCGGCCTGAAAGCGGCGGGTGACTGCGTGTTGTGCGTTTTTCGAGGACGAAGATTTGGAATCGCTTTTCGTGAGGGTCCCAGTGGCACTACTAGGTTGATCGCCGTACCGCACAGCGTACCATTTGCTGATCGCTCCAACAGCTGCCTGAGCGTGAGCTTGGTGTTGCCGCTCTTGGTGCCGGTGCCGGAGGCGCTCCCGGTGAGACCCGCCCGCCGCCGCCTGCATCTTCCGCGGCACTTCTTGAAAGGCTAACACGCGCTTCGCCACACATGTGGCTCGCCATAACGCCGTAGCTGTCATACGTTCCAAGGCTAACTCATCGTCCCAGTGGAAAACCCTCAAAAACCGCAGACAGCAACAGTCTAACCCGTTGAAGCTGTCTAAAAGGTCGGCGACCATGCCATCTACGCCCGCAGAACCAAGGTAGAACTTGCGGAGCGGAAAGAAGGGCCCGGCACTGGAGTTCAGATCCACAAGCAGCTTTGGGAACAGGAACAGGTCGTCTTCGTCCTGCACGGTCCCGGAATCTGCAAATTGCACGCGGTACTGGTCTGCAAGTGCAGGATCCAAGGCGGCAACCTCCTTGCAAAGATCTAGGCTCAATTTACAGGCCTGAGCCATATCCGCGACCTTCTCAGCCGGCGACTGTGGTGGCTCCGCCAGTGTTGAAGATGCCTGTTTGCTTGCTGCTGCAGCTGTCGCTCCCGCTGATGCAGATTGCCAAGTAGCAGACCCCTCACTTGAGCTCCCTCTCAGCTGGTCATTGTACTGCGCAGTGATAATACTCGTGGCCACATTTGTCCAGGTCTTCTGCTCCCCATCCTTGCTCACGTCAACTCCACCAGCCGAGTGCTGTTGTCTGAGTACGTTCAGACGTAATTCGAGATTTTGATGTAGAATCTGCCGTTTCTCGATTAGCCGTGCAAATCGCAGTAAATGCTCAGCCTGGCCCGGAGCCATTCGATCTAGCGCCCGTTTACGAACGTGCGGGTTCAGTGTTGGAAACAAGTCCTTAACAGTCCTCGGATCTTTCGAGAAAGTTCGACGAACTGACGTTGCACAACTTGTTGCATCTTCTCGAGAAGACGAGGGACGATCTTCTCTAGAAGAGGTGCCACCGTGCTTCGAAGTATTGCCAGCGGTGGTAGTTTCCTTAGACCCGACGCGGCTTCCACCCGACCGACTCCCTAAATCACCATTGTTCCCATCGCTTCTAAACACGGTCCGTTCTTCTTTTCGTGCGACTTCATCACGCTGTTCTCTACTTCGTCTATGGGCGCGCCGTTCCTCTCCACTGCGACGTCTCTTCGAAGCTTTCATCTCCCGTTCGAGTTCTCGCGCCTTTCTTGTTTCCCTTCGGCGCTCGCGTTTAAGCCGTTCTATTTCCTCTTCAGCTCCTGAACTGAGATCATTCTCACTATAGTGGTCCCGTTCGGCCTCATTTCGATAGTAGTATCTGTCCTCAACGGAAGAGGTAAAGTCCTCTGTCCCACCCTCGATCGAAGGCAGCAAATCAGGCGCGGCTTTCCCGCTCGCGCCGCGACGTCCCCTCGAGCCGCGCTTTGACGACGCACTCGCACCATCCGACGTATTACAACTTTGACGCCTCCGCCGATGTGATCTTCTAGATGAGTCTCTATCAGAGTAATTGTCACGCTGCTCCCTTGCCATTCTCCGCTTCGCTTTTTCATCGCGGCGATCTCTCGCTGGGCTGTAGTCTTCGGCAGAGTCGATGTCAATCTCAAGCTCATGCTGCGGACGACCTCGACCAACATTACACCACGAGGCGCCCGAAGGACCGGAGCACGGAGCTGTCAAATAGTTACCCATTTTTTCTACCTTAGAAACACAACAAACTCTAGTACTTTCGGAAGAAATGGCGGTGACGAAGAATGTAGAGACGAGCCACTACACGCAACGCTCATGTAGTTTCTCTATCTCGTTTTATTTTTTACTTTTTGATAAGATAGATACTTAGAAGATTTACTTTTGACATTCGACAAGACTCAAAGTCATAAAAGCATCTAGTGTGATTTCTGGAAGGCGAAGGATCTATCTAAGTAATATTGACAAGCATCTATGAGAGTAGGGTATTAAAAACAAATTTCATACTTCATACTAAACTAAACCTTCATGTGCTCTCGCTCACTAGCAAAAAAGGAGAAACCTCGAATTCATTCTTGCCAAGTGTCACTAAGCCTGCTTCTTTCAGAAGACGCAAGAGATGAAAAATGGTTTCTTACTACTATAAAGACAAAGCTTGCTCTGGTGCGTTTCCGAGATTGATTGAACCACCTCACTATTGAAACGCCAAAACTCTCAACGCCGTCCAGACAGACAAACTCGCAGGACAGAAGCAATGTGCACCAGAGAAATGTCAACCGTGGTCGAAAGCCTTTATTCATATGAGGTTCTCAATATCATCTTTATCCCTCAGCATTATCAATAGGTAAATGTAAGAATCCTCATGTTAACGCCCGCTGCTCATCAATTCAAAATCGTGTCATCGATCTGCGACTCAATTGACGTGAATCTCACTCCAACTCAGACAGACGTCATTCGCGAGGACTGTGCTCTCTCAAACAAGACAGATGGAAAGCAGAGGTACAGCAGTATAATACCACACTCCGAGAATCTCATACCGATAGGCACTGGTCACCGAACCTTAGCTTTTGATTTTGTCCTAATCGTTTTAGAACCAAATAGGTTGTCTCTCTACTTGACCAATCAGTATGACGATGGTCGTGATGCACTTAAACACCGTCTGAAATTCTTACAAAAACTGTGCGTATCAACATTCTTACGTCCTTAACAGAGCATGCCATCGTTGAAGTAAAAAATAAGAAACGTACTCATTTGTAGGCGCAGTCTGCGTAATTCATCATGGTGCTCAAAGCATGTACTGGGGTGTCGCTGTACGAGGTAGAGTGGGGTTGTAAAAAGTAGACCAAGACTATTGCATTTTTGGCATGTCTTCCTTTGAGTGCGTGCCGTTCTCCCAGTCAAATGCTTCCTTCAGTCCTCTGATTTTTGCGCGCATGAGGGCATCTTTGACCCAGAGAGGCGGCAACAGTGGACCATCAGCTTTTTCCTCATCATCAGGCTTCATACTCGATGCTGCTTTCTTTTCATCAACGACTTTGCTTTCTTCAGGCGCTTCATTTTGTCCGTTACTCTTTTCGTGGTCTACCACTTCGCCCTTCTGCGCTGCTGGAGCTTGCTTCATCTTGATCTTTTTCGAAGTCTTACTTGTAGAACTATCAGATGGAGTGTGCTGGGGATACAGGGTTTGCAAGAATCGGACGACCCATTCCGAGAATTTCCCTTCTAAAATCGCCTTTCGCATGTCGGACATTAGCCGCATCATGAACCGCACGTTGTGGATCGTCAAAAGTGTCGCGCCGACCGGGTTGCTCTTGTCGTTTTTCGCAACAATCTGAGACAGGTAGCTGCGACTATACTTAGCCTGCGCGCAAGTGTAGCAATCACAGCCCTCCTCGATGACGCCAAAATCGTTCTCGAACCGAGCCGCGGAAGACAGCCTAAGTTGTCCCTGTCGCGTCAAGGCAGTGCCGAAACGGGCAGTGCGGCAAGGGTAGACACAATCAAACATGTCCACGCCCAAGGCAACACAAACGACGATGTCCAACATGTACCTTGAAATAGAGAGTGTGCAAGATTGGCATTTCTTGACTTTTTTGGAAGATCCTTGAGGATTTATAGCGAATTACTACCAGAAGATCCATATCATCATTTGCTCGAGATCAATAACAAATTCTAGTTTTTGTTGTACAACAAACGGAGAAGTCCGGAGCCATAAGCAACTACGGTCGAATAGAAAATATTTAAGTACCCGACTCCCATGCAATATCGGGGTTTCAATTTTGGCAATCCGTCTTTTTCTTCGTCTGTGCACTGTGCAACGACTTGCCAGAACTCGTGTTTGCTTTCGCCTCCACTGAGGCCTCCAATCGCGTAGCCCGGACAATGGTCGCCTCTTGCTTTCAAGTCTGCCAAAGATATTTTCCGCAGGTCCTCGTGCAAGCCGCCTTGCACGATCGCAAAGAGGTTCTGTCGTTCCGGATTCGCGTGTGCCGCGATGCAGCGGTCAAGCCATCGCGTAGTGCGATGCGTCGCTTCCTCGACGCGCTTTTTGTCGGGTTCGCAGCTGGACACCACGTCATCGAGTTGCATCATGATGTCGCTGCCGATGGCATTTTGACTCCTAATACTCTCTTCCGGCGTCAGAAGCATCATACTACCAGGATTCTTCGGGTCCTCGAATTCCACGCCCTGCTCGTTGATACTGGCTAACTTCAAGAGGGAAACCATCTGGAATCCGCCGCTGTCCGTCAAAATATTGCGGTCCCACTGCATAAAATTGTGCAAGCCGCCACATTTTCTCAGTCGGTCGCAGTTTGGGCGGTTCGCTAAGTGGTACGTGTTGCCAAGAATGATTTGGGGACCTAAAGCTTTCACTTCACGACTCAAAAGACCCTTGATGGTTCCTTGAGTCCCGACAGGCATGAAAACAGGTGTTTGCACAGGCCCATGCGGTAATTGGATGGTTGCGGCGCGGGCTCGACCATCTTGCGCCTCTAGAGTGTAAGTTAGGCAACGCGTTGACAAGGACTGAGGAAGCGCTCCACCTGAAGATGAAGATGAAGCTTGTTCAACATCCTTGTTTACTTCAACAGCAGTTGTGACTTCATTTGAAGATACTCCAGATGCTACAGCCCTTCGATGACTGCGGCTCCGGCTACGCTCCTTCTCCAGAACAGCGGGTCCACGTGTCATTATCGTTAATGGAAATCAAAACCAAAAGCTAAACATAAAAATTAATATCAATTACACCAAGATAATCATGATCGAAATTGAAAGAACTGATGACTCCAAACACGAAAAAAACTTGGTTGAAGTAGACGAAGAAATGCCAGCGAAGTAGTCAACGCCTGGTATATTCGTATGAAAGAGCAGGTCTATGCCTCACGGGAACAAATTAGGAACTATTGCCCATGGATCCTTTGCAATGCCGAACGAGAACAGATGTTGCACGGAGCGGTAGTAAGATCTTTGATACGTCGATGACGTCCAGGTCCACAACTGCCTGGCTGTACACTTTCACGAGAAGAGATCTTAACAGCATTGGTTGATCACAAACAGAGAGAAAGATGATGCGCTGATCCTGATCTTCGCCCATCCTACTTTTTACTGCAACCTTTTTGCTGACAGTCCCGTCCTTTCCAATTCGAAATCAACACGCAGACCTCAACATTGAGAATAAAGCGCTGGGGTACTCTGATTTGTCTTTGCCTTTTGGAATATCCTTCAATGGGATGCCCTTCGGCTTCACAATCACAACAGTGTCTGTGTTGATCCAAGAAAGCCATAATCATGTCATTTTGGTGGTACTTTCAATTGCTATTGCACTGATATCTTTGAACGTACTATAAACGTATTTCTGCTATATTTTTTCTCAACGTCCTGCTCTTCATTCTGTTCATTTCTTGTTGTGGTGCGCTCCTACTCGATTCATCCTACTGATGTGTCTGATAAATATAGTAAAACTACTCGATAAAAATGCGATGATTGGGATTCAGTCGTCTCGGAATACTGGTGTACGTAAATGGTTAGACAACCCCCGAGTACCCCTGTCAACAGCGCCGATCTTTATGATCAACAAAACGGCAAAAGCGTCGAGTGACACACAACTAGACTGGCATGTTCGACATACATCCATGCCGATTATGAGACCGTTAGTAGTAATTGCAACGCGTCGTTTCATTTAAGCGACCCGACGGCGCTTCTTCTTGCTGTCGGTTGGTTCCTCGTCGTCCTCATCCCCATCATCGGCATCATCGTTCTCTTCCTCCTGTTCATCGCCGTTCTCTTCTTCCTGTTCATCGTCGTTGTCCTCCGCGTGTTCATCGTCGTTGTCTTCCTCCTGTTCATCCTCCTCATCTTCATTGTTGTCAACATCTTCCTCCTCGTTATTGTCGTGTTCATCTTCGTCCTCGTTATTCTCGCCTTCGTCAATATCCTCCTCATCGTTGTTTTCGTTGTTATCGCCGTCGCCGCCCTCGTCATCCTCGTTGCCGTCATCGTCCTCATCTTCGCTGTTTTCACTATCCTCGTCCTGCTCCTCGCCATCGACGTCCTGCTCGTCATCCTCTTCTTCGTTGCTCTCATCCTCTTCCTCCTCCCCGTAAGGATTAGGTGGGTCGGCTTCGTCGCCGTCCTCGTTATCGTCACTATCGTCCTTGGGGCCATTCTTTTTGGCATACTCGCCCGGCAGCAGTTCGGTGTCGCCCTTCAGCCAGCAACGCGCAATCTCCGTCGTGCTCTCGAGCATGCGCTCATTAAGCTTCGATAAGACGACCATTTTGTTATCGGCGTTCCTCTGCAGTGAAGAAGAAGCGACTGCTCACAAAGAGACGTAAGAGTAGACACGATCAAAATTATCTTGGAGTCGGACTACCAGTACCGCAACTACTATCTCCTCTATTGCTGTTGCACTTCTTACTTGTCCTACAGTACTAAACTTTTGAGAAGTTAGAAGCAGCGTAATGTTGAATATTGTCGAAAAAATTGGGCACTAGGAGCTTATTGAGCCAAAAGTTACGATAGTTACTATAGATGACTAGAACGACACTGACTTAGGTGGTGAAGAAAATGGAGACCGATCAAGCGGGCTGCCGTTTGGCCGAAATCAATGCTCTCGAACGCTCCTCGATCTCTCCAATATTTTCCCATTAACAAGCTTCTACTTCACATATGACCACACACTTTCAATTTTTCGATTTCTTCTGCATATGAACACCACTTATCGCAACCACGAAGCTTCCGATTCGTTGAAACCGATTGTGTAGATGAGATTTCCCAGGGTAGTATAAGAGGGGGAATATAATTAGGAAAGCTAGGTTTAAGCACGCCCAAGGAATTTTGGCTTCCCTTTGTTGGTAAGTCTGGCGATATATTAAAAGAATATCCAACCAATCCTGTAAGGAAAAAGAAAGTATCCCTACCTTCAGCTTCACTTGTAAATGCTGTAACTTCGGCCGCCCGGATTGTGCACTCCTCCACCCGCACACAAGGGACTCAAGACTGCCCACTCGTACCACACGCGTCGCGCATCGGAGAGCCGCCATAATGCGACTTTTACTTCTTCCCCACTGCGCAACGACAATGGCTGCTTTAGCGGAAAAAACATGGGAAACCAGCTGATCAGCTCGTCAGTTTCAGTCACTGGATCAATGCTCATCTCGACTCTCGTTTCGCCAGATTCGGAAACATACAAATCGGAGTGGAAGTACGCTGCGAAACCGTGACATAAGGAGTCGGCCTGTGATTTCAAGGACGTTGGATTGCACAACAACAAACATGAACATGACTGGTGTCGAACAGTGGATACTTCTCTGATACGTAGTTGTCGTTGGACAACACCAGCAGATTCGAGTAGTCAGTATAAAATAAATCCATCGAAGATCAGACTGCGGCTTAATTTGAAAATGCAGTTCTTCTCCATATCTCAGCATTTCTGCCGAGTGGTCGAGAAAAAAGACGGCATCCTGGCGAAAAGTAACTAATGCGGTAAATTCAACAAGCACAGGTTTGATATCTACTAATACGTTTCATATATAATTAGGATAATTGAGAGGCCTAAAACATTGCAAGAAAAAGTATATCGTTCATCTATGTATATTAATCACCCCAGTGATCACCGAACCGAAACTCCGCCCCTACCCCAACGGAGATTAGTCCGCATCTTCCTCAAGATGCTTGCCTATAATCTCCGCCACGCCAGAACGAGTCCCGACAGCCTCCGACCGTTTCCTTCCAGAAACTTGCGAGAAGGCCCCCGGAAAGAAGCCGCCAAAATTCCCGAAGGGGGTAGGGGCGCAAGTTGGGTATAGAAGTCTGACGCAAGAAGACTCACGAGAGACATCTGACCGACGACACGAAACGCCATCAGCCTGACGAGGAAAGACGTCGGCCAGACGAAAGACGTCGGCCTGACGATAGAAGAAAGATAGACGGCCTGACGAAGGGCGTCGGGCTTCCGAGAGCCGAGGCTGACGCCCCTCCTGCGGACGACACCTCTCTGACCGACGAAAGACGAAGGAGAGAGTCGCAACGGTTGCACGTAGAGAGACCCAGCCAGCGCGGCAATGCGTTGCTTTTTCTTGGCCCGCCAAGGTCCCCCCGCCCTCCCTCTTGCCTGCCATCGCGGAGTGGGCCCTGGGTTGGGCCCTGCGGGTCCTTATGCGTGTCTGGTGGTTCTCTTCCAGTTTTTTTGTTGGACTGCCGTGAGTGTCTTGCAAACTCTGAGGAATCTGCGTGACCCCCCGGCAGTCCAATAAAAAATCGAAAGCAGCCCGCCCGTCTTCCCCTGGATCGACGTCGCTAAGTATGTGAGTGCCAGCAGTCTCGCCAAAGTCAAATCATCGAGACGCACTACCCCGCCCGCGAGCTGTCTCTAGCTGTAGCCCGCGGGCGAAGAAGAAGTAGGTGAAGAATTTGAAGCCGGGCGAAGCTTGTGGAGGCTCGTCATAATTCGTCATCAAGTTTACCTCAGCTTTGAGCGTGATTTCGCAATATCGATCATTGTGGCCGTCAAAGATTCGTGGGTTCGGGTGTACGTATTCCAGGCAATGCTCAGAGCTTGAGATCGGGAAAACTTCCTGGAAGGCAACCACGTAGCCCTGTTCCAACTTCGAAGTGCTTTTTCTCAAGCCTTGCCACAATTTTGGCGATGATATCAACTGCAGTGTGCTGATATATCGCTGCGGGATGCTTGTGCCGATAAGATTTTTTCGGCGCCGCGTCATCATGCTTACCTGCGATAATGTGGTCTCTGCGTCGCTAGTTTTGGTGTTATCTGTTGAGTAATATGACGGCTCATTGATTCCATGTTCAGTGCAGCCACGTAGAAAGCGCTGCGCGCCATCCAGGCATTCGGGCGATAGCTCGTTATCGCTGAAGCTACCCAAGAGCTCTGACACCATGACGTCTGCTCGAGCGTCCGTCTGCCAGTTCCGCATGTCCATAGGGCCTATCAGCTCCACAGCGTTGGCCCACTCAGAACGATTTCGGTGCCGCAGTGTCAATACTGCATTTGGGTTTTTCTCTACAGCATACACGCGAAAATTCGGTGCCTTACTAGAAGAGGCCTCGTCTCCCGTAGCAGTAGAGGAAAAAATTTTGTTCTGGAAGAATTCCACCGAATTAAGACAGGCTTGAACGAGAGGACCACGTCCGGCGCCGACAACCATCAAGACGAGCGGATCATCAGAAGGAAAGGCTTGCGAGAAATCTTGCAGAGCGATGCGCGATTGGATTGCTGTCAGAGAACTCGTGCCTGTTGTCGAAGGTCCGGATACACATTCTCCTGCTTCGTTTGGATCTGCTATCTTTACAGAGCAGGAACTGCTACTGCATGAGCCTCCTTCTTGTTCTTCGACAGTAGCCTTCATCTTCTCAACAACCCCTTCAGCTTCGTGGGTGGCAAAATCTGGAACTAATGCTACGGCAGCCAGCTTGTCCCATATGCATGCCTTGATGGCATCTTCGTAGAGTACATATTTTACAGGATCTTCTTCGAAGGTCTCGTAGGTTTGACTCTCTAGATGATGATGTAGTGGCTGCAACGGCGCTTGTAAGAAGTCTAGATATGCTTTCTGGAAACGTTGCTTCACGTCCGGTGGGCATCTCCGTTGATACAAGCCGCCAAGGTACTGTCGGCACATATCCTGGCGCTGGTGGGCCGACGGCAGAACGAGTGACCCGTTATTTAGCACTTCGCCATCCACCACACCAACAACCCTCGCAGGTGAACCTTCTTTAGCTTTTTCCGGTGAGATCGTCTCGCCTTCGCTGCTTTTCGTGCTTGCCGGGCTACAGCCGTCTTGAGACTGACCACACACTTTGCGCTCAGGAATATCACGACTTGTCGATCTTGTGAACGACGAATCCGTGCTCATCTCCAGCTCGTCGTCTTTCAGAATTATTCTGGTTTTGCGCGGGAAGAAACCTCCTAGAAAGCTTTGTAACCGTCTGGACAACACAGGATAGTCTTTGGCGTTGTTTGTAAATGCTGACGGCGCGAGCTCTATGGAATGCACATTCTCTGCATACCATCGGTCTAGCTCCACGTCGGAGCCTCCGAGACCAGCAGGCGAACCGGCGTCAACTACCAGGCAAACGGCCAATTGCTCAGCCTCCTCGATCAGGCTCCGGAACTGGTTCCACACACTCCAACCGTCTACAGATACTATTTCATCGTTCTCCTTCTGCCCTTCTTTCGGCATTTTTGAAACAGTATACCGAAGCGGAACGCGCACTACCAGAGGCACGCCAGCAGTCTCGCGCGACAGTAAATAACGATTGAGCATTGCTGCGTAACGCGCACAGCCCTGTGGGTTCGGTGGCGGCAACTGCAGCGCAAAGAGACCTAGGTGGCAGCCGAACGACATTTCCGTTTCAAGCGCTTTGACATCTGCTACGCCGTTCTCGGGGTCTAAATGAGTCGAACAAACGCCAACGACAGAGCTGCTCCACATGCTGCCTTCCATGACCAGGTCTGAAGAAATCGACGGCGCAAACGTCAACACCGTTTCGTCTCCTTTAGCACCAAATCTCGTCGAGATCGACTGCGTTTCAGCTTCGATCGCAGCCAACTCGTCACCTCCATGATTATCCTGATGTTCCTTTCCTGCATCAATCTCCTGTCCTTGATCTTTCCTTATCGTGCTCCTTCCGAGAGGAAAAGACACGAAGTCAAAACGAGCAGACATCGCGTCGCTGACCGCGACAAAAAGGTCACCCTCCGAGACATCCTGGAGCCCTCGCCCAAGGTACAAACGGTCCCCGCCTCTTCCGAGCACCGGCATCTTTTTGCTAGGCTATAGTCGCTTGACGTTACGGATACGGTTGATGATGTAGATGTTCTAGTCCTGATATCGATAATCTAAAATCATGTACATGTAGTTAGTCTGCTTACTACAAAATAGCTCGGTAACTTGTCAACGAATTGCTTCAATACCCACGACCTGCATCACAAAGAAAGTAAGAAGTAATTGGAGTTGCGAAGATAAAAAGCAAAATTTGGGTAGTCAAGCAAATAAGGATCCTTCCAACCTAGTCTGCTTCGATCAAGATCATACGAACCTTGTTTTGTTCATTGTAAATAATGGATCTTGCGGGAGCAACGGATCCTGACGACAGAAAGTCATGATCGTTTAGCCGCATTTGCTCCAAATTATACAAGACCTGACCGTGATGGATCCACCTGAGCAGGTGGCGTTGTCCACACCGCGAACAAAATCCTGTAGATCTACCTAGCAACATTAGTTTCTCAACAGCAAGAGAAGCATGGATCTGGATCGGAACGCTTTCGTTGTTGCAGACAGGAAAAGGACGCCTGTACTCTTAGCGACAGGGATCATCTGACGACGAGCATTTTACGAAAGAGCGAGTAAAAACGGGCACCTCGCTCGTTTTCCTTCTCCTGCAGAAAACGCCTCGGACAACTGTCTTGAACTACAATTATGTTGTGTGACTTCAGTGTAGCACAATCCTCGTTTTCAGGAATCATGCTTGCACAAACGCTAGGATTTTCCTCGTGTGAAGCAGATTTTCTATTAACACGAGCTACTTGTTATATGGAATAGTATGCACAGACCACATCACAACTTCATGACAGACTAGACCTAAACTCCCAATGCAGAATACCACTAAATGAACGTTCATGCTCATTCCGTGTTTTTCCGAGAACTGGCACAGTCCGCTGGCGGTCACTCAACCGCAGAAAATTATAATTGCGAGTGGAGCGATATCTTTGATCGCTACGTTGTAGCACAAGTATTCAGAACTTCTCCCCTATCCAACAGATCCGCATAAGCATCGAAAACCCTAAATTCATCACATTTACACCCAGGATATCAATATTCGCAAATATTTCATACCCGCATTTCCGAATTTTCTACGTGTCTTTGAATCAAAAAGAGTAAGTGGTTGAAAGTATTTTCACAGTAAAAAGTATTTGACCTATCGAGTTTACGTTTCGTCCAGCGAAAATTCGTTTTCATGTGCCTCCACAACTCGGCGACACACACTTGCACCAGCCAGCGTTGTTCCCACCACGACCAGAGTGTAGCGTGTATACTTTATTCGCCTCCTCCGTCGCATCCTCTTCCTCTCGCAAGTTATTTTTGTTCTCCTGCTCGGCTTTTTTTATTCCCTCTTCCACCTTACTCAAAATTCGCTGTGCAAGTGTATGGAACACTTCCTGTGGGTGTAAAAATGGGAAAGCTGTTTATAGTTGCCAATCGATAGATGCATAAGAGGAAAAATCACCTTCTCCAACCCATTTATCATGTTGTTCGAGGATCGAATTCACATTTCATTTACAGGGAAAGAATGCAGACAAAAGATGAAAGAATCAAGAACAGCAAGACGGATTATATACAATATACGTTGACATTCTCGCCTGTGAGCGCTGATGTCTCGAGGAAGAGGATCCCCTGCTCTTGTGCGAACCTACTAGCCTCGAGGAACGACACTTGTCGCTCTTCTTTCAGATCTCGCTTGTTTCCTGTGTTGAAGGAATTAAGATTGGAATTCGAAGTTGCACTGTAGTACATTATGCTTAGGCGCCAAGCAGGGTAAGAAAAGGGGATGTGAAACAAAAACCAGTAAAAATCTAAGTACGTGGGAGTAATAAAGTGGCTAGTACCCACAGCGATGATGCTGATGTCATGAAAACTGGCTTGCTCTCGCGCGTCACGCAGCCAGGTCGGAAGATTGTTGTAGCTTTCCCTACTAGTCACGTCATAGAGAATCAGTGCTCCCACTGCACCCCGATAGTAACTTCTTGTTACCGCACGATACCTACAAGTTCTTGTTTCTCCAACACAAAGTTCTTGGAAGAAGAAGGAGGCTCGAGAGCAAGGTTCTAGATGTCGAGCTCCGAAGAACTTCTGCATGAGTTACCTAGGGAGGACTGTGACTGTGTAGGAACCCACTATTGGTACCTCTCCTGCCCTGCAGTGTCCCATATTTGCAGCTTGATATGCCTGTCGCCTAAAGTTATTATCTTGGTCCCAAATTCGACGCCGATCTGTGAAGTTTCAGTGGAATAACTAACATGCAAAACTAAAGAGAGACTTCAAAAAAAAATATAAATCATTTAAAGAATTCCATAACAAGCTACTGTCACCGTCGCTTATGGCATCCCCTCAAACATGTTGTATTGATGAAGTACCGTATGCGTGCTCGTCTTCCTAAATTTTCCCTCGAGAAACTGGTGCATGAAAGACGACTTTCCTGCCCCTGCATCGCCGATGATTATCAATTTGAATCCATAATCGCACTCGATATGATGACCATAGCTTCCCCTATTTTTATCATTGTAGACCTGCACGAGGTCCCTCAATTCCATAGGAGGCCGATACATCCTGTCTTTTTCTTCTAGTCTACTTGAGAAAAGGCTTTCGGCAATTCGTCACGCTGTTTCGCTTTATCAATGCGGCATGTGCCGAAGCTCTTTTATGTCGTCCGTCGGTGTATTGGGAACCTTTCTGCTCCACTCAGTGCCGCTGCCGCACGCAGTCGATTAACGGCATGCAGGAAGCGCCGACGAATCACTGTAGCTGTAGTAGAGTAGCTCTGAGGGGAAGTGGCACTGTGACGAATGCGGCTGCTTTGGCAATTAGACACAGGAGCAGCGCAAAAGAATAAAAAACGCACGTCGAGTGACTATCCCCATTCGTTGGATGGCGGTCCCCAGTTCTCGAGCTCGGAAGCTTTCCGCCGCTCGCGAGCCGTGGAGCCCGTGGATCTCATGTCGTAGAAACGAACCTCAACTCCATATTGTGAACTTAAAAGAGGAAACTTATCTATGATATCAACAATACTAAGTAGGACCACGACCGAGAACGACTAACGCTAGTCTTTGGTTTGATGATGTTAGTCGATTCGGATTGGACCGACGACTTTGAGTTCTACGAGTTTCTCTCTGGTGTTGAAGTTGTGAAGGTGGCCCGCTGTCTCTCCTCGTTGCTGGGAGAAAGCTGTTGCTGCTGCTCGCGCTTCCCTCTGCTATAGTATACGCTTCCACCCTTCTCGGTTTAGGCATCCTCCAATGTGACAGATCTAGCCACTGACTCCTTTAGCGTCCTGTCTCCCCCCGTTTCTTTCGGTCGTCCTTGTCTACATGATCCAGCTGCTTTCTCTGCGTGCGTCGCTTTGCGCATTCTCCTCACCCATCGCCCTTCCGGATATCTTACCACGCGCCCCAGTTATCTCAGCCTCATGGACTTCAAGCCCAACCGTGTTGGCCGTCGTTTCTGGTTCAGTGTCGCCAGGGTGTCTTCTGTTGTTTTCCTGTCCTTCTTCTTTAAAACTGAAATGTCAACTATAACCATTGAGTTTTTTCAAACAAGAAAGTGTAAGTAACACCCTCTTCCCTCAGCACTCGTCAAGAGTGCTGAAATGCCAAGCGATTGATTCTAAACAGGTTTTTCTCTCCTCTCGTGCACCTGCTCTGTACTAAACAAGCAAAAACCTGTCTCAGGCTCAGCTGCTTACGTCCTCCACTAACTGGAAGGAGTTTCCGTTTTTCCCGCCCGCACGCTCTGACTCCTTCAAAGCTACAGCATACGATATTAACTGCAACGCAGCGCATTTAATCCGAATGGGTGGCAACTCGTGTGATGTTGTCGCCTACCTCGAATCAAACAAAACAAATTGATACGTGCGTAGGTAGTTAGCAGAAATCGGACTGATATCGATGGATGGTGCATGTAGAGAAGAGACAAAACAAGTTGTATGCTGCGCGTATATAATCATGCCTCAATGATGTTACCTTGACCGTATTCTCAATGGATCAGCATGCAATTTAGATCTATTACAAAGTAGCAGGACGACTTCAAGACTGCACTTTATAAACGAAACTGTATACCTTTATGATTTTTAACAGAAACAAACACAAAACCTGGGATATCAAGAGAGGTTCTTCGATTTCGAGCACGACTCAAATCGGTTTCCGAGATTCTCGTTGCATCAAAAATAGATATTGGGCTAATCTTCATCTAGTCTCAACTTTGTCTTTTGCCATCTTTGATTATTCATCCGACTTCTGAATGTAAAGAACGTCTCTCTATCTTTTCCAGCATGCATCTAGCACAGTCGCAAACCTTCGTCTTGATGATTCTGGTTCATTCATTTTCCCGGTGAAGCGAGAGTACTGCGGGGCGCTTGACTGCGTATTGGACAAGCGGCTTAGTCTTGTCAATCGCCCAAGAAAAAACGTGTGTAAATATCAGCAAGCGCCAGTACCATTTGTTAATTTTTTACATAATTCTAGTACTTCTTCTACTAACTTACTAATTACCCAAAAATATATAATAGAACATCAGTATCTAGACAACAATACATTCTCGACCATGCATGTTACGCTTCTTCGTACGCGAAAGAGCCTCAACAATCCCTTATGCCGATTGCCTGTGCCCCGCCGATGCCGTCTGTTCCTCGTAGAGTCGGTTCATTTCACGCGTGGCTTTGTCTCTTGCAAAGTTGTACTCTATTTCTTCTACTGCACCGCCAGAAGCACCTTCCTGAATTTTCCCAAGTTCCATTCTAGAGAAAGACGAAGATATCTCTTCGTCATTATTTTCATTGTCTGATTCTACTTGAGCTGAACTAGAGAGGCGCCGTCGCATTTCATCCGTCGCTGAACGCAGAAACTTTTGTTGGTGTTTCTCTTTCATTTCATGGTAGTGTTCTGGGTGTCGCTCATACCAGACTCCTTCATCTCTATTCGTCATTGAATCCTCTACGTGTTCAGGCAGTGACCGCTCTTTACGGTGTCGTGATGGTGGAGCCACTCCGACTGAATGAGAATCTTCCTGCCTTGGAGGCAACGCAGCTGATGTTCGTCCTCCACTGCGATCGTCTACGGTAACACCGGTGTCCTCGTGAAGATTATTGTAGGAATTGAGGACCATGTCGAACCCCCACCGTTCGAGAGTGAACAGGCTCTGTGCTCTGGAAATATCTTGATCCGTGACTGAAAGCCTATCTTCGCTGCTAGCCGGTTCATAAACATCCTTTGTCTGCAAACCGTCCGTCGCCCGAACAGCAGCTGTAGGTGCAACGAGAGACGAAGAACTACCAGAAGCTCGTTGTTCTTCTGCCACAACTGCACGTCCGCTGCCATTTTTCTCTTGCGGTGTTCTCATTCTCTCTCTTTTTGGCACGGGAGGTCGCACGCTAGTCCCCTGTGGCGGTGTAGGTCTTCTAGGAGCACTTGGAGGACTTGATGCTGCCGCGCGAAGACCTCCTGGGGGGTAGCGAGAGTGTTGGTATCGAAAGTACGGCGACCCCCGTGCGGGCGGAGTCGCTGTGCCCGAGCTTACGAACGCGGCGTTCTGAACCGCTTCCCACAAAGAGGCGACGATACCAGGACGATCAGCATTCATTTCTTCTTGTGCAACAGCTAGTTGCGCATCCTCCGCACAAGGTTGAGAAGCATTGCTGGAGACATTGCCAAAGTAACTCGAAGTGTGGCCGTGAACACCGCTTGTGTTGACTCCAAATGACTCTCCTGTGACGCCCGTGCTGTCTTCACCCACGACAACAGGTGAAATGGCACCCTCTGGTGTGGGTGTCGGAGGTACGTTACTGTTTAGGCCGGGTTCGGATAATGTACTACTAGATGAAGACCTGCCGAATACGACTTCTGAGCGAGTTTTCATCTCTGAATCGCCAGTCTCCATCAACGTCACGGCGTCATCTATAACACGCGGAGAACGAGGAGCCACGCGATCATCTGAGCGCAAAAGTAAAGCTCCTGGACTACCGGTACCACGTGTGCCGGTTTCTGACGCCACTTGTCTGTCCATGGGTGGAGCGCCCAATTGTTTTAGAGTTACTCCTACACCTAAAAACAGTGAGTTCTTGTATTGAACCTATATTGATCTGTCACAAGAAACCACATCTTTTTTCAGCTTGCTCAGAACACGCACAGCTTTTGCCGATAGGTTCTTAGTAGGTCGAACGATTGATCTAACAAGGGCATTTGAGAAGCCACTTAGAAACTAGATGAAAAGAGACGCTTTCCTCTGAGAAGTTGCTACAAGATAGCTGCCATAACGTTTGTTCATTATCATTTGGTGCGTCTGAATCCGTCATTTCTCCCCTTCTATACGAGCTTGCGACCAGTGGCCTTCGTCCTGAAACGTCTGCCATATCAAGGCCTACTTTCTCACGACGCTGTTGCTGTTCTTCTTCTTTTTGTACAATATCAGACGTGGTCCTCTGCAAATTTCTTCTGTCTTTCTCGATGTGTTCTCGAAGTTCTTCTACGACAAGGTTCAGTCCAGAACTGTCGCGATTAGGGAGTCTAAAATTCGGATGTTTGTGCCAATCAGGGGGCTGAGCGTCAGCGTGGTAGCTTAATCCTCCGCTTTCGTCGGCTCCTACCCTCGGAAACACGTAATCACTAGGAAAAGGTCCTTGCACAGTGAAGTCGCCATCGAGTGTGTGCAGCACGCGTGGTGCGTCCGAAGGATCACGCTTCCAGACCCACTGATCCTCGTTAAATGAGGGCCTACGTCCTCTGGAAGCAGCGAAATCCGAGGTGGAACGTACTACTCGTTCTGGATTGTGAGTAATCGTAGCGTCTTTGAGGTCAGAGAGGACATCTTTTCCGTGCTGATATGTTGGCTGCGGTGTTCCGTGTTCAGCATATTTCGGTGGCACTCCGGTATCACTTAGATAATCTGGACTGATCACTCCATCTGCACTGCCTTGCTCATGTCCTCTCTGAAAGAGTTGCCATGATGCTGCAACGGTTTGCGGGACGCCGTGGTCAGTTCTTGGAAGCACTCTGCTGGTATCAGAGATTTTCGAGTTCCTACGTCTGTGGGTAGACGAAATGCTGCTGCCAGGATCCACTCGCTCGCTTTCACTGTAAAGTCCCTGATGCAAAGACAGCAGGCTCTCATCAAAAACTGAAGCAGCATCGAAGGCAGAAGACCCTGCGACCGCAATGCCCATTTGGTCTTCAATTGAGGGAAACACAACGCCGGCCACAGGATAAGAAGCCCCAAAATGATTCCTGCCTACTGCTCCACCTCCCGACCCATAATGATAAGGGTGACCACCCGCCAAATCAATAGCGCCTCTGCCAGCCATGTTCATCTGATATCCGACTGCAGCCAGCGAAGCAAAGAGGTACAGCGAGAAGACGAAGACTGTGCAGCAAGCGCAACAGCAACGACACCGACGCAGTCGCGAAAGCACTTGTTGACCTCCTTGGAGAGTGACTCGACCCGCACTTGTCGCTGCGCTCGCCGCGGTTGCCGTAGCGTTCGCAAGAGGAGCCAGCGGATTTTCGTACATCCTTTCTGCCATGTCGGCCAATTGGTCCCACGACATTGAGAAGTTAGAAGCCGCTCGCTGCCCAAGGTCGTGGATAGTCCCGTCAATGGTGCCAAGCAGCACTCTTTGCCACCTAGGAAACATCCCGTCGAACTCGTCTGACTCTTCACCTTCCTCGACTAGTTCCTGAACAGCGCCGCGTTCGTCATCCTCACCGAGGTTTGCGGCTCTCTCTTCAGCACCTCTTGGGTCTTCATCCAGAATCGCGTCTAGGTCAGGATTTCCTAAATCGCGCCGCCGCGTCATCCTGGTTCCATACCAACTCGCGGCCAACTGCAACAGCTTTGCTAATCGAACTACAAGGATCATGCCGCGCGGGAGTGAAGCCTCCGCAAACTGAAGTCCGTCCCTGCGTTCGTTTGTGCCCGTAGCAGCCTGAGCAGAACCTTCGCTCGTGTTGTGGGGTGTTTGCGCGTTCGCCACAGGGTCTGCGTCAAGAGCCTCTCTGAAAAACGCGGTCGCAAGCCACAGGGTGCGGTCCGTCCTTGCGTTGCCACGCGTACGTGTTTTTGCCGCCTGCTTCGCCTTTAGCAAGTACTTCTCGTCACAAACGTGCTTTCGTGGATCTGTATAGCGGGACACAGGCACCGGGTCTCGACAGTGCGGACACGGAAGGCAGGCGACCTTAAACAGCCGCTGCCAATAGTAGTTCCAAACACCACCCGCCTCCTGAATCGCCCTACGAAGTTCCTCCGGGATTCCCAGTCCACCCGCTCCGCCACCGCTGTAAAAATGATAGGGCGGACGCACGTACGTCACTTTTTTGTTCGGCGTCCTCGCTACAAAATCTTGCGCACACTTGACATGGATCCAATGCCGGCGATTGTTTCGATCTTTTTTCAATTCTTGTTCGGAGACCGTGGAAGCGCCATGTCTAGAATCCGCAGAAGAACAACAACTGCGCGAGCCACTGGAACCACGACCTCGAGATTCCGCGTCGGTCCTTATAGCGCTGCGAAACGGATCATTATCGTCATGTTGCGGCACACAATTCAGGAATTCGTTGTACAAGCGCGTGATGCACTTTCGACAAGGTTCTGCGGCGGGATCGTCGAAAAATGCCGAGTCACATGCGCTACACTCCTTCATAATTTCACGCTGTTTTTCTCCAACCGCTGCCTCAAACTCCTCTTCAGTGTCAAACGCACAGGGCACCAAACAGTCTTCCAGGCAGAGATCACACTCCAATCCTTTTTTCTCTTCTTCATGCTGTGATTCACGAGATCTACCTTCTTCAACTCCTGGTGAAGCAGTAGGCGTAGTCTGCGTCCCCTTATCACTGCACTGGTACGCTGTAGTGCCTCCGGTCGCTTCCGTGTCGATGACCTCGCAGTGTTCCGGGGTATCTCTATCTGTCCCCCACTCTTCACCAAAAACAGCAACCATGCAGTCAACGTTTCCGCCTCGACCAGTTGCAGTGGCTTGGCTTTGGCCCCCTGTGTCCTCTACGGAAACAGTCGTAGCTCCACCAGCACTCAGTCCATCCCTGCGGCGGCTGGGGGACATTCGTCTACGAGAGGACCTTGACCTGGTACTAGTAGACCGACCTGTAGTACCAGAAGAAGCACGCCGCAGTGTGCCAGAAACAACACCACCTACCTCTCCTGCATTTTTCGCTTCATCAAGGTCACCTCCAGCACGCGCCTCCGCGACCAGAACCTCTGCTGGAAACGTAAAAACCGACGGCCCCAAATCACGATCTAGGTTATGATAGTGCTGTACAACTGCGTCCGGACCTTCATGCGGCGAATGCATCGCCAGTAGACCCTGAGGCGACAATGCTGCTGTAGACGGGGTACCCGATCCGACTGCGCCAGTCGGTGTCGCGGTTGTCGACGCGTTAGAAAGCGCACCGCAGGAAAACGACGACCGCAAAGCATAGTAGGGATCCATCAGTGAGATTGATTGGCTTTGCCCTACACCATCCACCAGAGAGGGACTGCCTTTTCCTTTGGACTTCTCGCTGGGCTTCTTGTTCGTCCCTGTTCGAGATCTGCTTCTGTGTCGAAACTTTTTTTTTCTTCCACGACCGACGTTCTTACCACCATTGTTCTTGATACCACGCTTGTGCCGTCCCCGAAGAGACGTAATTATTTGTGGTCCCTTATTTGCTGATGTTGGTGACGATGTGCAGCTGCTGTTCATATCCCTTCTGCTTGCACTTGCATTTTTAGGAGCTGCATCACAATCTGTGCGTGGTCCAAGAAACTTGTTCTGCCTTTCGAAGTTTAAAAGATCAGAACAATTTTGACCACTTCTGGCATCCTCGTCGGTCTCTCGTGCCTGGGTTGAACCTTCCATACCGTCCCAAAGAGCTTTCGCACACTCTTTCTCTTAGCTACGGTGGTAATTTTTCACCATGTACTATTCAACAACTGATCAATAACCATAAATGTTGTTGGCTGCATGGATAAAACTTGTCTTGTATTTAATACTTATTCTTCGACTCTAGAGGAGTGCGCAACTTCCTAAAACCTCCATAATGACGCGCACAAGTAGCGGAACCGTAGGACACCTGAAAAACATGGATGCCTATCCTCATATTGTTTGCCAGTAGGGATGAAGTCGAAGGAAAACTCACCGATTAAATTTGAGCATGGAGTATATAGTGAAGAACTACCACCACCCTTAAGCGTTTCTCTCCATTGTCATTGCCTTGTCGATCTTCTCCGAAATTTGGGCCTGAATCTGCCTGTCTAGCTCTTCTCGAGTCTCGTCGCTACTTTCCAATGTTGATGCGGAATCATCTTCGGAATCGTAAAAGAGATGTGTCCCAAGCTCACGTGGATACACCCTCATCCCATCTTCTGGAGCAGCAGCGCAAGGACCTTCTATTCGTGGAGTCGCAAGCGACGTTCTGTCCGGTTGTAGACGACTTGAAGATGCTCCCCCGGTTTCTCTCGTGGAGGCCCAACGTGTACTCTCTACTTGTTCCGCGTTGTGGGCTCCGCTGCCTAAGTCTTCAAGTGCGTAGTTGCACAGATTTCCGTCAATTTGCGGACTTCGTCGCATAGTGCGCTCTGGCGATGTCGACATCTCGCGAGCGAACATCAGCTGAAAATCCCTTTGATTCTGCTCCTTCTCCTCTTCGCTCTCCTTGTCGTGCGGGTGCTTTAGTCTTCCTCCACCCGCAAGAAGAAAACGACCTCTGGACGAGGATGATGCAAGAGACGCTCCTTGATGGGCATCACGCTGAGATGCTAATCTGTGCCGAGCACCAGGAGCACCCTGTTCTCCAGTAGAACATTCTTTTGTACTAGTGAAGCTATTTCTCTCTGCTGCGCCAGCGTTTGTGGGTCGTGTCCTTGCAGTACTGGTGACGGCGGCGGGAGAAGTACTAGTAGTCGCACTTCCTGATGCAGTCGTTTCTGCTGCTCTAGATGTCCGAATACGGTCAAGAGGCCGACCTGGTCTCTCCTCCTGCTCGCCCTCGGTTGTCAGCGTAGCCACGGAACGAGTAATCGCATGACGTCCGCGAAAGGAGGCACCGACCTGCTCTACTTCTAGGAGCAACAACAACGCAAAAAAAGCAGCTATCATATTGCTAGCAGATCGCCTGTTGGCTCTGAGATTTGCAGCAGGGGCCTCCCTCTTCATGGGGGCTAAAGGTTGGAAGACACGGGTGGCCATTCTTATAATGATCATAGTGGCTCACCGTCACCGCCAGCTAAAAGTAACAAACTTATTTTTCATGGCAGAAGGCAGTCAGTCGTTTACGTTTTTCCAACTTTGGAAAATTCTTTTTCGCTTTCTGTCAAATCTGAGCCAGTAACCTACAAATGCAAAGGATGCAAGCGCCGGAGCAATCATCAACGGATGTTGAATATTAATCTAAAGCACTCCTGCGATCTGTTTTTTGCAAAGCAATGGATCATCATCCGTGCTTTTTAAGCATTACTTCTAGCAGTCCTTCATCTCTACCATATGAAGTGGGCATTTTCTAACTTGGTCGGCCGATACCTCCACATTTCAGCAAAAAAGTCGCACGACGATGCAGTTTGTGGAGCGCTCCCTCGAATGACTGGTCTTCCTGGCAAAACAGAAGAACCCTACCTAGCTACATTCGGCGATCAGAAAGGTGGGACACAATTTTTCCCAGGGGAGACATTGATTTCCCCTTTAGATCAGGTGCACTTTGAAAACAACATGGGACACTGATTTCTACGATTCTGGATCAGGTACATCGTGAAAACTAAACAGAATCAAACATGGAAAAGCTCTGAATCACGCCCACTAAATTCAAATGCTCCTTGACTCCAGTCAGTCTGCAACGAACACGTACACGAGGTCAATTATCTTAAAACGCAAACCTCATACATTGCTTAAGTGCCTGAAGATGTCGGAAGGTGCTTTGCGTAAAATGTGATGCATGATTCTGGCAAATCTTCATCGCATGATCTAGAGAATACTTAAGTAATCGAGAGAGTCGTGCAAGACATTGCCGTGAGGATGTTAGTGTATTAAGGAAAACTCGGGAACGGGATCGAAATTTTCAAGGGACGAGCAGAAAGACAATGGGAGGGCGGCGCTCAACTGTGGGGAATTTCCCTCACGCTCCAGCCTTTGAGGCAGATGATATCTTCGGAGATAATAACTTCGCTTCATTATTGCTTTTCCGAACCACCTCAACGACGCCACCTGCTGATGCTCTTATATTCTTCATTTCTGTGAGTAGCAGCGCCTCGATCTCAGCTCCTCGGTTGGTCATCGCGTGAGCCAGCGTGAAAATGTCGCACCCGTCATTGTCTTTCAAGAACAGGGCGTCCTTGCCACCGTGTTGCAGCAGTACCGCTAAAAAGTTTAGGTCGCGCTTAGCCCCTACATGCTCGACAGCGACATGCAGCGGCGTCTGACCATCAGCATTTTTACCCATCACCTGCAATGAGCGGACCATCTTTTTACCCCAGAGTTCTTTGCTCTCGAGGGCCAATAATCGGCGCATTATTATGTCGCCGCCGCTTTGTGCCGCCAAGTGCATAGGCAATTCGCGGTCGACTGCTGGGCACAACAATAATCGAGATACAACGTTTTTCCGAACAGCAGCCTCATCCACAGTGCTATCAGACGCGCTTTCTTCGTCTTTTACTTCCTCTTTCGAGGCTACTTCCGATCTCTTCTCCTCGATTTTTCTTTCCACTAACTCCTCCAACAAGGATTTTCCAATGGAAATAGCTCCATTTTCTGCTGCAGAGTTCTTTGCACCAGCGACAGCAAGAGGAGCCTCGTCCTTCGTAATGGTGATAGGATTTGTAGGTGGAATTTTTCCCGTGAAAATAAAGTCGAAAATATTTACGGCCGAGTACCCCGCAACGAAGTGCAATAAACCCCACGACCATTGGTCATAGCGACGATCCTCGATCAGGATCTCGCGGACTTGGTCCAATCGGTTTACGAAGCCAACTACATCGTCACTCTCCACTACTTTCTGCAAGGGAAAAGCCTCACGCGTACTCTTCTGAGCAGGTTGCATCATTTTTTAGTAAACTTCCGGAGGAAAAATAGAAAAGATGCACGGACGTTTTGTCGCTATTCAGAAAATGCAAAACGTATAGAATCGCGTCAAAAATTATACAACTTTATTCGCTAGTGTCGCTGTAAAGTCAAGTAGTCGTGGCATTCGATCGCGGATTTAGTGAGTTTACTCGGTAATAATGCATCTTGATCTTTTGAAATGCATTTGCATTTCTTCCTTATGTTTCGTTGATCTAAACCAATCGGAGTCAGATCTTCTTGACTATTGTATCGTTTTAATTTATTCAAACGCACGACTGCAGAAAGATCTCCGTCCAATTGAGCCCCATCATCTTGTGTCTAGAAAGAACGCGGATCTTTTCAGAGAAGGTGAACAAAATGATTCACCCTTATTTTTGAGGGCACACTTTCTTCAGAACAAAACACAACGAGATTCATAGCTGCCAGCATGCTGATGCTGAGTGAAAATATGAGCAGTCCCTTGGTTGTTATAGGACAAAAGACTGATGACGAAAATTTTGTGCTCCTCTATTTTTCATTATTTTTTGGGGCAAATCTTGTGCGCATAGAACTTGCCTCCATGAAACAATGTGGTCCATAATCGATTCATAATTCGGAATCATCCAGTGTCGAAACAAAATGCACCGATCTGTATTGACGAAGCCGCGACATCATGTGAGACAAGTATAATTGAAAGTTGTTAATCTGCGGTATTTTCAAAACCGAATTGAAAAAAGCTACTACAATCATCGGAGAGATGATCTTCTTCATTTGGTTTTCATTTATGTCCCTCAGTTTAAGAACTCTTCTGGCCTTCGGAAGAGGTACTCTGGCCTTAGTACAAGTAGTAAATTGATACATCTACTCTGGTAGAATAATCATTTTGTGCTCGATAATATGTGGGTTCAATAAATATCGATTCGGATATTCAAAGCTCTTCCTTATGCTCCACCGAGTGCGACGTCGCTGCCGCAGGTGACGTGGACGCCATCCTCTAGGACAAAAGCGGCAACCTTGCTTTTGTCCTCTGCGGAACAGACGTGAACCGTGACACTGGCCTTTTTCGTCGCTGCCAGACTCTCTTGTAGTTTCTTCAGGTACTCACTGCTCGACCAGGTTTGAATGGCCGCCAACACTGCGGTTTTCTCCGATGGGCTCTTGCAGACGGAATCAAACGCCGGCAACAGCGAAGGTCGGCGCGGACAGATAAACGCCGTAAATTTCGTCTTCCCGTCGTCCAGTTCTGCGGTATCAGTGGCAACCACCTGTCTGTCTGCAGGTGGAGCGTCGAGCAAAGTCAACTTTCGGCGAAGGAGCTTGTCAACGTACCTACAGATGGAAGAATAGAGTGTAGGTTCATCTTTACTTCATCACATATTTACATTTTTCGGGCCTAGTACGAGGAAAATTCTAAAAGTGACTCGATTAAGTTGCATTGACACTCATCATTGAAAACTCAAACACTGCGTAATAACAAAGATGAAATACTCGCTCTTATCCGTAAGTGCTTTTTTCAGCTTGTCGTTGTGTGCGATGCCGTAGATATCGACGAGATCTTGTGGTCTCAAATTGGCTTCCTTGCACAGCTTTTGAATAGTATTGGCTACGGATCGTCCCGCAGCGAGTTTCATAAGATCCTCATCTGGCGTAAAATCGAGAATCACCAAGTTGTTGCTCGGGTCGTACGCGTGCGCAAGGTCAACATTCCTTCCATTCATACCTGAAGAGGAGAAAGGGCGGGAGGGGGGAACATTATCAAGATCAGTGTAGCTGTAAGCCGGTTGAAAATGAATTCGGATTTCAAGTATAATACATAGTGCTAATAGTTCGATGAATGGACTACACTAAGTCCATAGTTGTAGTAAGTAGTTGTTGTACTAGGTACCTTCAATATTGACTTCTCGTGCAATTTCAAGATCGTTTTTGTCGAACGTAACGCCGAGGATTTCTACTCTCTGTTCGTTGGCTTCGTACGCATCGATCTCTGTCGCTGTCCAACCGTTGAGTACTTCCTGAACCTTGTCCATGGCTAGTTCAGCCTTCTTACACTTCTGCGCCGTTGATTTCTTTTTCGTTCGGAGGTTCGCGATGTTGGATACCTTATGCGTTTTTTATTCAGAGGACTTTGCGAGTAGTACAAGTTTCTCTAATCATGAAATTTAAGGAGCACCATTCTCTATCTCCCTCTTAATACTGATATTCGTAAAATCACAAATCTTCACAAAGCAGTCCTCGTCCGAAGTGTAGATGTACAAATCAATGTTTGCAAAAAGTAAGAAGTACCCTCACTTCCCGTGCCTGGCTCGCTGGGAGGACGGACACATCCATGACGTTCACTTCTTCCTTGATGTAGGTAATGAGCTGCTCCACGTCCGCGAACTCGTTTGCGCGTTCGTCGTCGTAGACAACACGCATGCTCAGGAGCGGAGTTTTGAGGCCGATCTTCTTGCGGTTTCGGAGCAGACGCGCCGTCTCGATCAATTGCTGCATCGTTTTCACGGATGCCTCAATCTGCTCATTCAGCAAGTTCTTGTTGAAGCGGGGACGCATGACAAAGTGCACGCAGTCAGCCTTCTTTTCGTGGCCGTCGGGCAACGCGCGCTGCAGGTTTTCGTACACGAGATCGGACAAAAACGGCGTGACTGGCGCAAAGAGAATCGTGACGTCCAGCAGCACTGTGTACAGCACAGTCAAAGAAGCCATTGCGTCGGCCGCTCCGGCGTCTCCACGCATGCGCGGACGGTTTAGACGGATGTACCAGTTGGTGAGCTGCTCCCAGAACCCAGCCAACTGCGGAACCACGGCGTACAACTTGTAGCTGTCCATCTCCGTCTCAACCGTTTTCAGCAAGTTGCTGCACGCTGCAAGGATCCACCGATCCGTCAAATTCTCGCTTTTTTCGAGAAGCGAAAAGTCCGGCTTAAACGGGCTCTTCTGCTTGCTCTCCAGGCGTTGCGACTCCATCACCAGGAAGCGGTAGGCGTTGTACCACGGGAGGAAGATGTTCTTCACCACATCCTGCACATCGGCCTCCTTGAAACGCAGAGGTTCCGCGCGCACGGCCGGACTGTTGCACATGTACATGCGCACCGCGTCTGCGCCGTATTGCTTCGTCATGTAGAGCGGGTCTGGGTAGTTCTTCAGGCGCTTTGACATCTTCTTGCCGTCCTCCGCTAGGATCAAACCGTTGCAGATCAGGTTCAGAAATGGCGGCTGGTCGAACAAGTGCGTGGACAGCACCATGAGGGTGTAGAACCACCCTCTGGTTTGATCCAGACCCTCCGCGATGAACTGGGCTGGGAAGCCGCCACTTTCGAGCAGCTCCTTGTTTTCGAACGGGTAGTGCATCTGCGCGTATGGCATGCTGCCAGACTCGAACCAGCAGTCGAACACCTCGTCGACCCGCCTCAACATGCCCTTACCCATCTTGGACGGAATCTCGATGTCATCGATGAAATGCCTGTGGATATCCGTGATCTTACGTCCAGCGTACTGCTCCAGCTCCGCGACGGAACCGATGCAGACAATTTCTTCGAAGTCGGAGGAGCACCTAGTAGATTGTGGTTTTACGACGATGGAAAATCATTATTGAAACAAGAAAATTCATTTTTTATTATCGAATCAAGAAAATAGAAGAAATCAATATCTTCATCGTGGTGCAACTTGGTAATATTATACATAGATACTTTGTGATCACGATAAAACATCACAACATTCTTTAACAACATTTATTAAACAGCGACTCTTACTACCATAGCGGGATCGGCGTTCCCCAGAATCGAGTTCGGCTGACGCACCAATCTCTGGCTTCAGCGAGCCAGTTGTGGAATCTCTTTTCCTGGACGAAAGACGGCACCCATCGTGTCTTATGGTTATTTGCGATCAACTTTTCGCGAATCTCCTCAACCTTCACGAACCAACTCGGAATGGCTTTGTAGATCAGAGGAGTGTCACTTCTCCAGCAATGCGGGTAGCTGTGGTTAATCTGTCCACTTGCTACCAAGTTGCCCTTCTCCTTCAACATCTGAAATTTCAAAGGAACGCAGAAGATCAAAAATTACTTTTCGTTGCTTGAGAAGAAAGTGAAGGAGGACAAACCTTCCAATCTGACTTTTTCATCGATCCTTGAAATCAGAGAGGTTCATTTTGAAGTTGCACAAAAAAGTTTTGCTGAAAACCACAAGTTGTAAATCCGGGAAGTCTCTACCTTTTTGATGAGCGGGTCAGCCTCCATCTTTGCATTCATGCCCGCGAAGTCTGTGACGGCGTCGACGAATTTTCCGTCTTCGTCCACAAACATCGGCATACCATCTCCGCCCTTGGAGATGAGACCGTTTGCGACACACACGCGGTAATCGTCTTCACCGTGCTGCGGAGCCTGGTGGACAATCATAGTTCCCGCTTCCGTACCGACATACTCATCCACAAAAACTTGGAACGCCTTTTCTTTGTTGACTTTCGGCACTGCGTAGGGGAAGAGCGGTTCGTAGCGCAGACCGCCCAGCTCCTTCCCCGGAAGTTCCTTCAGGATCGTGCAGTCCTCCTTTTTGATCTTCATCTCGGACAGAACCCAGTCCAGTCGCTCGCGGCCCACGAGGACCTCCTCGCGCTCCGTTTCGCCAGCTGCTGCGGGCAGCAACACCTTCAGGTAAGTGTGCGTTGGGTGCACACACAGCGCCATGTTTGACGGCAGGGTCCACGGCGTGGTCGTCCACGCAAGGATGGAAGCGTTCTGCTGGTCCGTGCGTCGAAATCGGATGATCACCGACGGATCCAGGCGATCCTTATAGGCCTGACCAACTTCGAAGTTGGATAACGCGGTCTGGCACGCGAAGGAGTAAGGCATCACGCGGTAGGCACGGTACACACTGCCCTTGTTAAAGAGCTGCTTGAAGACCCACCAAACGCTCTCCATAAAATTGATGTCCATAGTACGGTAGTCGTTCTCCATATCGACCCATCGCCCATATCGCTCCACAGTAGCCTTCCAGTCCGAAGCATAGCGTTGAACCTGATGGTGGATGATTTCATCTTCACCATTTGGATTTGCTTTGTTCAAGTTCAAATATTGCCCAAAAAATCGTCGTTGTTAAACATCGTGGTTGATTTCAGGTCGTCGCTCCAATACTATATTATTGGTAGAGCCGACCTAACTAGGGGAGATAGAAAAAGTTTAGTTTTAACAAGTTATAAGTAATTTATGCTAGTGGCCATGTGAATTAGGACCCGCCTATTCTAGGCGCCACGTGTCGCCCAACTGCCCTGGAGGTCTTCTCATCTAAGGCGGCCGTTGCTCCAATACTATATTTGTGGTGGAGCCAACCTACCTAGGAAAGACGTACTTACACGATACTTCTAAATTATCCAGAAAAAACGCATAAAAAAGATACGATGCTTCTGCATTCCTCGTTGTACTTCGGGATGCCCATTTCGAAAACGTCTTTTCGTTCTTTAATGCCCAGTTTTTTATCGATCTCCTGTTCTACCGGAAGTCCATGACAATCCCAGCCCCACTTTCGCAGGACCTTCTTGCCGTTTTGGTGCTGATATCGGCACACGACGTCCTTAATCGTACCAGCCAAAATGTGCCCATAGTGCGGAAGACCCGTGGCGAACGGTGGTCCGTCGTAAAAAATATAAGCCGGCTTATCTGTAGTTTTTTCAAAATCGTAAATCAATGAATCTCTTCTTTTTCTGATCGATAAAGGAATCGGATTAAATTAAAAACGTCATTGCCCCATTAGAGTACTACATTGCTTCACCAAATCTAGATGTTATAAAAACTGAGTAGATATTTCTGCGCTTATCTGTAGTTAGCATGCAGAAAGAGTCCATCTATAACATGCCGATAGATTAAGTATACCCTTGGCTTGTTCCATGCATTGATCGAATGCCTTAATATCCCGCCATCTCTGCAACACGCGCTGTTCCTCATCCGGGAAGCTTGGTCGCTCTGGGATGTCATTAAATGTGTTAGCTACCACCATATTGCTGCCTCTGCGGTGTTGATGTGCTGCGCGCGACCACGTCGACGTGGTGGATAAAGTAGTAGAAGTTCTTTTTAGGTTAAGTTTTCGACTTCCAATGGGGCAGTAAATCCGTCCAAGTAATGTCGGCTGCGCTCCAGGTTGCATGCAATCAAGACTTTGATTTTAGAGTTGCGCTCAATAAATTGAAAATGCAGCCAAAGAAAGGTAAAACTCGACAGTATTCAAAACTTTATGACTTGAGTTCATGGATGCTTGGGAGGGAACTTGTAGCACAAACAACAAGATTCCGTTTCTGTTCTCTAAATATGCTCCAGCAAAACAAATGCATTCAATTCATCAAACCGTTTGAAACGAATGAAGCAAAATATTGAGACACGGTCTGCACAATGAATTGGGTTATTGAGAGTAAGAAAGCTGATACTGACGTTTGTTGTGAAAAATCTATTACCCCACTACAATACGAGACTAAATATATAAATATAAGATTCTAATCACAGAGGAAAAGGTGATAGGTCAAGCCTAAAAGATAGAGGAATCCCACGACGTTGATCTCTTTATCTGGATCGGTACGCCTTCATCAAGCTATGACGGTGACCCAGGGATCGCACTTGTGCACCAGCACAACGTGCAGATGCATATTCTCATTCACGACATGCATCATGTCCAGAGGGTGATCGGAGGATGATGAACCAGTCTGCTTTATTGTTTGTGATCATCATTGTCACGTAACTCTTCAGGAACCACATGCGATCATCAAAAGCCTTAAGGATTCTCTGCTGATCAGAGCATGCTTAGGCATATTCTCGAACTCTGTGCTTTCAAGAACATTTTAGACGATCAAGAACACCAGTCTGTACATAAAATCGCTTGTGACACGAAGATATTGCACGTGCTTCTTCACGAACCTGAAGAGTGCGAAGACAAGGCGCACAAAAAGGTATCGAACTGCGCACAGACACTCCTAAACAAGGAGCCCTTTTCGGTCAAATATTTGTTAGGAACAATCCCTGGATGCGCTGAAAGTGTTTCAAGCGATGACCTGAAAATGCATAAGACCATTGGAAAAATATCATCTGTTGGAATATCATCCTTGTAGGGTTACAACATGTAAGTATATTTAGAAGACGTCTTGATGACCATTTGCATTTGATTCAACTTCTTAGCGAGAGTGATGTGAGAAACAAAGTAGAGGCGGTTGAGAAACAAGCAGATGCAGAACTCGCCCGTCCGATAAGCTTACTTCTAGATATCAATTTCATCAGCACAGGAGCCGATTATCGTTACGACCTTCATCTACAATCTCATAAAGCAAAGGAGGCCATCTTAGTGCCATAATTCATGATTGATCGAAGGGCACTGTCTATTCTTGCCATGCGGTTACCCCACTCAGCGTTCTGGCGTAGCGTCAAATCAACATGATGCATAATGTTCACAGACGGGTCGAGTTCGTACTGCCACCCTTCCAACGTTATCGTGGATACCTCATAATTGTGGTGAAAAATCCAAGTTCACAGAAAGAAAATGACGAACAAGGACTCACTCACAGAAGAAAATAAAATAGAAACGATGTGAACCTGAACGTGGTACTAGCATGGCTTTAAGGATTTCTCAAAAGGAAATATTTTTACCACTGCCACTAGAATCGTCGGATCCAGCTCGAGCCGGTGTCGTCTACAGCAATCCAAGACGTCTTTGATTACGTCTCGGCTACGAGACATGCGATACAACCTTGGGTCCTTCCGAATGCGTCGCCAGACGTGCCCTTTCGCAGACAGCTCTCTTTATTAGACCAGAAACTTCACCTGGCCGCACACTTCATTATACGGTTAGGGTTACGTTTAAACCTTGTCAGCACATAACTACGCTTCAACACATCTATCGTTACTGATAAGTAGCACGACAAGCAATTCATATAACTACCAGTCACTCTCTCGCAAGGTCATGGTCAACAACAGAAGGCCGACCACGAGCGGCTACCAATCTAACTTAACTGACTCAGACTTACTCATTCACTAAAAACCAAGCGCCCGAGGCTAGCGGCCATACATGGCGCCCCAGTAACTTCCTAACGATAACATCCCCATCAATTTTGGGATCATGGTTCCCACTGGCTCACTTTCACCCCTATGGGCCTAGCCTTGGCCAATTCCTGCGACTTCTTGGAAGCCCTCAGAAGGGCCGGAGCGCTCTCCTTGCACCTCCCTGTTCCTGAATGCTAAGAGAGTCGCCTGGCGCGCGTACTTATAACATCCCACGGGCGTCCCTGCTCCAGGGGTGCGTGTTCGAGTAAAGTTGCAAGCTAGGCGCGCAGGAATTTGTTTCCTGCGAGAACATCCATCCGCCCATCCCGCTGATTCCGAGTCTTGTGCCCAAGCATGCATATCCCAAAGGAACAGAAAGCTTGAAAGCGTTCCAGAGACAAACTGCCCCGCGCACACGCGCCCAGCGCTTGGCCAGCGTCTCCCACCCGCCCCAGTACTATCAATGCTTGGGCTGATGTCTATGCGCAGAAGCGCGCGGTGGAGGGAGAGCGCCCGGGCCCGCGGCGTGCCCGACAACACGCGCGCAGCCATGCGAAACGATGCAAACCCAACAACCCCCGAGGCCACTGATCCAAAGAGAAAGCAACGCGACCCACTGCGAGCGCAACCAAGTCCGCAGGCCCGAGCTGCCTCACCCTCACGGCCTGCACCTTGTCGAATTCGTTCAGCGCGACAAATACACCCACCGACAACACGCGCGTGGGCAACCCCATCCAAGGGGCCCCCGCCTCCCTCGCTCCTCCTTTGTTTTCCAGAAAAACAGGCGGAGAGCTCAACACACAGAAGCACGAAAAGCGCGCAGCCTCAGCGACTGCACGGCCGTGGGGCGTTCGCTGTGATTGTCGGTTTCTTCGCGAATGTGGTCGCAAGCAAGTGCGCCAGAGGCATGTTGGTACCGCTGTCGACCACTGGGCGGCGCCGTCAGGGGAATGGGGTGGCGAATCCACGCGCGTGCGCGTTGCGTCTTGTCCATTATCTGGTGGAGCCCGGCCGCATCCTGGACAGAGACCACAGGCGCCACCCCTTGGAAACTCTGCACCACATTAGGGGCGCAAAGCACCGCGCCGCGAATGAGTCCCACCCTACCCAAATAACCACAGCCGAAGACCTTCGAGTAGCGGCCCTTCATTGTAGCACCATCGGGCTCCTTCGTTTAACTTGAAACGTCTAGCCTGAGCCCAGGCTTCTCGTGATCCTTTCACTGTACTGACCGGAGCCGGGCGAAGCTTGCAAGAGCTGGCCCGTAATACTAACCGAAACCAAGCCCGCACCCTCAACCTCATCGCCCCCCCGTACAAAATAAACGCCCACCAAACAAAAATTTCACCGTATTTTAATTTTCAGTTTGCTCCTCATAGTCAACAAACGCTTCCCGATTAGCAAAGTCCAGATTGCCATGGTTCGCTTCCGACAGGGCCAATATCTCCTTTGCTAGCGCGCGACCGTCATACTTCAACATTGCTGAAAAAAAACCACGGACATTCTCACCGAGCGATGGGTCAATGCGAGCGGAGAGGCCTGTCAACAACAAGGATGATTGAATCAAGAACTATACGTCAATTTAGTTTTAGACTATGAGCTTTGAAATGCTGTGCTGATTAGATGAGGCCGAATTAGACTGTGAGTCTTCCAAAACTTGTTATCCATTCGAATAGTGTTTTGCTTGGCGCGTACATGTTCAGGTGGACATTTCTTTTTAGCCTGTGTCTGTGCAGGTACTCGCGGATTGTATGAGAAGTGCTCCTGGTGCTGTCTTTGGAAAGTCTTGAGCAAAGAAAACACCAACCACGAGGACGCTGACATTTCCAATTCTTCTATAAACGCCACCAAAAACAGTACCAGCGTCCAAGAGGCAGAGCTGTGGAACCATAGCGAGATCGGTGCCTAAACCCATAATCCAGTTCTGCACTCTGTGTCTGAGAGTAGTCAAATAACCCCCACGCGGCTCGTGATGCCGCACGAAGACATTTCCAGGATGCATGTCAGCATGTATAAAGTTGTCCACGCTCATTAGAGAGATGGAGATCCATAAATTCAGAGAGTAGAAGATAGTCGTCTAAGCAGCAGGAAGTGCGCTCTTCTATGGTCAGTAGCTCCACTCCACTGGCCAGGAAATATTCAATCAATTACCATGAAGAATCTACAGTAGCCACACTAGGTATTCATCTTCGAACTGGCCATAAGATTATCATTTTCAGAAGCGCCATGAGCCCGAGCGTGCCCAACTTCTCCACCAATTCTCCATGCATCTCTCCTGCTTCATACTCCGGATTTGCTGCGTTTATTGAGGAGGAGGATGCACCGCCGAGCGCGCCAGTTGTAGGAGCGCTAGGTTGCGAAAAACTAGAGGAATTGCTGCTCGCACTAGTGCTGCTGCTGCTGCTGCTCGAAGAGGTGCTGCCACTCAGCAGTTGTGGGACTGGCGTTCCACTACGGAAGATGCCGCGGCCATCCTGTGCTTCACCTGTAGTCGGGCAGAAATTCTCAGACACGCCCTTGTCCAGTAGCTCGCGCTTTCGCTTTTCCCGATCTCTGTCCTGTTGCTTAAGCTTGAACATTAGAGTGGGTCGTCCGTCAGTCAACATAATGGCCCCAGCGATAAACGTGGGAATCTACAAATGAGATGATTACAACATCATCTGGAAAATATTTTCCACTAATTCTATTTGTCTAGCACGAAGTCCTACATCTTTAGCGTTCGTGTCGGTCCTTGAGAGCGAAGCTCTCTATATTTCTACATAGCTTGAAGTCAAAAGAAAAGTTGCTTAGAGAATGCCCTAGCGCAAGCCAAACACGACACTGTGGTATGCGTTGCGCGGCCGTGCTGCACCGCTTGCCCTTTTCATCTCTACTACTAGAAGGTCCTTAAGATAAATTGCGCTATGCTGGCGCCCGGTTCGAAAGACTCGACCAACACCTCAGGCGTGCTCACAGACGCCTTAGGAAACACTACACTACCCCAGCTTTCAAAGTTTCGCCGAAAAGCTCGTAAATTCTCCGCCTCAAGGTTAAAATCCAACTGGTCCCCCATGTGCACCTGGAACTGTCGCAGCATGCGATTCAGCCGCAAGGAATTTTCCATGTACCTAGTATCATGATCACGATCAGTCTCTCTGTTTGATCACGGAGTACCTAAAAACATCAAGATGGATCAACATTATCGCTTTTCGAAAGTTACTTGTGCATATCGCCCGAATTCAAAGGGGAACAAGGATCAACTTGCCTTATTCACGTAGCCGTACTAGTATTTACCAGTTATCTCCTGATCATCGTAAGTGCTCTAAAGCAGGCCTCTGAATCAGTGCGATGAGAGATGATAGGCTGTTGTTCATCACTCTGCTCAGAAGCAGAACTGAACGTAAGATTGTCATCATTTCAGAAGCCTGTAAAGGAAACACATGTTGATCTTTTCTCTCTTCATCATGTCTATTCATTTAAGACCTGCTAGGCACAAACACAGATTGATAGTTAGAGGATGAACATCAGTACATCCAAAGTAGTACGCATTGCAGACGGCATCGGTGAAGCGCGAAAGAAGTTCGAGAATGGCAAAATCGATCGCCATAATGCCTTCCAATTTCGGGTGCTGGACTTTTATCGCCACATTCACAACGTAGTCAGGATCTGCGTTTTTCACCACACCCCCCATATTTTTCGTAGGGGTAGGGCTAGAAAAGCTAGAAGTGCTAGTTGTTGTACTTTGAGTTTGATGTGAAGAATTCGAATCCACCGCATTAATGCCCTTCGAGGTCAAGGAGGCACTACTTTCTCGTGTATCTTCCGTGCTACCAGCACATCCGGCGTTCGCGAGACCTTTTTTGTACTGGTCGTGGCGGAACTCACCTAATCGCACGCGAGCGCGATACACCTGGCCTATACTACCACTTGCAACCGGCTCCGGTTCCAGGTCGACGTAGTCTAAAGCAGAAGGCCCAAAGTTGCGGATCATGATCTCTTTTGTTTCCTCTAGTGTATGCGCCGGTGAATTTTGCGTCAGCTTGTTCAACTCGTCACACAGCTCTACAGGAAAGAGATCATACCTGGCGATAATGTGGGAGAGGAGATCATGTCGAACAGAAACCATTTAGATTTACTTACTTCTTCGTCGGATCCATCTTTAAGCAAGTTCTATTTCATATTAGAAGTTTGGTTAAAAACTTGCAGTGGACGATTGGAATTTTACCTCGTCGAAGCCCACTGTCCCCACTTAATAAAGACCGGCCCGGCGCGTTCGAGAGCCTCTCGCAGTCGAATGCACCAGCGCATCCGCAGCTCTTGATTCCGCTTAAGTTGTTCTGGAGACAAATCTACACCACCGGAGCTAATCAGATGCGTTAGAAAGCTACGTAGTTGAATAAAGATATCTAATTTTCATTTCCTAGAGAGCATAGCCAGCATAGTGACCATAATTATGGTCCCGGAAGAATCCTCCAAAACATTTCTAGTGCGTGAACAGAACTGATTACAACTTTGGATATGTCAATAAACCCAAAGCGGCTTAACTGAGGTTCCCGATGGACGATGAGCGTCTCCTTTTTTCCTGCTTTCTCCTCCGCTGACAGCCACGAATGAGGCTCTTCGCCGTTGCAGCTAGTATCAACACCAGACCCATTTGAACCTTTCATATCATTGCTATGGTCATCTATTCGAGTTCCACCATCTGCTATACTAGTTTCTGTAGCTGCTTCGCCAGGAGCTGCCACGATCTCTGCCGTGCCAGCGTTCTCGTCGTAGCGGAATTTCCGGACTTGCGCTGGGTCCTCGATGTACTGGACCTGGCAAGGTGCAAAGTACCAGTATGGGAACCAGAGCACGAGCACCGGCACAAAGATCTCGGACAGCTTGAGCACGCGGAACAGAAGCTGAAACCAACCCACATGGGCTTCGGTGGGATTGTGAAAGCCCCCGGCATGTTCCTCGTCATTCCATCCTGCACCTGCCACCTCAGCATTCGCTGTTGAAACCACCGACGTCGAATCGACTCCCTCTGTTTTCTTACGTTGCGAACCCGGATCGTCACGACCGGGAGTTGAATCTTTCGCCGACGGGGACGCATCTGCTCCTCCTGCGGCTTCTTTCGTCCCACCATGATCGTGTTGGGAAGGATCAGCAGGATTGGGCCGACCACGTACTGGTGTCGTCCGAACAATCGGCTTCAAGACCTCAGCTACCTCGTCCACCTCATTTTCCCGACTACGCGCATAAACTTCATAGAAGACCACGCCTCCTGCGAGTGCAAACGCAACAGTCGATGTCCCCACGAGGACGCCGCCGAAAATCCGTTTTCCTAGGGACGCTGACCTGCTCGACGCCGAAGAGGAACTGCTCCCACCTATCTGCTCACTCCCTCCGCTAGCGAATCGCCTCAGCAGAACGCGTGTTGAATTTTTTCCCCTGGCAGTACTAATCGTTAGCGAGTGCGAGACACTTTGCCCAGTGGGTAGCTGCCAGAACACAGTTTTCCTACCCCTGGTCGCGGTTCCTTTCCCAGCAACAACATGCCGCAGGGACGAGAGTCGCCTAAACGAAGCACGAAGCATGCCTTTTTCGGAAACGATGTTGTCCTCATACTATCTGTCCCAATAAACCATGTTGCTAAGTGATATATTCGATTCAATCGAAATAATTAAGCCCTCGTCTGGTATAAAAACCTACATGATCCTTCTTGTACGTAACAGAATAGCAAAAGCTCCAAACACTCTAAACATTGCTTTAACTAGCACATATTCAATTGGCAAAACATGCATTGAAGAGGACGGACGATCGATTACATAGATCGTGGCCTCAAACCTGGAATCGCAAATCAGATGCATGGATAGGAAAACAAACAGCAAGACGACGACTTTTGTACACTTCTACTAGTGAAAACCATTTTCATTTAGACGGCGGAAATCTTGAAGTCAACAATTAAAAAAATGAACGAAATTTCAAATGGATGACCATCAGTGGAAGCAGGGGCCAAGAAAACAAGAGATAGTTAGACGATCGAATCAAGCAAAGGGAATAATTTACTATGCAAGTAGTACTGCACTCGGGAGGTCATCACTCGTGGGCATGTCGTGTCAAGTGATATCAGTGCAACTCATGGAATAAATCTTCTGAGGCTTAGGACAGACCAAAACCAAACCGACCACTTCCAAGAACCTTGTGAGTGGAAAAGTACCCCAACGGAAAAGGAACGGCTTGCGATGAAAATGAATCCCGCCACACTCATCAACTGTTTAACACGCTTCTGACTTCTTGCCTTAGAAGTGCCTATGCAGCACTGTGGAGAAAACCTGCCCTTTATTGATTACTGTATCGTGGACTTCCACGCAGCTTTGTATGATACTACAGGAAAACAAGCCCAGAAGGTAGTGGGGAAGGGGAAATCTCTGGGATATCGGAAGGGTTTCTTCTTCGTAACGAGGAGCGTCTTACTTTGATGCGAATTGGAGAAGTTGATAGTTCGACAACATGAAATCGAATGTCTTCGTCCCACTTTGCGAGACGGACAAGAACTGATGATCGCCACAGCACCCCCAGCGACTAGGATAAAGATTATATGTGATTCAAGATTCAAAACGAGAGGATCCAAGCGGGACTTCATCTGCTCGTAGTATCGACTATCGCCTTATTCCAGAGGAGCTACTGGAAGAGTTGTTTTGGAACATCGCTGATCCAGTATGTCCGATCCTTGCGTTGTCTGAGCTTGCGAAAATCGATTGCTTCCCCATCCCGCCCACTTTTCGATTCTTCTGCGCAAACTTCTGCCATCCTGTGGCCTTCTTTGCTGCTTCCGTTTCAAGTCGTTCATCCTTCTGCTGGTTCTTCACATGATGTATCTTCCTCTTTTTCTTGGCTTTCACCTGTTTTTCAGTTATTTGTCGTCAGGCACCTGAGACAGCTACAAATTTATCATTAAACTTTAACCTGAGATGAGTCGTCATGCAATACTTGTTGACCAAGCATTTACATTTCTTAATCTTACACCATAACAGTTATTGAAGTACCTCATCCGTGTCCTCAGGTTTGACCAGGAAATGCTCTGGGATAACGTAGCCACCCGGCGTTATAACCTCTTTAACTGCTCGCTTTCCAGCTGCTATACCTGATGTTGAAGTTCTTTCAGATGTGGTAGCCTTAGTGTAGTGGGTGAAAAATGAAGAAAATCTCTTTTCTTTTTCTATCGATCATCATATTGAACCACGAAGTTGTTCTGAACATTCAAAACAACTTAATCATACTTTACTAGTACCTGATTTCGCCACTTTTTGCCGTATTTGATCGAATTTTACTTCGTCCTGCGTGTTGTAGTCGGTGAATCGGACCAAATATCCCTTGTCCGTGTGTTCTTCGACTACAACGTCATACCACAGACCATCGAGTGTTGATATCGCTTGTAATTTCGTTCCCGGCAAGCACTGGGCCGGTGGCAGTGGCCTAAGCATCTTCACATCTGCCAATCTGACCTCCTTGCGCTCATTCTGTCCGAATACCGTCAGAACAGCACGGTCGACGCCCCTCTCGTCCCTCCGAATGGAAAAAATCTCTGCGTTAAACCTGTCAGGTGGCGAGCACATGGTGAAAACGTTATCGAGCCCTGACTGTTATCAGTAATTGCAAGTGCAAGAATCTATCTCTATGGCAACCGTCTGGAGGAGCGCTTTTTAACATGATACTCGAATCAGGAACACTAACATGGAAAATACCAGCTTCCCTGTATGCTGACTTCACATGTTCTCCCGAGCAGTTCATGACCTCGTCCCCGTGGCTGCGGTGCCGCTTGCTGCTCTGGAAATGCGACGTCCCCTGCGAGACTTTGCCCCGTTCCTGGTGCCCCGAAAGGCAGAACGCTACTCGACGCTGCTGCACCAGTAGAAGCCGCTGCGCTATTCTTAGAGCTTGCAAAGTAATAAAGGAAAGAGAACTTTTGCAAAATCGTACATCGCAGAGTTCTTTTTCACGTCGAACGATTCAGTCAAACCTGTGCGTGCGAGACCTGCAGCTAGTAAATTATATCGACATAAAAAACGACCATTACCGAGAGCAACTACTCACTACTAGAAAACTACAGTTGGCCAACCTTCTTTCCTAGTGCTTGAAGATGCGGGCTCTACTGGTTTGCTCGCCTTGAGAGATTGCTCTAAAAGCGTGATCACTTCCACGAGATCATTCCTGGCATCGCGTAGTTGCTGAGCTGTCTCATCGTCCTCCTCTGTCGCAGCGAGGGTTTCATCGACAACTTCTAGCTGCGCCTTGTACTCCTCCAACTGTGCTGCCTTATCCTCGTTGTCGTCCATTTTGATGATGTTAGTCGAATTATATGTACTTAATTTAAGTTTTCCGCTGCAACAGCACACACCAGACAGGTTAGAACCGAGATAAATAACTTCACGAGTTCGTCGGAACAAAATTCAAAATCAATGGATTATTCATCATCTGTCAATCTTGAATCCAACATCAACATTATGGACTAAACTAGTCTAGTGACATTCTAGTCTGCCAGCAATTATCTTTACAACATCGGGGCACTCGACAAAAGACGACCTCAGGGTAAATTTCCGACTTTTACTGCAATAATGAAAGTCATCAACCAATTACAGGAGGAGGCGGGACTACGATGAAAACCCAGGATTACAATTATAAAGAGAAGTATCTATGTATCTATAATATATGGCCAAAATTTGTTTGCTTGATCCTTCTCATGATACAACCACAAACGTGCCTTTTTCTAACAATGCCAAGTAAGCTAGGAAGCCGTGATTTCCAAATTTTTCAGACCGTGTTTTCAGACCAACGAAAACAGTACGTAAACCTGTCACATGTATTCCGGAAAAATGATCGCAAAAAGAAGCAAGCGCACCAAATAGTTCGGACTCTCCTTGCAATATAATTCGCACGAGCCATAGCTTTGCAGTGACCGGAAAAGAAGATCGATCGATCCACAACTCTGGGAAATAACGATCGAGGCAGCCCACGGTCAAGTGTTGAATTTCAATTCAGTAAGCATCAGATTCGGAACTTCAGCCTACTTCTAAGAAAGATCAAACCAATCTGGCACAGATGAACACTCTGAACTAAGTTCGATTTTAGTGGGTAGACAGCGTCAGACACAACAAGGCAGCTGCTCACTTTCTGTATCCCTTGTCCATAGTTTTGTCGGTCAATTATTCTAATGCTGTTTTTGTTCGTTCTAATACAACATGACATGGATGTCTTTAATTGCTTATGGCAATGGAGATCCGACAACAAGCAGCACAAGTCTCGCCAGGATGGCCACTACCTCACACCACAGCCATTACAAATCGTGAACGTCATGCATCAACCGCTTGCCCATAATGGACCAAGGAACAATAGCGAATCGCCAAAGAACTCCAAGATCTACAACTCTGAGATAGCTCGAACTATATCCATGTTCATTCATCCGTGTCTGTGAAGAAATGAGTCTTCATCATCGCCATTCGCTTCTATTCCACTATGGTTGTTTAATTAGGCCTTCTATCAAGAAATGTCATGGGATTCGGCGACGATACCTTGTCCGACCGCCTTTAGAGGTTTATACAACAGCTCATGAATCATGTTCGCAGAAAAGATATGCTATGTGTTGCTCGTACTGTACCACATGTCTGTATGTGTCGTTCTTCTTGTTATAATAAACTTATCGCAGCTAGCGAGTAGCTCGTCTGTTCGTTGCTGTTTTGGTTTTGTTGAACGCGTGCGCTTGTCGGTAACACGACGCCACTGAAGTCATCGTCTACAAAGATTTTGTGTATTTAAAAGTTAGATATATAATATTCTCAATCAATTATACCCCATCGACAAAGTACTGCATTCTTGATTTCTAAAACGAGGCACACAAACTAGAAGCTAAACCAGTCTCGTTTGTTTGAATTCGTAATAAATTTTCCATTTCAAGACTTTGCGTTTCTTGGAGAGCAGAAAGTATCATAGAACGAGTCTCTTCTACTCTAGATTTTTTCTTTATTTTCAAATGAATACATGTATGCTGTTTTATGCGGAGAAGTCTGCAAAATCAGTGATCCCACAGCCTTCTTCTGTCCTCCCTCGGATCAACCACGACTTGCAAGAAGTGAACAACTATCTATCATGTACAACATAATTACTTACAACACCGTGTCGTACTTCTCAGGAAATGACCCAGAGATGGAGGTATACCATATTCCCATGGTGGACATTTTAGGCATCCACTTCCATCTGATCTTGGTCCTGCTGATTTTGCTCCTCCTGAACGTTCATGGCCTCTACTTCGGCTACTGGTTCGGCTACTTCAACAGCAGTCGCAGCCTCTCTCTGAGCACTGCTTGAGGACGCGTTCGAGGCGTTCTCGCCAGCGAGCATCTTTGTGAAACGCTCTTGGGCACCGAGGTACGCCTCTTGGCCAACAGCATAAGCATTGGCGAATGCCGTTGACGGCGTACACACCGGCTTCAAGGCGTCCGGAGCATTTTCCGTGAGCTCGGTGCATTTACCGTGAGCTCGGTCTCCCAAAGCCTTCAGATCATGCATTAGCGTTATCCTAGATCTACGAAAATTTTGTTCTATTTTCTACGAACCAAGTTGTCATGGATCGATGTTGAAAAAAAGAGTAATTCTGTTGTTCATGTACTAGGGCTTTTATCGCAGCACCCTTGAAGTGCACTCCGCTGTCCTACTGCCACTAGTCTACAAGACGCGAAGTCTCTGAAGCTGAATCCTGAACCCCGGATGATTATCCTATCCGACAAAGACTTCCTTGTACTTCAAACAGAGTCTGATCTGTTTACAAGATTGTAAATTAATAGAAGAGTTCATGTGATTTACTGGGCCTTTTTATCTTAATATGGTCTAAAGTGATAGATTTATCCAAGGCCTTAACTCCTTGATTGTTTCCTGATTGCTCGCCGGTCGGCAGTATGCTTTCCATCCTTCGCCATATTCGGCAGCCTTGGTCTCGCACAATGGAAGAACGCTCTCACGCGCCATCTGAAAAGATATCAGGTTCGAATCTTTTGTTTTGGATGGTCATGAGCCCAATAAATGGAGATGAAGTGAATAATTTCATATACAATATCCTCAAAGAAATTACGCCGGGCAGCTATCAAAGACAGAGCACAGATGCATCTCTCTAGTGTTTCTTCCGGTGAAGCAAGAGGCGGAGATGGGAGCTGCTTTCATTATCCATGAGGGTCCAGTCGACCTAGAAATCTATCGCGTCGGAAACCGCCCGTCGCGGTACCCTTCCACCCCTACCTCCGGATAAACTGCATAGGCAAAATAAATAGGAGTAGAAATACTTACGCTAAAGTTGCTGAATACCTGAACGGGAGTGCAAAGGCCACTGTCAGCTGCAAGGCCTACTGCATTTGCCGCATCGACGCATTTATTGTAGATCTGGGTCTCACCGCCACAGAAGTCCACATCTTTCCCCGTCAATTCTTGAACAGTCTTTTGCATGCCATGGCACCTGAAATCCGGATCCGCTGAAGCAGCAATATAGCCCAAAGCAGCTCCACCGAAGCATGCAGCAGTGCCACCGGCCATGGCAGCGCACACCATCTGGGAATGAACGGATTCAGTGAATTTTGACTTGAAACATCGAGTTACGAATATTTCCCAACATCAGTAGAAACTACAACAACTACATATCATGTACCACAACATCTTCATGGAAGTACAGGTATGAAGAAGAATAGGCGCACGGCTGAACATGATTAGTCTGGTATTCAAGTACCTTTTTTCCTGGCTTCACGGCCAAAACTGGCACGGAGCAAGCGATAACAGCAACAGCAGCGACGCGCTTCATTTTGTTTGTTTTGTTTGCTGTAATGAACAAGCAAAAATTGGTGAGCTCTTGGTGAATTTCAACGGAGCCTTGTGGAAGCTTCGAGAAACAAGACAGTTAGGACGCCTAATGCGACGTGAACTGCACAAGCAGAAGAATGGAAAACCTTGAGTGATCACGAAGTGAGTTCTACTTCTAGTCCTGTTGTACTTTTTTCAGAAATGGGATAATTATGCACTGCGGCGCATTTTTACCATGATCTCTATCATCATCATGGCATGACACATTGCACGTGCATTAAAAGTTGTTCACACACGCATGCCCGCTTCTTCTCGAACAAAAGAGTCACGCTGTCAAGACATCTACATTTACACCTTATATTTACGCCTCAATGATCCACCAAGCGCTGCTACAACTTCTGTTGGAGATGAATTGCGCGTCATTGGCTCTCATTGATTTTTTCACGCCCTTCGTACACGGTAGGAAGGGGTGCCTCCAGAGGTTCTAAACTTGGCAGACCATTTTCCGCATCTTCTTCCTAATGTTGGTTTGTATTGCGCTGCTGATGAAAAACTTCACGCACACTTAGTTAGCTAACAACAACTGAGTGCAATCTGCTTCGCTGCTCCAACATCAAAAGCGAACGCTTCAGCGATTTTATCTCATATCATGTTGCTGCAAGGAACGAGGGAACGAGCTGAGTCAGAAAAATCCGATGCATTGCGATTTTGTCCAGAAGATGGACTGGATGTGCTGCATTTTGAATCTTAATTGCCACTACTAGTGACTCAACATATTCGAAACGAACCATAACTCTATCAAGAAAAGCAACACTGATATTCATGCAACAAATGCACGGCATTGGTCTTCCGCAAAAGTTGAATATAGATCCTCAGAAATTAATGCAATGTAGTAAGTTTTAGTAGACTCTTCAAAACAAGATGCAAGCGAGTTACATCATGTGTACTTAATTCTGAGTAAGTAGAAATGAAACCTCACCATTCCTACACCTTTTCGGTGTCAACATGAAATTTCGCGATTTCCCTACAAAACGCGCAGAGAGCGACTTTGTCGTACGAGGATGCCACACGCCAGTCGATCGCCAACAAAACGGGATCGGTACACGAGGCCATCCACTCCGATCTCAATTTGTCCACCCGGGATTGCGTTATCTGTGTGAGTAGAGGTGGCGAGGTTTATTGCTTGCAAATCCGTTGTAGAAATGCGCAATTCGAAAACAAGTGTCCGAATTACTGTACAACTTGCACAGAGGTTTGTGTCTTCATCTTCGGAATTCGGACTCTTACTTCTTATGGAAACCTCCTATCTGAAAGAAGTGAGTACCCTCGTGGCCAGGTTCTCTGCAGAGAACTCTAGTTCACATAGTCCACAACGCTGTGATCTTTTAGCATTGTTCGGTGAAACTTGTTTGCTGTCCTCCTCTTTGATCTTTTTCCATACAGTGTCCGGCGTTGGCAATATCGCCACAAGCTTTCCTGACTTACCATCTTTTCTGGTCCTCGCTTTATCTCTATTTTGGTCACTCCGCCCACCTCGCCTAGAAGATGGACTTCCCCGTTCGTCGGCAACACCCGTGTCGGACTGTGTTAAAAACGTCCCCGCATTGTAATCTGCATGAGGGTAGTAGACAGCGCCACCTCCAAAGGCTTGATTCATCAAGTCAGTCGGCGAGAGCACATTCTCATTTTTCGTAGCTTCGTCTTCTTCTTTTCCTCCTAAGTCTTTCTTGTCAAGAAATTTTCTTAGGCGAAAGAGCCGTTCCTTCATCCGCTGCAAACGATGCGTTACGCGCACATAACGCTTATTCGCGGAACAAAGCTGTCGCTTCCGACGCAGCGATGGGTCGGCTTCCGAAGTTTGAGCATCTCCTCCTCCCCCGGCTCCGATCGTATTGTTCAGACCGTTGTTCACGCCTCCGGTACGCCAACGTCGCCCCCTTCTGCCAGGGGACGAGGGGTTCGCGGAGGCCGACTGCGCATGAGGCTCCGCACCCTGGTGCGCTGTCGACAGCTGCCACGGCTGTTCTTCCTCGCTTCTCGCAATCTGCCAAGCGCCCTCTTCGCCAGCAATAGGTTGGGCGGCGTCCGAGAAAACAACTACCTCGCCCTCAGCAGGCAGCTCGGCGCCAGACGGATAGCCTCCTCCTGCCCCGTCCGCAAAAGCGCCGCTAGAGCACTTTGCTTGGTGTGCGTGCTTCGCGCCCGCTGTCGAGTGATCATGGGCCGTCGGGCCGCCTCCTCTGATCTCTTGCGACGCATGATTAGCGGTTCTCGTCCGTTTGTCCTCGACCATCGCCAATCTTCTGTCCTCTAGCAACGCCAGTCTCGTACTTGCGGCCGCCTCCTTTTTCGCCAACTGCTCGGCATATTTAACCGCCTCTTGCTCCCTTAGCTCCGCACGTCGACGCATGATGTCTGCTCGCTTTTCCGCAAACTCTCTCCTTTTGCGCGACGCAGTGTTCGATGGACGATATTTTTTGACACCTCCTGGAACATAATCTGCGCCAACATCGCCACCCAGTCCTCTTGCACCAGCTGCAGATGCTTGACCTGGACTCCTCTGGGTCTTTCCTTGTGCTGGTCTGCTCTTGTTATTTCCACCATCGCCGTTTTTGCCATCTCCTGTGGGTGACATTATCGCTTCATCGTCGTCAGCGATAGGAACAAAGTTGCACAGGTGCGCCAAAAGCGACTGATAGTCTCCGGGCGAGCCGGAAGGAGAGGCCATCGGCGACTTCGGACCTCCCGTACCGGGGCTGTTTTGACCGACTCCGGAAGCCCCCGATCTCTTGCCTTCCAGTATTTCTGCGCGCACTTGCGCCATACGTTGTTCTTTCTCCATCAGCGCGCGACGCCGGCGCCGCCGGGCCCGTTTTTGCCGTGTGATTTGCACTTCTTTACGTTCTGCTATGGCGCTCTCTTTCGCCTCAAGCTTTTGCCGCCGTTCTTCCGACTCCTCTCTCTTGCGGGCCTCCAAGCGCTCCCGACGCATTTCCCGCCAGGCAGCTTGACAGGCTGCAGCCCGTTTCCTTGCCGCCTCTGCTACCGCTTTTTCTTCCTCTCCAGGTGGCCCTCGTGGTTCCGGCCGACCTCCCGTGTACTCCTGCGACTTCGCAAAGCTGTCCCCCTTCTTCCCAACAACTGCTGCTCCCGTGTCTGAGGCGGCAAAGCCACCTCCAATGCCACAACCACTTTTGCCCTCTGTCAGTTGCAACTGCATTTGTGGACTCGTGGGACTGCTCCCGAAAGGAAATTTCGCATCCCTTGCGGTTGGGGTCGAGAGGGCCAGGAGAGTGAGTTTTGCCGCACCTTTCGTATTTCTAGTAGCACGTGGACCTACGCCAGCACTTTCCTGATGTCTGTGGCTCAACATCACCCCGAAGCTAGGCGACGGTTGTCTCACAGACAGCTGTTGCAAGTCGCTGTTGCTCGACGACGAAGACAAGCAAAGCTGGTGGGGCGGCAGCGGGCTTCGCGTACCATCGCCCTGCAGCTCCAGGAGACCTCCTGCAGGTGGATCTCGCTCAGTAGGCACAACGGCAGCTCCTTCTGGAAAACTGGTGTAGTCCACACCTGACCCAAGATTCGGTTGAACACCGCTTGCTCCAGCAGAATTCGATGTCACGACATTGCCTTCTGCTACAGCAGCTGTGAGCATCGTTCGGCCCTGTGGAATCCTCAACCCCACGGCTCCTCGACTCGCGATATTGCGCGGACTACCTGCTACAGAACCGCCTTGCAGCTGATCTTGCAGCTGGTGACGGTACTTCTGCAACAGCATGGCGCTTCGCGCGGACGCAGCAGGCGAGAGCAAAGCGCTCCGCATCTCTCGATCCAGTTGCTCACGCTCCTTCTGCGCCCTTTCCCGCTCGCGCCGCAAGACAAGCATCCGGCGTCGCTCCTCAGCAACCTTACGGCGTTCCTCCTTGACCGCCTCTTGATGCCTCCGAATCCGCTCAGTGGTGGCCGCTGTTTCCGCGGCCCACTCCTCCTCGGCATGATGCTGACGTCGCGCCTCATGGATCTCGCGCTCTAGCCGAGCCCGCTGGATTGCCTCCAACTTCCGAAAGCCCCCGAAGGCGGTCATGAAGATAGTACTATGGTATTATTTTTCACAGACTGCGAAAGAGTTCACATACACCAGGTTCCAATGCGTTGTGGGGGAGACTATGCCTCATCATTTTCTTCTGTCGCATTCCCACCGAAACAACAACATAGCGCTTCTTCGGATGAATCCTTTATTTTTGGGAAGTGGCCTTTTTGAGGGGGGATCATCGTCAAGTAAATAAGCTCGAGCTGCTGATGCAGAAAAACAGCAGGATTATCTTCACCAATTTTTCTGCGCGTGCTGGCAGTACCACCCGCATGTGCACAAATGCGAGCAGATGCTAGTATCAAATTCCAATAGAAAATCCATTACATTTCTTTCTCCTCTAGAACTTAGAGAATCCGGAAAAAACTAAGAAAACTCCTTTAGCTTGGTGGGTATCAGCAAGCACCTCATCGACATCACAAAATAAGTCATGTATTTCATCTGTCCCATGCGACCAAAATGAAGTCATGAACCAGATCCACAACAGGACTTGTGTCTCTCTCATTCTCGACAATAGACGCTGCGCCGATCCATTAAACGGGTTTTGCGCTTCCTGCCTGTGAACCTGCAGCTGCACTCCCTGAAAAACCACTGAAGCAGGATCCGCTGCAGGGGGCTTTATCGCAGCCAGGGCTGGGCAGCACCGGTGGTGTTGGTTTGAGGTATATGCAGCTTGTGCACAGCTGGCCCGCACCTGTGACGCTCAGCTTCGAGAACGTTGCGAGGCCCAGACCCACGGCAGTGGGCGCGAGGCAGCTGTTAAAGGCTTCGGTCCCTGTGCACGTCTCGTAGGGACATGAGCCTGTGCCGACCATGCTGCAACGGCAGCCGGCGTGCTGCGCCTCGTTATCATCTGAAGCAGCGCGCCAACCACCCGCGAAAGAGCGGAAGGGAACGCAAGAAAGCACGCCACCATCAGGGAAGTCTTTTTGAGCTTTCTCCTGCAACGCGCCACAGAGCCCCTCCGCGTTCGATCCACTTCCAGCGGCACCGTGCATGTGACCTTCCATTGCGAAGCGAAATCAACACGTCCCTTCAAGAAAGTAGGAGACGACGTCCAACCAACAGAAGGAAACGAAAGACGAAAGAACTTCTGAACTCTAAAGATAAATCCATTAGACACAACTATAATACGACGACGACCATGTGAGTCTGAGTGTGACCACGGACCTTACTAGATAGATATAGGGTTAAAAATATTAGATCTCCTAGTAAGTTGTCTGGTAAATGATATTGATATTCATCACACCTGGCCCAGGAGCAATAGTACTTTCGTAATCCACCGCGGCTGCGTCGAAGGAGAAATCTGGCATGTCTCCCAGCTCGGGGAAAGGCGTGGAACCCGCGGACCCGCTTCCAGAAAAGAATGGACCGCTGAAGCTACCGAAACCGCTCCCCATGGAACCGAGACTTCCTACACTCCCAATCGCGCTGCCGAGGCTCCCCATCGCGCTGCCTGCACTTCCGAGACTCCCGACACTGCCAGCAGCCGCAGTGGGTTCTTGCCTGATAGAGATGGCACTTGCTGTCGTAGCCGTTGCAAGTGCAACTTGATGACGCTTGTTTGACGACATGGTGGAGGATGCTAAAGCGCTTCTTGTGGAAGATAGACCCTTGCGGGTAGCCCTACCTCTGTTGCGCGTTGTAGAAGTCCGCGAGCCAGTTCCTGTAAACTTCGCGCCAGTCCGTAGAAAGTTGAGTCGACGCTCGCCAGCAACTCCATAGTAGCTGCCAGCGTGTATGGCTCCCAGAAAGAAAGTTAAACGACCAAAGGACGCACGCATCCTCGCGTGTGTCGCGACGCCAGACCGCGAGCCAGGAGCCTGAACCATCTAGTTCTAGCGCGAGTAAGCGCGGATGCGTAAGCAGGGCATCTCTACGAGTCAGATCGATGCTCGAACGAGGGGTCAAAAACTGCATTGTTTGAGAAAGCAGCATCATTATGTATTATGATACAAGATCAGCACGAGGTTTAAGTACAACGTCACAAGGTTCGAGTTGAAGAACGTCTCATGCGATAAAAAAGTCTTTTGATATGATGTCAGATCAGAGCACGCTTGACAACTGAGATGCTGAGACGAGTCATCACATTCTACAACTACAGTGCTCGCAAAAGGCGGTGCGACCACCTCAGAGCTTCCAGCCTCCTGTAGCCTTCGAGACACAAGAATATCATTAGCCTGATGTAGCTCTCCATTCTCTTTCACGTCCGTATCCACTTGGTCTTATCGTTTCAGCGTTGCACAAGTTCTGGGTCTGGCACACACGACTTATGGAAGGATTGATATTGCAGAAAAAATTTCTTTTCTAAAATTTCATCCCTGCACAAGGTCACTAAAAATATGACAGCACAGGTCCTATCCCGCTCGCAAATCGGCGGCAGGCCCCGAGAGGTGCACGGTTCCATCCGATAAAAACAACAAAAAAAGGCAGGACAAAAATAACCTACTCTGGTGAAAAGGATCAAGAACATACCAGTATAAGGAACTAAGAAAGCATAAAGAGCTACACCTCGAGATTACAAGTACTTCTAGTCTACTTACAAACGACTCTACGTGGTCACAACGCTAGCAAAAGATAGGTCCTATGCTACACATTTATGCAAGAGAGAGCTGCTTTTATGGCCAAAAGGCAGAGACTATCCACCGACAGAGATCGAGGGTCCGAACCAGAGATGCATCTTAGTTGTGACACCCTCTTCTGCGTCCTCCAATGATTTTTCTAGCCGGCCTCATGATCAGAGTGCCGCTTTCCCCGTCGTGAGCATGGTAATCCGCTCCAGCAGACTCAAGCTAATAATTGTGTATGGCGCCAGTTTGACGAAGGCTGGAAGAAATCCACGCCACAAAACAAGTGGCCCGTCCGCGGCTACGCTCTTGGCGCAGCAGTCTATCATACCTGTGTACAGAGGCGCTTCTCCAGGTTTCGGAGTCGGCATGTTCTGGATGCGACTCTTGACTACATCGAAGGGCATACTAGCCGAGTTGCTCACCAAGGATCCCGCAAGCGAGCAAACGATCAGCGTTGCGATCCCACTCTCGGTGAATGTCTCCGGCTTCCACGTCTGAAGTTGTGCCTTCGCTTCCGAATAAGTCGCGAGTTGTGTTGATGCGAGGGCCATGGCTCGAATCACTGTGATGGTCGCACCTTTGTACAAACCGTTACTCCCCGGGCCTTCCTTCTCGGCTATCTGTCGCAAACAGTCGAAGATATGTTTGTAGTTGCGGCGCTGCGCCTGTGGGAGCTGTCCATCCGCGGCCATGCGCACGATTGCGACCTCGCTCGGCGTCCCTATGAATGCGCCAACGCCGCCACTCGTGGCACCGAAAGCAATCTTATGAAGAAACGACGGTTGCTGGGATCCATTTCGGTTTCGATAGTCCGCTAGCAGGTAGGAATATATGCCCATGCGCCCGCTGCCGTACATCCATTGCCGCAAAAAGGCTGCTGATAGACCATTGTAAAGTCCCGCAACACCGCTAGTCCTAACTATGCGACCGACTGTGGCAGCAATACCTGCTCGGTCGGTGCCGACTTGCATCTGGACCCGCAGCACATCGAAGGGGTGGCAGAAACACGCTGCTCCCATCCCCGCTACTGCCGAGTAGCACATCCGCGCAGGGAGTCCATCTGCCCGCAGAACGCTCGATGAGGACGGTTGTAAAGGCGTAGTCATTTTGATTCAGTTTCAGTTTTCCAAAAACAAGTCTAATACGCATTTTTGCAACGACATGCGACACCGACTTTTCTGGCAACGATAATGGTAAAAATAGGTCAGCTCTGATCATTTCTTTGCTCTGATCATCACTACCGTTTCTTTTCGTTTCTGGAAGAGTCTCACATCATAGACGACTTATTTTTCACTCGCGCTCACGGGCAGTAGAATTCCCAAAAACCGCATCAGGTGGATTCGATATTGCCTACTTCGAAGGATTTCGATATTCGTTTTACAAGATCATCAAATGAGGAGAACGATAATGGGTGTTGATTGATAGAGGGAGGAAGGTAAAAACATGAAAGGACAAAGATTTCTTGATTCCCTGTTGACATGTCACATGTTGTAGCGAGGCAGTGGCAATAAATATGGATCTGCCGCGACAAGAAAAATAGGTTCGATCATTCTCATCGATCCGTCGGGAACTGAATTGCCCCACTCCCTTTGTGTCCCGCAAGCATCTTCTCGGTTCGTTTCTTGAATGCTCTGACTGCGTCATCATCAGTCGGCTGATTCGTGCGCTCCGCTTTCGGCACGAATTCGCCCTGAAATCTGCTACCATAGACGCGCGACAGCAATTCGCGGCTCTCCGTGTCGTTCTTAATCCCGTATTCCTGTCGCTTGTCTTTCGACGCTTTCTCCTCCAGCATTTTCTGCAGGACCCGCTTTTTGCTTTCCTCTGCCGCGATCATGTTTTCGACCCGCCGGTCTGAAGAGACCGCGACTTCCGCCAGACCCTGGGTCCAGTTCATGTTCTTCTCCGAGTCGTCTAGCACCATACCCTTCACTCTAAGCTTGTCTGGTATGGCGTACAGTTCGCTCTCAGGCTTCAACCGCGTACCAAAACCTGTGGAAGACGATGCCGCAGCAGCACCTGCAGCGCCGTTCTTGCTAGAAGTTGCATCACCTTGTTTAGCGCTTGACGATGCAGAGGAACCACCGTTTTGCTGCTGTTCTTCGGCAAGCTTTTGTCGGATGAACGCTTCCATGTGCGCTTGTTCGCGGGACTTTTTCTCCTCGTCCTTCTTGCCCTCGCCTTGCGCAGCGAAGGTCATCGTGCGCAAGCCACCTTTTTGCTCTTCGTCTTCGTCAGCATCCCCTTTTTTGTTCTTCTCGTCGTCCTCCTCCTCTGCAGCGTTGCGCTTACGATGCGCCGCACCGTCCGCGCGCACGCCTAACCTTAGCTTCCGCAACCTCTGGATCTCCTTGATGTCTATTGCGGCAGCAACAATATCATCCCCCTCTTGATTTTCCTCACCGTTGTTGTCACCGCCATCGTCGCCTCCTCCTGCACCCTCTGTGGTTGCGCCACTTAGTATGCCTTTGCTTGACATTTTTGCTGCCGGTGCATCCTCGACGTCTTCGGGATCTGATTCGGCCTGCTTACGACGGCGCTTTCCACCGTCATCGGCGTCAATCTTTGCACGGCGCTTTCGAAACATTCTTTGAAGAGAAAACTACTTTAACAAATGAATGTGATATGATCCGTATTAAAAAAAACTCCTAGTAGTTCATCAAGTTCTTGTTGTTGTTCACATCAAGAAGTAAACAGGCACTACAGTAGAAGTCATGTTGACATCTAATCCGTAGATGCGACTCACTTTCCTGCTAGCCCTCTTCGCCTGAAACTGTAATTGATTTGGGATTAGTTACATCGTAGCTTGATCTCTTCTGCGGTCTGCCCTTGTAATTCCAATTGCATGGGGATCTTGGGTTACTCATCGTTGAGTAATTCACGACACCAGCAGTGAGAACATCGAATTTCGGAACTCCTCACCTCGATTCATCTGCAGTTCTTTTTGTCTTGTTCTTCCATCTGTGCAACATAACGCTACATTTCGATTTGCAGGAGCTCCGTGTTCATTATCATCATACTCAGATCTTGAAATGCGGAAATCACTCCTCTGCATCGGTGGCCAGACAGCTGAGGAGATCACAGCGCAAAGGCGACAACCTCAAGTGTCACGCAATTGTTTTGTACGAGATTATACGGAGCTAAACGAGTAAGTATGTATAAATTTATGTTTCATGATCGATTAGCAAACACCAGAAAGATCGATCCCCAATTGTGGTTACACAACAGGAAAACATGTCTCGCAATAGAAGGTCCTCTTCGATTCGCTATGCTAGGATGGGACAAGTGGAAAAGAAAATGAAAGCCAGCTGCTGACAGACTGGTGCGCGGAGACTAACTTTTTAGCCTCTTCTCTACCCGACGTGTTACCACGGCAACGATGGATCAAAAGTTCAGCTGCGGACCGCTCGCCACTCCAAACAAAAAGGGTCCGCTCTTGCCCACAACTTGCTCCCGAGATCGAATAATAGCTCGCAAAAATAAGTACACTTACACTGCTGGTGTCGGCTGTCAGGTAACGCAATCAGCCTCTCCGTCGACGTCAACTGTGACGACACCGTTGCTGGCACTCGACGCACTCCACATACTGCTGTCTTCGTCGCTAGGGCATCTCTTCGTGTTCGTTCTCGCTGCCAGATGCAGGCTTATTTTCGTGAAGAAATTTGTGTGCAATGCGGTGGCTGCCAGCAAAAATAACGTCCCTGCAGCCGTGTACCACTGGATCAGACGCCGACTCATCAACGGATTAAAACTCACTTCCAGGACCATCTCAATCGTCGGGTCAAATCCCGTCAGCTTGAATGATTGCGTGCAAATCTGGAAAACACAGAGGTTGGTCAAGTTTTTTGGTAAAGAGACATCTGACATCATTTATTTTCTAAGTAGGTGATAACAGGATAATTTCAAGGGAAAAATACCGCAAAGCACATATTTCGCAGCGGCCCAAGGCTAAGAAAGAACGTCGCGAACAGCATCAGCACAGCTGCCGTTCGCTGACTCGGCTTGTAGAAGTACTGCGTTAGGTTTGTGAGCAGCACCAGCATCAGCACCGACTTGAAATTAGAGCACTCACTCAATTTTCACAAAACTAAAGCTGCACTCGTATGTGATTGTGTTGACGATGCCCCCCGTCCTTGATAAAATAAGTTGTAATGCGAGCAGAACTCAGGAATCCAAATCTCCTTCTCTATCTAATGTATCTGGCGACCCTTAAGAAAAGTGTAAGACGCTTGTAGGCAATCACGAGAAACCGCCAGGCCCAGGGCCGCTCCCAAAAGCGCCGGCCAGCATCAGTGCGCAATCAACATGGGAAACGCCAACAGCGCAGTCGCTAGCGGTCCCATCGTGTCGAAGTCGAACTCCAGTCGACATACTCGCTTTTCGTCTCCCCTGGTCGAGCGCAGCGCAGCGCTCGCCCGTACGGGGCTGGCGCTCATGGTGGTCGGAGTCGGTGGCTTATTTTGTCTTACTTACTTATCGTCGTCCGATGAAAGTAATACGATTAATCTTAGTCTTCTGGATGATGGCATGGAGGAGGTACTCGAAAAACACCCTGAGCAGAAAGCATGGATGGGTTAGTTGGTAGTTACTCATTGTAGGTTGTGTACTTACTACCTGACATTTTGTCAGGGGGCGCCACATCATTTCCCTCATTATTTACCGCTCCCGTGCGCTTCTGCCTTTTTCTCTATTCTACAATATTTTTGTGCAATTTCTCCGATTGCATCGTGGGACATCCATTGATGCAAACCAAGAACCTCCTTGTTCAAGCGCTGTCCGAGATTGGACGAGACTGGCGTCACGTGTACTCGCCTTGGGTGGTGAATTTTCTTTTTCAAGATGCATACCAAATTGGAATATTTCTTCTCAATATATGCGTACTTAGTTGAAATTAACGACATCTATGCGCAAAAATGAAACGTTCACCCCGTAACATTCATCTTATGCTGTGCTTGTAGCCACCATGATTGTCATCATCTGCTCTTGTTCGAACTACATTCCTCTCATGTTGACGGCACCTTTATGCATGACATTCTAAAAGGGGCTAAGTACTACATGACTAGATAGTTGTATCATGCATGACAGTTTCAGAGACTTGTACTCACATTTTCCTCAACGACTATGAAGATTCGAAACTCACACAACCAACCCAGACCTTACATGGAAGGAAATGGAATCCAAGATACGGCAAGAGAGTAGAATGAATCATGATATTTCCCGGCAGCTGCCATCAGCGAGAGTGGGTTCAGGCAGTCCTCCGACGGATCTGGAAGATGAGGCTAGCTACAAGTTGTACGTGATCACAATCAACGTTGTCTTGATTGAATGCTAGTGCTACAGAATACGGAAACTTTTATTATACCTTGTCGTTATCTTCAACAAATGATCCGTTTGGCAGGATTACAAAAACTCACTGATATGTATCAAGGTGATGAAACTTTGTTAACATGATGATAAAAAAGAAATTGAAATGCATTGCGATGAAAGATGAAATTGGAACTCTCTACAAAAATGAAAATACTGGCCTACCTATACAAGAATCTGTGAACTCTTCAAACTCTGTACACACAACCTGTCAATCGATCCCATCTTCTCCGCCCGAGCGCAAAAAGTTTCATTCCCCCCGTGTCCTCCTCGTATATCAATGAGGTCAAAAACTACTTCACACGCAAGCATTCTGGAGAAACAATCAATAAACTACTTCTACTATCGAATGATTCTTATTGCTATTCTAGGAAAAAAGCTCGGTCCACGGAAAATTGTTGTATTCGGAATAATTGATGGCTTTATACTTGTGGTATGGAAACCTGAAGCACTGCTAGGAGAGAGAGTATAGCTGCTTTCGGTTTCCAACTATGTCACATGGAAGTTACTACTGATATCACTAGTATACTGCTACTGTTCCTGAAATACTGGTAACGAATTAGGTACTTTTGAAAGTTGTAGGTATTAACATCACTCCGTGAGTGTAGTTCATGCTTTTTAGCTGTATCACCTGTTCGCATAAAAATGATGTTATGAATTAGGTACTTCGGAATCTCTACCATATGAATATGGACAGCAGTGACACCCGATATGGACAAAAGTGACATTTTTGCAATCATCAAAAAACAAAATGTCCTATGTATATGTTGTTCGAATCCTAAAAGAGACTACTTAAACTTAACGATTTGTCAATGAATTTCTGAATCACGCTTCAATGAATCATCGAAACTCCCAGTCTCCCACGTACGCCCCCATGATTTCGTTGTCATTACTTACTTTCTGTACTTACTTTCATCTCATATGTTCATTATCGTGTTGTACTAAAGTTAGACTTTGTTCTTGCTCGCATGATCCTCAGCACCATCAATGCCCACTTTGACTAAAACTGCGTCGGCAATCTGCTCGTCCTTCTTAATGCAAGTTTTAGAGATTTCACATTTACTGTTTCTTCTTTCAATCTGCATCGAAGCTCCTAGAAGTCTTCAACACTTTTCACCAGGAACGACCACGTCATCATATGGATACATGTTGATCATCTTTTTGTTGTCTAAAGAAAGAGAGACTACCCACTGTTACTCCCTGCCTTAATCTTCGTATCCGATCCTGCGTCAATGTCTTCTTCATCGTCCCAACTCATCTCGTCTATCTGTTTCTGCAATGCTCCACTGTGCTCATTCATTTGTTGCAGCACCTCGCTCTGTCGCATTTGCGATTTTCCTGCGCCGCCGCCGCCGCCAAGCAGTGCTGTTGGATCATCTAGACCCGTCAGTGCGGACATACGGCGTGTAATCTTTTGCGTGAATGTCTCCTTCTTTACAGACGTGCGCGCCGCATGACTCTCTGTCATGAATACCTAGCAGAAGCAGGTGGGTGTGGAGGAAGATAATTTCTTGAAGATCGATGTTGTGGATCAAAAACGGTTCTTGTCGTATTTTCGTTATTGTAAAACACGTGCGGAAAAATAATCTCTTATCTTTTCAAAGTAAACAGGTAACAGATCGAGATTCTCAACACAAAAAATGATAACAAGCAGCAACTGCACGGAAAATAAGTCACATACATTGTCATAGGATTTGGATTTACTGAAGCCCTCCTGGATTCGCTCTTTTTCTTCACGGTGCTTTTCTTGCCGGTTTTTTCGTCAATAACTTCCTCTTCCGCCTCTGGAGGCTTGACCCAGATGTTGAGCGGGATCCAGACGATTTGGCGAGCGAGCCACAGCCAGTGCGCCGACAGGAGCATGATCAGACCGAAGAGCACGATTGGGTTACTGCAACACGGTAGGACGAAAAATATGAAAACAAAAAGTGTACTCATACTCAAGCAAAGATGCAGTTTCCTGCATAAAACCTGCCTAATCTTTTGAGTATGAGTAAGTTTTTCCCCGTCATAAAAAAGGCCTCGCATTCATACCACAACTCTAAGAGAGGTAGAAGGCAATTGTACACATGCTCATTCGCATACTTCAGAGGCGAGACCAAATGCTGAAATCCGAGAGGCAGCGTTTGAAGCGCGATAAGCATCGGATCAACCTGCGATGAGAGTGGACTCAATTCTACTTCTTCGAGATCCGTATTGACGGACTCAATTCTTGTTCCAGATTCGTATCTATGTATTGAAACACAATTCTGATTCAGAAAACCTTCATTCAAATAAGCGTCAACATAGTCAGTTTACGATTGATTTCCAAAATAAAAAACTTAGTATCAGAAAAAAAAAATCGCGAAAACTCGGATTAAAACAAATGTACCATATGTCCCAGCACGCCTGCGTAGATGATACCCGTTGCGGTATGGTGGACAACATAGCCTACACCATCCCAGAAGCGAGCCCAGTTATCAACCCAGTGGTCTTCATGCCTGAGCAACCACGGAGATCGCAACAAGGTGGTAATTTCCGGAAATCCGAATTTGTACAAGGCCATGAAGAAGAGCGGGAGGCCCAACCAGGACCCGCTGGCGAAGCAGGCCATACAAATCGGAACCATGACCACCTGTCCGAAGCGCCAGAAAGCTTCCTTATGCTGCAAGGTGATCCAGACATCACCCATCTTGAACTCCAGATACAAACCGCCAAAGGTAGCAACCAAAGCCCCCATCAACACGAATGGCAGAGCGATCTGCTTCATCAAGTCCTTCTTCCATCCCCCAGTCAGCTGAGGAGGAATCAGTGAAATCTTAAACACCGAGACCAAAGGAAGATCGGCCATACATTAGAGAAAGATCATGAGCTGAAAATAAAGGATTGACTGTTAATACTTGCTATACCTTATTTCCTTTTACCACGACTTTCGCAACTGAAGGGTTGTGGTTGATTTTTTTTTTGCGAATCATGCTCACAGTCAAGTTACGATAATCAATCTGAATTGTCTCAACATCGATATCCATGCCCTAAATGTAGGCCGCGAAAGCGAAACGGCTCATCTCTTCGCCGACCTCCTGCGCGCAGTCAGTGCTCGAGAAACGATCGCCTTTTGAGACGAGGTCGAAGAACAAATCGTTGGTTCCAGAGTCGGAAATAGTATGGGCCACGTGATGCTTGGCGGCTGCACGCGGAACAAAAGTGAAGGAACCGATCCACTGTTCACGGCTGTAGCTGATTTCCCTCTCAGCTTTGATGAGCAAGATATGCATACCAGCAGGTCGCAAATCCGTGTACCAGTCGCTTTTCGCCTGCATTTTACCTTTTACGACTTCGAAGTTGTCGCGGAAGTAGCAAGTGAGAGGTCTCGCTCCCGTGTTCTTCCAGAACTTCATATAGTCCGCCTTCAGACTGCTTCCAGGATACCTGTTGCAATTTTACGTGCAAAACTGGACGACAATTTTAAAGACCCATAATCTGACACTGATATTGCTCTTTCACGAGTGATTCTTCAAAGTGAGCGTCCATGAGAGTCATCTTCACGCAACTCTATGCACATCTGACGTTGTGATGAATTTGTGTAAAAAGTACCATTTCGCATCTCCGAGGGTTTCTTCCATTTGGTTTTGGAGTACTTTGAAATCCAACATTCCGAGCGCCATTTCGCCGACAATTGGATTCAAAAGCGGGTACCAAGGAAATTGCGCCGGTTCCAGTCGAACAAACATGGGCTTCAGCGCAAGTTCTGGGTGCGGCGCAAAGCTCACGAGTCCTGTGAGATACTCGTCTGCGTCCGTGATTTCGGAGTCGGACTCCTCGTTCTTGAAAGTGGGTCCCGCGTCCACAACTTCGCGCAACTTGTGCGCAGACGCCCACGCGAGATAGGATCCGATGTTGGTGTCGCCAACCAGGTAGATTTTGGACCAGTTGTCCGTGGTAAGTTTCGCCTTGCGAATCAGGTTCACAATGATGTCACTGGGCACGCCGTTGAAGTCGCAGTCGTTGATACGCGTCGCATCCTTCCCCCAGCCGGGCAAGTTGAGCAAAACGCTGGTCGCGCCTGGTCGGTCCTCGTGCATGTGCTTCACGATGTTTGTCCACATCTGGGGTGCGTGGGCGAAACCGTTGAGGAAGATCCAGAGAGTGCCGTCGAAGTCCTCATCGTCGCGGTAGGTCGAAGCACGATCCGTGAGGAAGTTAAGGCCCCGTGGGCTGCCGAACAACTTGCCATGGACAAAGGATTCCAGCTGGTACACACCATTTGGAATGTCGTCCTCCAGCTCAATGTAGCGTTTCACCGGAGCGCTCTGCTCTATCACCTTCTTTCCGTCCGTAGCGGAGGGCACACGCAGCATCTGTCGGCGAAGCTCGACGCCATGATGGACAAACTCCCGCACACGAGAGTCCGAGCTGCAACGGGCGTTGAAACCATCGGACCCAGGCGTGTGCAAGTACTCGCCGATATTCTGGAACATGAAGCGCAAGGCCGCGTTGCGGCCCAAGCAAGCGTGCTGCAGACGCTTCCTGCGCGTGGCCATCGGTGCGCTGGCCTTCGAACGCGCCGGCAGTTCCAAATACTGGTCTGTCACCGGATCGGTCGCGGCTGAGGCCGGGGCAGTGCGACCGCTGAAGCCCCAGATGACGTCCGGCACGTCGGTCGCGGCAGTGGCGGCGGCCTTGCTGGCGGCGACCAGAGTGTCGCCAAAAACACCGGTCTCCGAGACCGCGATGTCTTCCTCCAAAGCGCCGAAAATGTATACTTTCTCCAAGTTTGCGCGCATCGGGTCGAACACCTCTGGGTGCGGGAAGTAGCGTTCATCCCTATGGTGCGCAGCAATGTCGTAGCTGGTCTTCTTCGCTGTGGCCGCGCTGCTGCCTTCCCCGAACGTCAGCGGCTGGTGGAGGTCGTGCTCCGTTCGCATGAACTCTAGGAAGATGCGCTTGCGCATTGCCAGGCCGCCAGATTGCCAGTCCCGGCCTAGACCACACAGGTCCTCGCGAAGTCGCATAATCAGGCGAAACATGATTTGCGGGAGTCGCTTTCCGTATGCGAGACTCTGGCCCGCGAAATGGCCAGTCTCAAGCACGCGCGCGATCTCCTCTTCCAGGCTGGACAGCGATAGTCCAGTGCTCTCGTCCACCACTGCAGGCAGACGCGAACGCACCGAAGTCCACGCTGCGACGCTCTCGGCGGCAAAAGTGCTCTTCGTTTTGACACCCTGCAGACTCACCGTGGTTTTCGTGATCATGCCTGTGCCACTCAAATAGCCCTCGGACCGGTGGCTGTGCTCCGGGCGATGCAGTGCCAAAGATGTCGTGTACAAGAAGTAGCCCATCTCGCGTTCGTGCGCGCCGGCCACTGCGCTCCAGCGCGATGCCCACCAAACCGGGTGCTTCCACACCAAGCGAATGATTTGCTCGTATACGTTCTTCTTCAGGTCAAACTCGCCGTCGGGTCCCCACAACTCCGGCAAGTTGTCCAGGGCCCAGGTTTCGCCCCACCACACCGGATACGTGTTGTACTGGTAGTTCTTGCCCAACTGTGTTCGCGCGTTCTGCTGGAAAGCGGCCTGGCCAGCCATGGTCAATTCCGGTTCCTTCAGCATAGCCTCGTGCAGTCGAAAGGTGAGCTCGCGCGCTGCATCGTGCGCCGGAGTAAAACTGTTCTGGCCCTCAGCCATGTACTTCGTCAAGTCTGGAAACTGTTCGAACCAGGCATCCGCGAAGTCGGTTCCTGCAAGCCCCTTTACACCGCTAACGCCGTTTCGAATTTGCGTCTTGCCCAGAGCGTCGACCAAGCCGTAGTACTTGGCGACACGTGCGCTGCCGGATCCGCGGGTGTAGAGCTCCTGTTGATAATTCGCGTTGGTGCCGGACGGCTGCGTGCTCCCATCGGGTAAAATCAATTGAAACGCGGATGGCATCATGAACTTGCGCACGGCTTGTGCCCTCGCCTCGGCGCGCGACCCGTGGTTATGGTAGTTCGAGAACCAGAGATCGAATAGGAACTCTTCGCGGTAGCCAATTGCGTCGTGCGTGGTGCGTCGCACTTTTCCGCTTGTGCCAACGCCGTTCGCATTGGAAAATGCAGCGCTCGTTGCGCCAGCGTGCGTGCCAAAGGCTTGCCACTCAGAAATCATCTTCTCCTCCAGTGCCAGCCAGTTAAGGCGCTGACAACCATTTTCGGACAGGTAAAGTGTCGGGTCGTGAGCACAGTTCACCGCGTTCTCATGGTACACGAGACTCTCACCTGCTTGATGCTGCTGCTGAGCAGTTGCTGGCACGGGAGCGACCGCTCCGAACATTCCAGCAGTCTCAATGTGCGCTGGCGCACAGCGTCGCAAAAGCGTCTTCGCGTTCACCTGCAGCAAACTGAGAACCAAGGAGCCGCTGCCGTCCGCTTCCAAGCCCAAACCCGTGCTCGCGCAGGCGGCTAGTGCACCGCTCTCCACGTGACGTCCCAGAAAATGAGTCACAGCTTGCGTGCAGTTGGTCGAGCAACGGTCACTGCCCGCCAGATCCGGCAAGCAAATTGGAAGCGCATCGAGTGTGGAGGACATAATTTCTACCTTCGTAGCAATGTCGCAAGTCGTGGCAGTAGGCCCTGGCGCTGCGGAACACTCGGTGGCGTGGCAGCGACCACCCGCCGGGGGCGAACTTCCCGCTAACGGACAGAACCGCGCCGGCGCCAGTGCTAGTAGATAGCTCTGCACCCAGCGACACGAAAGACTTGCACCCTTTGCTGCGAACGCGACGTCGGAGTTCACGCAGCTCGAATCTTGTAGCGGCAGTGCGGTGTAATCTGCCTCGCACGCAGCCTGCGTCGCATACTGCGAGTTCGCGCCCGTGCAGTGCGTCTGAATGTCCTGACACGTCTTCGTGATCAAACTTGCAATATTCGCAAAGCGCGTATTGACACCACTGGCCGTTGGATCTCCGTTCTTGACGTGGTCTAGGAACTTGTAAACGCCTTCAGCGAGCGAAAGCCCGGTGTTTGCAAGGGCGCCACTAGCCGGTGCAATATCCATGCGCGACCGGGTTTTCTGAATAGCCGAGCACGGATAGTACTCGGTGCGCGTCCACCGCTCAAACACGCGCGTGTGCGGACGAGGAGCAGGAGTCAGACGCGTAGTGTTTCCCAAACCCGCGAAATCACTCGTCGTGCGCTCGAAAGACCAATCTTGGTACTGCAACTCGCGGCGGAATATGCCTAATTGATTGACAAGTTTGAAAGGAGTCACAGCGCATTTGGTATCGTTTTACAAAGTCAAAATCAAGATGCATGTGGAACAGCAGATGATTGCAGGCAAAGAACAGTTCTGATCTGTAAGGAGACCCTCGAGTCTACAACGAAATGCCAATTCCACGCGTTCTAAAAGTGAATACTGTCTCCAGAGGCTCGTACGTCGTGCATGCCAGAGACCCCGATATTCATGAGCCCGACATCGCGACTCAGCACGGCTTCTTCCTCGACTTGGGCGATAAGGTCCGCCCGCTCAGATGCGGAAAGCGACGTCGGCGGCTGAACCAAGCGTAACACGTTCTGCTGCAGTCTCGCCGAGCTAGCTGTTACGGTGTGCTTCACTTCCTTATCGTTGAACAGACTCTCTGTGATGGGAAGCGTCTTGAACTCCGCTGCCATGCGAAGGTTCTGCAGGGTGTCATCAGTGAGCATGAGGCATTTTTGCGTCGGCTTGCAGTGCGGCGGCAACTGCAGTGGTGCTTCCTCGATGCCCTTGAAGTCCAGCGGCTCGCACACGTCGCCCATTTTATTTCCGACCTGCAATACGTGTGCGTGTCCTCCAAAGACCGACTCGGATTCGAAGCGCGCAGAGGGGTTCGCATTGGAAGTCACAACTTTTCCAAAGCGATCAACGATATCGTGGATCCCCTCCAACTCGGGGATCGCGCGGGGCGTCAGCGGACGGCCCTCGCCCGCGGGGTTGGCACTGTATTCGAGGTACTTGGGGCGTTGCGAAAACGCCATACCCAAGGCCAGTCGACGGCTACCCAAGTTCGTTGCCAGCTCGTCCAAAGTGTGGTATAACGTCAGAGCCGATGCGTAATTGAAACCATAGGCGAACCTGGTAAAATTTTGAGGCAGATGGAGCATCCGTGCGCTGCAACTCGTCCTGTTGCTTAAAATGCTCATAAATAGCTCTGCGACCTATAGAATAATCACCCGAACAACTACTGAACAAGCACCTCTAGAGAGCTTTTCAGCTACCTAGCATTGAAAGTTGAGAAATCAGTATGTATTTAGGTATACCGAAACTCCGGTGCTCCCATGAAGCCTGCGCACGACAGTGCCTTGCGCAAAATGCGCGCGACCGCAAGACGATCGAAAGAATCACTGTGCTTCGCATCACTTGTCACTAGATTCGGATCATCCTGCTTCGTGCGGGTCACCACTGCTCTCCAATCGTACCTGATCGATTGAGCATCCAAAGAGCTATGCTGACCGGATTGGTCTAAGTACACACTTTTAACAAGGTGTAATGCGAATATTAGGTTCCTTGGTTCTCTTGCTCTATCACCAAGTTCTGCAGATACAATCACACGCGCAAAACAATAAATCCAAAGTCATAGACGGAGGTGGAAAGGTGACTACACTCGCATTTCCTCCAGCACATCCTCTTCGAGAAATTCTTTGGAGCATTTTTTCGACATTTCTCGTGTATCTGCATCGGGCCAAAAGAGAGTGTTATCAACTGGCAGCTCCCACATGCGCCCGTACCAGTACTTGGCGACTTCACTCTGCCAAATCGGTTGGTTATCGCGGATACGGATATCAGGAATGGCGGTGGAAAACCCAGGAACCGGGTACTCTTTGTAGTATGCCACAGGCGCAATCGGCGGACGATGTTGCTCGATGTGCAAAAACGAATACCATTGCGTCAGAAGTTCGACATGATCACGCTCTTCGTTGTAGTGGAAAAATGTAACACCTGTCGTGATAGCGAGTTTTGGGTTGGAACCATATAAAAAAGAGAAGTGTTCTGTCTGGCTACAACCACTATGGCTAAGCTGTCGAAAAAAAAAAAGATAAAATTTTGCAACACAATGCCGTCGTGATCATTCATAATAAAGAATATTGAATACCAACAGCTCTCGGTTTTCACGAAGAAAGTACTTAGTTCGATTCCTAGTATTACATATCATATTACCAGTCGGAAACTCAGTCCATGGGAGTCCGGCTGGATTCACTTCTCCTCGACGCTGCACGTAGAGCTGATGCAGGCGCACCCAACCACCCTTCTCGTTGTGCGTCTTGACGGAGAAGTCGATATTGTCGCCGTCTGCGTTCGCACCGCCGGCCGGATTGAAACTGCTGTCAGGATGCAAGTCGCGATGGGTCTCGAAATGATTGCAAGTGCCCCCAGCCGGGTTCACCTTAGTCGGAGTAGCGCTGAGGTCGACTTGGTCCAAGCGGTTTCGCAATTTCTCCAATACTGGCATTCCGTGAGCTGTGATCTTTGCGGCCATCTTAGACGACGAGGCCAGCGAAGCCTTGGGCATGTCGCTTTCGGCATAATCGCGGAGTCGTTGCATCATGGCAGGGTTGTCCATGACGTGGTAGCGATTCATGTTGTTAGCCGAGGTAGCCAGAAACGCGAGTGTCGCGAAAATCTGTTCATCTCTCACGCCAGGATCGATGCTCTGGCGGGCTTTCACCGGATCCGACCAGGTCTGGTTCGCTAACACGACCGTACTCTTCTCAGGAGCAATCGCTGGTCCACCGGTCGACTCGATGACAGACTCGCGGAAAGTAAATTGACCACAATTCCGCTCCAACATTGCAGAACTTTGACCTGCGTTGTCGGTGGGAGTCTTCTCTTTTCAACAAGATCAATTTTGTCAGTCATGTCGTCCACTTCACGCAGAAGCCTCTCAAGATAGAAAGAACTAACTCTTGTCTAGTAAATCGACGTCGGTACGACCAGCAAAGAAGTTAGTCATTTACAAACCCACCGCCACCCTTCCATAAAATATGATTAGTTATAGGTTTACCAGCGGTGAAAGCTCCCCAAGCGTATCCGTATTCTGTTTGCTCATCACGCGCGTTGCGCAAATGGCGGGCAAAATGCGCGTGCATGACATCATTCTCGTCTACGGGATGAGGCACAAAAAGCCACTGCTTGTCCTGCGACAGCTTAAACTTCTGCGCTCCAACCGCACGCGGGATACGCCAGTACACTTCAGGATTTTTATCGTTAACGGTTACTACCTCACGCTGCACGTCGGTTTTGGTGTGCCCATCATGCAGCAGGTAGATCGGCGGCGCAGAGGAGGAACCAGCATGCACTACCCAAAACGTGGACCACAGCAGCAGCTGGCAGGACGCGACGCAACGCCCAATATTGCCCAACATCCTCGTCGCAACAAGGAGAAGACGCGCAGAAGGACAGCACTTGGTGTTGCTGCTTGTTGTTGTTGCTCCTGACTCGGTAGCTTTTGATCCTTGTTCTTGGAACAGATTCACTTGTTTGCAAACTGAAAAATTTGAATTACAACTCACTGGGATAGACGCTTGCGAATGAATCTTCGCTTTCTCTATTCGCAGACAATACTATGACTTAGGTAATCCCTATCGAAGATGTTGCAAGGATAGGATAGAGAGACATCCCCACCTCGTATGACAGATATTTTAAAAAGAGATGAAAGCACAGCGACGGTTGATTTTCTCAGAGTAGTTGTATTAGAAGCAGACATTCATGAAGAGGCATCCAACCCTTCCTATCTTGGACATACAACCTACTACCGGGTCGGCACACACACATTTGCGCTTGATTTGCTAACACTCTGTTCTCTCGAATGCCTTTCTAGGCTACTTCTACCCTTGCTTTTTCACACGAACACAGGTCATACAGTTTCCTCAACAAGAGGCACGCATGAGCAAGAAGCGTGTCAGGTCTGACTCTCCGTCAATTGCCTGACACAATTCTATTGCATTCAATCTACTTGTTTGCGATCATGGCTGTACGTAGTACTTATTCCCGTTAAAGTACTGCTGTATCCAATAGTACTATGACTTGCTTCAGATTTGAAAATATATCGATACGATCTTCTATACAATCAAAGTATTCACTGTAGTACATTTTTCCGACAGTCTTCTTACAGATACTGTTTGCAACCCCGCGATTTGAGCTTGTTTTGTATGTTTGTTCACTACATAGTATTGCAAATAGGGACTGCTACCGGTCTCCGAACCATCGAGGGCGTCGCGGGACCTACACCTTCCCAAAAAAGGGATACTCTTGGGAGGACGAGTCTAGATTTGCAGCACGCCGGAAGCTAGGGCGGGGAATGTTTGTTTACTACATTGTAGAACATTGAGATCTAAAAAATCTAGCCAGCAAAATGCCTATCAAGATCTTCCTCACAGTACATTAAGTATTCATGCGATAATCTTCTTTCATATGGTCTACTACATATGCAAATGAGAAAAATCCATTGAAGAAAGTCCTGGTGTTATTACCAATGTTCTATACAAAGGATCCAAGATTCTACTTTAGTCGAACTATCTTCCAACATACATGCTATGTTGAAGTTTACTATAAAGTTTTGTCTCTATTTTTGTCCTGATTATTACCATTGCTACTTGCTTTCCTTGCTGCTGCGGTCTTTGCTACCTTCTCGCTAGCCATCTTCTCCATTAGCCGCGTGGACAAAGCTTCTACCAAAGCCTCCATTTCCTTTGAGTCTAATGTGAGCCGCTTTCCTCCACTAGAAGAAGTCTGGCTATCCCCCGAAGGAGCTTCACTACTTTTACTTGCGACAGGTGGCGCCGGAGGACGCGGAGCTGGTGGTGCGGCTGCCGTGTGTTCCGGGTTTTTGTTCCTCTGGGGCAGCATTACATGCAAGTACCTTGGGAAATAGCGTTCGTCATTGGGGTCCATATCTTCCTCGTACTCTAAAATGATTACACTGCGCATCCGATCGAAAATGTGCGCCTGTTGCTGCTTTACGCGGTTCACCGTGGCCGTCATATGTGCACCGGTGAGCAACATGCAAATATAGTTGATCACACCCAGCGCATGCGCTATAAACTTCGCAGGCAAGACCCGAATGTACGGAAGATACAAGTCCTGGAGTGAGTGAGATATGAAAAGTTGAATATTCGAAGGGACCTATTGAAAGAGGCCTAGGTTTAGAAAAAAACTCGATAGAAGTCGATTCGACAAGAAAGTAAATGTGACTTCACCTACTTCAAGTAGTAAGGCCAACAGTTGGAGCTGGAACTTTTACTAACATTGCTATGAGAGAGGAGGGAGGGAGTGAGTGATTGCTTAGCAGTAGTACCTGAAAGCCCTGCATTTGCGGTTGATACGTGATGACGGGCTTACCACCCTGCGAGACGGACAGGAGAATGAGGTACATCACGTCGCAGAAGTCTATGCAGAGCTGCCAAAAGCTCCTGTCGCCATCCCAATATGGCGCGAAGACAAGCAAGAAGGCTGTGAACATACCTCCCAAGCCGATTATGATGAAAATGATCATCAAAGGAAGCACGTCCACCGCCATCATGATCAATATTCTGATAAAACGTCCCAAGTATGGATTCACCTGCAGATAGTACAACACCGCACCCACCATTCGGAGATAAAGGACTGCTGAGAAGAGAATAACGTAGCTCTGGAGGTCGTAGCTAGTGGTGTTACTGGCCAGAAAAATGTCCGTTCCCTTTAGCTTTGGGTTCTGGTAGCTGAGGAAGTGCAGATGCATCATGGTGTGCGTCAATAAGACGTCGCCTAGCGCTGATTGCTTGGCGCGAAAAGCTGCTAGTTGTGCGAGCACGTAGACGAAGAGAGCCCAGGTTGAAAATTTACCGAGATCGAAACCGTAGCCCTGCACGATTTCGAAGGACAAGTCGTACTCACTGCTATCCTTGTCGGCCTGCGAAATATCGCGCGCAACATCTAATCCGGCCGTAAAGTCCCGTTCATTTGGTCCCGCGTTCTTCATCTCGAACCCCTTCGCGAAGAGCAGGTCGCGTTCGTCCTGCACCGCGATGCCCCGATGCATGGTCAGAGTGAACAGTATATGGAGGAAGAGAATCAAGAGCACCGACCGGAACTCTCTCTGAAACCTCTGCGCAGCAAAGGCGTTCCACTTGAAGCGAATCAGAGTTTTCACAAACAAGTTGTCGAAGAAGAGGTCGCCTGGTGCGTCTACTGCCGCCTGCAAAAAGCTATACCGTCGCGGACGGCTCTGCGGGAGCGCGTTCATTCCGCGGCGGCGGTCCCACAGGTTTGTGAAGAAGACTAAGAAAAGCGCGTAGAAACTATGCAATGTGTTGAAGACTAGAAATGCTGCATGCAGAATTGCTCGAACTGCAGGTGGAGTCTCAGGAACGACTCCACCTTCGTGTCCTTCTTCGCCGTGTTGATCATGACTATGACCGTTGTTACTACGCGGAGAAGCGGCCGCTGCCTCAACGGTGCTGGCCTCCACCGCTCCGAATTTGGCTTTCATCTTCGCAGGAAGACTAGTGCTACTACTTGAATCTCTTACATTTGCTTTGCTTGATGTGGAGACTGCTGAAAACGCATCCACTGTTTTGGGTTTGCCTTGTAACCGCGTAAGTGGATCTTCTAGAAATACTTGTGCAAAGCCAGGGAATGGAACAATTACTGGCTGCCCCAAGACGCTATCGACACGACGTGCGTTCGGGTGCAACGGGCCCGGTTCGTTGCCCCGACGCGGCGCTTCATCGAAAACTGAACGGTACAATAGTTCCGTTACGGTCTCTTCCTCACTGCGCACGGACGGAGCCTTACTTAGGTGCGCAGCGTCTACAACCTCGAATCGCCCGCTCTGTGCAAGCAAAGAACGAAAGTAAGTTGTAGTATCGCGATCTTCACCTCTGGCATAGTTGCCAGAATTGCTTGTGCCGCTAACGGCCCCACTACTCTGGCTCATTGTTCTACCGCCGCCAGTTCTACCCTGGGAACCCGGAGCGGCGTAGGCCGACTCGTCGGGACCGCTGAAGAACCAGCGGAGATATCCCATAGGGGAGCTGCACCGCCGCAGCTTGTTGCGCGCTGCAGTCCGCTTCTTGCGGTCGATGAAGTCTTGCCAGACGCGCACGCCGACCGCGGACTGGGAACCGCAGACCTCGAACGAGCCCACGGGGTCTGCAGCCATGATTGGCTGTTTGAATTCGAAGTACGGCGAGCGCATATCAAGAGTCGTTACCTTCTCGTCGGTCATCAGCAGCGGTAGTTCCTGCAGAAAGTGGTCCACCGCATCTGGATAGTTCGCAGCCGCAATGGACAAAACGTGGACAAACTGCTCGTCGTCGAGACTCCCAGTCAATTCGGCCAGCTTTGTCGCGGTGGCCGTAGGCGGTGCCGACGTCATCAAACCGCTCAGAAGTGCGTGCTCGGTTGGCCCCTTTTCTGCGTGGACAAGTGCGCCCGACGTCGGAACAAGTGCAACAGTTGCAGACCCACCTGCGCTATTAGAGGTTCCAGAAGAGGCCTTTCCTGCACCCTGCTTGCTCGCAGCACTAGGCGGCTGCGTCGCAGAGCCGTTGCTGCTGGACCCAGATGACGACCCTGTTGTTGGGACTCCGTTCGCGAAATCGCGGCCCTGCTGTCCACCCGCCACGAGTACCGCCGGCTGCTTTACCTCAGGTGGCTCCTCGGGATGTCCCGCGGGTCGACTGTTTCGACTCTTCAGACAGTCGGCCACACGATGTAAAATGTTGGAAACGGTTTTTTCCCTGCTGTGAAACGGATCGTTCGCGAGGACCACCGACAAGAGGCAGGTCAGAACGGTGGACTCGACGGTCTGGGTCCGGTATCCGCCCACTAGAGCGTTGCCACCTTCTTTTACCATCCGCATGCGATACGGCAACAAAGGCGACAAGCGCACCTTCGGAGAACCATGCTTACATTTACCGCCGCTCGTCCTGCTCTGAAATTTTCCAGCATCGATGTCGGCGTTCTGGTTTTGCAACGCCAGCACGGCCTGCGGCCTGCCTTCCTGGTAGAAGCGCGCAAAGTTCAATGCGGCATGCAACAACCACGGATGCTGCGACAGTCGCCGCGCGAACGCCATGTAATGCCGCCCAAGCTCATCATATAATGGCCCAATGGTCTGCCCCAACACGTTTGCGGCCCCGCCCGAGGCGCCTGAGCCATTCTCGGCCTTGTCCGCGTTCCCGCGTCCCTCGCCATTCGCAAGCCCCGACGATGTGGCGTACTTGAGCAGAGGAGCGTCGAGGAGCTTGAACTGCCCCGACCCCTGATAGGCATCATCTTCGTCTTCGTTCTGATGGCTGCCGGCCCCCGCGGCGAGCCGCGCGATCCACTCCGAGTACCACAGAGGCTCAATCAGCGACACCGGCAACAGTCCTCCTAAGGACGAAGTGACAATTCGGCCGTTGTCCTGCCACACGAGTTGCAGGGACGGCGGGGAGTTACTGGGAGACGCGTGCAAAGCACTCGGACGGGAAGTCGCTGAACGGCCAGGTGCGAAAAGTAAAAAAGGATCCTCACTTCCGTTACTGGAACCGATCCGCGCGCGCGTCACATGCGAACCAAGATACCAAGAGCGGCTGCTGGGAAGGTGCTTGAGCCACGATGTGTCCTCTCCATGTGAGAACAACGGATGGTGAACGTAGTTGGCATCCCGGATTTGCAGGTAGCGGAAGAAACGCTCCGGTTCCGGTACCTCGCTTTGCTCGTGGAAGACAAGTGGGCTGCTCTTCATACCAGCCCGCTTTGCGGCTCCATGCGGTCCTACAATCGAAAATTGTCCACGGTTTTCTCCCTGCTCACGCGCCAGGGATAGCACCCATAATGACGGCGTGTTCGCTTTGCTCCCTGGCTGTTCCGCGTTCGAGAGGCCCGTGGATCCTCCGATGCTTCCGCAGGCGGTAACACCACTCCCGTACGCTCCACAGGGTAGCGTTTCCCAAATCGGAACGACACCGATCACATTCATGTGGCCCTGATACGTGCGGAAGAGTTGCCCCGTCTCACTGCGCCAGATGCACAGATGCCCATCAGTCGACGCGGAAACGATAAACTCCTGGCTCTGCGTCGCAGAGTCGATTTCCTCCCCACTTGACATTGCCGAATCTACCTCAGCGCCATCATGCTCCCCCAACTCAGCGATCGATCCAAACATACCAGCCGCATGTGCGACGGCGGCAGCTGGTTGGCTAATCGTGGACGCCCCAACAGCGTCCGAAGGCTGGAGAGCTGGATCGGTCGTGAACACAGTAGTGGAAGGCATTTCCGCTGGATTCCCAGTGCTGGTACGAAAACGAATGTAGTTGTTGTGTTCGCGATGCGCCAAATGCCGATCGAACCAGGGGTGAGACCGATCCACAGTGATCACCTGCAAATAGTAAATGTGTCCTTGATGCCCCTCGAGAGTGCCCAGGTGCTTTCCATTGCCGACATCGCAAACGTAGATCGTGTTGTGCTCTTCTTCGCCGTCGGTGACGGCGTGGGCGCGACCTGCGTAGAAGAGGCGATTCGAACAGGAGCTGCGCACCACGTCGGGACTCCGACTCCAGAACCCGTCTACGTTGTTTTTGACGTAGACCCCGGAACGGATCTCAACCATCCGCATTTGCCCTTGCAAGTCTGCCACACACAGCTGGTTCGTTGTATCATCGAACGCCATAGCTGTAACTTCGTACCGTGCCTCTATTTCTGCAGTGTGCGCGCTCGAACGCCAGGTCTTCGGCTCAAGCAGTCCGCCACAATCGAGCTCGACATAGGCTCCTGGGGGCCGAGTGGTACGAAGCAAATGCGCGGACAGGCTCAGTCGCGCTCCATTCGCCCCACCATCGCCGTACAATAGCGAGGTGCGTGCGTTACGACGCGAACTCGTGCCACGCAGCTCCCAAATGGCAATGTGGCCACTGCGGTAGCCCACAAACACTTGCCACACAGCAGAAGCGTACAAACTCCCAATCGAAATGCACGTGATCGGCCCGAAGTCCTCAGTGCCATGCTCTGCGAGCTCTATCGCGCATTCATAACCAGCACTTTGCTTGCTTTCTTCGTCAGCGAAGATATTGGGCACTGCAGGGAACTGCAGCGGGGACGGCACCGCAGAAGTTGCAGGCGAGCGCGAGCCTTGCGGTCGTGCCAAGTGTTCTCCCTCGCGCGCGATCAGATCATCATCAGCGCTTCCAACCTCGTCGTCTTCTGGCAATTCGTTCTCATCGTCATCTTCTTCTTCTTCGGGTGAAACTGACGCTGCAGCACTTCGATTCCCACCGGGCACGCCACGAGTTCGTTCTGACGCTGAGGCCAAAGTTGGCAAACGCTCTTCTGCGCGTGTATCGGCGATGGAGGATCCAGGGCTCATGCCGCCGAAGGGTGTCCTCTTAGAAGCACGATGACTTTGCTCCCGCATACTACCACTCGAAGCGGTCGTCGGAATTCCACCAATGCGGCGCCAAACTTTCACACTGTGTGCTGTCGCGGACAAGAACGCGCAAGCAGGAACGCGGCGAGCGCCACCGCCCTTCTCGGTTTTCGCGTCCCCTCGAGCCAAGCTCATGAGATTCAAGCCCATTAGCTGTACAATCGGCGCAGGCGCCCCGCTGCCCGATCTAGAGCGTTCCGCCTCTGCCAGTAGAAGCGGCGGGTGTTCCAACTCTGCCGCTGCTTCCTCGGCTTCTACAATAGCACTGAGACTGCGATGTTGATTGGTGTAATAGCTGTGTCCCTTCTGCTGAAGTGGTTTGCTTTGACCCAGTGACGCTAGAACGTCTCCGTACGATTGCATGGAGCCGTCGACGTGTGCCACGACAAGATCGGAATAGTCTTGCCCACCCATGTCTTGCTTCTGTTCACCCGCACCTCCTCCCGCGCCTGGGCCAAACGATGAAAATTGAGGCGATGAACCGCCGCGTTGTGAGACGGGAGTATGCACACCGCGTTGCGACTCAGACGCGCTGTGCTGCTCTTCCGCTTGCGTAATTCCTGGTACCAGAGTCAGCATCGTCGCATCAGTGGCGAGCGAAATCACGCGCAGCGTATTGCCCATGAATGCGTTGATAACACGGATTTCACCGTGGCCAGAGAGAATCACCAATTTCTCAACATCATAGGGCGCAGCCGCAACCGACAAAACGTTGTCGACCAGCACAGTCTCATTGGAAATTGTTCCCGTAATCTGGTGGTGCTCCTCGTCGCGACGCTGGAAGAGCGGTCCGAAAAAGTGGGAGATTTCGCCGCGATTCGTCACGGCGCGCACACCATAGTGGTCCGCAGACGGCAATTGTGCGCTTTGTGACGCGAATGGCATGCTTCTCGGGGACCCGTTTTTCGCTCCCCCATTCTTCAGTCCTCCGCTAAAAAGCGCAGCGACCCGACTGACGTTTTGGAGCGCACTCAAGCGCGCGGATGAAGCGGCGCTTGTCGCCCCACCGGATTTGCCCAACAGCTGCTGCATCGTGGATCCTGGTCCTGAGCGCTTCGCAAACGCGCGGCGACACGCAGGGCCTGGAACGAGGTCGAGGTAAACCACGACTGGAACATTTTTAGGCACCAGCCGGCCCCGCACAAGGCAGGTTCGCTCTTTCTTGGCCGTCCCGGTTGCCGTGCCGCTTTTGTGCGAAGTAAATGCTTGGCCACGGGCCCCTCCTCTTCGGGTTGCGTGCGGCAGCATCGCTTGTTCCATTTTCGAAACTGCACGAAAGTAGCCCTCGACACGTGAGGTGTCCAAGCCCCAGAGGAACACGTTGCGCTCTTTCACAGTCCCGGCACCTGCAGAGAGCAGAAGCTCTGCCTGAGGGAAGAGCTTCAGACACGTGTTCCGCATTGCGCGCACCCCGCGCAAGCTTTGCTTCGCGAGATAACGCGCGGGCAACCAGTCCTCGTGAAAGTTGTTAGTGCGCGCCAGTTCCAACATCTGTTCTGAGCTTGAAAGGCTGCGAGGCACAGAACCGGCGGTGGGCATCGTACCTGATCCACGCTGCCAAGAAAACACTTGACCAACGTCAGGCGAAAGTGCGATGATGCGAGAGGGCGTCACGGACAGCTGCGTGAGACTCGGCACCAAAACCGCGGACTCACGCGCAGTTACAGAAAGCACGCGATTCACTGTTACGTCACGCAATTTGGCGAGAAGGCTTCCAGCTTTGCCGGTTTTGAGTTTGCGCTCCGCTCCTTGTTCGTTTCCCTGTTTCGACGATTCGCTTTGCCTGCCAAATGTTCCCATGTGCTTCGCGAAGTCCTGATCTTCCTCGACCAGCGGTGGCTCGAAATGGCTGAGCATTTCGAGCGAATCACGGTGCCAAACTTTCAGAAAACTTGACTGCTTCATGCGGTAGTTGTTACGGTCTACCCGGGAGTCCGTAGAAGTCAAAAAGAGGTAGCTCGAGTCGATAACCAGCGTGTTCGCCACCTGGCCACACGCTTGCGTGAGCACCTTGAGACAGTGGCCCACATTCGGCACCCACATGCGCACCGTCCGATCCGCACTGGCCGAATAGAGGTAGTCCCGATCCACGGCAAGGGCGTGGACGGTGTCGCGGTGCCCACGCAAGATGTGTTTCACGTTCGGCCAGGGTGTCAAGGACTGCAAGAACAATGCCTCTTCTTCGACGTTCTTTCTTCGGCCTTGAAACGCTGCCAGAAGGTCTTCTTTATGCTGCGTCTCACCGCGCAGTTGCTCACGGTGATCAGCCGCTAGCATGTCTTTCAGCTGTTGCGTTCCACTCGCACTCTTTTTGACGTGACTGGACAATGTGTCCTTCGCCTTATTTGCGAGATCAGACGTCATATTGGCCACATCAGAGGCGGACTTTTTTGCCAAGTTCTTTAAGACGCCAGCTGCTGCGACTGCCGCAGTTTTAGATTCGCTGCTTGTGGTTGCGCTATCTGTATTTCCTCCAAGATTTCTTGAGCCTCCACCACTGCCAAGTCCGCCCACTGATTGGATACTGCTAGTGCCTCCGATCGCTTGTGGGTTACTTCGCCCGCAGAAGCCGCCATCTGCGTCTTGGTGCCCGGCATCTGCACTTCGCGAACGTTTCAGAGCACCTCCTCCGCGATTGGCCGCCCGGCTACGCGCGATAGAGCGGAAACCTCGTTCGTCCGCGACCGTCGGAGCAGACTCGAGGTGCCAGACGCGCAGATTATGGGAAGCAGAATCCGCGGAAACAAGCAGTGACCCCGAATCGTCACAGGTCAGCGCGACTAGCTCTCCCTCCACTTTGCTCCACATGCGCTTGCGCGCAAGAAGTCTATCGCCTACGGGGCTGCGGTCATACACTGTGATGCACACGTAGGACAACGATTCCTGCTCAGCATGCTGAATGTCCAGGAGGTCTGCGATCAAAGCCTGATGCTCCATAGCAGCCTCCATGGCGGCGTTTTCAGAAGCGCCAGGCGCTCCCTTCCCGCCTCCAGACATCTGCGACGTGCTGTTGTGATGGATGAGCGCGCCCGTGCCGATGTTGAAGTCCACTCCCGGCGTCAGCGTTCCGTGCGTCGATGAGACAAAGTTATTCGAGATGGAGTTACTTCTCCGAACACTGCCAGAAGCACCCCACCCAGGCCCACTCCCGGAACCCTGCTTCATCGCGTTTTCAGCAACGTGATGTTGGTGGACCAACAAGTCCTCTACATTGATGTGAAAGCGTGAAGCCACGAAGATGCGATCGCGGGAGCAGCACATGAGATCAATGGGGTCCCTGTGTCGGTGGACGTGCTCAACTCGAACCGAGTTGGGATCGGAGGAGACATCGACAAAAGCGAGTAGTTGCGAGGAGTGATGGCTTGCAGTCCCCATATGCGACGACGACGAAAGGTTAGTGGAGAATCCAGTATTGTGGGGTTGCTGATGCCCACTGGGTCCTGCTCCAAACATACATCTATAATTTTGATGATTCATCTGCGCGTGATGATGACTCAGCATCGCAGGAGCGGTCACCAGACACAGCAGGCGGTCTTGCTCAAGGCCGCTACTGAGAGAAGCCGCGGAACTTGATCTGGTTCGAGTGAGACTGGCCGGGCTCACAATCGAATGGTGCTGGTCCTGTCCAGTCCTCACCGCGTGTAGCTGCGCTGACATATGCAGATCTTCGCTCGCTCGTCGTTGAAAGATTCCGCTAGGGTTACCGCTGCTAGCCCATCTGAAGTCCCGAAACCAGTGCTGGTCTTCGAGTGACAACATGCTGCTGCGGCCAACGAGATAAGTGTGCGGGATGAGCTGTGCTGCTACATAAGCGCCCGATGTGCTCTGCATTCCGCCATGATGTTGCTGTTCATGCCGGTCTCCTGGTGCAGCCAGATCGGCGACGCCATCGAAAAATTGCTTCCCCGGGTCCTCCACGAGGAGTGACGCGCATGCTCGGAGGCTGCCCGTTCGCTCATCAAAGGTCGCTAGGTGGTCTTGCGAAGCAACAAGGACGCTCCGCCTCTCCCCGGATAGTGCCGTCCATCGAGGCGCGTCACCCTCGCTCGGCGCGAAAACGACACTACGATCCATGATAATGTTCGCAAACAGAATTCACTCTTTACAATACAGATGGAAATGTGAAAGAACAACGAAGAGCAAATAGAAAGGGGAAAGAAGACGAAAAGTAGCGGGGAAAGAGAAGGAACAAATGTTCTCTAGTCAGCATTTCGGGCAAGAGGTAGCATACATTGAGGCTGTGGGCAAGTTTAAATTTGTGGTGGAACAAGCTGATGTCATATTTCTGTATCAAAATGCGAATAGGACGACATGATCCTAGTTTTTTGTAGCTTTGCAGAGTTGCGACAAATCCCCAACACAGAGAAATTCTACGGTCCCTCACAACAGAAGTAGTGGCTGCATCGCCTTTCTCGCAACAGATTACTTGTTCAATTCTAGAAGTACACAAAGACTTCTTTCTACTTACTCACACGGCACAGACATATCTCTCTCAGGCATATGGATAGATCTCTCCTGATAGAAGCTGCGAAAATCCAAGCTGTCCTTTTTGGATCAATTATGACACGACAGATGCACGAGCACCTCAATAACAGACGTAAACCGCTCATGTCACAGAGGATAAGGATGCAATTCTTTAGATCTCTGTTTTGCGATGTCTTCACAGTTTGACTTTTAGGACGAAGAACAACCTCTTCGACTTTCACACTAATGACTGAGAGGCTCTGCCGACACACCACGCTCCGTAGGAAGTAGAACTATGGTGTTTTTACAAATGATATTTAGTGCCACTTCTTACGTCGTAGTATCTATATGAGTAAGAATAGTTTTCGGATCAAAGTTCTACGATAGTGAAGGTGTTTCCGTGGCGCGAGCTTGCGGGGCGCCGTCTTTCGAAGCCGCTTGCGCTCATAGACCGGCGCCGATCCAGAACGTTTGCATACACCGAATCGACAACACCACCTTGATCCCTATCTTCTCGATAGTTGTGCGCGTCCCTCAGCAATCCATCCAGAGTGCGTGTGCTTCCAGCCAGAGAGTCAGTACTCTCCTGTAGTGGAAGCTCTCCTCCTCCCATCGAGGACCGTGTCGACATTTGTGATGCTAGTGACATATTTGAGAGTCTTCGAGCTCCACCAGCACCTCCTGTTGGTGAAGCACTTCCCGACTCCGTTCCCAGCATCCCCGGAGGAAAGTGTTCAAAAGAACCCTCCAGTGGAGGTGACCCGCTTGGATATTCACCTCTACCTCTCGATGATCTACTTGCCCCATGCTGATGTCCTCCTCGACTGTCTCTCCGCTCCCGGCGTTCCTTTACACGGTCTAATTCCTCTCGGATCGAATGCATATCCTCTACCATGCTGTCCATCCTGGAGACCATCGCAGCGCGGTCCGATATGGCCTTGCTGAAACTGGTATTCAACGTCTCGTAGTTCCTCTTGGCTTCCGAGCGGAACTCCTCTGTCTGTAGTTGCGCCTGCACCTGGAAACGGCTGGCTTGGGCAATCACCATCGTGCTGCGTAAAATCTTGCCCTTTTCATCTGGGTGCGTAGCGCTTCTCACGAGCGCCACGGCAGCGGTATTGTTCAACACCGACGTCGTTAACTCCATGTAGGTGGTGGAAAGTTCAAACGGATCCAAAGACCCAGAATTGTCCAAGTCCAAAGCATCGAAAAAATGGCCAGCATCTTCTTGATTTAAGTCTAAAGTCTCGAAGACGGTCCTGAGATGTTAGGATGAGATGCAGAGAAGAAGGGTCATCATGATGAATGTTCTGCTTGAGCTGATTTGCCACCCCGTTTCTTTCGTGCGAAGTTCTGAGGGCCTTCTTTCATCATCATGTTGTCGCATTTAGTACAACTACGGGCCTAATGGCGGGACAAAACGGTGCCTATAGTGTGTCACCGGAGCGACGGCAGTGGAAGTGTAAAAGCCTAGCCCCCTTTCTTGTTAGCTTATGATCAATTGCTAAAAATGACAGAAAAAGACACAAGGTCATGAACGTGACTTCTAGGTTTCAAAACAATCTTCTAACAATTGTTGAGTCAGTACCTGAACGCAGAGCTTTTCCTCCAGTTTTCGATGAAATAATCGCGATTTGTGTTTACTTCGGTCTCGCCGGGAAATTGCAAGAGATCTTTGATATCCGCCATTTTTCGGTCTACATCGGCGTTGCGCGCATATTCTCGTTGCGTCTGGAGGGCGGTGTCTAGCACGGTCACCGTGACTAGGTTCATGAGACCCAGCGCCGAGATGGAGATGAAAATGAGGAAAAAGAAGTAGGGCCAAATCGCTTCCTCCCCCAGAGGGACCACCATGTCCGTCCATCCGTCCAACGTCATCACTTGGTAGAGGTAGATCATCGAGTCGGAAGTTTTCGCGAACAAGGACTTGGCCATGATGACGTCGGGATCATCACTGTCCAAACCGTCATTCTGACCGATGAGCACGATCGAGACAATGGCGAAGAGGAAAATGACGATCATCACGAAGAGCACGGTCCACATTAAAGGCACCATAGCAAAGTAAAACAGCTGCACCACCCGCCACAGGTCCTCAAAGATTGTCAGCAACCTCAGAACGCGCATCCCGCGCAGGACTCGCAGCGCCCGGACCAAATTGAGTAAGCCGTCGTTCTCTCTCTCCCCGGCACCGGCGGTCTGCAAAAAAGTGCCCGTTGATACAGGAAGCACCACGTCGAAGATCAGACCACTGCACACAACCACAATGTCAATGTAGTAATGGGGACTGCGAAAGACGAATCCAACGCCAAAGCCTATACACCGCAATACCAACTCCATCGTGAAAAACGCCAAACAGCATAAATCTGCGAGAGCTAACACACTACCGTATCGTCGCCCGTGCTCCTCAGTCAACTGATACTCGATTGCCATCGCGAAAGTGTTCAACACAACCACTAACGCTACCATCGCATCGAAACGTGAGGATGCGACAATCCGCGTCAATAGGCTGATTTTTGGAGATGACATTAAACAATTTGATTTTGAATCAAGGATCATCTAGACAGATCGAAGATAAGAGGATTCGCGCCACGTGGTTCTGTCTGTGCTTGAAAATCTCAAACTGTGATATCGATCAACTAAGTATGCCGATGAATCTTTGTGGAGCCCAGTGTAGGCAATATTTTTACACATAGGTGAATCCCAGCCAAAAAACAAGGACCGCGGATCGCTAACGGTTTTCGCGCAAAGCCGATCAAACATTCTCGCAGTTCTTTTAAATTAAGTAGTACCTAACATCTTTCCTGGCGCGCATGGCTTTCCGTTGCTTTACGATATTGTCGGTCAACTCCGGCATTTCCGACATTTTCTTAAGCTTTTCGTCTCGGAGCTTCTTCGCCTTCTCTTTGATCCTCGCTGCGGCTTTTTTTGCTACGAGTGCACTGGTAAGCGAGAGTGTGCCTCCTGATGCTTTTGCCATCGGCGAGGACGGACCATCACTCGTTGGCGATGCGGGATTCGGTGCGCCGCGAGCCATGAGAAACGGATTTGGAGGTTTAGGCTTGCCTTCAGTGGCAGAGGAGTCTCCAGTGGTAGCATCAATGGCCTTCTTCTTAGGACCGAACATATTCGTGAGCTTATCCATTTTGTCGCCTTCGGACGCAGCGCCAGGTGAGTCCTCACCCGAGGATGCCCTGGCAAGTGCGGCAAAGCCCCCGCCTTTTGCTTTACCAGCACCCCCGATAGGAGCAGCGTCACCGTCCACGCCTGTCTTGGTCTGATATTTAGCTCCTGCTGCTGCACCCATCATTGCAGCTCCTGGTGGAGGGCTATTTCGTTGCTCAACGGGAGAGACGCTACTCTCAGAGACTGCGGATGGGCTACCGTCTCTGTTCTTGGCAACAGCTCCAAGCACGCTCCCCAAACCTTTTGGCTTAGCTGTAGAAGTCATGGCATTGCTTCCTATAATGTCCTTTTGCGCTATATCTTTCTTGATGTCCGTTCCCGCTTCCTTTTCAGCAGGCTCAGCTCCGGTGGCTTTCGCATCTTTAGAAACCGCTTGTACGGATCCTGTTGCGGATTTGGGCCTCACTACCGTACCTATGAGCGGAGATGCTTTGGCCGGGGTTGCCCGTGTACCCGCCTGCGGAGATGCAGGTGAGCTACTTGGTCGGTCTGCGGCTTGATCCGCCTTTGCCTTCGCTGCAGCGGCAGCCAAGTTCTTCATTCTCGCTTTCGCACCAGCCCGGGCCTACTCTTGCTCGCTCAGTTTGAAGAGTCAAGAGTATTTCCTTATTACAAGAAGCATGAGAACAAGAAGCGCAACATTTTTTGAAGATTGATATTCCTTTATATTTAGTTTTGTAAAAATAAATCAGACTGTAGTAGTATAAAGGCGATTTCGTTCCCTTGATAATTCGAGTATAGAGAGAGGATGTCAACATGCGAAAAGTGAACACATAACATGCTAAAAGACACAATTCAAACTTTCGTCTATATGGTGATCTTGACAGATGGGCCTTTCGTCTTCTACCTAAACCTAATCAAAGTAGCTTAGCTAAAAATCAGTATAATCACAGAAAGAGCGGGGGGGGCTATCTAGTCTACTTGCTTCTGAAATTGAGATACCGCGTATATTTCACATCATGTGTATTCTTTGAGGAGGCTGTCCTTTAACATTCACTTCGATGGATCCTTTTACTTGCATGTCGAAGGGGAAAGCATACACCTAGTGCTGAAGATTGTAACCGAGAAATGAAGTCTTAAGAATTAAGAATCTAGAGCGAAGATTTGCCACGAAACAATCATGAGTAGTGACATTACAGCAGATCTCTCGCTCCTGTCCTCACGACAGATACATTTTCTGTGCAACAGAACTTGAGATAAAGTGGAAGTCTGCCACTCTCCTCTCGAAGAGTACATTAGTGAAATAGCTCGTTCGTTGTCATTGCTTTGACTGCCCGAGGTGCGTCGCTCATCACAGATCTTCTTTCTTGTTATCGCAATGTATAAAATTCTATGACTCATTTTTTCTGAATGTCGATGCCGATTGATAATGCTTGCCGCTCTTTAGGATTACGCTCTACAAACCGATATCTCTCCGCGTTTGACACACACAATGATGCTGGCACTCAGAGCGGCTACCATTCTCCGACAGTATCTCAGCGCAGTCCTTGAGGCGCACGGATAGACGCAGGCATCGGGTGTAGCTGAAGAACACGACAGGGAAAGGCGCGAAACAGCTCCGCGCACGTTCGGGGCAGCGTCGTCTTTTCAATGGGAATCGCCCATGAAAAGAAAGAAGACAACATCCAACAAAGGCATTGTCAATCTCGCTGTGAGGGTCAGCGATCATTCATTCAACTTGCTACTATAATATCTGGTGCTGTGTCACGCTTTGCCTGCGTCTTATACAAAGCTTCCAGCGTATTTTAGTACTTTTGGGGCCGATAATATCAAATAAGCTGGCGCTTTCATCATAAGCAAGAATCATCAAAGTCAATAGTAGAGAAGTAGTCATTTCCACTTCGATCTGTGGCATTAATCATTCATGTGATTGTATCTGTACATCGTGTACAAAATAAGAGAAATCATCTGTTTATCTATTCATTTCCATTGGTTCGTCCAATGCATTCGTGAGAAATCAAAATCTCTAGCACTCCAAACAGGACTTGTTCGACAACATATTTATAGAAAAAGCAGATCGATGTCAATATCGATATTTCAATCACGCCAATATGGATAGATATCTAAATCATTTTGTGATGTCACCGCCCTTTTCGAGGATTAATAGGTGGGACTTCAGAGCTTTTTTTTGGCACACTTTGCGTGGGTTCTCCGGACCGTCGTGGTGCACTCTGAAAGACGGTTCTCGCACTAGAAGATGTCCCGGCCGCTCCTCCGTCAGCGGTCGGTTGTTGCACCGTGGCTGCTGCTGCCCTTGCTTTTCTCAAAGCCCACTCACTGGCACGCTGAGCCCGGAGCAATTTCTGCATTTTCTCGGCTGCGGCAGACTCGTCCTCCTCACCATTTTCCTCTCGCGACTTTTTCAGCTCTTGGACTTCCTTCTGCAATTTCGCCAGACTCCGCATCATTTTCTTAGTTAGGTCTTCGAACTGCGTCAACGTGATTGGAGGTTCTATTGGTGTAGTAGATATTGAAGAGTAGCCCTTACTAGCTTGTAGCTTTGAAGTATTCTCAACATGAAGATCTTCATTGCTAAGTAGAGCGGCGGTGGCTGAAGCTGAGCCTTTAGTTGTTGTGTCCTTCGAATCACTGCGTTGTGAAGGACTACCACGTACAGAAGTTCGAGAACTCGGCGAAGATCCTCCTTCTCCGGTTACGGCCGGCGCGCCAGCTTTCGCGGCTTGTCGCTCCTTAAGGCCCACGTTTTCGCCCACTGGAAGTAGGACGTGAAGATATCGCGGGAAGAGGCGCTCGTCACTGAGCATGCTGTCGCTGAAGCTAGCCTCCAGGTCCAGAATCATCCCAGCTAACATGCGGTCGAAAGTCGCTGCCTGCGCGTCCCGCACGCGATCGTAGCTCGCCGTCACGTGCGCCTGTACAAAGACCAGAATCAGCATGCTGGCCCAGTTGAGAACCATGATCACAATGCGCCACATGGTCTCGAAAGCAGGATACTGATTTACGTCGTCCGCGAAAAAGGCATACAAATCGTTTCCAGACACCAGGGAGCGCATTTGGCGGTACCACAAAGTCATGAAGTAGTAGCGCTGTGAGGAGCCGAGGTCTTCGTCCTCGCCGAGCGGTGTCTCGGAACTGATCACGTAAAGCGCTAGTGCGGTGAAAACGAAAATTCCGATCACAGCAAGAAAAAAGTAGCTCAGGTCGCGCGTCATCTCTATCAGTGTTCGCAGGAAGGGTCCCAGTGTTCGATTAGGCTGCACGTAATACCCGGTCTGATACAACGCGAATGAAGCTTGGAACAGACTTCCGTAGATGATAAGGCGGTCCGGCAACGAGATGTCCGGAGCGCTGTCCGCAGACGCTATGGGCCCCGCTTGCAGCGCTCGTGTGCCTTGCTGAGAAGTAGGCAAACCTAAATTTTGCGGATTCCGCAGACCAAGAGAATGGATGGTCATCTGTGACATCAGCACCTGCAGAAAATCAGCGCGCAGAAGGACATTGTGCCTTGACCCCTCCCACTTCTTGCGAACAACGTAGTGAAGATAGGACAGGTCAGACAGTAGGAAGAGTATACTCACCACCGCAGCGGCTGTTCGAAAGTCATAGTGGTATCGCAACGAGTAATTGTGTCCCGACAGGCCTTTTTCTGCGTCGCTACCTTGTTCATCATCGCCAAAAACAGGCGCTAAGAGCCACGAGAAGTCCAGCGTGAAATCAAGCACCCAGTTGCCACTAGACCGCATAGTACTTGATGTAACTTGCGACGACGAAGACGAACCTCCTTCACCCTGTTGAGATGAAACTGTTTCGGCGTCTTCTGTTTTGAGAGAAAAAATGAAAACGGCGACGCAGATGCAGTAGAGGATTTGTTTTACGATCTGACGGCGAAAGTAACGCCGCGCGTACACCCGCCACTTCCAGTGCAGCACCGAGCGGACGATCTTGGACTGAAAGAACGCTGGTTCCCCTGCTTCAAACACAGTTTGGAGGAAGGAATATCGCATCCCAGTCACAGGATCCACGAAAACTTGTGCTAGGCCGGGGAAGGGGTGCACACAGGCCGTGGCCTTGACTCTCGAGCTCCGGCTTTGACGGTCTCCAGAAGATGAAGAGAAGATGCTGCTTCGCGTCGCGTCTTCGCCATTCAGCGCAGCTGTATCGAGCACATCACGCGATGATCCCTTCTTTTTGTCCCCTGATGATCCGGAAACACCCTTCTCATATACATCCTCGTCCATCTCGCTTTCGTCAGAGGATGAGTCTTCAGCGACATCCGCGCCTTCGCTTGTCTCGCCGAGCCGAGAGTGCCACAAGTCCTGCGCTGTCGCAGGCGGCGACAAGGTGCTATTCTTGTCTAAGTCCACGCCTCGCCGCAGACTGCTTCCATCTGCAAAAGGCGAGCTCTCGGCTGCAAAATAATCTGCTAAACCGAATCCACTTACACACCAGGAGAGCCATGTCCGCTTGTTGCCCGACCCATGAAGCAGCTGCGCGTGCCGCTCGTCCTGTCGCTGGAGCAGGCTTTTGCGGCCGTCTCCTCCCTCTACCCAGTTCTGCCACACGCGCGGTCCGTCCATCGTGTCTCCGCCAATCGCCTCCAGACGGTCCAAGTTTGGCATCAAAGGCTCCGAAAAACGGAACGCGTGCGTGTGGAGATCACACAGAGTCAAGCGTTCCACGGTTTGTACGAAAGGCAACTCTTGCAAAAATTCCAGTGCTTCCGTGGGGAACTGCTCGATCAGGCGCTTCAGTGTCCGCGAGACAAAATGCGGCGGTAACTTCTTCATTTGCTCCACCGTGGATCGCGAGTGCTCGCTTTCTGTAATAGAGGCCGTCAGCGACGCGATCGACAAGGCGGAAGTGGACCCCTGCTCATCAGCAGAGAAGCGCTTCTGCTGCTGTAAGGCTTTGCGTGTCACACGTCTCCAGTAAGCGACACTCGCAGCAGCCTCCGCGTGCTGCAAGAAATGCTGCGCCTCTTCCTCAAAAAAGTATGGAATTGAGAATCCGCGCTCGAACTCTGACTCCAAATCGTCAAGCTGTGGCAGCTCTAGGCCTAACGGCGCCGCCCCCGGCGCCACTACCGTACCTCCCGTGGCTCCTGGAGTTTCTTCCACTACGCGCCCACCGATGCTCTTGAGGTTTTCCGCCAACGGCGGGCTCGACAGCAGCAAGTTTTTCAGTACCTGGCCTGGCGTTTCCGTCGCTTTGGGCTTCCAGTAGTGGCTCCCAACGACCTCGTTTCGATTCCTGACGGCCAAGATCAGTTGCGGGAGCATAAAGTGCACGCTACCACGATTACTGCAGTCGATCGCGAAGTCCAACAGGGTCGACCACGTGGTGGAGCCGACAGCACAGAGACTCACCTCACTCCCCGCCTCGTTTAGCTGGGAAGGGATTTGCGAGGACGAGACGGAGCCGTACTTTAGGAAGTCGAAAAGCCGCTCGAGATCGCGTGCCGGGTCGTTGTACAATGTATGCAGCGAGGGAGTATCGCCCCTGTAACTGCTGATGGAATGTCGCAGAAGCTGCAGCGCAATCGGCGGCATTCCGTCTTCGCCGACTTTCGGAGGAGGCATACGGAGCAATATCTCCTTTTCGTCGACATCGGCATCGTCGTCGGACGCGTTCTCGGCTCTGACGAGCGCTGTACCGGCTCCGCCAGAGAGGTCGAGACTAGAAGTTTCTAAATCATAAAAGTTTGCTGCATCGCCAGCCACCACGAACGAAGTAGAAGGCCCACCGGCTGCTTCAGCTGTAGATGGTGATGCGCTCGCGTCACGACTGTTTTCGTCATCATCGCCAGCAGCGTGCACGGTAGTGTCTAACAAATTCGTCGTATCGACACACTCTTGCTGGTAAGCGGTGTACTCATGGTCGTCCAGAAGCGTGGTGTCGGTGAAAACCAACTCGGCTTCCACCATTGGCGCTTGCCATGAAAGGGCGGCGAGGTCCTTCCGGCCATTCGAAAGGGATAGACTAAGTGATCGAGAAAGGGAGTCCGTCTCTGCAAAGGCACCCTTCGTGTGCATACTCCTGTCGTTTCCGAGCATCAACATTCTGCGCATTCTCTTGAAGGCCGAGGGAGCCGCAGCAACCTCAGAGTCCTGATCTTCCGTCTCCATGTACTGCAAAAGGCTTTGAAATTCTATAGCTGCCTCGCCTGCATGCACGCGCATTCCTTGCAGCCGTCGCTGTACTCTTTGACTGAGTCTCGCGAGCTGCATCCCTACTACTCCGCTCACAATGTCGTCACTCCCTCCACCATCTTGCCGTGTGGTTGCTACGTTACCACCGCTCGATGCCGAATTACCAGTGCCGCCAAAGCTCCGCCCGATGTTCTGATGGGCCCAGCTACAAAACCGTTCAACCATGAGTTCGGACGATGCCACATGGCACCATGGGTCTGCAAGGCGCGACAGCTCCTCTCGGTGGTAGGTCACATGTTTCCAAACGTAGAGGCTGTACCACGATGGAAGGACCAGATTACGAGGATGCAGGCTTCTAAAACTTGCTGAAAAAATCTGAAGTTTGTGGGAATTCGCCACGTTGTCTGTTACTTCTGGTGGAACGGCAGAGAATTGCGTATGTGTTGACCTCGCATGCGCTTTTCTTCGTTGATCAATTGCAGATCCTGGTGCACCAGAGGCCGACGACGATATAGTCGTGCCACTGATGCTAGAGCCAGCTGTCCCGTTACTGCTTCCGGCAAGATCATTTGCGAGTTCCCAGAGGACTTCTACATCGTCTATGCCAACCTCCCCAACGCCGTTGAGCACTGTGCCCTCGGTAGTGATCCACGCCTCTGCACCGGCATCCTCCCGCATGGGGTGCAGTCGTAGCCGCGCTCGCGTAACGTTCTCTCCCAGATACCAACTTCTAGACGTCGGGACATCGCGGAACCACGAATCAGCCACGTCATGCTGAAAACGCGGGTGGTGTGCGTAAAACAAATCGCGCACCTGCAGAAATCTAAAAGGCTGAACCTTGTTGACAGGGTCCGCCCTACCGGAGGCTATAGGAGTAGCACTTGACAACTTGTCTAGCTCCTCCTCGTCCGCGGAGATCCGGTATGGACTAAGAGAGCAAACCAGCATTTCGCGGCCGCTCTGAATTGCTATTGGCTCGTCCCGAATGGAGAAGAGTCCCGGCATAGATATCACACCCACGACGTTCCGGTGCCCGGGCACGGAACAGAGGCACTCACCAGTCTCGCCACGCCAAAAGCGAATTGTAGCATCTCGTGAGGCCGTAATTACTATCTCCTGCACAGCCACTTCGTCAGGGCCGAATCGATTTTTCGCAGGGGATGATGTTGATGACCAAGAAGCAGTCTCGGCTGCTTGCCCAGAGGCTTCTTCATCTCCTTGTCGTCCCAGGTCCTTCTTATAAATCGTCTCCAGACCCAAGCCCGTGGAACCTCTTGCCAGCAAACGTCTTTTGTTGGCCTCTCGGCGCTGCGGTCGAGGCTGGTTCGTACCGTCATTGTCCTCTTCTTCTTCTTCTCTCTCTACCTGGTCAGTCTCTCGCTCTCCTCCATCACTGGCGGAGCGCAGTTGCTTTTCTCTCTGTGAAGATTCCATTCGCCTACCTCGATCTTCGGCAACGCCAGCATCGTCGACACATCTTATGTGCGCTGCTTTTCTCTTCTTCCCCGCTCTTCCGACCGGCACTGAGGAGCTCCTCTGCTGCTCTTTCTCCATACTTCTGGCCGCCCCGTCATCAACTCTGTCGCGTGACGGTCGCAACCTCGTGGTACTAAAAGGTCTTCTCTCCGCGTCCGTTTCCTCATGCCACTGGTTCTTACAGCGCATCAACTTGTAATTATCATGTTCTACAATGCGCTTATCGTACCAACGATGCCCTTCTGTGATGTACATGACATCGAGGAAGTAGATCTCTGACCCACTGCCCTGAAGAACTCCACGTAACGTGGACGCACCCTCGGCAGACTCATCTTCTTGCTCCTGAGATGGTGCTGGGGAAGACAAATATTTTCGAGGACTGCTTTTTCGTTTTCCAGACGTTGGCCGCATGTCGTGAACTTCTACTAGTGAAGGTCTGTCCTCCGAAACGACAAACAGCCGCCGTGAGGATAGACTCATCACGACAGTAGGCGTTCTGTTCCAGAACCCGTCAAGTTTTGCCTTCAAACAGACACCGCTATGCGCACAAAACTGTCGAATTGCGCCACCGCGATCAGCTGAGATAATCCGGCCACAGATAGGATCAAACGCTATCACATTAATCCGCGACAGATCCCGCTCTACCGCTTCCGGCTCGTTGTCTGCATCGTCTGCGGACGACGAGGGTCTCTGTTGAGCGTCGGCTAAATTAGACGCCCCCTTTGTCGCTGATATTGACACTTCTGACGTTTGTTCGACACTACCAGTTGTAGAAGAAAAAAGCATGCCGCCAGTGTCCAACGCAATCAAGTTCTTGGGCGAAACGTAGACTCGCACTGGGCCTCGGATAAAAAGTTCACTAGCCGGAGCCTCAAGGACGAAAGCGCGCGATGAGACCTCGTACATGCGTACCCGGCCATCAGCGTGCCCAATATAGAGGCCGACAACACTCTTGTCGCCGGACTCTCGTGAGTAACCAAATACCATGCTGCACACTGCGATGTCGACACTAGATTGCAGCGTCATATCGTTGCAGTATTTTCTATCGCGCTTGCGCCAGAATTTCAATGTGCCGTTCACGTCGGCAGAAAAGAAGCACGGGCAAGCCTTCACTGGCGCTAGTAGAGCGGTAATCCTAGCACCGTTGTGCGCGGATTCACGCAGTCTCTGGCTACTGCTTGTTCTGATTTCGTGTTCATCTTCGACGCTCGGAATAGGAGCATCATCAGCCAGGCGCTCGTTAGTCTGCCCATCTATCTGCACTCTCTGCATGCGAAGGCGAAATGTTCTTACGTCTTGCGTAGCGCTCTTCTGCGTTACGTCGAAAGCCTCGAGTCTGCCATCTTCGCAACCATAGATCAGGTCATTCGTCAGTGTGCTCGGCTCGAAGAACAGAGAACTACCACTGTCCTTTCCGGTGCTGGCATTCGAGTCTCGCGTGGAGGACCGGCGTCGAGCTGCATTGCTGCTCTGGTTCGAGCGACGCTCGTTTCTATCGAACTCTCGTGACGCGTCAAGCACCTCACCTGTGTCTTCGTTGATGATTATTCGCCGAAGACCGGTGCAACGCACAGTGCACATTACCGTCGGTGTGCCCAAGCTAAGCGGTACTTTCAACGGGTCCGTACTCGCTAGCGTGGGCAAATACTCCGGCTGTTTCTGTGCTAACTCTGGCCGATCGGAGCGGTCGTCCGCGTTATGTGAGCCTTCAACTGCCATTCCATCATCAGCAATGGCTTCCTCAGCTTGTGCAGGCTTAGGTGCTAATGCAGCGTCTTCGCCTTCGCCGCCTTCTACTGCGTTTTCTGCCATCTGAGTTTCATCATCGATGTTTTCAGGCTCAACAGCATAAGGTCCGAGGTGACGTGTCATCGCTGCTGTCTTCGAAAGCCCTCCGGGGATTCCATCAAAAAGGATTGGCTTGGCCTCCTCATCTCCATAGGTAGGATGCAACTCGGGTGACCGTCGTGGATCTTTCAAGACCACAGGTAGAGGAAAGTGAGCGTGTTCTGGCTGTGCTTCCGCAATACATTGGCCCGTGTCCACCCGCAGAACGAGCAGGCCAGTGGACTGCTCAGCTGATGAAAACGTGTTCTGTCGCTTGAACGTTTTGGAGCTTCGATTCTCCGTTCCGACCGCTGACGCGCCGTGGTGAGCGGATCCTTGCGGAACGCGCACGTAGAGCGTGCCGGTGGCCGGCCCAGGGATTACTTCGATGACACGACGCACGGGATGTTGATGCACATCAGTCAAATGCAAGACTTCGGGAGCAAACAGAGGCGAAAAGAGACCCATAGCTCCGCACGCCGAAAGGCAGACCATAAAGGTCGGATTTTGTTCCCACAGCAGCGCCTCCAAAAGCGCCTGATCGCCCGAGCGGCGGCGGATCCTGGAGTAGGAGGAAAAACTATTGTATTTTGCTTCCTCGAGATAACTCTGCGACGCGAGCTCGCCAAAGGCAGTCTGGTCGATGCTCCCACTCGCGATCGCATTGGTCAAAGCGGCTCGACAGAAGAGCATCAAGTTAGTGTGCAGTCCCGCAACTAGCTCGGAACGCTCTTGCCGCAGCTCTCGCCAAGACCAGGAGTGCGCGAAGATTACGGTCGCCGTCTGCTTCAACGAGTGGCCGCGACCCACAAAGCAGCTACCCTCGAGTTCTCCTGTCTCCAAGTCCCAGACGAGGACATTGCCTTCTCTCTCGCGCCCAGTGCCGGCAGTCAAATACAGCCGTCTTCGCTGGATGTTCAAGGGGTTCGATTGCGCCGCATCCGTTTGTGCCAATCCCGAAAGGTCCACGGCGCTCATGGAATCCTGATGTGCGTTTTGACGCTCCTCTACCATTCTCGCAGCGATCTTATGCTCTAACCGGCTTTCATTCGTAAATTCCAAAAGGTCCTGCATCTCGCGCTGCACCGCTCCGTGTACTTGCGCGGCGGCTGCCCCAGCCTCCCGGGACAAGCCCGCCACGACTCCGCGGGTAGTGCGTAGAACGAGTGGCCCACCCGCAGCCAAACCCATAGGGGTTAGCTTATATGCGGACGCTAATGATACAATACTGTGCTTATCACTTGCAGCGCTTGGTGATGACGTTCTACTGGTCGCGGAGTCGACGACCGCAGGTGACATTTTCCCTGAAATGCGGTCTCTGCCTACTCGGTCGCTCCGCAAGTTGTCCGGCACTACAGAATTCCTGCGACCACCGTTGCGGCTCGCTCGCGCCGCTGTCGGGTGCACGTGGCTACACGCTGCGTGTGTCGGATCGAAGTCCAGCAGAAGCAGGACTTTCGTACGGTCAGGCCGTCGTGTACTAACGACCGGCTCGCTGATCCAGTCATCCCGAAGATTCCCGGTGGGCCTCGAAGTGTCGCAGTTCCACACTAATCCGTTGGACGCAATTACGTTCTCACGTGTCACCGCCGCATGCGAGATGGGCCTCATCCACACGTTTGGTGGCGCTGGCTCTACAAAACCACTACTACTTGCTTTTGCTTTGGAAGTTCTCAGTTTTTCTAAGCTTGACGAAGTTGAGCTGCTGCTCTCACCTGCTGACATGTTTCCTCCCTCCTTCTTCTTCGGCACAGTGAAAACAAAATCGTTACGTTCTGGCTTATTGTTTTCTCTGTGTTTCCTCTCGACGAACAGCTTCGCTTTTTGCTTCAGGGTCTTCGCAACAGCCGTCGCTGCCCGCAATCCGCGTTCGTTGTTGTCCTCCTCCGCTTCATGTTCTACGCTTAGGTCATCAAGCCTCCGTCTAGCCTCGTCAGAACCGAGCGTAGTTTCCTGAAAGGCCAGTGCAATCTCCGTAGTGCTGTCAACGAAGTCGAGGGTCGGTTCTAGGCAAAGCAGCGCCTCTCCTGTCTCCTTATGCCACGCTCGCACACTCGTCACCGTTGTGGATATCTTGTCTCGCTTGGCATTGATTCCGAATCGCTCTTGAACCTGGTCGCGGCAGAGCAAAAAGTACGCGTTGCCTTCAGCCGCTAAGCAGCTGTTGGACACGTCGCCCGCGCCGTGGAAGACCTGTAGACACACGCCGCACGCCCAGCTCCACACCCGCAGAGTCCTATCAGTGCATGCAGACACGAATCGATCGCTGTACGGTACCAAACACAGCTGCTGCACCTGTCCTACGTGCCCGTGCAGCACGAACTTTATGTTGGGACATCTCGTGAGGCCGTACAAAGTCTCAGCATCCCGATGATCATCCTGAGACGAGCGCAGCCGCTTGTCTGAGAGGGCGTTGCGCGCGTACATATCCAGCTCTAAAGCGTGGCCTCCGTCGCTCATTAAAGCACTACCTACCGCCATCTTTCTCGCCGCCAGCGAGCGCGCTACATTCACCTTGAATGGTTGCATCGCTCGGGACTCTGGCGAGTCCTCCTCCGGGGAGCGCAGGCAAATCGCAGGCGCTGAAGAAAGGTCCCAAACTCTGATGTCTTTGCCAGCAGCCGTGATCAGCTTCGACAAACCATCGGCCACTACACACCCTATTCGTGGTTTGCGCTGCTTGCACCACAGTTTGCGTACTGCCTCCAGTCGGTATACCACTTTATTTGGATCGAGTTCGTCGTCAACATCGTCGCCGCTGAGATACGTTTTTTCATCAGTCCGTGTCTGGTTTTTCCACTCGCCGCCTGTTCTTCTGGAGGATACTTCGTGCGTGCTGTCGTCTTCGGACGATAAGATGGATTCGTCATCCTCAACATCGTGCTGTTTCAGTTGGTTGATGTTACTATTTTCTTGCGCCTCGTCGCCGCTGTCCGACGCTGCAACTACTTGGACCGCATATTTTTCAGCTACAGCAGCATCTCCTGCTACAGCATCACTCGATCCTCTACGTCGCAACTTTCTACCGCTGACGTGTTCCGCTATTGCTTCCTTTTGCAACTCTTTGCGCTGCTCGGTTAAGAGCAAGTCCTCGCGGGTTCGAATTTCGTTTGTCGTAGTCTTGCTAGATTTACCGCTAAACAAGATGGCATCTCCCTTCCCAACTTTGTCGTTTTCGAATTCTTCCAGGGTCTTTCGAATGCGCTCTTGCTCTCTCTTTTCGCGTTTAATCTCAGCTGCGCTTGGCTGCCTGGCCACACAGCGGTAGACGGTCACCAGAAGGAGTGGGTCATCGAGGTACTCCGTTCCGGCGTGAGTTCCGTGTCCGTGGTGCGACCTATGATGCCTACCGTGGACCGAGTGAAACTCCTCATCTACTTTCCGCCAGTCATACTGCGACGAGGGATCATTGAAGAATTTTCCGCCAACGCCCTTTACCATTTGTGGTCTACCATTTTTACTTTTCTGGAAATTCGCCAACAAGGCGCGCTTCATGCTGCTACCGTAACAATCGCGAGCGCGACCTCTGCTTGGGAAGCTCGGCGACGAGGCGCCACCGGTTCCACCAAGAAGATTGCCAAAATAAGCTGCCCAGCTTCCTACTTTATTCGAACTTCGTCGCTGCCCACGTCCCTTCTGGGATGCTCCTATTCCGCACTGTTCGAGGCTTCGTCGCCACAGTTTTCTAACCAGTACCGTGGGTCCTGAGCCGCCTCGCGAGGACAATCGCGCCATCAGCGTCTTTGTCCGTGCCCGCTTCTGCACCGGAGGCGGAATGTACAGGTGAGAGGGCCGAGTATGGAGACGCAGGCGGGAAAAAACATAGATGACATCGCGCGATACGTAAATGTCTTGAATCGGAAACGGATGGGTCATGCCGCATACATAGTGCAAAGAATGCGGATCCTGGTTCCGCTCCTTGGACGGTGTTGAAGAGGCCGCGCCACGACCAGCACCACCGACACCTCTTGGCGGTACTTGCCCTGACATGGGTAGCCTATTTCCACCGTGATCTTTCCTCGTCGCTATGGTTTCCTCGTTGTCACGGCACTCCACGACGCAGATTCTAGGGCCACCAGACTCGTCGCGTTCTTCCTCCGAAGACGATGCAAGACCGGTGGAAAAAGTCGAGGACCTTCCCACGGAACCCCCAGCGCTTTTCTTCATTAGGTCATCTTTTTCCGCGTCGTTGGCGACGTTATTTAAGCGGCGCACTGATGTGCACACGAGCAGCGGCCCATGGTCCGCTGGCATTCCAGTGCTGGCCGTGTCCGCCGCCACCTGTGTATTGAGCCAGCACCAAGGACGCAGCACGGCGCGTTCTTTTTCGTGGCGGCGTTTTTTCAACGACGGGTCGAACACCCAGTGCGCAAAGGACGGGCCTTGGCTTAACACGAACCGTTCATGCGGTATCTCTACTTGTAACGAAAAGCGCAGGGTCTCGGCTCGTCGTGCTAGCTCTAGTACGAGCTCCCGCTCTACGGCGTAGGACAGCTGCGCTTCGCGGACTAACAGCAGCGGCCGCGATTTACCTTTGGCGCGCTCGCCCACAGCGGAACCGAACCCGGATAAGCCGGGAATACTGTAAAATTGATCTAATGCGCGTTGGGCAGAAAATGGTGGCATCAAGGTCCACCACTCGGCGAGATTGGAACGTAGCTTTCTCGAAACTAACGCATCCTTAGATCGGCCTGCGCCGGACGACATCAAAGTACGCCTTCTCACGACTGCTTTCAACATAAGATTTTTGGTAACATTAAGATCCTCGCCTGTTTTGGAAGCCATGACACTGCGATCCCGCTGCAGCTGCCGCTCCCATTTCAGGCAACGTCGCTCATAACCCGAAACCAAAGCCTCCAACTCACTCTTGCGCTTCTCGCCATAAGCAAGAGCGTCCAACAACCAAAGAGACCGCTCCGCGCGGGAGCCACCGTCAGCACTAACGGGAAATGCAGACCTCATGTTTAAAATTAATCTATCAATAATGTAATCGCAAATTCAACGAAGTGGTAGTTGAGTATACTTGCGTTATTAATAAGGTTACGATATTCATTGACCGATTGCTTTTTGCATGCGACGGATTCGCAGGGTTTTACGAGAGAGGGTAAAAGCTTCTATTTAATGAGGATAGATCAAGTAAGTCATAGATATGAAGAGACTTCCTAGTGCAATTGTCCAACAAAGAAGTAGAATACTAGCCAACACCAGAGTGGTGAGGCGCAACTCCACCAAGCAGGCAAATATTATTTTTACTCATTTTTGCAAAATTTAAAGGATTCGCATTCATCGCAGGAACAAATTATTTGCAGGGGAGGTGGATAAAGGGGAATAAGCCTGCATTTGAAATTTAAAAAATGAAAAACCCATATCAGAGCGGTGCATGGTTGGACATATTTCAACATTTCTCAAAGCTACGAAGATTCCTTAATGCAGAGATCATAATTTGAAACAGCCCTGCAGTTTTTTACAGGATCCCTCAACAGATTCAGGTGCTGCCAGGTATCGTCCGTCCTCACTGGCTTGCAGACAGATGTGGTGTGTTTCATTAGATTGACAATACAATTTTTGTTTTTTTCACTGGTCAGCTCGCATGTGGGTCTTTTTTTCGTTGCCTACTTGTCTACAAGTCCACCAACATTTATTCGCGTGGCTTGAATCGGGGCCGTGGCCCGGATTTACGAATTCAAAGAGAAGACAGGGGCATGGCGATGGCCTGCCCTGTAGAAAAACCACCACGAGTACTCAGAACTTCCTACCTATGCACACATTCCTACAGACGTTTTTGCCTCTCACGACAGATTGCGAAACACAAAAGAACCCAAGTACTTAACTATCTCACGGTATACTGCTGATTCACGAAACGAATTAAAATTCAGCTCTTTGTCGCTCGCAAAACATTTTTTTGTCTCTCTCTCTCTGACATTACGCAGTGTCCGCCTCACTCAGTACTCTGTATCGATCGTTTATAGTCGGACGTCAATGGGGCACAATACGGACACCAGCCTCTGCTTGGTATTCCTATCTCCTCCAGCAAGATTATGATTGTGAATGATAATGCGAGGAAAGATCTTCGTCTTATCGTGACGGGTAAAAAGAGGGAGACGCAGGAGTTGGGCTGTGTTATATATAACTTTGGTGTTTAATTGTGAAAGAACTGAAGAGGAGCAAGAACATGTCGTCGTCAGCACCTGCAAATCGGTAAGAGCAGCGCTTTACCACAAACTTAGTACGCGACGCCCTTGATGCCAATCAACGCTTCAACACCACTAGTTCTTCGTGTGCCGCCTTCTAATGCCGATCGTCGCTCGTCGCGCAACTGTTGCTTTCGCTTCTTCCACTTCTCCCACTGGTCTTCGCAGTTGTTAAATATACCATTCAGAGGCTTACTACACTGTGGACATTTCCTGCTCTTCTTCCAGTGCGCCATGATGCAAGATTCGCAGAAGTAGTGGTCACAATTCGTGCTAGTTGGCGGTACGCTGCCCAGCTCATCCCAAGTCTTCTTGCATACACCACACCTATCAGGCATCATCAGCTTGCGATCTGTGTGGTGATGTGTGAAAGCAGATGAAGCCGCTTTAGAAATCTTACAAGGATGGGTAGAGCACATATAGCTACATACAGGCGGGGGGCCTCCCTCCCTGGTACATATATACGTGCGAGGAGAACTCAGAAAGCGCAATGTTGAAGTTCGAACCTCAAAGGATAATTAAGTACTTACCTTCTTCATTCATCTGTCGCTTCATCGCGTCTTCGTCGTCACTAGATTCATCTGATGAGATCTCTTCTCCTGCATCGACTGCCCGACAGCGTTCCAGCCTTTTCTGCAGCTTTAGTTGCTTTTTCTTTTGCTCTTCCTCCCACTCGCGGTCCAACTTCCAACCTTGTTTCAGCTCAAAGCGGTCGTGCATGTGAATACACGCATCCCCATAACCGCAGAACCCCGTCTGCAGGTACTCCTTGCAAACGCCGCCGTCGCCACTAGTGCCCCAGTAGTCGAAGCGCGCGGTACTTCTGATAGTCGTGTTCGCTCGCACAGGACCCATAGTACCAGAAATCTTGCTTTTCGATATCGCGTCCGCGCTCTTGCCGATGTAGTCCTTGCGTGCGTTTAAACCGCGATACACTCCGGTGTCCAGATTGCCCGCATCGAGGTCCTTCTTGATCTTCGCGTTCCTCTCGTTGATAGCTCGTTGATCCTGGCTCTTGTCTGCGTCCACAAACGTTTCGCGCGTCGCAAACGCCGCTCCCGTTCTGGCCGCCGTGGCACTATTGCCCGCCTCGTCGAGGATCCCGAACTCGCTCGTCACCGCGAAAATTTCGCCTTCCGCTTCCTGCACAGTGCGTCCGCCCAACAAATCCAAAGCTAGTCCATTACCTCCACTTCTTGTAGACGAGCTAGAGCCACCTAGCTGCATGGCACCTCCCTGAGGAGCAGCCTTAGTGTTGCCACCAGCGCCGAATTGGTTCAGTTTTACTGCATTTGACGACTCCGGATTGCGCGTGGCGCCACGTCCGATCGCATGCCTTTTACTCGCGGGACCATCCTCTTGCTCGGCTACGCCGGGACCAGCCTTGCTACCACCATCTGCATCGGGCAGATCCTTCTCCTGATCCTGCTTGGCTGCTGCCGTAGGCTTCTGACGCTTCTTGAACATCTTGTGTGATGAGTAGACTTAAACGCGGCTATCTGTTCTCAACATGACAAGATAAAGAATGGCGTTCAAACATGAAAATCATAACTCGTGCTGAAGATAGAATTAGAGGGTCCAAAAAAAAATAAAGGGGAACTACTCAAAGATTATACTAACATCATTAGGAGGGGAAATGGGAAAAATGAAAATGACGCGCAGCCTGGCTGTTCGTTGGATTTCGTTTTCTTTTTCCGTGTCAGAATAAATTCAATGTTATCTTTGTCGAGCTCAATCTCTTGTTATCGTAGTAAAATAATCACTGTGCTCTACATTCGTCGCCAATGATCGATTTGAAAATTTGAGATCTTCTTGTGTTTCTCCAATTTTCTGATCTTTGACAATTTCATTGAACATGTGCGGACCAGTTACGTCTTTTCCTTCTTCTCGTTTGAACGATCATCGTGAACAAGGGAGGGAGCATTTTTGAACATTTTCAAGAACAAATATTGCTAGATATGCGATGTCTCGTGAAGACATGACATGTTGATCAGCGATGTCTATTTTCTTCATTTCCTTCCACCAAACAGTATGTTCTGTATCTATCATAGGTCGCCCTCTCGTTGATCTCACGAGTATTGAGTTTTTCATGTGAATGGCACTAGTTCTAGAACCCAGACGCGAAGAGTTCAGCATGGGGCTATAATATCGTCGAACTACTTCAACTACACGCAGAGAAATATATCGATGTCATACCTCTGAAGATTCTGATATTTTTTGGCTGTCGCTATGCCTACGTCTTCAGAATGGAAGATGTGTAGGAAACTGGCTTCTACTGTCCAGGAGTCCGACTTGTAGAGATGCTCGCACTCGCAACCATGCGAGTCAGCACTGGAATAATGGACAGATCATAGATCTCAAGTGAAACATAGAACCTCACCCTAGTAATACCAGAGTAGCATCATGTAATCTGAAGCATTTAATACATACATTCTCATTCCTCGCTTCACCGGCGCAGCATCCAGTAAAGAAAATGCATCAACAGCCGTTTTGATTTCTTTGCCGCATAAGTCTTGATTTTTACTAGAATAACAAGAGACAACGGTCCTTCCACGTTTGCCCCAACCATATCAAGCGTGTTGTTAGTTTTCTTGCACAGCAGAGGACTGTGGCGGACTAGGGACACTTATACCTCCCTGCTGAGCGCCTTTTATCTCTGGTACTTCTACTGGTACAGGTGGATTTGGCGCAAGTATCGGTTGGATGGTTTTCACGGTGCAAACCAAATTTTCAGACACGTCTAAAATGCCTGCCGCATTGTCGTACTCTCCGAAGTAGTTTGGTGCAGAAAATATCGTTATTAAGTTGCGCCCAGCAAAAAATTCGTACCCGTCTTCGACGACCTGGTGTACGTTTTTGGTAGGAACGTCATATTCATTCTGTCATGCCGCGTAGAGAAGCCAGTAGAGGCGCAGCTGCTTCTACAAAGATTCAAGTAACTCGAAGTAGTCATGAAATATGTTTAAGGTAGACGTGAAATAAAAAGTAGTTTTAACTCTAGACGTATCTATGTACCTGATGTGCCCTGCATATCAAATCCAAGTCGTGTTGTTCGCACACGCGCTGTACCACGTCTGCACCGAAAGCGTAGCTAATGCCCCGATCCGAGGGTCGGAAGCCAGTTGTGTTGTTATCCGGATCGGACCAGAGCAAGTCCGCTAACAGTCCCGAATCCGGACATTCGCACGGGCGGCGGATCTCCCTAATCGGGTCTAGAGAATCCAGTATCGCAGGTGACAAGCCGCCGTGCATGCAGAGGATGCGCTTGGAGACCAGTGCACAGGGAGGCATGCAGTTGAAAACGTCAACGAAGCGTCGCCACAAGCCCACCCCGGAGCGTCGTTTCACTTCGTCGTAAAACCCGTAGGACCTGCTAGTACTGGCCATCTCGTGGTTGCCGCGGAGCAGGAACATGTTACCGGGGAAGAGGCATTTGTAACAGAACAAGGTGGCAATCACATCCAGTGAATTCTTCCCGCGGTCCACGTAGTCCCCCAGGAATAAAAAATTTCGGCCATCAGGATACCCTACGAGCTCGAAGAGGCGCAAAAGGTCGTGGAACTGCCCATGGGTGTCTCCTAGAATCGCCACTGGGGTCTGGATCTCAAGCAAAGACGGCTCCGCAAGGAACCGCGCGCGTGCGCAACTCAGCGTAAGCCTCAGATCCGTCTCGTCAAATGGAAGCCAGGTTCCGGCAGGGTGGTCCTTTAGGGACAGAAATCCCTGCAACAGCCGCCGAATCGAGACCCCCTGCTGAAGCGAGGTCCTCGAACGGAGCCCATCCGGATTACTGAGCGAGCCCAAGGGAGTCCCGTGCAACACCATGCTTGACGCGGGCGACGTGGTGCTTCCAAAGGCGCTACTGGCATAAGATCCACGACCTGTGGGCGGCACTGTTGTGTAGGGCGTGCTCGGTGCTGAATTCTGCTCACTTGGTACAACTCCTGAAATATTCTTCACCTGCTGTGACGAGGACTTGATCGCCGGCGAACCACCTCCTGGTGTCTTTGGAATCGAAGTTTGCTTCTTCGGAAACGGCTGAATTCCCATAATCGGCTTGGCTGGTGTTAACAGTGGCGGTGCCCTTGGCTCCCCCGTCTCCGAAGGGGTCGCGTTCGCGGACAACTCTGGTGACGGTAACGGGCTCATGTTCTCTTGTTGTTGACGCGGTTGATTGATAGGAGGTGCCCACGTAGCCGTCACAGGAGGAGCATTTGGCGCCGATTGATCGGCAGGAGCCTGTGCCGTGGAGGCATGTGTGCCTACGGTCTCTTCGAGCGGCGGGTCCGATGTCTGGTCGCTCATTCTGTTAGCAAGTGTCTAACAAAAAACAGACCTCATAATTGATTGACTGTAACTATAGCGGAGGATCTTAAAAATAAATTTCCAAAACTATTGTCAGCGACGCAGAAAATTCATTATCAATAGTAATCTCGGTGGAAATCATGCGGGCGTGCGACAACAGTCAAGCGATGACGCGATCGAATTCGAAGTACCGGAAGTAGACGGGACAAAGTGAAAAAAACGTCAAGAACTCAAAGCATACTGGTAAAGGATCAAAATTGAACAAGAGGACAGCCCAATTACGCGAATAAGAAAAACGCCACTAGAACTGGAACTAGAAGAATCTAAGGAGATGTCCATATCCATTGCCACTAAAGAATGACACATATTGACAACTCCGTAACTCTCATACATCGCTGCAGTTTGTAGGTAATCTCGAATGACAGAGTTTTAAGCTCGTGATCGAGCACAGATTGATCCATGTTGGAAATCACGCTCCACATCCACAACTCATGTGATGTCTTATCTTGGCCTCTGAATGAAACTTGCTGAAGTATTGAAGCCCGAAAGTGCCGCGTCGTTGTCTCCTAAAAGATGATCGTAAATTGATCTCAAGATCAACGCAGCGCTCATGATTATCGTGACTCACATTTTTTTATCGCTGTTCACCAGATTTTTTCACACTTTTACAGAAACGCGAATTGGTTCCGAGCAGCTTGTGCACGTTCTTACTTCAAAATTGCTGGAGGCACTCACATTTTGAATCATTCAGCATGTCTCTTTGCAGTCTTGTTCGCATGTTGTAACTGAGATTTTCCTCTGCAGCAACACACAAATACATTCGACAAGGCTTGATCATGAACCATATATTTGACCGATTTCTTCTTGATTTTTCAGTCTCAAGTTGTTCACCGGATCTTTTGAAGGGCATGAAGACACGCAGAGACGACCCAATGATAGCCGATGACAGCTCTCGGATTCTGGTACTTCAAAAAAATTCATGCGATTTATTTCAACGTGTCTTTTTGTGAAAGCACATCATGATGTGCACAATTGCTGCGCCAGCCGCGTTATCATGATTCAAAATCCTGCACGAGTCTGCGTTTCACTTCATCGTCACGCTTTTTCTTTGTAGATTCTACCGTCGCCGCACACGGCCACTGCAAATAGCCTGAGAGATCTTTTCCGCCTCTTGATCCATTTGCTGCCAACTCTGCGGTGAAAGGATCGGAAGTATCGTTGCACAGTGACGGAAAGATTGCGTTATGCGTTTTGGCAATCAAGTCCAGGCCAACAATGTCCGCTTGTTTCAAGGGGCCTACTTCGTTATATCTCCGACCGAAGCCGAACGTTACTGCGTCATCCACGTCCTCCGCGTTGCACACTCCTTCGCGAACCAGCGCAAGACACTCACGGACTAAGCATGCCTGCAACCGCGCATGCACGAAACCCGGCACTTCTCGACGCATGACAATTGGCCGCTTGTGACAGCTCGATAGCAGCGTCACTCTTAGAGCTCGCCCTAATCCATCTTGATATACACCCTAGGGCTCTCTTCTCCCATTGAAAAGCGTCTCGAGGATGTCTCGGAAAATGGATTAATTATAGAGGAACCCTTAATACTAATGATCCCTCATATAACGCCGTTGCATCGGCGCCGCCAAAATACAACTCCACTAGGGGCATCCAAAGTGCTGGACCTTGGAAGTGCGCGACTGCCAGAGCTGTCTTGTTCGCGCCACTGTTAGAGCGTGCTTGGGTCCATATCGGTCGATCCATCTTGCTACCTTTTCCCTTGTATTCCATGGGAAAAGGGCATCAAGAACAAAATGGTGCTGTCGTGGATGAAAGCTAACCATAACATTGTCGGCCCCACTGATCTCGGCAAGCCTTCTTTGCATATCGGCCAACAATAATGAACTGGTGTTGGAGCAAAGTGGAACTAGTCCGTCTCGAATTTTCTGCGATTGCTCCGCCAGTGCAGCAAAAAGCTGACACTTTACTTCTAAATCTTCAAAGACCGCCTCGAAAACGAAGTCCAGACTGTCCAGCAGTTCCGCAGCAGCAGTAGAAGTAGAACTGCTCGATACTTCTAAAAGCTGTGGTGGCGCCGCGACGAGTTTCGGAAGTATTGCGGCCGCTATCTCTGCATCTTGGTCCTCTGTAGAGTTCTTTTTGTCACCTCCTCCCCCCACTATCCTCCGGTACTCTGCCGCAGCCGCAGCTATCCGTTTTTTCGACGTCTCCAGATACTCAGCTCCTCGATTGTCAAACAGGAAGACTTCATGTCCGTAAGCCGCGAATATACTAGCGATTGACTCGCCCATAAAACCGCAACCCGCTACTAGGATCTTATGACACCGTTCGGGAACGAAAGCTTCCTTGGAAGCGGTGCCCATCTTGTTACCTCTGACTTGCTCGTTTTTAGCTAAGAACTCTATTTATCTCATGATTTTACCGGTGAAATAAGGAAACGCTTAAGGAAGCTGTGTGCTTTTTCTTTGAAAGACTTACATCGGTTTTCAGACAGTCTGCGGCCGACCGACCCTATATCAGTATAGTTGTTTGATACTAACCAAGAGGAAGTGAAACTTCTCTCTTTCATTCACCACTAAAGTCTTAACACCTCCCCTCATGAAGAAACAAAATCAGCATCAACCAAAGAGTCGCTGGCCTGAAGACGTCCAATGTCTGCGCTCGTCAAGTTCCTATGTTTTTGATTGATACGAGAATCGTCAAGTATGATAATTCCAAACAAGCTACAAGCACATCAAAGTGTCAAATCAATATTGGCGTACAGGTTGTTCCCACATAAGCTTCATCCAATGTTTACATGATTGTAAACGTCTGTACAAGAAGAACTGTGCGAAAATTACATTAAGCATTATGATTCATTCACCTATCCATGTCTAGCATGGAAAGAAAGGCGTATAACATAAAATGGTATGAATGTTGAGTATATACCTGGGATTACTTATGCGGTATAAAGAAGCTATCTTTTCGGTCTGCACAATCGCTTCATCACAACATTATACTTTAAAGTGTTATCATAGATACTATGCAGTCCCAGTCCAATCTGAAAAACTCAACCAACTATTGTTCATTTGGTCCAAGATACATAAACCCGCGGTCCTCTAATTAGAACTATCATATGGCAAGAAAAAGCTCATGATATGTCACTCGTCGTTTTATGATATTTATTCAAGCACGCGTGTTTCTGTTGTACACTCCATTGTACTCACATATGCTGTGGATGCGCTTGAAGATGCTGGTATGTCAAATACCAACCGTCTTGACTCACAAAAAGTTTGAATGTGAAGGTTTCTTCTATTTCACGAGCAGCGTCGTGGTTCCCGTACTCGAATCTGCGCCACCGGATGCCGTACTGCTCGGCTCGAACTCCGTCGTTGCTGCTTTTTCGATAGACGCTGCATTATGGTCTCCTGTGGTTTCCACGACGTCCGGATGAGGCACAAGATCATCATCAACTTTGTATTTAGAGCTCAAAACAATTCATTTCTTGGGGTTCATTTCTTCGGAATCCCAAGAAGAAAAACGAAGAAAACGACCGTCGGAAATGAGTTATTTTGAGCCTTAATGTATTGCAGCATGCCTTGAAGATCGTGTGTTCCTCCTACCTCAGGATCTCCTATGATGTTCTTCGGAGGTTGTTCGGACCCAAGCAGCAACTTCGCGATGCGGCTTGCGAAGATTCGAGGATAGCGATCCTGCAACTCTGCAACCCGTGGGGCGTAGGCTTCGTCCGGTAAAGGACCTTGTTCCGAAAACGGGGCGCTCGTGGAATTACTACTACTCCTTGTATTTTTCGTTCCATTCGTGCTAGTATCACGAAGCACGTCCATCCCTCGGTAGCACGCGAATCGAACCGTGAGTGACAGCGAGTGAATGGCGATTCCAATAATATTTGCAACAAAAATCGGAGCATCATTGAGGAAAACGTAGGCGTTGATGGTCCATGCGATAGTACACAAAACAGTCAACAACGCCATGGCCAGGGAGCCAAGCACTTCCGGATTCCGGAGGATAATCGCGCGAAACATAGCAGCTAGCGGGTAACCCAAAAAGAGAAGACAAATAGAAAATCCCATCCACCCAATAATCGCTGATAGCGCTTCTGTAAATTTTGTACGTACGAGGTGGATATTACGAGTAGAGGACATTGCTCCTCCAACGGTCTATGATGTCTTTCGCTTGCTTGAACGTATATGTCGTGTTCAGTTTCACTATCAACTTTTCAACACAAAGTCACTACTTACAAAAATGTCTTCAAAGAAATATTAGATTCTAACCTCGCTGTGTGCCGCCTTGCACCAGTGCGGCAATGAAGAGCGTGGCCAAGAGTGCGCTGAAGATCGCAGTTACAGCCAGTTGGCAGCGCAGTTGCGACCGATAGAGCTGCACTTTGTAGTGTGGGATGTAGAGCATCACGAAAATGAAAGCGAATACCACACCAAAAGCGTTCGGAATGACGCCTGGAATGATGCCCTCCAGTATGCAGTACAGAAGCCAAACCGTACAGTTCAGAAGCTGCGAAGTCAAGGGAAGGGGCGGCATCTCAACCTTCTGCGTGGTGCTTTTCTCGTGACTGTGGCTGCCTTTGCCTGTAGGAGATGATGTTGATGGTGGCGTGTCATCCCCATCCAGCTCGTTATCGGAGCTATGTCGATTTCGCCTGGTACAACATCCTGGGCACAGAACCGGCTGAAACAACGTCGCCGGTGCAATGAACATAAAAATCGGCGACACGGCGCAGACCAGGTCGACAACAAGCTGAATGGCCCCAGCCGCCATCTTTTGCAGCTCCTTCCTTTTGGAAAGCAAGTATGTAAGAAAGAGTTAACAAACTAGAAGTATTCCAAAAATTCAAAAACAACAAGCACACAACCCTGAGATCCATGCCAGAAGAACGACCACTAAATACCGCCTCCCACAAGCCGGGGGTTGGAGTTAGATGGACACACCAGCACATTTTTTCACCAGCATAATTTTTCACCCTTTTGCAATTGGCAACACTATCTTCAGGACTTCGTACGACCGCTCCTTATCTTGAGGTATCTTCACAATTACCAAGGACCTTAGCTTCTGCAGAACTGTTGTAGCTTCAGCAGGACGAGCTATAAATGTTTTTTGTAGAGACATTATCACAGTGCGCCGTCGAGAATATCACAATCGCCATGCCATTGCCTTATGTTTTAAAAAGACAATGCAAATATCTTCTCGGACTAGTAAGTTACACTCTCAGGTACGCATTCTGATCTTTTCCATCTAGCTAAATCTAGTGTTTTCGCTCCTATCTGTGCACAAGAATCTTATCCCCAGTTGAACCTGTTGCTTCTAAAAATGCGGCTCTTTGCGAACGAGGAGCTGGCACCATGTCTGTGGGTGCTGGATTTTCTGAGTCGCCGCTCTTATATGTATACGGGTTTCTATTTCGCTTATTATGTGACTCTCTGTACTGTCCACAGAAACAAAAATTGTTTTAAAAATAACTGTTACTATCTGCTACTCACTGAATATAAATCGCGATCACATTAAAGTCAAGATATTGGGCGTCGGTAGATCAATACCGTCAAATGCATTTTCAACATGAATAAATAAACCTCAAGGGGCCGCAGACCCTAAACCCAATAGCAACCAACTGTGCAAAATCGTATACAAAATTTATCAAAACCATTATGTACAGGCTCAATAGTGCATCATTTTTTCTAGAGAGATTTCCATTCATTCACGAGCATAGTTTGAATATCTCGTACACATCTAGTACTACTCTCTACGACTACTAACGTACTACTCTGAGCCCTTTCGTCAGTCTACATCATCGTCGGCAGTTTGTGCACGGATATACCTTTGACAATTCGTTTCTCTTTTATCCTCGTCAATCAAACGCGCGTCCGGCTTCCATACTCCACGCAAGGCAATCAGCTTCACGCTCGCCTCTGACAGCACAGGTTGCGGAACGTTGTAGCCGTCCTTTGCTTTGTTCCTACGAGGAGGCAGAGCGGTTGTAATCGTTTTCTCCTGGTGTTCACCCGGGAGACACTTTTCTGCTGTATGAAGAGCAGGCACGTCCTTAGAAGTGTTTGCTTCTTGTTTCCTATCGATGCTTATCTTCGTCTTCGAAGCAGAAGGCAATTCCTGTGTCCCGTGATCAGGAGCACTCTGAGTCTTGCCGGCAATGACAGACTGCGCTTCCTTCGGATTAGTGCTGTCGACCTCGAACTTCAATGGCGCATCAAGTTGCTCCTCGACCTGTACATCTGAGATCTCCTCCACATTGCCACCTGGGTGCTGAGATTTCATCAAGACTACAGCCGATTGCCTTTCTTTTTTACTTTCACAGTACATGAGCATGACGATGGCTATCTTACTCATATTTACATCCTAGATCATCTAGAACCAAAATCCAGAATTTGAAAAAAGAAAAAGTGATGTATGTCTCTACTGAAAGTCATCAAGTACCTCTTTTCGGCAACGCAAAGTAGTCGTCCAGAATGTCAATCAGCGAATCTGACTTTTCCGGCTTCTCCGAGACCCCGTTGCTCCTGCCAGTCAGCGTGTCAGACTTTTTCGCGACTTTTTCCATATCTCGTTTTCCGCTACCAGAGTTCTTAACAGAATTCTTACCCTTGTTCGCATTCTGATTTTCCCTTCTGGTTTTGTCGCTACGAATCGATACCACCGGTCGTTTCGGGCTTCTGGATTGGACACGAACCGAATGCCTTCTGGATTGAACATCTTCCATTTTCTCGTTCCTAGCTTTCGCAGTCGATTGCGTCTCATCTTTACCGCAATTGCTTGGATTTTTGGTCACACTGGGAGCACGCACGAACTTCTTCCGCTGCTGTGGATTGGAGGTTGCCTCGTCTGGTTTTTCAATAGGTTGTTTGACCACAGGGGCTTCTGGTACCGGAGTAGATTTCGAAGCTCTGCTATTACCGATCGCTTTTGGAACTGGAGCCGGTGTCTGGCTTTTGGTATCTGGTGTTTTTCGCTGCTTATCGGCACTAGCATCTGATTTCTGTGGTTTACCACTTGCTTTTTTAGGAGTTACGACAGGTGTATGCGGTTTTCTCTTTCCAGTTACCGCCGAAACTTTATTTCCGCGTGGCGCCGAGGTCGTCGCAATGATTCGTTCGGATGAGTCACCTCTCATTAATGCATTTTCTTCAGCTGCATCCATGCCATTTGTCACGACCCCTTTAGCCATATCTTCCGCCGCAACGACATCCGATTGCCCTGGTGTCTTCGACTCCTCTATCGCTTGCCGCACCATCGACTGTATTCCCATGAAACACGAGGAAGATTGACTCGCCGCGAAAGGATCGGCAGTGGTGATAGAAGACTCGTCAGTCTGAATGTCACCATCCGCGACGACTTCAGTTTCTTTAACAGGTACTCCGCGGTCCTCAGTACTCGCGCCCTTGCGCAATAAACGTTCCTTTCGCCTTGGCGACACGGCTGCGACCTTAGGCTGAGGCGAAGTAATGCCCTTTGCGCTCACAAGGACGTCAGCTACGATTCCATTTTCATCACCATCTTCAGACTTTTCTGCCCCATTAGGAGTCGTGGCCGTATTCGCTTTCATCATAGAAGTGCTATTCTTCGTAGAAGAAGTGAGTACTTCTTTATTGCTAGTCGTGTTCTTGTTTTTCCCTGTTTTCCTCTCCTCAGTACTCCCTTGCGCTGCACCCGAGTATGGGCCCTCCTTTCCCTGCACGCCAGTACCCAAGGCCGGAGCTCGGCTGCGGTGCGGTGTCGGGGTTCCCTTACGCTCAGCAGCACGGCTACGCTCCATCCGAGAGCGGTGCCTCTCCTCAGGTGCATCCCGTCGTCGTCGGCAACTGGGAGAAAAAGCCAGCCGTTTATTAACCTTGCTGGTAGTAGTTGGATTCGACGACGGGTCTGTTGTTGACACAGCTTGCTGGATTCCTCCGTCGTTAGGACTAGTGCTTTTAGCCGAAGCATGCTCCTGCACAACAGAAGATCCGGCTTCCTCCTGAGTCGATGATGTCGCACTCTGTGACAAAGGCATTATCGTTGCTGCGAGGAGTCTCTGCAATATCGACTCCTCTCGGGCTTGGACTGCAACTGTGCTATCATCTTGAAGAAGAGTTGGCTTCGGATCTTCGGTGATTGGCGACGCAAATTGGCTTGTGCTGGCATCTTCGAGCGGTAAAATCTGAGCCCCGCCAAAAGTCACACTTGGGCGACGTGCTGCTGTCAAACGAGGCGGTGTCAGTCCCACGAATGGATTCAATGCTGCGCGAGGTTCGCAAGAAGAACTGCGCACGTTAGTCCGGCAAAGCGGTCGTCGACTGCTGTTCGGTACCGTACAGAGGTGACCGTCATCGATCCGACTTTCTCCTGCTAGTCTGAGTCTTCTACTCCGAAGAGCAGCTGGGGTGTCATCATTCTCCACCATCAGATCATCACGATGTTGCTCCCTTCCTCTACTGGGTGCTTCACTTTGCGGAGAACTTCCCATTTGCGGGACGAAGAACCGCTGTGACGCGCGTTCAAATGAAGAATGTAAACCCAGGCGATTCAAACGCAGAAAATTATCTGTGCTTCGCTTCGGCGGCGAACGTGACTGTGACAGGTTTTTCGAGCGCTTATGGGGAGAAAGAGTCTCAAGCTCTTCTACACGCGAAAAAGTTATCAACCTTGGTGGGCATCGCACGCGTTTGAGCAAAGAAGCGTGTTGCCCTGCAAAACTTTTCTCGAAACTTCTCTGCGCATTTTCTTCGATCCCAGACGGAAACCAGACACTTTTTGATGTATCTACTTGCTCTGCTCGTGCAGCTCCAGCACCCCGCGGCACCTGTTGAGCAGTCCTTTCCTGCTGTATTTAGCGGTAGTTTTTCACTATACCGAGTCGAGTGGGATAGGGATGCCTTGCGCCCCCCGTATTTTTCCTTTCAATCATGGAGAGGGCCACTCAGCATAGTCCGCATGGGATAGTGAAAAACTACCCTTAATTTATCTTCTGGTAGTTGTGAGAAGGTCTTTGGAGTCCAGGATTTGATGGTCGCAGAGTAGTTGTGCCAGCATCTTCCTCCTCCTCCACTTGCTTCGAAATGTAGGCGAGCTGCGGACGCTGCGTTGGCGTTGCCTGTACGTAGAGCTTCGTTGTCGGCGATGTTGTCACACTTACACCTACTATACTTGCTTTTAATTCCTCATGTCGTGTGGAATTATCACTTGATGCCTTGTTGATGTTTCTACCACGTCGTGATCCCTGCTTCGGACTTTGCGAAGCGCGCTCTGGTCCCAGGCGCAAATGCGTCTCTGGAGACACGCTACGGCTTCTTCTCCTTGCTCGTGGTGTTTCGCCTGCATTCCTACGGATCATCTGCGGTGAGTTCTGCTCAATGCACTCGCGTGCGTAGGGCGAGCAGTTGGAGCTCAACACAATTGCAATTCATTTCTTGCCTTCATTTCTTCAGAATCCTAACAAGGAAAACGAAGAAAGTTACCCTTGGAAATGAATTGCATCCAGCCTTAAAGTAGGGCGAAAGCTCACCTACTCGCTGCTCAAAGCTTTGTTGCCATGCAATCTCGAAAGGGCTGAGGCGTGACACAGCGAGGCAACCACTAGGCGGCTCTCGTGATTGCGTCGGGGACGGAGACGAGCTCTTGTTTCGTGCGCGACCCAGCATCAATCCGCTACTTTTCATGACATCTTCGAACTTCGCCTTCAAGGTAGTATTGCTTTCCGATATTGATGCTTGCGTGATTTTTATCTGCCCACTAGCAGCTGCAGGGCCAGTTTGCGGAGCGATTAAGCCATGCACCATAGCAGAAGATGTAGACTCGTGGCTCTGCTGTCCGATAGAGGCACAGCTTTCGTCGGGCTTGTCGGGTTTTGGTAACATCATAGCTCGCCTCTCAGGGTGCAATAGCGTTGGAAGTGCGTCTCCACTTCCAGCTTTTACTAGACCAAGCTGCAACATGTTTGTTGTATTCATAGTTGTTCCTCCTCCTCTGCGTGCACAACTACTAGAAGAGGCACTCTCATCAACTGTCTGCTCACCACTATGATGTGTGGTAGAGGTCTCCTTCTGCAGTATAATAGTCGACAAAGTAACTGCACCTTCTCCTGTTGTTTTTACCGACGTCTGCATCTGCAATACTTGTCCATCGACAGCTGCTCCTTTGGTTCCTCCTCCTCCTCCATCTCCCATGCCTGGGACGAGTATTACGCGAGGTTCCCTCCGATCTTCACGTTGCGCCTTCATGCTGGTTGTGGTACTCCTACCTTGATGTTGAACCCCAGATAAAGGACTTCCGATTACAACTGAGGTTGAGTAATTGGTAATGGACACTTCCTCTTTAGGGCAAGCGTCCATGGTGAGTTTGATGCGTTGAGGTATGGTTTCTAGAAAGGAGTGAAACGAGTTCTCTTCACTATTTGCTGACCCGAAACCAGCAGACATCTCGCCTGCATCGCCAGCAGAGACGGAATCTTGTGACACTTCCTCAACATCAAGGTCCTTGTTCATGACCGCGGCAGGCGGAACCTCCACACCCGCCTGTCGAAGGAAGTCGACCGGCGGCTGCAACATGCTCGGATGGATATAGAGACTTAGATAAAAATTGTAATTCACTCTCGTTTATTCGAGTCACATTGACATTTGTATGTTAAGATTAAGTTGTCAACACCATGCGTAAACACTTCATAAGTACTCCTTTATCAAGCTCATGCAGATTTCCAAAAAATCGTTTAGTCAGAAAACTCTAATGTTCCTTCCTCGCGTCATGATAGGCTCTTGCCGTGCACGGAAGAACGGGAAGACAAAAAAAACACCCCAGACACAAGGCAGACAGAAGACAGATTCCTCATTAATGCATACAATGATCTGCGTCCAATGCTTGACTGATTCACCGAAATCATCCGCACAGAAACGTCCAAGTACAACAATCAAGATGCTAGAAATTTTAGTAATCTTTCTTAAATCTGAAACGCTCAGGAAAAGGCATTTTCACAGAAAGTGCGGACAATTACTGAGAAACTGAGACAGACTTCGGGTTCGGCAACGAAAATTACAAACTTCTAGTAGTGGAGCTTAGCAATCAAATTATCAGACACAAGCCAGAGAAACCGAGAAACAGAATAGATCAAAATCTTTGACGATGCTCTGACGCATGTGGAACAGGCTGAATCTTTTTTGTCAGCATTGTGAGGAAATTTCAGGCAACCTGCGCTTTTGCTCGAAAAATGAATCTTGATTACTCCTGCACACAAACTAGCATAGTAACCATACCGCACAACGACCACAGGGTTGCCGGACCTTTTCGTCAGGTTGTAGCTTGTCTAGGAAATAACATAGTTATAGGATTCGAATGATCACCGTGCTCTTCTGTCAGACCTACGACGAAGATCTCGTCATAGTACATGTTGAATCAGAGTCAGTGTTAGAAAAAATATTTTCAGAGAGGGAACGAAGAGAGTTGTAAAAAAGGGAATAAATCTTGCTTGTTATTTAATTTCATCGGCGAAGAACTCCTGTAAGAGCTCTTTATAGTCCATTGCTTCCACGCGGGCCATAGTGTCCGCGAGGTCGAGATCTAAAGCTTCCTGCGTTACGAACGCATTGCTGCCAACGCCAAATTTCACATCGAACTCGCGGAAAAGCGACCATAATTGCGATACGGACTCCACTAGAGAAATATGAATCGGTCGAAAGAGCACTGCAGAGGAACAGGACAACGCGGGTCTTGAGGCTTCGGCAAAGAATGAAAGGGAGGTGAGGATCAGAATCAACGGAAGTAGCAGTCCAATTGAAGATGGGGCTTCTCCTTCTTTCCACAGGTTCGTTTGCTCTATCAATCTATCCAGCTAGTCTCGGTAGTCCGTTTCAAAGAGAGAAATTCTCTTTTCAAGACTCCTTCTAAAAACTCCTTGAAATTTCATTTCTCATAAAGCGGCAGGGGTCCGCGTGCCGTCTGGATTCAGAGCAGGCGGGTCACTTTCGAACCGATTCGTCAGATAGATGCGCATGCGAGCACACAATAGCGGGACGCGCTTTGAGACCGAATCTAAAAAGTCTTTGTTCAACTTCGCAAGTGCATCCGGCTGTAAGAAGTCCAACTGTGTTGCAGCCTGTGAATTTTGCGCGAATATCATAACATCGTCCTAGAATGAATCTAACTAAGCGAGCTTTCAACTTGTTTTGGGGAAGAAGAGTCAGAAAAAAAAACGACAAACAACCAGACAGAAAACACAATGAAGACGAACAGCGCCCCCTGATGCTCGCGGCTGACTAACTTTCCTATATTTCTTCCCCTCTCCCGAGTTTCAGCGCACTTGCTTCCCACGCGGGTCCACCTCATCCTCTTGCGTCAGACTATGACTGTCCCACCGAAAACACAAACAAGCCAGAAGGCGGCACTGCTTCATCCTTTCGCGCCAGCCTGCTGCCACGCCAAGAGACCCACCCACAGCCGAGGCAGTGTGTGAGTGTGACTTACAAAGAAGGGGGCGCAAGCCCTCCACCAAGGGGCGGCGCAATGCCCTAACCCCAGCTGGGTGGCCGTGGCGCCTACGGTCAGCCATGAAACGAAAAAGCCATCCAAGCCGACTCGCTCGCAAGCGCCACCGCCGTGCCGTCGTGGACGCCGCGGCCCCACAGCACCGAGCTCATTGGCTTCGCCTGCGACTCCTGCAAGCAACTCTACAGCTGCGCACAATGGCGAAGGCCTTCAGGTGCTCTGGGTGGCAGACGTCGTTGCAGGTCCTCAATCATAGCGGAGACAGAATTGCCTGGCCGGATCAGCTTCGGCGCCCACGCTTGCCAACGACCTCCAACTTGCTAGCTAGCACCCCGCAATTGCACAAAACTGACGCCGATGGATGTCGCTCACCCCGCGACATTATCTAGTGGCCGATAAGTCAGCTACTTTCACTGTCTGCGATGATCTTAAAAGGCAGCGAACAGCGTGCGCTAGTCCTGGTGTTTCCCCTCTTGCGGGTCCACATCTTTCACATACTGAAACCAATCACGCGCCAACCCGTCCCCTCCGCCCACTGAGCGCCATGAGCTCGGCAGTGTCCCGGCGCCAGGCAAGTAGCCGCACAATCGACACCGCGCCCATTTGAGGCGCCAAGCCTGCCACCAAGAGCCGCCCTTGCGTAGGCGCCCGCGCTGTCCGAAGTAATGCAATGGCAACAAGCCCCCGCGCCCTTCGCCATGCAGCTCAACGCCCTCAGCGTGCCTGGCGTCGTTTGCCGCAACATGCGCCCTCGGAAAAAATTGGAGAGCGCTACCCAAGCACTACAGAGAGAAACCCGCGCCGCCCCTTCTCAGTGGTGTACACCTATGATTAAAAGGCGGGCGTCGTTAGCTGGCTGAAAAACGCCAGCCTTCCCCCTTTCCTCCGCCTTCCCCTTTTCGTTGCCCGATCCCTGCCACCGTAGTCCTGGCATGCTTTCCGGCTGTGCGTTCCAAGATAAGGGCCCGCGGCGCTTGTACTTACTCTTTTCCATGTTTTCGCGCTTCCTTGTATGGTTTACCCGGTTCAAGGCTTGCCGGCTTTGCGCCCCTAGGTCACCTGCCTGCGGCGCGCGCGGGTATTCCGCCGGGGGTATTTGCGAGGCTTGCCGAGGTGAGTCTGGCCGCCGCCTATACGACATGGCTGCGGCCCCTATGGCTCCGCCCCTGTGCACGACCGTGGCACACGTTTCCGGCTTCGCTCTCCGTTCCCTCCGTCCTCGCCTGGGCGTCTTCCACCCACCCCGGAGCCGGACCCCGTTGCACCCCTGGCCACAAAACTAAACCGGCGCAGGCGCCTGCCCTGGACGACATGCCGCGCGAGTCCGCAGAGAGGCCAGAAAGGCCCGCCGCGCGGCGAGTCTTGCCTGACTTGCCACAGCCGCGCCCCTTTCAGTATACGGCCTTTTTTCCGGCAAATCAATCAAAAGCGACAGCGAGAGAGATCTAGGATAAAAGATGGGACCAGCTCCTTCTCTCCCGAGCCAAGGTGTTGCGTGACTTTGGCGTTAAAAACGACAAGCGGCTCTGCAATCAACTGGATTTGATCTTGAATCAAGAGCTCGCAAGCGTTGCGTAGCTCCGTCTCCATGTTCTTCTTGGAGTCTATCCGTGTTTCCGTCAGTTTAGGGGTCAGTATTCGGAACAGCTTCCCTGATATCCTCAAAACCGACGATGAGTTTGCATCGCGGCGCGCCTGGGCCGCAGACGTTATCACGCCAGAGCTGGAGAATGCTCCGATGGCTCCGGGTGCTTGGTCACTACCTATTTGCTGTTGCTGCGCAATTGCTGCGTGAGAAGAAGATTGCGAGGCCTCAGCAAAGGCGTCCTTCACGTTGCCATAGATGGCAGCAAAGTCAAAAAACTTTTCTTTGCAAACCAAGTCGCACTCGAAACTTACGACTTGTTCACGCAGAATCAGCAAATGCTTGATCAAAAAGAGGCTGCTGTCGGTCCGCTGTGGGATTTTTGCAGCATAGACTTTGAGTGTCGAAATACACGCATCTACCGCTTCCTGCGCGAGGCCTTGAAACGTGTTGATTTCCAGCACGCGAAAGATCTTGGACAAAACCAACAACGTCCGCTCTAGCGTCACGAAGTTTCCGTAGCTTGAGCCACGCTGCAGCGCGTACGCCATTGCTTCCAGCTTCTTTGCGTTTTTTTCCTCCTCCGACCCAGTCTCCGAGACTCGAGATGACGTACTAGAGGTAAACAAAACTCGCGGATACTCCAACCTTGCGGGGTCGTCGAGTAAAAAGCCTTTGATCTCGTCGCGAATGTAGATTTGCACCCGAAAAATAAGCCGTTCCTGGACATCGCGATAAAGCCGCAAAACGATTCCTAGTAACGCCACGAGCTCGTGCTCTGAAAGTTTATTTTGATTCCATTAGTTTCCGATCGTTTTTGTGATATACGGAGAGATAGAAAGAGAGGGCATAGTTTTTCGCTTTAGGGTACGAAGCATTCCTACATCGAAAAATAAACCTGCTGCTAACTGCTCGAGAAAACAAGACTTTTGGAAAGCCCCCTTCTGGTACCTGACTTTCCACTTGCCACATCGACTTGGTGCGGATGAAGTATGTCAAGCTGTAACGCGTCCGCAATTTCACGCAGGATATCGATTTCGTCGAAGCTCAATATCAGCGGCCTCACCAAGTCGTACAAGAGCGCGCCAAAGTGCTTGATTAGCGAGTCTAACGTCTCCTGCGGCTGCCGCGCTTCGAAGTACGAAAGAAAAGTTTGTTTCTCTAAAATGCACAGCTTGAGCACATAGGTCGATATTTGCCGAATACATCCAGCCGGGTCTTCTTGGAACTTGGACATCACGTTGTGCATATGCAGCTGTAAGGGATTCGTTACTAATCGGATCCGCAGAGCGACGAAAAAACTCTCCACTTCGTCAAGCGTTTGCCCATAGATCTCGGCAGCATCTCGCCGCTTATGCAGCTGATAAGTCAAAGGCTTCAACTGCGTAGCAGCGGCGCGGAAACGGACATAGAAAACGGATGTTTCATACCTGCCAGGATTCGTTTTTATTTGTCGTCGAGTCTGGTTATCATAGGTTCACGCCCGTGCCCATGAAAGGCTGAGGACCACCAAAACTTGCACAGAAGCACACAGTGTCTCAAAAGTCTATGACAGTTTTACCCTGTTCTCCCGTCTTTTCCTGCTTGATCCATCTGATCCAGCACTTGGTCCATGGTGTGGTTTAGACTGCGCGTGACCTGATTTTTCAGCGATTGGCATGCCCTGCGGCGCATCTGATCATACTGCTTGAAGTACTGCTGAGAGTCGTAGTATTCCGGATGGCGGTCTAAAAACTCGATCCCATCGTCCAGAAGGTCAAGACACCGCTCAAACTCCGCTTGATCTAAACTAGAACCAATCGTTAGACTCAGCTTTGACGCATCTCGGTCCCCTCACCTCGACCCCTTTACCCGTGCATTTCATGCGAATACAGGGCAAAAGGGGACCAAGATGCCGAGACAGATGGCTAAAAGCTCACCGTAAAATCGTGCCACCCGGACGGTCCAAAATGCGCTTCAGGTCCATCAGTCGGTCGAATCGATCAAGCTTTTCGCCGATGCTTTTTATGAACAAAGACAGGCGACGGGACAAGGACTGTAATATGACAAGGGCCCTGTAAAAGGTTAAGGTTTATCCCTCCCAAGAGCCCAGCAAGTGGTAGACATGCGTGCGTACAATGGCCTTCCTTCTCGCTGCTGGGAAGTACTAAACCTTAAGTGGTTGCGGGCAATCTTACAGTAATTACTATTTTTACTGATTTCTATTTTAATCATAATCTTCGTGTACTCTTCGAGAACGTTCTGCTCCTTTAGCAAGTGCTCGCACCGAAAGTGCAACACTTCGCATTTATGGGCCACTTCTCGACGCAGATGTTCGACTTGCGCCAGACGTTCAGCCGCATCTGCCAAAGAGTCACAGACATTGTGACAGAGCTTCTGTGTGTGAAAGATCCAAGCCCAATTGGTCAGATAGGAAGCACCCACTTCTTCTTCGTACTCCTTCTCCAGCTTGTAGAAAAGTCGGAAAAACTCTTCCTCTTTTTTCGTCGCCGACGAAGGCACTGCTGTTTTCGCGTCCACGGAAGAAGACGACGCACGGGCAGAAGGGGCCGTCAGCGCCGCGATGTCCTCTAGCAGCGCCTGCTGCCGCGACGTCACCCCCATCGTGTCGCGCAACTAACAGACGACACCTCTTAGTGACCTCATCTTTTGCATGATGTGGGATGTGACACGCACGGAGCGAAACTGAATCCAACAAACATTATCGACAAAAGATTTAAAACATCCAAGTATCTCTACGAGTAATTACAAAAGCAAAAAAATCGTCTGTAGAAAAGTGGCCGCACACCCTGTCATGCACATCAAGAGCGATTCATCAAGAAGGCGACGTAGCTTTCAAACCGATCTTTATCTTATCAAGCACCTTGCCGAAGTACACTTAAGAAGAGGCGCTGCTCATTCTTTTTTGCAGCTGTATATAATCAGAATTCAGTAAGAAGCGGGACAGGTATCCCTATAGATACATTAAGCAGCGGCCACCAGATCACCAAGGGCATTTATGCATCTGCATCATCTTCAAGGATCCGCTCAGAGAGAGTCATACTGGGTTACGCTTACCAAGGGGTATGCCACAAGCTCTAGACCCTAAAAATCTCTCTGTGCAGCTGAACTTCTTTATCCTTTCATACACCGATTGAACTACCTCCTTGAGTACGTGAAAAGATTAAGATTTTCATTCGTCGTCACTACAACTCTGATATTTATCCGTCAGTCTATCTCGCGCCATCCGCATGTCTGTCGACACACTCTGAAAACCCTTTTTCATGACATATAAAACATAGTACTGATAGCACATACTGTCACGGAAGCTCCTTAGTTTCCATGCACAGTTCGCGCAAGGAAGCGCTCCTCATTCAGCGGAGATCGATGTACATCCCAGTATGCGAAGGGGGAAGCAGCCCAAAAAACCTGAGATCCTGTTCAGACAAGCGAGGACCATCAGAAAAAAGTCTGTAATGTCGGTGGGTGGGACATCATCTTCATAGTGACTGAGGAGATCGAAAGTTAATTAAAGCGCAATGAACAGGAACGTGAATGATGCCACATTCTCGTGTTCATAAAATCTTTAAGTGTGAAACTAGTACATAGTTATGCGTTGTTGTCACATGTTGCTGGTAGCACTTTAGTCAGAGGAGATTCGGAAGGAATCCTCATCGTTGAGGCACTATCCGTCCACACGCTTTATCGTCTGCCGCCGCGCTAAAATCCAGCAGGATAATGGCGATCAAAACCCCACGCGTAGCAGCAGAGTTCTAAGTACAACTTTGCACTTAGAACTCGAAGCCAGCGTCACCACCATCCTTGTTGAGGACAGCTTCTTCTCTCGCGAATTGCACGTAGTTGTCTGCATCTAAAAATTTGGAAATGTTTACGTCTTCTGCCAGACCTTTTCTTCTTCGCGTTTTCAGCATGAATTCGCGCGCCAAGTGCGGGATCGGTGCCGGTTCGAGTGGCCGCAAGAGAATGGACCTATCTAGAGGGTCACCAGGCACTTGACTCCAGTGGTCGAAGCAGGTCAGGACCATCGCCGCGCCGTGGGTATGTGACCGAATATCCGTCTCAAATCCGAAGGACTCGATCACAGGGAGTGCTGCTTCTACGATGTAGAGTGGAGAACCCGGCTTCGGGTAGTCCTTGTGCACGTGTCCACGTCGACGCGAAAGGACGGTGTACACAGCTGTAGTTTGATTTGAAGAAAATGTTATGCTTCCTTCAGTACTTTCTTAGTCTTTGTGAAGAAATCAATGATCGAGGACAGCGAGTTCGAGATCATCATTAGCGTTTGACTAAACTGTACAACCAGCAAGAGCAAGAATGAGGTAATATTGTTGGCCTTAGAATCTTCGAAACATACTTTCTCCTGTTAAAATGAGAACTACATTAGAGCTGAAGTACCCTGAACCGCATTCGCTGGGCAGGTGATTTCGGCGAAATAGATTGGTTCCAAAACTCGTGGTGCGGCCATCAGGAATGCTGCGTACGCGCACCGACGCGCACACGGGATAAGCTGGCCGCCACCTCGAAATTGTGGACTTTCGTGGAGTCTTGCGTCTAGCAGCTTGAATTTCACACCTCGGATTGGCTCATCGCATAGAGGTCCTTCTCGCGAGGCCCACTGGAATCCCTGAACGATGGATTCCTTACTGGTTTCTAGCAAATTTTTGCTAACATCGATAGTATCGTTCAACAGCATATTCACACCGCGGTCCGTAGGACCAAAAGCCCAAATGCCCTTTGCGGCAAGAATATCCCAATCATACTCCTTCTTGAAATGATCTCGCATCGCTTTACTACCAACTTCCCAGTGCTCAAGAATGCGCCCTCGCTCGATATCGGCCTGGGTTTGATCATTAATTTCATGGCTGTCTCAAGGTCATCTCGGAAGGTCGGATAAGAGCGATTTACATTTATTGAATTCACTTGCATACTTATTAGAATTTCAGCACGAATCAGCACTAGGGGCTACCATAAAAGAATACATTCATTGTGATTATATATACGTCTACGTTTACACGTGAGAAATAGAGACAATGCTACCTCAATTGCCGGCTCCAGTGTATCGCAGACCATGAAGAGCTTGTTATGTTTGTTCATACTCTCAGCTGAGCATTTCATGGTTGAGGTTTCCGAGACGGTTTCTTGAAACGTCACAATTGGATCGGACACCTTGATTTCCAAATCGCCATACAGCCGGCGCAGATCGTGAAGCACGCAATCCAGGTAGAGCTCACCAGTACCAGCGATGACGTGTTCACCTGACTCTTCGACTTTAGTCTTACAAACCGAGTACGCCTTGTCGATTTTGCGCAACCCGTCAACCATCTTTGGTAGTTCTGAGGGGTTCAGAGGCTCTAGGGCTAGCTTGCAGCACGGAACGGTCAGATGCTTCAGCGGGCGGAAGATCTCCACTTCCTCGCGCGTCGCAGCCGCTGACTCTCCCGCACCCTTCGCTTCGGCTGCCTTCGTCAATTTGTCGGTCAAAGCGTCTGGGAGGTTGGTGATCGTTGCCGTCTTCACTACGTTTGCATCTACACCACCGATCAATACCCAGTTGCCAGCAGGAACGTGGGAAATTTCGCAGCGGTAGCGTCCCTGTGAGATCCACAATGTCGAAGCAGTGCGAGCACTCTTGTCTTCATCGTCGCTCAAGGAATAGTTCTCACCCAAAACCTGCACGCGCTCGCCGGCGTGGATCGTACCCGACATCACCCTTCCGAACACGTCGAAAGTACTCAAATCTGGATGGTGGTAGCTCTTCACCACATGGATCATCAGCAATCCATTGGGATCCAGGTTGGCCATGCCGTCTGCGATCAAGCCCATTTGCTCGCCAGTGTAAGTACGACGAACCTAGGTGTAAATTGCAGAACCAATACTAATTTTCCTGTCTATGAATGTTACTACAAAACTCTGAGTTCAGAAAAAACTGTTAGTAAATTCATACAGCAAGAACCAATCACCAAGAAAAAATACCTTGTCTGCTGCGGCCACCTTCGGGTCACGCACGTGCTTCACGACTGCGTCTACGAGCGCTGAGTTTCCCTGGAAGAAGTGTCGGCCGACTGATTTGAGGAGGTCTTTTGTGCTCAACTTGTAGTCCTTCTTCGGCAGATACACTCCGAGCTGCGCCAGCACTTGTACCAGATCCTCTGTTTCCATCCCCAGTGTGTGACCAATCATCTTGTAAAGCGGGTCCAAGATGAAAGCCACAAAGGTGCGTGGCGGATCCTCCACATCTTCTGGAGGCTCTCGTGCGAACTTCCTAGTCACTTCGTTGAAATAGATATCCCCCCAAAGCAACGGCGCGAAGTCTTTCCTCTCAAAGCCACCTTGAATTTCTCTACCTCTGCGTCCGAACGCCGTAGGAGCTTCTCCCTCGCCATCAGCACCAGCCTCCTCTGCCGCGTCTTGTTGGCTGTCTTCTTGCGAATTCTCGTTTGGTGGAGCAGAGCGCTGACCCGGAAATGTGTCCGCATAGATAGCTGCGAAACTCTTCAACGAAAAAACCATGTTGAAAAGCCCAGCGCCGAAAATCACGTTTCCGCGAGTCGGAGACAGCACCTTCAGCGGACGATCGATTGCTAACAGCGTATGAATGTTCTCCAACGCAGTGTTCACTTCACTGATTGTGTGCCTGTGGGATCAATGTGGAAAAAATGTGAATTCGTATCGAAAAATATTCCATCTCATCTAGAAGGTAAGTTCTTGCAACAATCGAATATGTGGCGTCGTTTTTACTACAAATTGGAAATAATGAAGAGAACTATAGCTGATCTGTATCTCCGATAGTACTTGATTTTGTGGTATGCATCGGCTGGTGGGAGCTTTAGTTCCGTGACTAGTCGGTCCACTTTACTGACACAGAGCACGATGTCTAGGCCCTCCTGGACAACGTGCTTCAGCAGGCGTTCGCAGTGGGTGCTGAGCCCCATGATCACATCTACTACGAAAATGACGCCGTCGCTAATTCGCACCGCAGCCGCGACTTCGTCGTTGAAGTTCGGGTGACCCGGCGTATCCATGATGTTCATCAGGTAGCTCTTCTCGTCACAATCCGGCAACACCAGAGAGATCGCAGATGCCTTCACCGAACAGCCGCGCTCGTGCTCGTCCCGACGACTGTCTAGGTATCGCATCTCACGCTTGTATTGCTGGTCTCCCTTCAGCTTCACGCTCTTAAACTGATGCGTCTCTCGCACAAGGCAGTCGATGAGACTAGTTTTCCCACTCTGCAGGTGCCCAATAACAGCGATGTTTCGGATGAGCCCTGGCTCTTGCATCAGACCAGCCATGTAATCGAATTTGAACGTTGTATCCGGGATCTATGGTCAATTTCATTCATTTAGTGGTGTTGTGCTATCTGTAAGGATTTGCGACGACCGAGAACTGCGATTTATCTATCAGTGTTCTTGGTTGTAGCGATCACAACAATGAAGCCATTTTAAAAACTTTCTTAGAATCAAAAAAGCCACTTCTCCAGCTTAATACCTGTTTTTCGACCAAGTCGAAGTCGAATATTCTTGTCGGTGGGATGATTGGTTCCGTGATGGGCATGGTATCCTCCTCTTGCACGAGGACAACGGCATCGGGACCGTAGATCTCTTCGGCTTCTGGGTAATACTGCTTGTCCTCGTGCAGAACTACAGCGCGCTTCTCCACGCTCATAGCCACTGGGGCAGTGGTGATCGCAGTGGACGAGCCGTCGAAGGCGGTTGAGCCACCATCTCCTCCGAATCCCATGCGGCCCTGCTCCTCCTCCGAATCCTCATCCTCATCGGAGATGTCACCTCCGATGTAGTTACCAAACTCATCATACAACGAGTCGTCCATTTTCCACGAAACTTGCTATAAATCTGAATCGACGTAGTTGAAGATGTCTCGTATGGCAAAGAATAAGAAATTTATAGCAAATAAAGAAATTTCAACTACAATACATGGACAGAGACACCCTCTACTTCAAAACCCTCTATCAATCTACACAGCTGCAGGCAAAAAGCGTAGCAGAAAAATGAAACACGACTAGTAAATTAGCCAACTATAGTAGATCCAAGATCGATTTTGACAAGGATCCAGGATAGTGTTGGTAGTAAGACAGCAGTAGTTCCAATCCCTACGTTGCAGGAACCTGTAATAGACTAGCACACTGTAGGAACCTGCAATAGATCCGATCACCACGCTGCCATCGGGGAAGAATTGCAAAATGATCGAGGAGACTTCCACATGACAAGAGAGTAAAATTTGAATTCTTGCTCGATACCGAATTTGGATTCCATGGTCACAATTCATCCATCAATTTATCAGTCCAGTGCCAGAACATGCACGTGAGTTTTCATTTGAAAGATAAAGGACGCAGGAGGATCAGCTTTCCTTACATTTCGATTCACAGAGGATTTGAACCATCTTCACCTCTTACGAGTAGGTAAGACAGAATGTGGGGATCACCCTGGAAGCTCGTGAAAGAAATCACACATCACCCGTTGATCCATTACTTTCGGTCATAGTCATGCATGTTCACATATTTTTCCAAACATTTTTCATCTACTTATACTATAGGACCAAGCTGTGACGGGTGAGCGAGGTGTGCGATTGCCACGCACTTTCTCTGGTTTCGTGCTTATTGAACTCCGTGAGTCACTCATGCAATTCGTATTTCCCATCGTGGTCTCATGTCGGCCATGCAAACAAGAAGCATCCAGTCAGTCATCGAACTAGGAAAAAGTGAAGGTCTTTTATGCCATTATGCCAAGAAAAAGTGCCGAAGGGGAAGCTGGAGATCCTGTTGGTGAAGATCATCCTCGCACAAGAGTGGTGAAGCCAAAAACTAGTCTAGTTCTTCCAGTTCGTTGCCCGCTTGATACGCATCCATCACGAGCGTCTCTGGACTGGGATCGAAGAGTTTCGTGCCACTGTCTTCGGAATCGTTTTCGCTCACCATAACAGGTTCCGGTGAGGAAAAACAGGGCGACTCAGCACGATTCTCTTTTATCTTCATCTCGCCAGTGGTCTTACCAAGAGTTCCGTTTGCCTCTTCTTCTGGTAAAAGCGTCGATAAGTTCTCGCTCTTCTTCGATGAGTTTTCGTCATCGGTAATCGGTAATGACGTCTTCGTTGTGTAGCCATGGGCTGACATGGATGAAAGCGGTCCGTCGTTCCCCTCCGCGCCACTATTAATTGACGGCTTGGGCGGTATGCGAAGCGTTGCGCTATCGAAATTCTTACGCGCTGCGAAGGACTCGAACCTTTGTGCGCATGCACGCGGCGACAGAACGATGCCATCCAAATCACCGGCTTCGGATGCTGCCACCGTGGATTCTATTTCCGAGTCCGCCTGTTCAGGCTGATATTGACGCTGTCCTCCCCAAAGTCTACTTGCAGACGCGGCGCCAGGCAGGGACGACATCAGACTGCCGCCGAGCAAAGACACTCCCATGCCGCTGTTCCTTTCATTGATGTTCTGCATGGGTGCCGAACTTGATTGTGAGGCAGTTGAAGAACTCCGGTGCTCGTTCAAGCGTCGGATCCACCATCGCGCGCGGTCGCGTTCGTCCTGATCCTCAGCGACGTCTGCACCAGCTGAAGAGCCACTACTAATTTGACCTCCACTTGCTGTTCCAGCATCAGGGGTCCCTGAATTGTCAGTAGATGAACTACTCGAAGCGGAGGAAGTTGAAGTCTGACCACCTGCTCCTTCGTTCGTCTCCGCATCTTGTTCCTCATCCTCCTCCCGTCCCTCTTGAACAGTGGGCATGCGACGGAGCATTTGCCCGTATCGGTCACGCGCCATCCTCTCTGTCAACCCTTGGGAGTTGAATTCGTGTGCTAACTTTGCAGCCACTACTTTGAATCGATACTGGTTTCTCGCCGCGAGCCGCTCAAGCCGTTCGTCACGCAGCTTCGTCCAATACCATTCCGGAGCCGCCTCACTCGCACCTGGTGTTGTAGCGACATTAAAATCAAGTAGTCAAAAAATCCAATGAGACTGAGTAACCTGAGTGTGATTTTTTATCCGATGGTTCAACATGTCAATTCCCTCTTTGTTCTTGCTGATAGAAACTTATTATGAACGCATGAGTACTCTCTTCCGAGGGCGCACGGGAATCAACACCGAAGCCAGTTGAGTCAGCCGAAAGCGCTACTTGCTCCGAACTCATCCCGGGTTCGCTTGAGGGCTGCACCGAAGTTGAAATTGCAGTGGCGTATTCAGAATTCTCCTCTGTGTCTGATCCATCACCACGTGACGATGCTTTTTTTGTGCCCTGCGACGGACCTCCCGTATGGCTGGTTGTACCCGCTGCCGCAGCTGCCGCTGGAAGCAGCGTGCGCGGATCCAACTTTGAAAACGGCAATTTATCTAGATTCTCCAACGTCAAATCGTCTTGGTGCGTTCCATCGGGTGCCACTGCTGCTGTCTTATCACTTGGAGTACCAGAAGAGCTGCTCGAAACGCCGGCATTCGTGTGGTTACTTCGTGAGGGAGGAGAAAACGCAGGCCGACTAGTAGTGTTGGTCGCTGCTCCTCCTGCAGTGTAATTACCTCCTGCAGTATTACCTTCTTTCTTTCCGCCTCTTGTTCTTGGGGATCCGCCATCATGGGTAGCTGCCGCCTCAGGCGCACCTGCACCGGAGTCTACAAGAACCCAACTTTCGTTGCTTGCTCGTTTCATCTTCGGAAGCTGAGGGTCGTGCTCGACATACCCTGAAGGCAACTCACTTCCTTGCTGATATGCTTCTTTGCTGGCTTGTTCAGCGGCTTGTCGCTTAAGCTGCTTCTGCAATTTCTTATTCGCGAGCTCTTGGACTCTACCTTCTCAGGAAGTGCTTTCGTACTAGGCATCAGAATCGAATAAGTGCTGGGTAGGTGACTTTTACCCAACACGAAGAGTAGAGCAACTTCGTTGATGTACAAGAATGGTATGATCTGCTACCCGATGTGATTGTCTACAAGTTCTACGAAAAGCTTCTTCCAAAAAGCATGACAAAAGGTAGGAATACGGAATTTTTCGAGGTCGATTCTCTTTTGTTCTCGTTCTCGCAAATAGAAGTCTCTCTTCGCATTTTGTTCACCGTCCGCGCCGCCATTAACCCAGCCCTGTACGCTCACGCGCTCTACCTCGGTCACCTGCTTCGTGTCCAAAAACCTATTGGTGAATCGAAGGAAAGAAAAACTTTCTAGAGTGCAAGCAAGTGCAAATCAATTGAAGTAGTTGTCATGACTGCTATTGATACGCCACTAATATAGAGGCGCAACTATGCTGAGCGAGCCTAGAAGGAATCAGGTAAGTAGATGCTAGAAGTACGTCAGGTTCGGCAGCTGCGCGACTAGTCGGCGCCGATAATTCTTGATTCGCCGAACACTGGGGTTATTCTGGAGAAAAACGCAGTTCAATTTTTCGAACACCTTCTCCGCACTTTCCGATAACTCGCCTTCGCCATCGAAAAAGGATACTAGGGGATCCTCTTCGTCGATGTAATTTGCGCTGATGTCTATCGATTGCAAGTCGCTTCCGGGTTGCGCCGCTAGTGTTCGAAGTCCACTAAGTGACTCGACATTCATCAGCCTGTTCTTCGCAAGATTGATCTGCGACAAAGCAAGACAATGCTCTAAATTCTCGATTTTCGCAATACGGTTTTCCCGCAAATTCAACACCAAAAGACTTGCGGGAATGTTCTCGAGCTTTGTAATACCTGAAGTGGAATTCAAATGTAATACCTGAAGTGGAGCTTCGTAATGCCTGAAGTGGAATATCTAGTTGAAGAAAAAGAGCAAGTGGAAGTCGAATTCTTTGTTTTGCGAATGGTTGCCAATTGCCGCGAGTCCCAAACTCTCTCGCCACCTTTATTTCTTGCACCAGCACGACCTAGAACGAAATGACGAGGTCAAATCACACATCGATCTGCTCCAACATAATACTTCTTCAGCAAAACAAAAAGACAAATACAATTTGACTGCAAGTAGAGGCTCTTAAGTTGCGTCATATGGTCCAGGTGTTCGATTTTCGTGATGCCGTTGCAATCGAGGTAGAGGCAGTGCAAATTGCGATAAGCGCCTAGACTTTCGATCCGTGCAATGCCCTTGTAGTTGAGACACAGCGAGTCGTTTAACAGTGGGTTTTCGTAACCTTGGTTTTTTCGACACGCCTCCAGAGTCATTTCATCCGTGATACGCTGGTCCGGTCGCGCACCCTTCGACAAGCCCGCCAAATCTCCGATCGGGACCGTGATGCCCGCACGGGAAGGGTCGCGCCAGTGCTCTTCACGATACATATTGCTTTCTTATTCTTTTGGGTGACTGAGACAGAAACAATGGATTTACGAAAAACTACGCCTCTACATCCGTCGCGCAGGTACTTGCAGTAACAAATAGTCGCAGTATTTACGGACCTAGACTCGCTTCCACACTTAGCGCACACATTAGTCGAAGGGGCGCTTGCGTCTTCTCAGTGCTCATCCACGTCGCTGTGTCCGAATCGAGGTCTGAGTTTCAAAAAAAGTTCTCTTTTAGTTTTTTGGTTTTCCTTGAAACACTATTCTACTTGTAACAGTTTGCACTTTTTTCTCTCACACGAAACAGACGTTATTGATACCGATTGTTTCCGCCTTTTTTCTTCTTGATGCCGATTGTTTTCGCCTAATTTCTTCTTGAGACCTCGAGGTTTACACCCTACGGATTCCGCAAGCTCTTTTCGCGGCTCTTGCTCTCACCATGAAGGCAGAACCGATTCGCTTAAAGCTGTCTACCCAAGCCCCGAGCATAAGACAGAAAGACGGGCGCTCGCGTGGTTCTTCATCATCATTCCCATCATAATGCCCGCTTTTCACTACAAGCACCCACGCGCTTCCCGCAGTCTCGCTGTGGCGATTTCTTCGTATGTAGCGGAAGTAAACCATAAGTTTGTAGTTTCACGAACCTTTACAAAGAAAAAGATCTACATCTATGTCTCCTTTTCTTGATGGGTTGGTAGTCTTTAAAATATGTGGCGAAAAAATATAGGACTACTTGTTCTACTATGTCGTAAAAACACCTCATTTAATCCTTCAAAATGATGACAACGAACTATGATGCTGAGAAGCAATTATGTTGATCATGCAAGAAAAATGATGCTGCGGAGACAGAGAGAGTCATTACTTCTCATCAATGAGGAGTCTTCATCTAGCAAAAAAAGTGGTTAGATACTTGATAGTGTTAATTAGGTGACGTAGGAGGTACTTACTATCAATATTCTCAACTGACAAGCACAAGGCACATGCAATTTTAGTATTCTCAAATGACAAGGAGCATCGGATCGAAAGGCAATGGTCTCAAATGACAAGCATGGGATCTCAAATGACAAGCATGGGATCTGAATGCTGCGGAACGAGACGCAATTCCCAATGACCCGATAGACCGTCACTCCCGGCAAACATTCCTGTCATGCTCCATATCAACCCAGATCCTTTCACGGGTGCGCCGTTGGAGGAGTGTACTCGAGTGCGCGATCTCGACGCTGCACTCAACGTCGACGGGTCCCGGTACCTGCGAAAGGCGCCCTCATTAGAGCTGAAAACAGCTCACTTCTTGCCTTCGTTTCTTCAGAATCCTAAGAAGGGAACCGAAGGAAATAATCATCCTTGGAAATGAATTGCATCGAGCCTTAACCTCATACTCGACACAGACATCAGCATCGACATAGCGTTCCTCCCACGCTATGCGTTGCGTGCGTGGGCAAAACGCGCCCAAAACCGTTACTTTGCCTCGGCTATCGTCCACCCCAGAACCCGTGAATTCGTGACGCGGCAGAAACAGTTTGCGTGCCACACGACAGCCACGGCTCCGACCTCTGGTTTTGCGCGATGAAGAAGAAGACCCTTTCTTGCTCCACCACGATGATCCTCGCTCTTGCTCTTGTTCTTGCCTTCCGGAAGAAGATTTAGTTTGGTCGTCGTGTCCTCTGTGTTGTTGTTCTCTATTTCTACTCGCAGAAGTACTTGTACTTCTTCTGCTACTAGTTTTCGACAATGAGTTATTGTTATTGTTGGGGTCATAATTATCGTCGTAAGCGGTTTCTGAGGGGTTTCGAGATGATGGCATTTCTCTTGAACTCTTTCTTGAGAAACCCTGCTCCAAGTTACGATGTTGGTGATCACCACATTGCTGCTCTTCGAGAAAGTGAGAGGAAGCACCAGAGGCAGGATCATCTCCTCGTTCCGATATCGCCATTGCAATTGATGCACTCGTCGACAACGGATCGTCGTTTTCATCCGCTTCGTACTCGTCATGATGATTTTCCTCGTGGTCTACTCGTCGTTCATTTCGAACAAGATACTCTTCTTCATCAACATCATCCAAAAGCAACCCATGATCTCCTGCGTTAGAACAAACGTGTGTGTCTTCCAGCACCCACGAGAACGCAGCCTGGGAGACGTGTTTGAGGCAGAGCCTCTTCTTCTGCGGCAGAACCGAACTTCCGACGTCAAAAGCACCTCCACGCTCTCCAGTACCGAAGCCTCGAGTGCCGAACCCTGTCAAACGGGAGACGGGTCGCCGTCGCAAGACGTTACTTTTCTGGGACGACATGCGATCGCCAACGGATGCGCGTCTTATCACGTCCGCACGCCGATCTGAGCAGCTGCGATGACCGGCGGTAGGCGTTCTACTAGCATTATGGCGATGGTGTTTCCCCCGCCGCGCGGAGCTGAAGGCGTCGTTCTCCGATTGGATTCCGGGAGGCAGCGAACCCGACGGTGAAGCCACTTGTGAAAAAGCTGTACACCCAAAGAATTGCTGGCTGCTGGCCTGCCGGCTGATGCTTGCCTGGGACCGCTGCTTAGGAATGCGGAACTGCGGGTCTTCACTGCTAGTGCTCGCTGCGCTAGAAACTCGATTTCTTTTCTTTGATGAAGTGTGACGTGGATGTCTCTTGTCAACTGTCGTTCCTTGAGGATAATCGGACGTGCAGTTCGGAGGAATGATATTGTAGCTACTGTGGCTACGGCTGCCGACACCACGCAAGGACGGAAATTTGTTTCCTGATCCAGAGTAAAATCCTCCTCCAGCGGCGTTTGGATCTCGTGTGGAATGCGAGCGTCTCCTACTGTTGTTTGCACTTGAGGTCAAAATCGGCTCAGACCGGCCAAAACTGTTGTACGCGCCTCCTCCTCGTCCAGAAGACGTTGCACCATCGATCGTACCATAGAAATTTGACCGCGTGAGCCTATTCAAGTCGGCGGAGGCTTTGCGGGTAGGACGCTTCTCACCTGCCACAAAACTGCCCTCCCAAATGCTCATCGCGGGAAGATACATTTCCTGCGCAACGGGAACTTTAGAGGTTGAAAACTCCAGACGACGCTGTCGCAACCGCCGATAACGTCGCAAATACCAAAACTTGTGCGCCGCGCCTAGCGCAATAAGAGAGATTGCAACATAGAACAGAGTTTTCACTACAAAGAGCTCGTCGGCGGTCATTACCAGCGTTGCTTGGCTACCACTCGAATTCAATAGTCCGGGACTGCTTGGTCCAGATGAAGAAAGTTGTATCGTTGGCGAGGACCGCACAGAAGATGCGACCTCGTTGTTCCCGACATTTTCGCTACCAGTTCTTCCTGCGTGAACATCTTCTGGCGATCTGCCAGTAGCACCACAGGCTTCTGATGCACGCGCATCCTGCTGGGAAACCAGCGCGGTCGTCGAGCCGGCAGGTAACAAAACCCTCTTAGTTGGCGAACCCTGTGGAACAACCACAACGGCTGGCAATCTGCTAGGTAGCTGCTGGATCTGATTACTTAATTCCCTTCGCACTCTCGCCAGAGACGCTGAGGCAACCTCAGGCAACCCACCCAGAATGGAGCCGGCGCGACTACCGATAGTACCTGCATTGTCATCTGCTGCTGTGGTCGATGACTCCAATCCTGTACCACGTGTCGCTGATGCAGATTGTGGTTCTTCGGAATTGTACTCACGTGAGTCGTTGCGATCCAACTCGCGCTCGGTTGGACCCGTCCTTTCCTCTGGCCTATCCTGAGCATCGAATTGGTCAGGGATGTTGCTTGCATCCTCCTCCACTGTCACATCCTCGGTTGCCACAGGCAGCGAGGAACTGTCAGCATCTAGGAACCCCCGGCCGAACATGGTCGCCCTCAGATGGCAGCGCGCACCACCAGCAGAGCCACATAAGGGCAACGTCAATACTGGTATGGTGCTCGAATTCTCTAGTGCCTCTGAGCACCTTATGTCCTGAAAGCCAGCGAGAGATCTAGGCGAAGTGCTCTGCTCGCTCGGGGAATAGGCTGCACCAACCTCGGCACTTCTAAGTAAATGACTACTCTAACAAGTTACTACTAATTTTCATTTCGTTATTTATGACCTCTTTAAGACTCTCACCGTACCGATTCCCTCCGTTAACAGACATCTATTTTCCTCCTGTAGAGGCCTATCACTGTTGTTCCTACGTGAACATGAGACTGATATTCATTTAGACATGCCACTTCGGCAAGACAAAAAGATCAGTACCCTTTTGACGAATGCAGCTGCACCACAAAATTAATTATCGACGCTGCGAACACGCTAGTGCATACAAGCACTTCAATGTTTACGCTTTTCTACCTGAGTTGCAAAAGAAAAAACCACGTTCCTATAATTCACAAAAGCGGCAGCGGCGCAGTGACATTTGGTGCGAAAAATCACTAAGAACTTATTAATTAGATTGTACGATCATAGGAAAATTTGTCCCATACCCTCTCTTCAAGGACAGACACTGATAGGTATTTTTCAATATAGTCCGGGCGGTGCTTCTAATTTTTTCTGTGCGCCTACTCTTTGTGTATGTCCTATCACTTTCTCGTACTGTCTTACAGTTTCTTCCGCTGATGTTCTCCAGCAGAAAAAAACCTTACCTTCGAGTTTGCGGCGCAACTCTCTTACAAACTCCTTACTGGACGCAGACGTGGCTTTCGACCGGCTCACACTAGCTGAGAAACTAGCTGACAATGGCGGGACACAGGTTGAGGTGGAAACGGTCGAACCAATATTTCGGTCGTGGTCTTCCTGTGTAATGCGGCGACCTTTTGCAGAAGTTGCTGCTGATGAAGCGGTGGTGGAAGGGGTACTTCTAGTGGTATTCGTATTGTTTCTAGGAGGCGATAGAGTTCTAGTGAGCGAGGCTGTTCTAGTTTCGTTCACCGAGGAGGTACCCGCTCCTGGTCCTCGTCGGCCTGGTCGCGACGAGATGTGCGCAGTTGTGGTTTGCCGATGATGACTAGCAAGAATATCGTGGAGACCCTGACGATCCGCGAACATGTAGTCCCCTAAAACATCGCCGTAAAATTCGCGGAAGACAGGCGATGTAGACGGCATGACTGGCAGAAGGTCGCAACCTAGTGCCTCCAACAGCGTGATTCCGAATGTCTCACTCTCTGAGCACGTCAGAAAAAGGTCGCTGCCACTGTAAAACAATATCGGTAATAACTCATTGGGTACTGCGCCACAGAAAGTGACATTCAACGCAACAACCTGCTTGGCTGTGCTAGTCGAGCGGCTATAGGCGTATCCTCTCCTGCTAGGCGATGAAGATGCAACTGCCGCCGAAGTAGAAGTCGCGGTAGGAAGATTGGTTGAAGATGTTGACCCTCGATTGTCTTTTTGGGCAGCTTTTGCTTGTGCTGGTGATAAGATTTTTCGACTTTGCTTGGTGGTCTCAACATTGTTGGATGGAGGCTGCTCTCCTGAAGATTTCGTACGGCCACTACACGGATTAGTACCCATTTTACGCCAAAAGTTCAGTTCAGCGCGACTTTTTGCAGTACTAACACTTAGGGAGACTCCTGTGGTTCCTTCTCCCCCCGAAGCTGACGTGGTCCCTGTTTCGTCTGTGCTGTCTTGTTCTCGACTTTTATTTGTAGTTGGTGCCTGCTCTACTACGTCTTTATTGATTGCGTCCTCTTCATCTTTGTGAAGACGCTCTTCGTCCGCTACATCCACAAATGGCTGATTCTCCAGGAAGGCTCGCATGCGCTTTGTGCCTTCCGTCAGTTGCGTACGTAGTACTGATTTTAATTCCAATTCGTGACTAGAAGAAGTAGTATTATTAGTTGATGTCCTGGACGAGGAGCAGGCTTCAGCGCGTCGTGCTGCCAACTCTATTGCCTGTCCTTCCAGCTGGATCCGACTCGGCCCGTCACCACAAATTACGAGATGGTACTCTTCCGGAAAATTGGATATGACATCGATTGCCAGTTCCACATGTTTTTCTGGTGCAAGTCGATTCACCATCAACACTATTTTCCGTTCTTGCTTGATGTCTGATCCGAGGGCCCGCCTGAGGCGCACGCGGGCCTCTTCCGTCGAGAGAGGTGGCACGACCCCATTTTTGACAGCACTCGGGGTCGGGAGGTGGTTTGAGGACGATGAAACTACATTAGTCGGTGAAGATGATGCGACATGTACTGTTGGTGTGTCTTCTAAGATTCGGCTTTGAGAATCATCGCGTTTGCTGGGAGACATTACCGAGGATAAAGCACGGCTCATCCTCGATGCAGGCGGAGGTCGTGACGCAGGTGCTGCTCTTCTTGGTGATTGACCATCGGCGGGAACACCAGCACGACCAGGGGAAATAGTCCTGCTCATATTTCTAGTCCTGTCTCCATTTGGTACAACGTCAGCACTGGAAGAGAACGCGCCATTTTTTGCATCTCTTCTTCGAGAAGCATCAGACTTAGACACGACCCCAGCGGTCGAGGATGATGAGCCGCCAGTGGTAAAAATCGACGGCACCGCTGTCGGAATCACCATGTAGTCTCTTTGTGTATACACAGCACGCCGTCCACCACGCACAAACATTCGTTTTTGAATGCAATTTCCAGATAGAGACCGGACCCAGGATTCACACAGGGCACTGATGAACGATCCGCACGTTGCTGTTGGTTCACCAAATGACCCGATCTTCCTGTTCATAATACTTTGAGGACTCGATGGCACTTCTACTTGAGTGTCTTCGCTCTTCTCAGGAGCGGAATCAACCGGCGCAACCACTAAGGACACACCTCGTCCTGTCGAGCTTCCGTTGTTCACAACAGGTACTCCTTGACTGTCCGCGTCATCTGGCAGCTTGTTCTTCTTCTCCTTTACTACGGCTTTTGCTTTATTCCCTCCACCGATTCGCCGAGGAGACGATGTCGTTGACTGTGCGGATGAATTAGTGATCATCGGCCGAGCACGAGCGTCAGACGAGGATTCCTGTTGCAGCATGCAGACCGCTTTGACTCCACCATAGCTCGATGCCCAATATGAGTCTAGGAAAAGACACTCCTTCCGCATGGAAGCTAGACTTGGCGCGACATTTGCATCGGAGCACGCCATTGCTGGGATTCGCGCGCCGAAAGTGTAGACTTAGAGGTACCCTTCACGCCACCCGTGAATGGATCCCGTTAAAATACTCGCCCCAGAAATACTGGCCTCAATACAACAGCCCAAGATTTATCCACGAGGCACCACCAGCGCTCTTTAACAGGATCCACGTGGGGTTGGGTTTTGTGGAGCCTTAATAGAGGTAATCAGCGAAGTTCCGGAGGGACCGACACCTTACGTACGCATCCACGTAGTGAACCATGTCGACGTGGTGACTCGCGTACGTCGGAACGCCGAGAACCCGAGCCCAAGCGAAAATCTGAATTTTCTAGGTATTGGTATTGGACATATACATCGCATTTTGTTCCGATATCACAGTTGAAACATCAGATTGCCACATGCACATCACTGAAGAAAAATTGATTATAACAAGTCACCACGCAACATGAGATGACTCCTCAAAACATTCAAGCAATCAAACCAGAAGACTTTCATCTATCAAATATTATAGGCTTATCAGCTCCTTCATCTATCCTTCGAGAAAACGTAGTACCACCCAAGCGATCGCTGTGGGGAAGAAGACGTGTATGATATCGGGCTTCCAGGATCGCATACTTGACAGTAGATTGCAGCCAGGGGCAAGGCAAATCTGGTTACCCCGATTCCAGTAGTTCGTTACGCAGAGACCCATGCTTCGGTATACGTCTAGGTGGTCACACTCGTAGCCTTGCCGCTCCAACGTTCTACCGCTCTTGCAGGTGAAAGCAGCGACATCATGTCCGAGCCGTCGGAGTTCTAACACAAGATTCCGGACATGCAAAGCGATGCCATGAACCTCAGTAGGCGAATAGTCTGACACGATTAGGACGCGCATTTTGTCTAAATTAGTCAACTGAGGCAAGAAAAGGTCAGTTTTATAACCACAACATTCACTATACACTAGCGGACTCTCGACTTCCGCCCGACAAAGCTCGAAAAACCAAGCGACTTCCCAGAAAAAATAGGGATTTTATGAAACGCTCCTCATTTATCTCTGCACTGTCATCTTGTCTTCTAATGATTATCCCTTGAATAATCATCCTAAACAACTCGACCAAAAAAAACCTTGAGAAAAGAAACAAACTACTCTGAGAGAGGAGGATGGCAGAAAAACAAAACCAAGCGCTCCTTCATCTCAGTTGGACCTCCCCCATTATTACAGAGTTTATCGAAGCAAAGCGGGGTAACTAAAGCAGAAGATGAAAAAACTGCACGAAGCGAACAACATAGAAAGAATCTTCGATACCTACAATCGGGTGAAACATCAAGGATAGTTTCTTGACACTTTATCTGCGACGCAGACAATGCACCGTAAGATTTAGGTGATCGGGATACCTGCAGGCAATGATGTTCTTGTGATTTGTCAGTAGACAATGTCGCCTGTAATTCTGCGCTATCTTTTTTCATCGCAAGGTTGAGGGTGTCTTGACAATGTTACATTTTGAAACTCGTGCGTTCTGCACCGAGAACATACTACATCAACGTTGCTCTCTACAAAGTGAAAATTTCATCCTAACTTTTTTCAACTGTTGTAGTTAGTGGAGTAGATACTGTTCTCACTCGTCACCCCTCAATTTTCATGGTGGTCAACATTCAAAACTATATTAAGTTCTCGTTCTTTACATCAATTAATACAAAAAGTCTATTCAGGATGTCACCTCACCACATCAATCAGATTTTTGTTGAAAAAGGTAAGCTTTCGAAATCTAGTACAGCAGTAACATCTATCGTCTTGAAAATCTTTCTATTTCTAACTTTTCCTGACTGATACCCGAACATCAACGTAACAAAAGTACGATCAGATTCATACGTAAAAAATTCTGAAGATAACATTCTATATTGAACTACGTTTTTTTCTACGAACCGGAAACAAGGACTCAAGAATTGGAGAATCAAGTACTAACAACTTTCTTAGATTGGGATCAGAAGCACATCTACTTAGTACATGTTTGTGATAAAACGAGTCAAGGTAATCTCAGACAAGAACAATTGTAGTTCAGAAAATGCATGCTTTCATGCTTAAGAATTAAAGCGAAAATGTACTACTTGTTGAATGTACTAGTAATTTTGTTAGCAGTCAGTGAACAAAAAAAGGAATCGAATTGGGACAAAAAAAAAGATCTACGATTATGTCCGAAGACTTAAACAATGAATTCCAGTTCTGCGATTTATTTTGATGAGGAAGAAGAAATCGTTGTTTACGCACTTTGAGAAACAAAATTTACGACCGAAACGGATGCGACGGCCACAGGAGAATCTTGGTTATCTTATCTCAGTTCTTGTGGTACATACGTAAGTATTTAGGTAGTGACTCATCATTTTCATCTCCCCCTGAACATTAAAGAAACTCTTTCTTCTCTGTCAATAGTTCTACGTTAGATTTCAACAACCTTCGAAGTCGGAATTTCATATCTACGATGGATCTTATCAAAAATATCAGCAAGTGTGTGAAAATCGGTGTTCGTTGTAGCCGCGTTAGTTGTAGCCCGGTTGTGTGCGGTCAGTCTTCCGCTTCCACGAGCGATTAAATGACTCCTGGTGTGGAGACCAGGTAACCGAGTTTGTCGTCGACGACGCGTGCGCAATTAGATACCTGACGTGCAGATAGGAGTCCTCTTTATCAAAGAACTCGACGAAATAACGAAACTCACTTGTCTACTACTATTTCCGTCCAATAAATTCCGGCAGCGTGTAGCTTAAATTGTGCTTCCAATCAATCATTAAGATGCTTGAGCTTGTTTTCCGCTTTTCACAAGGAGTTGTAAGTACCCCCTCACGGCGCAATTGTTCGAAACATGCCTCCACGGAATTCGCTGGAGGCAATTGTTGTGGCGGCAATTGCTGCGGCTGCAGGTGGCATGCGGTGATTATGTTCTGCCCGGAAGGATAGCTTGCAGTAGTTGACACCGAAGAAGGCAACAAAAGCGCAGGACTGTGCATCTGCTGACTGTTGTATCCGTTGCAGCTGAGTTGCGGTGACTCAGTCGGGTTAGGCGATGAGGTAATGGATAAAAAGCCGTGGTTTTGGTGGCCAACGAAGCCCCCGTGGTCGCCCGGACCACACCCGCCACTCATTACCATACCATTGTTGAAACTTCCGCCGCTGTTCAAACTCCCGCCACTGTTCATGCTACTCGGGTTGTGTTCGTGCGGTACCAACGCTGGCGTCGGGATGAACGTGGCGGCCATCTGAGGGTCGACCATGCATCCTCCTGGTCCACCGACACCGAGGTTATGTTGGTTGTTGTGCTGCTGCTGAGGCGGAGGAAAATTCGGAGCTCCCATACTGTTGTGGTTGTTGTTGTTGTTGTTGTTGTTACTGTTCGCAGTTGGATATTCTTGGACCTTGGTGTTTTGCGGATGATGGTACTGATATTGTTGATTCTGTACTAGTCCCGCTCCAGGGGCTCCTCCTCCATTGTGCTGGTGCTGCTGCGTGTTGTTCTGAAGAGATTCTCCTGTGTTCTGCTGCTGCCCCAAATGCGCCGGCGCCGGAAATCCCGGAGTAAAAAGCTGTTGTTCATAATGCGGGTTCGGATTGTTGCTGCTTAGCATGTGATTAAACTGCGGAACGCCACTAGGCAATACCTCCGGTGAAGTCGGGCCGTAAAGCGCTGTGCACAGTGGACTCGTAAGCTGCTGCGGAATCACACCATGATGTTCGGAATTATTCGATGCATGGTTGCCCTGTTGGTTCGATGAGTTGTTGTTATTGTTGTGGCCTTGTTGTGCAATGTTGCTGCTAGAAGTGTTGTACTGCGGTTGCTGCTGTTGTTGAGTGTAAAGCGGGTACTCTTGCTGATGCTGGTTGGGTCCTGGCTGCGCCGTCACAGCCTCTAGAACCGACACCGGACCCACAATGCCCGAGCCGCCACCGTTATTGTTTCCCATGTTAATACTATTGCCAGCACTGTACGTTATTGGGGGTAACGACTCCCGCAAACCGGCTGCCTCTGCTCCCGCAAAATAGTGCTGCGGCATACCAACAGCGGGAGCATGTTGATTATTATAGTTTTGCACGGCCATCTGTGGTTGGAAGGTGTAGTTGCCTTTTGGCACCTGCTGCTCGATGCTAACAATTGCGCCATCCTTTGATAAAGTAGTTAGGTTGTAACCACCAGCAACATGATCTCCTGCATTGGAGGTTTGGGCCGAGTTGCTGTACGCGACATGCTGTTGCTGTTGCTGTTGCTGTTGCCCCGCAGCAGCGGCTTGCGGGAATTTGCTGCCTTGCCCCTTGCTCATGGAGTGCTGAGGACCATACTTTCCACCTCCCCCACTGTTCTGTGGATACACCACAGCATTGTTTTGTGAATTGTAGCAGGACTCCTTTCCTCCAGAACACGCGTTATAGCCGTCTTTCCCGCTGTGTTGCTGGAAGCTCATGTGATTTTCCTTCCCGCCGCCACAGGATCCTCCAGACAACTGATGGTTGTTGTTGTTGTAGTTGTCTTGTTTTCCGCTTCCCTGATTACTGCTGTTGTACTTGTAGTAATTATTGCTGTAGCCATCTTTCCCAGCACATCCCGGGGGCTGATAATAGCCGTCTTTGCCGCCGTAGCCACCAACATCTTTACCGCATCCCCCACCAGCATGTTTGTACGCATCTTTCCCCCCTTGGTTGTACGCATCCTTCCCGCCAAAAAATTTACCACCGCCCTTGTTAGTCTTACCGTAATACTGCTCCTTTCCACCAAAAGCGCCTTTTCCTCCTCCGTAGAATTTGCCATCTGCAGTATATTTTGAAATGATTTATTATAATATAAGATGTCGAAGCTACGTCTTTCAACGATACAGAGCAGAAACGCAACATTTCACGTTCTTCTAAACGTTGACTCAACCTTGTTGTTACAATGTATGTGGTATCCTTCATACATCGTAACAATGGAGCGGCAGGACTATCATCTGATCAATACGGCAATCATCAATTTTTGAAGACAACTAGTACAACAAAGATAGAACAGCCAGGTCTAGTACTTTTTCCTGCCGGCGGGCCGCCTAATCCCGAAACCGCAGAGGACTTGTCGGAGAAATGTTGGACGATTCCGAATTGGTCCTGTTGCGGCTTGTACTGTCCAATGGTGAGAATGGAGGCAAAGAGTTCGGACTGGTACTTGTGGTCCAAACAGCTATCGATAAGATCTTCCTGCCATTTTCCACTCGGGTGCGGCAGAGTCCCGAATTCCCGAGGATGCCCGAAAACCAGAGTCGTAGTCCAAGAGATCGAACGGACATGAAGTTAGAGGTTACGGAATTAAATTCCTCAGGACATCCCTGGCTTCTTTTCTACTGGGAAAAGCGCTAGGGATGGTAGTGAGGAATGCAATTCGGAAACCCTTAATGAAAGATGTTGCAATGGTCCACATTGCCAAACTTACGCAAGATGCCGTCACGTAGATCGTTCACCCACATGTCCCATCGCGAGAAAACAGAACGCCAAAATGCCTGAGCATCTACAATCTGTTTCTCAGACGAAAACGAAAATTGACCGGTATGCAGCTGTGTTGAGTTAAGTCGAGGTCGAGGTGTTCGAGCAAAACTAAGATTGGATTCGGAACAGTCGGAATATCTGTAAGATAGGATCATGTTGCTGCATTGACCCGATATTGTTCCTCCATGGAACAAACGTTCATGTTGTATAGCATGTCATGTCGTGCTGCTTCTGGTCCTGAAAGGGATGAGGCCATTCAACACCCTCGTACCTTCAAACTTTCTTTGCAGCCATTTCACACAAGTCTAAATGTATACCTTTCTGTCGAAACGGAAGCCCGGGAGCTGCCCTAACGCAGAGGCTATCAGTGGTACGTAGACCCACGACTGGGTCTTGGGGATTTTCGCTCCAAAAATCCGAATGCGCACGTTCTCCTCCTCAAACCCGGGCACGACCACCCAGGGTAAGAGATGCAGGCCTAGATCCGTCATGTCTTCTAGCTTAATCGAAGATGACAGCACACCTGCAACTACTAAAATTTTAGGCGGAAGGAGAAGTGGAGGATTCAGTTTGTGGTCTTCAAGAATGACACTTCGTGGTCGAGGTCGAATCCATAGTTTCACACTTTTTGGGAGAAATAGAACGACAAACTTTTTTCGTAGTAAGCATAATGATGCTACTTTTTTGCACAAGTCTTTTGCGACGATCTCACTTCGACTAAAAGTTCCATATTACGATAATGAGGTTACAGAAAAACGACGAGGTGGCTACTCTCGAGGGGGGGGACAGCGAATAACAGCTTATCGATATGCTCACACCAGGAAGGAGGAGGCGGCGCAAGTAGGAAGCAAGTCTCAAGCTTTAAAATCTGGGAATCTAGTACTGGCCGGGTCTTCTGCAGACGCAGATGCCTGGTGGAAATAATCTTGATTTTGGAACAAGAGAAAGAGATGGCTGCGGCACTGTCCATCTCGACCAACCAGCGTAGGTACTACTGCAACAAAGAACAAGACAACGACCAAAATGTAGAACATCCTCGAGAGTAGCCACCGCGTCGAGGAGCATACGACGAGGTGGCTACTCTCGAGGACGTTCCTCATCTTTTCGTTCCTATTTTAGACGAGCTGCAAGCGATACGACTCGTGCGATATGACTCGAAGAGCGGCCTGGTACTGCATCACCACCAGAATAAGTCATGCTGTTCTATTCACAAAGAATAGGCTACAACTCACTGCAATATCCAAGATCTTAACAACATCGACGGCTCAAATCTGTCAAAAATGTCAAAATGAATTGTCGATTTATGGATAATGGAAGCTTGTCAGGTGTTTTAGTCGTCTTCGCTTTCGCTGCTGCTGGCTACAAGTTTATCGCCCTCTGGTAGCCCTGACGCCAAGATGGCGTCCAACTCATCCTCCTCGTTCTCCAATTCTCCTATGCCGCTTCCGCTGTCATTCACTTGACATATCTCGATTTCGTAGACCACCCGTGTGTTTGGCGGCACTACTATCCCGGCTCCTCGCGCACCGTATGCATAAAAGGCGGATAGGTTGATCTCAGCCTTCTCATGCAAGCACATGCCAACTACCGCCTCGTCCAAGCCGCGGACTACCTACTTAATTTGGTGCGATGTCTTCAAGATCTAACTCCAAATACTCCACGCGTCTATTCATATCTATCCATCAAGTGCAATTAATTTAGCAACGCACCCACGCAATAATCATAAGTAAATGCATGAGTTTGCACTGTACAAGACGGGTTGTTAGCTTTCACCTCTATCCTGCACTATGAAGATCAAAATTATCAATTCAAGTAGCTGTGAAGGTGCAGAATACCTCTCCGTCGCCTACTGTAAACTGATCAATTCAAATACGTCTGAAGGTGAAGAATCCCTCTCCGTCGTCGCCGCCTACTGTAAACTGATCAATTTAAGTACATCTGAAGGTGAAGAATACCTCTCCGCCGGCGCCGCCTACAACTGTAAACTGATCAATCTAAAAGTACGTCCGAAGGTGAAGAATACTTCTCCGTCGCCAACTGTAAACTGATCAATTTAGGTACGTCTGAAGAATACCTCTCCGTCGCCAACTGTAAACTGATCAATTTAGGTACGTCTGAAGAATACCTCTCCGTCGCCAACTGTAAACTCGAAGGATTCCTTCCGTTCCCTCGTGTCATCTACCGTAACCCACGTCTTCTTTCCTTTTATCTTCTCTGGCACCGTGGTATCGACATAGAGAAGTGAAAGCGAGAATAGGGTTGGGGCCTAGGGCTTAGGTTCATGTTCACGTTATTGCTTTCACATGCGGATCAAGGGTCAAGAATCGCTAAATAGAAGAGAAAGTCAAGATCATGTAAGAAGATGGATCATTCATGGGACACTTTATTTGTATCACCATCAAAAAATCACAGAAATGCATAACGAGATTCTACTAAGATAATCTTAATCATCTCAGTTACAGTTACAGAAGTCTACAGAAGTCCCACCAGTTTCATAAACGCATCGTGTAGTGTATCTTGATTGTATCTCCCTTGGCGACGACACAGTCAGGGTCTTTCTCGCGTCCCTGCTTTATCACGGTTTTCACGATGTTATCTAATATTTCCTCCTCCTCAGACGACACGTCGTATTCGTCAACTACGAAGTCCTTGTAGTTCGCCATGCTTGGTGTCGTTATGTTTGGAAGCGCGACTAAGTCTGTGTCTGAGCATCCGCGTCTCCGAAGAACTAGAGTTCTCTTGCCGCTGATCTGAAGATCTGCAGCGTTCTACTAGTACCTAGCAGCGGGTTTTCGCATTCCCAGACAGCCAAGCCCTCTCCGACAAGTGACTACCTAATTATACCACGTGTCTCCGAGGATGTCGAAATCAGCGAAAATGTCGAAAGCGGCGCACGAATAATCGGGCTCTTCTCGAATCCCATGTGCCTGTCCGCCTTCTCTCTTCCAGATGTGCAAAATTCAATTAATTCAATATTTTCCAAAAGAACTCATTAGATTGTAGCGTATCTTTTCAAATACATTAAGCAGTCCTTACTTTTCATACTCTTTTTGATTTTCGTTTACCCCATAAATCAATACTTTTTTTTCTGGTACCATCTTCATCTTCAACTCCTTTTCATTTTGTCTAGGCATTTGTGAGTTTCGTGAGGGACATATTTCATCTCTAGGCCTGAATCCATTTTTCTAATCTGGGACTTGCAAGACGACGTCAATTTTCCTCGCCGAAGAGCTCTCTTTCCGTTCTTTCGTCTTACATATGCAAAGATCATACGGAGTTGATGAAGACGCCAGACACTTAGTCACTCTACTAAGTATTCAAGCCCCTGATAGCTAGCGCTGGTATGTGAAGACTGAAGAGTCTTCTACTCATCTCCTCTACTCCTCTTTCTCTCTTTCATGCTGTCGGCTCGTCTCTAGCACATCTACATCCGAAGCTGTGCTATTATAGGCAGGGTTGCCGGCTGTAGTCGCCGATTGGCGCTACATCTTTGCGTTTTGAATTTCATTGGTTTACATTTTCGTCTTTCATCACATATGCGCGTGGTCAAATGCACTAACAAATGTTCTGCGATTTTTACGTCGTCTCTTCGAGAAAAATCCCCTGGACAATCAATGTTCTGCTCAGAGAAAAGTTGCAAGCTGAGCCTTACTTTAGGCTCTAGAATCCTGCTTGGTGAACAAAAGCTGTCTTCAAACAGCTACCTTTTGCGTTCTTGTCGTGAGCGTACTTGTTGTTCCATTTACGTCATGCCTCGTCATCGAGATACTAGTAGTTGACTATGAAGGGTCTGAAATATGTTGCGTGTGAGTTTCACTATGATCCAAATTTTCAATGTACAAAAATATATTTAGGACGATTAAACAGCGAAAAATCATTATCATCAAGCTTGCGAAAAGCCGCCTACTTTTGGGCTTCCAAGCATATAGCGAAAAAACAGTTCCTCAGTCGAAGGAGAGCTCTGCGGTAAAAATATTATGCTATCCAGTACCGCCTCCGATCTGAACACCAATTATGTAGCTGATTGCTCCGGCAACGCACCTGAAGTTTTGGACCATCTGCGAATGTTTTTTGTCGCAAGTGGTTACGACCATTACAGACAGCGCAAAAGGCATGGAAGCTTGTTGAAAAGGGAGAGGTGCTGGTAAAAAAGCCTGATCGAAAAGCCCATCTACATGTTCATGCAAAACTGAACTACGAACGAATATTCAGAACTAACATGGAAGTGAAAACTAAATGTAAGAAGTACCCTTGGAAAACCATGCTGAAACCACCCATCATGGGATCTGACTCCGCAATTTTATTCTTGGCGAAACCAAGTAGAAAGAGTGTCCCGAGTGATGCCACAATCGCCACGTAAAACCCATACTGGACAACGATATCACCTCCGCCGATCAGAAAAACGAGGATATAGGTCAGAATTGGCACCAGCCCACAAGCAACAAAGGAACAGAACATAGCAGAACCTGAAAAAGTTCAGCTACGTGTTTGCAATTATGTGCTCTAATTCCATGATACTTCGCAGCTGCGCAACGAATATTTTTGGAGTCAAAGAGTTCTTAGTACTATGGCGATATCTCTTCTGTCGACTTCATAACCATTGATAAGGGAGGAAATTATAAGCAAAATTTCGTCAATTACCCATCAAGTGAGGGAAAATCATAAATACTGCTCTTCCAACAGTCGTCACTATCGCTTGGCGGTAATATTCCTATCTCATGCAAAAGCATGTGCTCCACCCAAAATTTAGGATATTTTGAGAGTGTGAACGCCACGCTTTGCGCATCCTCGACGCTGAGGCCCTGCTGCATATATATCTGTATCATCTCCGCTATTTCACCTGAAAAGCACACGCGATATGGCAATAGGCAATAGGCACTCAGATAAAGACACACAACACCATTATCAAACTGCTAGGGTGTGGAGCAGTGGAAAGCACCTGTAGTGGGAGTTGGGCTTTGATACATAGACGACCCAGACGAAAGAGGATGAACCGATGGGCATAGGAGAACCGAACGAGCCAAGCTGACTGTGATAGAAGACACACAGACAAACGGAAGAAAGGCAGAACAAGCTGGGACTGGACACACGGAAGAGGCTCGCAAGGTGAGGCGGAACGCAAGAGAAAACGGACCCAGACGGCCGGCCGGTGGAGCGGCAGCACGCTGGTGGCCATCCCACCGGGTGGCGGCAAGTGTGGCGCGGGGTTCGCGGCCTGCATGGGTGAACACTGAAGCCGGGGCATCCTCTAGCCCAATAGAGCGGTAGCTAATTTGTTCAACAAGTAGCCCGAAGCAATTCAAGTAGTCAACCCATTCCAGCCAATGAAGTGGCTCAAGTTAGCTGCCCCATTGCATCCGGCTACCCATGTGACTGTGAGGCTGTCCGAACGCCTTCAGCACACACCCGCCCAAGCGACGCACGACCGTCGGAGCAGTGCGCCTGTTCTTGATCGTTTAAGCGATCAGGCGCACCCCGTGGAAGTGCAGACGCTTCCGCCTCTCTTGAAATCTCGCCCGGTTGCATTTCTTTCCTTGGCTCTAGAATAGGCGCGCGAAACTCACCAGCCCTTTCGGGGAACGCGCTCCGCTGCGGTTTTTGCCTCATCCCGCGGGCTCTGTATTTCTCTTGCGCCGCGCGACCCCCTCAGAGGCCTGCGCACGTAAGTACGCGGCTGGCCCCTGCCGCAGGGCGCTTCCTGGTTGCTGGGGAAGCGCGCCGAGCTACCAGGCGGGGCGCCAGGGTATCTATCACGCACGGCGGAAAGTGTGGAGCGGTTGGCCGCGGTGGTTTGCGGCAGTCAGCTGCCCTCCGCTACAAATATCGGAAACTAATACGCCACAGCGGGACACCTCGCAAGCCCTCCCCTGCGGGTCCATCGGTATGGCCTTCGGCAGCCTGCTCCGGCAAAAACCCAAAACGACACCGCTGCGTAAATTCCTCGGCTTGCCGCTGGTTTCCCTTGGTGGGGTACTCTACGGAGCAAGGGGCCAGACAGTCCACGACCGAAAGCCGTCCACCTTGCGAACCCTTCCGAACTGTCTGCACGAACCTGAGCGAAGCCGCCAGCGGCCCGCACTGGGGAACGCTCAAGATGGGGCGAGCCCATCAGGCAAATGCGCGGCCCAAATTAAAGCGCGGCCCAAGGTCTCACCGGCAAGGGACTGGCCGGTGCTTGTGCCGAAGTGTCGGCTTCGGGCCCCATCACGATGGAGCCGAGGCCACCAGCGCGAGCCCCAGGGGCCGCCGAGTCCACGGAAGCAAACGGCGCCGAGGTTACCAAGATCCCCGAGGGAAGCCCATGGACAAAACTGCTCTGGCCTTTGGCTGCCCGCGGCCCTTGCTCCCCTGCCCCTCTCTGCCCCTCCTCTTCGTCGGCCTCGCCACCTCCTTGCGCCACGGGTGCCGCGCCGCATTCCTGTGGCGCGGCGCGCTGTTCTTCGGCCATTTTCTATAGATGCCTACTAACAATAAGGAAGCGCGCGCGCATGCATGCATGCAAATCCCCATAAGCAGACACCGCACAAAGCAAAGAGGCCCTAATACCTTCTGGATAGTTTTCCACTTCCCATTTTTCTCTGTTGAGCTCACGCATAGCAATCTGCCGCTCTGCTTTGGAACTGACATATTCGCCGAAGGCCATGCTGAACGCTCCTGCAAAAACTTGTGCCAAGCATAGGGCTGCTAGGTGCGTAATATTTAGCTGGACACCCACTCCGCCTGCCAACAGAGCAAAAGTCGTGGAAATGCCGTCGAGTCCTCCGAACACCGCGGGCCGCACGTACTCCCCCTCGTCCAGCGTCCTCTCTGGATGACTAAAATCGAATTGCCCTGATGCGATTTTGGCTGCAAAGTCGGCATGCACATTTGCCGAAAAACTAGGGTCGTTCGCTTCGAAAGCGCGCCTTGCCTGCTGAAGTCGGTCCTTTGAAAGCAAGCGCTCATTAGAAGCAAAGGAGTGTAAGTAACACTTTAGTCGATGAATTCGGTAAGCCATGAAAGTTACGAATTCAATTTTTTCTACAACAGCATGAACGCTCTGTCTAAGCATTGTGAAGTCATAATCTCTGTGAGCGGACCACTCGGCACGGTGCGTCCCCCTCCTCGCGCGCCTCGACCATCTTCTCGGTTCATTGGACTCCGATTTGAGCGCAAACTACTGGTCTTCTGTAGCGCTGAAGGACTGCGTGGTGGTATTCCACCTGCGTTCATGATGTTGAGGTCTTGGGACGAAACCCTATCTGGCATCTAGGAGTAGTCCACAGAGAGACAGTAAACCGTAAGACACTCTGCGCTTCTTGGGCGTCTCTTTCGGCGTTGCGCTCTCCCTGCTCTACACGATGCGTATGTGCTACTTTGTGATCGCTTAAGAGTTCTCTTGACGTTCGAAAAAAGTGCTTGTTATGCTTGCGATTTCTTGATATTCTCGTTCATTTCGAATGTAGTTGACGTGCAGCTATTCAATCATCCTCATACTTGGTAGAGGGTGTACTCTTGTTGTGCTGTTGTCTTGATGTTCACCTGCTTCTCATAATTGGCGTCTAAAGTCAGGCATGCGCGGCAGAGCCGCAAGCGGGAAAATCATGCTCCGCCAAATTGCAAAATCGCCACCACTTCTTCCTCTTAGGCTGTTCGCTTTCGGCTTTTCACTGCATAAAATTTTTGTTCTTTTTCACAGTTGAGTACTTCGCGTCTGCTGTGGTGCGTGCCGTCTTCTATCATGTCTCTCAGGAAAGAGAAAAAAGCCCCTTGCAAAAACCCGACCCCTCCCGGTTCTAACTACGACTGCAGGAACCCGACTCGGAAGACACAGGAGAGCTCTCACCTACACGTCACGCAGAGTGTCGTATGCACTTGCATCACCGAGGACTAAGCCACTTTGCTTGCAAGGCAGCTCCCTGTAGTTCTGCGCATGTTGAGCCAGCGCAACTCGTTGAACAGGAAAGGACAGAAACCACCGCAAAAGCAAATGTTTGCCATGAGCAGCAAGCACGTGGATTCGGCTCTTCTTCTTACCACCAATTATTCAAATATTTTCCGACATCAAGGGACCTGATTATACACGCTGAGCATAAAAATGATCTGAAGGGCTCTTCTCCTAATCTCAGATGAAAGGCGCGTCAGGTACAACCAAGTCTTTCTCCATCTACAAGGCAACTGACACCTTCACCACTTGCAAAATCTGAATCAAAATGAAAGTTCAAGGTAAGAGCGGAAGACAAATTCATGTTATTTTTTCGATGACGTTCACAACTGTATCGCAGAGTGATACAACAAGAATATGGCCGTCTCCACATCTCTATTGCGAATGTGATGTTGATCTCGTCATGCACGAAAAGTGCGCCTCACCAGGTCGTGTAACACCGACAAGCAGAAGCTTCGCCTCGGGGTTCGAACACTATCCTGTCGCTTGATCGAATTTCCCGTTTCCAGCTGCGTTGGCTACGTATTTCGCATACACGTACTTGCATCTCCTTATACTTTTACAACTAGTTGCATCTGACCACTGTAACATCGAGTTTCGTAAGATACATGCGACACGTGAGTGTCCCATGCATTCTCATGATCTCTTTCATCATATTCTGTAAGAAAGGAATTGTCACTAAGGCGTCCATTGAATCAGCGGAAAGTCTCTGCAGAAAATGCACATCATCCTAGATTTGTATTTACAATCTCACTACACATACTACAAGACCAGGAGGAGATCAATCAATAAATCATAGTACTAGAAGAAGTGCTCCAGACTGTATTTCTAGAAAAACTCGACAACATGATAACATTTTCAGCTTGCATGTAAATGGAACCAGGAAGATCATATGACGATGTCGGCCAAGAGATCGTAGTTATCTTTATCCATATATTGTAGTTTCGTGGGCTAGCCCTAACGTTTCTAGAGGTGAAAACTAACCGGCTTGCTTTACCTAGTGCTTTAAGCCTCGCGGGACCTAAGCCCTAACCTTATAGTAAAGGAAGGAGCCAATCAAGATTTGTCCATATATTCAGGCTCATCAAGTCGATGGCGGGGTTCCATCACGTTCCGGCTTCTTCTTGAGTGAACCGAGCTTGAGGGGGGGCACTGCTCCACCAGATTTGAGACTCACGCGGTTCTTAACACCCGCGGTCCCCAAAATTTCGAGTATGTTTTTGGCTTCACCTCCCGCTGGATCCTTAATGTCGAGTTTCGCCAACGTCTCGGCATCCCCTTGGATTTGCATACCATCTAAGTTGATATTGATAATCTGCGCCTCTGGAGACTCCTCCCTTCGGCTCCTTCTGGAAGATAGTGAAGGATCCTTTTCGCGACTACTTCTTCGTGACTGTGATTTTCTTTGTAGTGAGGAAGGGAGACTACTCGGACGACTTTTCGAAGACGTACTCAGACGACCATTGCCCATGCTCTTCCGCCGATTCTCGAGGAGACTTTGCCTTCTGTTTTCCTCTTTATCTCGTAGACTCTCTCGTAAGTTCTCCAACCTTCTGTCATCGCCGGGTCCGCCAGGTGGACTCTCTAGCTCCCTCGCATCTGCGAGACTCTTATCGCCACCCCCGGGCAATTTCCGCGTCGGATCTCGAGAGTTGGAATCCCCTGAGTGATTACTTTTGATGTCGCCGATCATAGCTTGAAGAGCTTCGCCTTCTGCGAAACGATATGGCGTGTACTGACTTTTTCGCGTTCGTGAGATGCGTTTCGTTGATTTCCCTGTTTCAATCGTGTCCCCCCTCCGCTCTGCGATCGCTTTTATGGTCTCCAAATGCTCGGCCGACTTTTCCTGGCCGTGGTCAGTGCACTTCACGACCGCCGCCATGCCTATAATGAAGACAAACATTACTATAAGCGCGACAAGGCCAACAATCAAGACCGAATTGGGGGCACTAGCGGCAGCTGCCGAGGAGTCAGCCTCAACGCGTGGAAACGTCGTTGTAGTTGTCGTAGTTATGTTTGGTGGTGGAGAGGTTGGGTACTGAATCTGCGTCACTGCAGACGTCACGTTCCAGGATGATTGAAATCCCGAAAGCCAGTCCGCCCTTCCTGCAATCGACGTACTCATGGAACTGTAGGCTGTGAAAGTACTCGCGACCTGAGAATCAATAGCCTCTTTCACCTCCGTTGCTGCCACATTTCTAAGCATAGCTCGAAAAGCAGTCTTACTTATCTGCAGCTCGCGCTGCTGCACATCATTCATCTTTCCTAATACAACTTCTCCTTGGTCGTAGTGTGGAAAACTCTTCCGCGTAAAATCTGCGGTAGGGTCATTTGATGATACCCAGTCGGCGCTTCCCGTCCTGCTCTGCTGGACGTTATTTTCATTGTTATTCACCGCAGTACTCGTTGACTCTTCTAGCTCTCTCCTGGAAACCAAAAGAAGCTTCTCTTGCCTTAAGCGAAATACTGACTGAATAAAAAGTGGCATCGTTCCATTATTTTGCATAGCAAGTCTCTGTACTAACGGGACGTCATTGTCCAGTACAATGAGGTGCTGTGCCGTCCAATCGCGACCGCGGGAGCCAAGACAGGCTCGCTCAGCCAGCGAAGATACGCCACCGAATGCAGGCAAAGGAGTGCCGCCTCCTATTGGGGAAGGAACATCGAGGATGGCTGTGTCATTCTGTAGGGCCGTGTAGAAGGACGAAGCCGCTTGAACCTTTCCGCAGAACACGCGTTCCATGCCCTTCCGAATGGCTGTTCCTAATACTATGGCCGCAGCGCCGTAAGGATCGCCCGCTGCCGTGATTATCGGGACTACCAACCGAAGTGAGAGCGTGCTTGCTGGCCACGCAAGCGAAGCGTCCGATCCCGCGTCAACCAGTCCTTTTTCAATCGAGAAATCGACCACCTCAGGCACAAAGGTAAGGTGCTGCTCGAGCGTCGCCCCTCCGTTAGCTCCCTTGTAGATCTGTTGTGCTCTTGCATAGACCCTATTACGCAGATGCAGTGTCGTGTTTGCGGATGCGGTCAGCGCAGCGTGTGCGCGCTGCAAGTTAGCGTGCACCTCAGCCAGCTGCGTGCTGTCCCAATAGGGAATACGAAGGTCGAACTGGATGCGCGCTGGAAATTGCACCAGCTCCGAGCACGTCGAAACCGGAAATCGAGTGCGCTGTCCGCCAAAGGGACACATGCCCACGTTCTCGTTTAGCTTCGAAATCATGTTGGTCCACGTGCCCGCTGTGAGGCGACGCGCCGCCTCCTCCCTTGATGAGTCACGCTCTACAACTGCATCTGACCATATTCTTTCTGTACTTGTGAATGCGATGTGTTTGGATGCTGCGGTATCATCCGCTGGACCCGCCTCTACCGTCTGTGCGCGGCGCGAGCGAGGCGTACCGGCATCGCCGGGTAGTGTCCACTCATCCAAAGAACGTAGCTGAAAAAATTCCGTACTGCTCTTCGACCATGCTGACGATGCGGCCGCGTAGTCGGGCACCCGCAACGAAGACCCACTTGTGAATTGGGCGCAGGCGGTATAGTAGTCAATATTATCCGACTGAAACGTACCAGGAGCAGTCAAGTCATTTGCAGCATTATTGTATACTCCAGAGAGCCTCCCACCGCGCATGTACGACGCTGCGCCAACGCCAAGACCTCGTCCCTCTTCGCAAATGAAAGCCAGCACTACATCTCGCATGGCCTGGACAAGTACACGAGTCGGACTCGTGACGTCCGTTGGGTCATAGTATTGCGGGCTGGTCACCCCTGGCGGAGGTTTGAGACCAAAAAGTTCCAACCGCATGACCAGTTCGAAGCTCTTTACAACCGCAAACTCTGGTTGCGTGCAGCTCACATCCATGGCGACGCCACGCAACTCGATTCCCGGTGCACTTGCCTGATCCGTAAGCTTCGGTGACTGCCCGTGATTAAAGGGAGAGTAAGCTTGGTTGTACAGCTGGGGCTGCGCGCCCCAACTCGCCGTCAGGGAAGTGTCGTCACTCTTAAAGTACAAACTTAGCTTTTTCAGGCTCGTCGCTGCCGTCGCGTGTGCTTCCAGGGCGGCGCGCGAGGCACTGGTGAGACTTGCGGGTGAAATCTGATCGGGGACTTGAAGCAAGTCGAGTAGTGCAGCTGACGGGTCACTCACGTAGATGCCCCGCACTGCACGGCGACTACCCTTCGCCACAGTGGGTGTGACGTCTACAGCCAGCTCCGATGTGTACACCGTATCAAAGCTGAAATAATCCAGCAAAGAATCATCCGCGCGCAAATGGGAATCCGGAGGTTGCACCGAGTCGCGTTTACTCGGATCGAAGCGCGGCGAACGGCGCAGCTGAAAGACAAACGGGCGACCCTGATCACTCGTAGCGTTGAAAGCAAAGAGAGGGTCCGCCAGAACACTTGTTGGTGGCAGACCGCTTGCACTCGCGTCTTCGTCCTGAGGCGCTTGTGTTATGGCGTAGTCGGGGTTACCCGTGAGGCAGGAGTCCTGATTGTGTCCTAAACTGATGTTCGCGGTCGTGCACTCTGCGCGAGTCGGGAGCCCGCCTGGTGAAGCATCAGCCGTGTTGCGGATCTGTCCTACATTCCACGCCCGTCCACGGACAAGCGCGTTGTAAAGATCCCGAACCGATAAGCTCTCTACGCAATGCGTCGCGTCGCGATAGTACTGCGAATAGAAAGTCTCGCGCTGCGCTTCTGTGAGTGCAGCGAAGTCGCCTGATCTCAGCTGCGGGACTGCGCAGAAGCGCACGCGGGCGTTCATAGGCACGCCTGCTGCAACAAGACCCGTAGTCTTCGTTACCCCGAAGTCGTTTGGCAGACTCTCGTGGGTGCCCTTGAGCGCCGTTAGCGTCGGGTACCTCCTTGTGCCAGACATTTCCGCTTGCAACGCCGCTATACGCGTGGCTGCGGTGGGTCCTGCAAACACGTTGAGCAACGCTTTTTCGATGTCTCCTGCAGTTTTGATCGGCGTTAACGGATCTAAAAGTGGATGCCCCTCCAACTGGGAGTGGAGCAGCCGACGCCAGCCGCCCTGGCGGACGCCGCAGTCGCTGCAATCTGTCCCGATCGGGCACTTCGCCACGCCCTCGCGCAGCAGAACAGAACTCGTGCCTGTCTGCAAGTTAGCGGGGTGCGCTGAACTCGTGAGCTTCGTCCTCGCGGCGTTGCTATCCGTGGGATGCGTCGGCAGCCCGTCTTCACAAACACCGTTGTGCGCTGACGCGCAGGAGTCGGAGCACGCTGGCAAGTCTCCCGCACACTGACTCTCCGGTAGTCCCCTCTCATAGAATGCCGGCTCCGGCTGGCGCAAGCCTGCATCCGTCGGTTTTGAGGCACTTGTCGCGACGGTCGTCCACTCTGTGAACTTATTGTAGATTCCACATTTCCCGTAAGTCAAAATTTGTGCTCCTTTCTCTACCGGTATGTCCGACAGCTTGTTGCAGGGATTGCTAGTAAACTGGTCCGCATCGTAGGGCCTAGAGGCTTTCCCTATCGAGACTACTCCCGAAGGTGCCTCCGCAGCGCAAACACCCGCGTTGTCGTCGCAGTAGGGGTGCGCTGCCTCTGGGCACACCCGGTGCTGGAAACGCGGACCACACCGCTGCGGTGCGTCCGCGGCTGAGGGCCCACTAGTCGCGTTATAGGTCGAAAAGCTACGAAAACACGGACAAACCTCGTGTGCTTGCGCGTATACGTCAAACCCCGCCACTTCTGTGCGGCAATCCGCGTCCCACGACGTGCTTCCCGGGACTGGTGCGTCCGGTTGGTGCAGCCGGATGCTTGTGGGGGAACTGAAGGTAGACCCCATGTAATCTGCTGTGAAGCCCTGACAGCCGCTGCCCGTCTGGTCCAGGCATTTGAGTTTGGTGCTTTCCAGGTCGATGGTCATATACTGTGTCGCATACTTCGCTATGCAATCCCGCTTTTCATAGCGCAGATAAAAATTCTCCGCGACTGGACTACAAACGCCAACCTCGTATCGCTGGCTTCCGAGGTACCGAGATATCGGCCCAATTGTGTTCGCCGTAGCCCCCAGCTGCACAACGGTTGCCCGCGCGCCCACGCGACTCAGCGCGTCTTTGGCCAGATCTAAGGCTGCTCTGCATTGAGTTAGGAGCAGATTCGTATTGTCTGCACTTGGCGGGTTCTGCATCCAGCTTCTTTCTTGCGACAGCTCCTTTGTCTCATGGCGACACGAGAGACCGTCTTCAGTGCAGGTCGCTGCCGAAAGGTGCCACCTCGTCATTAAATCCCCAGCGCCACTGGTATAATCTTCGAACCGGACAGTGCAGTCCCGCTCCAGGGTACATGCGCTGGTATCCACCGCACAGCTCTGATGAGCAATGGCAACATGCATATGCCAGTCCACATTGCGCGTGCATCCTAGATGTTGTCCATTATAGTGCGTAACACATAGGTGGTCAGGCCTTCTACTCGCATCCACCCCTTGAACCGTTGCTCCTGTAGCGGCAGTCAATTTTCGCGCATCTTCGTTAGAGTCATAAGCTGACCCATCATCATCGGCAGTCGACTTCTTTGACATGAATGTGCTCTTCGAAATTCTCCGACGAGCGGAACGTAATTTCTGAGCACCCACTTGTATGTGAGCCAGCGGTATGCTCACAAGGAGCGCTCTCGCGGTCCGCCGCATCTTGTATCATTATACCTCGTTCCAAGTTTAGAAAAAAAATAACCAACAAGCTCAATTACAAATTAAAACACTGTAAAGATGGTGATGGTATACTTCTCGGGCGGAGTGACATGGGTCGAATCAAATAAGACTAAGAAAAACTGTTTACAAATTAGCATCAGGGAAAAAACGCTGCATGTGAATCATAAGATTTAAGGTTGAAAAAAATCAATCTAACAATTACTCTCTAGAACAAAAAATAGCGCAAGACACGCCGGGAGAGAGAAATAAGGGTGCAGGGAATTTGCTTTACAAATTGGCATCAGGGAAAAAACCCTGCATGGGAATCATAAGATTTAAGGTTGAAAAAAATCAATCTAACAATTACTCTCTAAAACAAAAAATAGACCTATTCGTATGGATTCAGATTTTCAACGTGAAAGAAGAGAGATCAACGAATGAGAATGATAAATCCAAATCTCACGAGCTTCCTACTGTATAGAAAGATCTGCTGATTCACACACACACCGACTCCCGCATCTTCACAGAAGTAAAATAATATGACGTCACCTTCTTCACTCAAACGAACTTGGTATCACTCACAAGATACAGACGCACTCACGCTGACTCGGCACTAACGCTCACTCGCAGACACAGAAAGATGACCCTCTGTCGCTCTCTCACAGACTGTTTTCTAGTAAGTTCTACGCGACGTGCTGAAGAGACGGCTCTCTCCTCTGAAGATATCTCGTGTAATATCTCCATTGCATCCAACATGTGGACTTCAGTAGATCACGTTTTTCCAATACACGTATTCTGAATAATTATGAGTGATCAACTATATGGAAAAGCAGACCTCCCTTGGTTTTTTTCAACTTGTACAAGAGATGGGTGCGTGTGCAGAGCAGGAACCGCGTGGTTCTTTTGTCGTGTTAGTGCAGCGGGGACCTGTAGACAGACTCTAGGAGTTTAAAACTTTTGATGATAGCTGCGTGGTTTGCTGTTCCAATACGAGGCTCAGAGTGAATAATTCAAAAGGCGTAAATGTACATTGCAATGAGATACCCACCTCAAGGAGTTTAATCCTTTAATTCTGTTCTTTTGACTAAAGTAGTTAGGACTACTTATGCGCACCTATCAGCGTACTCAGATGAATTAGCAAGATGTTAATCAAAAAATACAAGGCTTGCTTTGGCTTTTTTCAGACTTGGTGACAATTTGATTACTATCGACATCCCATGGATGCAGAAAAGTTGTGAGACGTAGTATTAGGAGTGATCATGATCATCGTGTCATTGTTGATGAATAAAGTAGAAATGTGAAGGAACTAGATTGCGATTATAGTCAAGGGCGAGATATCATAGACACGCGTTCTGGGCGGAGTTATTATTTTTTCGATACTTCTAGTGTAGTTATAAGGGTTTGCCTGACTTAAATCCTCTTCCGTTCCGTCGAGGGCCAAGGCCCACCTCAAAAAAATCAGGTGGACTATGACAACATCATTACCAGTAGACATGTTGTAAAGCAGATGATCAGGCGTACATCTTGTCAATTTCATTTTTGTAAAAAGCGACGATTTGTGGTCGCTTCAATTTCAGCTGTGCCGTTAACAGTTCGTTGATCTCCGGAGCCCAGACATCTTTGCATAGGTGGATTTTCTGAGGAAACTCGAAAGCAACCATTTTCGCCTCCTTGCAGTGAGCGTTTACCTTTGTCTTCACCGCTTCAGCAACCTTGAGTTTCATCAAGTTTGACATTTAGTTATCAGGATCGACTTGTTCTACAACTATAATGACAATGTACAGTCATCAGGCTGTAAGAAGTCAAAAATTTTGTGTATATTAATTCGTTCACAAATAGTATTCTGGGTATATACACCGTCGTACTAAAGTTCTTGTGCAAAAAAAGTCATTCAGTGACGAGTCAAATAGTGGCTCCGCTAGCTTGAATGATCTCCATCTCCATATTGCTCTGTACAGAACCGATTACCTTCGCGTCAGTGCACAGAGCTTCGAGTCCGGATGCGCTGCTGCCACATTCAGCCGCAATCGCTGCGAGCGCTTTTTCGTTTGGCACCACGAATAGGACCGGGAAGGCTCCACCCGTTTTTCCGTACATCATTGCGTTATCCACGAAGGGTAGTAGCTTCATAATATTCTCAATCTTCGACAAAGCCACGTACTCACCCTGCGGACCTTTCCACAAATCTTTCTTGCGATCGGGATTAGAAAGAATGGGTGTGCGTGCACGAAAAACAATGATCATCTACAACATGGTCGACATTTCAAGTAGTACTTCTTCGTCGCTCAGACGACCGAGTGTATCTAAAACACCCCAGCACGTGTGCCTCTTCTTTCTCTATACAGATGGAGGATGGGCTCATGATGTAACGAGATAACAACAGTCTAGCAACTGCCACTGCTACAATCTTATTCACCTTCATTACAGTGACTCCATAACAATGATTTGCAGGACGCCGTTCCTGTTGATCTGCCCGATATCTCCTGTGCGAAACCACCTTGCACCATTCATTTCCACGTATTCTTCTTTGTTTTTCTTGACCAGCTCCGGGTCTGGATTGGACGGGTCTTGGTAGTATCCCAATGTAACCAGAGGTCCCCCAATCAAAACTTCGCCACGCGGCATGCGGACATTAGAGAAGAAGATAAGAATGATGTATGCGAACAGAGAGTGTCTACCACCAACACTTCCTTGTTCTACACGACAGCAACACGACATCATGTGAGACTGACAGAGTCTTCTCCTACGATGATTGTAGTATGAGTCTAAACTTCTAGATCTGTTTTCGATCGGTCTGCGGCCACGAGTCAAGAAGGGATGAATCCAAAAATTACTCAGAGCAGGACAACTTATTTGAACAAGTAAGTAATCGTCTTTGTCTTTCATAACAACGGCCTTGTTGAAAACGTCCGCGTTGAGGTAGTTTCCATCTGGCCAGTCCGCGAGTCGCAGCATGCAGCTTTCCGTTGGTGGTCCGCACACGCCGAAGTCCATATCGGGCCATTCGCCTACCACTGCGATTGCCATCGTCTCCGTGAGCCCGTAACCGATCCTAATCGGGCAGCTGAAGATGGTTTGGAGCGCTTTGTGGAGTTCCGCAGAAAGAGGCGCAGAACCGGAACCGATGGCTTTGAGACGACCACCTAGTAGCGCCTGCGGCTTCGCAAAAACGATGGAATTTGCGATTTTCGACGCGCCGATACCCTCTCCAGTTGCAATACTGCGGTCACCCTGCTCCAAAGCGTAGTTAAAGAGCCAACTCGAAATCCTGTTCATTGTGTTGAGTCCGTGTTCGTGACGTGTAAACATTGCAGTACTAAACAACATTGAAGGAACAGCACATTAGTGGAGGAGGTAGTGTCGTGTGCAACGATTGTTGCATACCCTGTTTGATGGGATAAACCTAGGATATGAGGGAAAAAGTAACCGTATACCATTTTGCATTCGCGCCTTCCATGATCTTCGCGTAAACCTTTTCCAAGACCGCAGGCGGCAGAACCATGAACGTCGGTTGCGCTAATTCTGCGTCACCCTTCGACTCTGGCACTTTCAGCCAAATTAGAAGCAAGCAGTACCATAAGTTACATTTAGTATACAAGAACGCATAATTTCGTGTTAGTTTTCCTGTTCATTTGAAGTACGTGCCGTTCATGCAACATTAAATGTCGCTTGGTTAAGCCGAAGGGTGCTGATGATCTTGATCAAACACAGAAGTATTGGATTTAATATGGACTAGTGTGTTTCCGAAAGGGCGACAAGTAGAAAAGGAGCCTTAACTTGACGCCAGCTGGTGTGAGGGTATGTGGACTTCCGTATGCTAAAGCGACGCCCTTATTGATGCAAACCACCTCCACTGCCAGTTCCATGATGTGTGCCATCGGAAGACATGCCATAAATACCTGTTATTGTAGTTCTTGTGAATTAATGGATGTGCAAGAATCAATTGATGGTTGTGAGTAGATCGATGGTGGAGGTTGTTGGTTATTCATAGATAGGACAGCGGAAGATAAGATAGGAGTTGGGCCAGCGTTCTTCGTGTGAATTCTTGATGAATTGGTGCAGAAACTGTTCGCATTCTCTATAGGAAGAGCATTGAGTTTATCCACCCGCCTTGCCAGACTATGCCGAGTAAGCAGGGGTCTTTTTATCATCAAGCAACGTCGTAGGACTTGCACTTGCTCGAATTACTGTAGTTGTGATGACGGTTACGTAGCGATAGCTAATACCGGTCATGGTAATGACAACTTGTTTGAAGCGAAAACATAAGAATGTTGTGTGTTTAGAAAATAATTGGGGCGTCGCTGCAACTGATCGCGTGGAGCCTTCTACTCTCCACACTACTCAACTATTCTGGTCGCACGGGCACACAGATGACTAATCGATTATTATGGTCGCACGCAGTCGGCACACGTGAAGTGGTGTAGTTGTAGTCGTTTTGCCCTCACTCGTTATCACTGTGTCAGAGTAACTTTTGTTTTTGTCCTTGTTTTTCTACACTCTAGAAATTCTCCATGTATAGTTGTAAAATTACTTTCAACTTCTACTATGGCATCTTGTCGTGAGACCCTGTCAAAACTGAAAATGTATTCTTCAATGCTTCTGATTGCTGCGTTGTTCACAGTCATTTTCAGAAGTACTAGCAGGTGGATGAAATATCTAAATTTTACATTATCTGGGAGGCTGCCGGGAGCTGCGGGGCCCCCGTCTTCCGCCCTGCAAGAAAGGCACCGATTCGGTACTGTCTTCGCGCCCTTTTCATAGTTCAATTTCGCCGCCGTTGATTGACTACGTCAACCAAAAAAGAGAAAAATGCTCCAAGAAGACTACTTTGCGAGAATTCTACAATGAGATTACTATTTGAAAAGAAGCACACGCGACGCGCGCTGACCGCTGCTGCTTCAATTTTGTTTCCTCAGAAAAACAGACTTTCATGAAAGTAGTTTCTTGTTCTACTAGTGACTAGTAAGACTACTAGAAAATATGAGCTTCTTGTACTTCATCGAGGGTCTTTGCCTCTAAGCATTCAAATACTTACTCACACATAAAAAGATGTAGTTAATCTACTTGATCGGGTAATCCTCCGGTAACCCCAGGCGGGCATTCGTCCAGCTTCAGAATCGACAGACACCGCGTTGCGGAAACGATGCATGCAACAAAATTTCCATGTGACATCATCACGCCCTTCGGTGGACCCGTTGTACCTAGTAAAAAAATGTTATTCATCATATTTTTGAAGCGGTAACAGTGTATGATAAGGAACGGATGATTATAGCTATAGGGAGGACTCGTCAACCACTAAGAAACAGTAGTATTATTTTTTGAAGAGAAGCTGTAGGTGTAGCAGTGTATGATAGTCCTAAAACAGATTCACGACGTCATGCTAGGTGGAAGGCGATCGTGTGTTATAAAACAAGGTTCTACCTGACGTGTACATGATGACCGCAAGATCATCTGGCGTGGGCGTCATGTAATCTTCGGTATCACCCCTTAACGCTGCCCCGTTCGAGATGCAATCGGAGACGCTGGTTACTTTGACCGTTGGCGGCAATTTCGCCAAAATTGAGGCGTCAATTGCTTGACCCATCCCGCCCGCGCCGCCCATTGTAATCACGTACTTCAGGTTTGGCAAATCCTTCGCAATCGGCAGTATGAAGAAGAGAGAAATTTTATCACTGGGACAATAACTCGAAGTTGAATTCCAAAACAAAGATAGAGGACTTTGATTGATTGATTGATTGATTGACGCATTGATGAATCTATTTTTTATGAAGTGAAGCGGCTACAAAAATAAAAGATGAACCGTTATGAAGATCATAGGCTGAGATATAAAAAAAATTGCGCAAGATAGACCTGCACTAGACTCCAAGACTCTCAATATTGATTTTTATCTTCAAGGTAGGACTATGATGATGATGCGCATCTACTCGGCAGTCTGCCTGAGATTTCCCTGACGATTTCTAAAGTTCTCAAGGTAGGATTATAAGAATGCTGATTTTTTTGCATAACAACAAGCACTTTGACAAGCTTGGAATCGCAAATGACGACTTCTGCTTTTGTCTGGTTCATGGCGAATTTCGCTCCATCTTCCCCCAGCGTCGCGTAAATAGTGACGATCGGCAGACCCCGGGAGAGCGCAGCAAGCGCACAGGCGAGCCAATCGACCTGCGTCTCGGCGTAAACCACAACCTTGCTCCGATCAAAAGATTTCTTAGCCTTATTCCGCTCCCCGATCTTCTCAGCGAAAGCGTCAAAGCCTGCAGCAAAATCGAACACTTTTGCTGCTTATTAAAAATGGTATTTGACATCTATGCCTAGTAGAAGAGGTCCTCCTACTAAAACATCAATATGGAGTCATTTGTTTTATTAAAATAGAAAAGAACATCATATGTTCGCACTTTCAACATGATGTTGCTCTTGTGCACATTCAGTGTACGATTGTTTCACTGAAGATAATGATTGAGACGTTGTTCATTCTTGTATACGACTTCATGATATTCTTCTTGTTCCCCGCCTTAATTGTATTGTTTGCAGGTGAGCCACGTGTACTTATTTTCGAATTCCAGCTTTTCGAATTCCTTGCCACCAGGCGTCTCTGCAACCATATGCGTTTTGATGAGCTTTCGGAATCCAGCGCAAACGCGATCGCCGCCACGTTTACATGACTCAAGGAAAACCTCCACCACTGTTCATTATATGTGGTTCCATCCTCCAAAGACTCGTAATTATATCTTGTAATGCCAAAAATGCCATCCTTCTACCCCATAGGGATGAGGGATAATGATCGCCTTTTTCAGTCGAAGCAACATTCTATAAGCCTCGAAAAAAAGATGAACAACATCATTGTGTAAGTACCAGATTGCTCTCCTGTGGGGAGTGTCTTCTTGAGTGCGAATTTTCCATCCGCCGTTCGACACTGAGCGTTGTACAAGATGGGACCGTAACCATCGGGCTTGTTGTTCGTACGCTCGTCGAAGAGGCCCCAAGGCGGTTGGGACTGAGGGAGCTCCTCAACTGGTAAGGAGACTGAGCCTCCCATTTTTTTCCAGTAGACAACGACAAGACTTTTTGTTTCTAATATTGGCGATAGAAGACTAGATTACTTACTTCTGACCACAAGTGGTACTTCTTGTATACGACTATGATTGTGCTGTGATCGTGAGTAGTCGTAACAGTTGCAATTGAACACATACGATCAGATCATGATCATGTACCCAGAGCCGGTAGAAACACAGCTAGCTAAAAATCTAAGCCTAACACTACAACAATGCTGTAGCAGTATGCGTATTCACTATTGGGTGAGTCTAACAGGGCGAAGGTAGAGGAGCTCTAGAAATTGCGAATATCACTTCCAGGTTTCTAGAAAGTATTGCAGTCTGGATATTTGGTCCTATATTTTTTTGACACAGCATAGCTCGACTTGCTTCAATCGTCATGCAAAACTCAAAAGCCAAACTTACAAGCCATCTACTCACAATTTTACTTCCACATTCTTACTTTCTTTCCACCATGAATTCTCGTCTTTCCTACAACCACAAATGACCTCGTCTATCTTAACTCTGCCATGGCCAGGACGCGCAGCGACAAGATTTTGTCACGACGCTGCACGAGACACAACACGCATACGCGCACGCTTCCTGCTCGTCCTTGTCGCTCGTCTTGGTCGTGAACACATATTACCATATAAACGCGCGAGAGGTGCGGATACACTCGTTTAGGTTGGTTATTCAGTAATGGAGGAAACGCCTCGTGTCATCTCAGTAGCGTAAGCTGTGTGCAAATTTAGTGTTGTATTTAGAAGTTGGCGCCAAGAAGGAAAACGACTCCATACAGCGTCCACCGCATGCGCACGTGGTTTCTGCGGGAAGATCATACCCTATAATATATCAGTGCCCTAAACCCTAGTATAGTAGTGCAACACTGCTCGTCCTGTTGTCATGCCTACTCAACACTGCATAAGCTCCTGCCTTCAGGATCTTGATCCTTCACAACTCGTTCTGCTGCTACAACAAGCTGCCTTCCCTTATACTTTCACTTCTGTTGCTCAGGAGGAACTGGGAGTTTTTTGAACCAGTACATGAAATATTTGCCTGGAGGCTGTTTGGGCATTGGGATGGGGATCTTTTCCATCAGTTTCCATTTTGGTGCCCGTGTTGCGACAAAACGTCCCCCAAAAGTCGACCGCATCGCGCTTACAACGTTGCGCGCACTTCCCGCCGGCGGTTGCTCGGTCGTTGTGCTAGTACTCGTAGAAGACGTCTCTTTACTCAAACTCGACGTAGAAGAGGCAATTGGTATAGAGGGTGTTTCTTTGCTCACGCTCGTCAACAACGCCCTCCCGGCAGAGCTCCTGTTGCGATGCGCAATAGCCTTGGCTCTGTTGCGAAAGGCGACGCTTGTATGGCTCATATTCGCTTTTTGATCCCTCGATGCTACAGAAGTCGCGCCCCCTTGTTGAGCAACATCAAGTGACGGAAAATCACCCCTCGCTGGCGCTTCTCCAAGGATATTCGAGAACTGATTTCCAGCTCTTGTTTCCGCTAAGGCTTCGAGTTGAGTCATGGTCAGCGTGCTGCCAGTGAGCGCTATAAAGTAACCCTCCGTGTCTATCAAAGCTTTGTGAACCTCATCCATGCAGGTTTTGAAACGCGATTGGCCACCCGAACCACAGAGTAGAGAATCTAGAACTCCCTTGTCCACAATTGCATGAACGCTTTTGGCCTTCGCTTTCTCGATTTTTTGACCTTGCTCGGGAGTCTCCGGGCCTGCTACTTCCGTCACCGCCTTGTTCATCCTTGTTGCGGTCTCCCTCGTTGGTGCAGTCTCAATTCTTGTTGCAGCACCTGCTATCGTGTCATCCTTATTCGATGGTGCTGTAGCAGGATCACTGGTTTTTCCAGCGACTTCTTCCACGGGCTCATGACTTATTTTCGCCTGTCCCGCCTGTGCCCCTACCGTCGTAGCGCGTTGATGCAGTGGCACTGCGTTCATAAATATGTCTCTATTTACACTAGTGGCAGTACCTCCACCTGGTGGTCCAGTAGTTGTGACCATGTCCATCACGTCTAGGAGCGCGAATCTTTGCTCTGGAAACGCCTCTCGCATCACTCGCACCGCTACGGGACTTATGTCGCAATTCACGGTGAGGCGGTAGCCATCGTGCCATAAGCCCGTTCCGAAATGAGAAAAGCCGCATCCAACATGCAAAATCCGGCGAGTGTCTCTGGCGTAGGGAGAAAGGCCCAGAATTTTCTCTTGCGTCTCCAGAAATCTACGGACGTCACTAGCAACATGCGAATATCGCACATTGTAGAACTCTTCACGGGGAATAGGAACCACCACCTTGTTGTCGGGAGAGGAGACATTGGAAGCAGAAGCACCAGGAGGAGCTTTCCCATTTTTATTGGTGCCAGGAGTTGTCGTGCCGCCAACATTGCCAGCACCAACTCCGCTTGTGACAGATAAACTTGCAGATGCTACCGTACTCCCTTCAACCGCATTGTTGGCACCATTTGGATTCTGGTCACTTTTTTTTGGTGAAGAAGTTTTGGCCAAGACACCGAAAAGCTTCTTCGGCGACGAGTCTTGCTTTTTCGGGCTTCGTATCATCCATCGAAACCGTTCATCCCAGTATTCTGTGGTAGCATACTTACTCGCCACATTTTCTGCATATGGATTCCCCTTGTTCGAAGGGGACGGACTTATCTTGGCATCGGCTGACGACAAGGCGCCAGTTGTAAGAGTTGTACTTTTCGATGAGGTATTATTTTTCACAAGGGTAAAAGCCGTTGGAGACTCTCCGCTTCTCCCACGACCGCTATAGATCTCTTTCGTACTTGGTGGTCCACTCACGCTTGTCGGCCCTTTGTTACTCCCAGTGGTTATGCTTAGGGGCGACTTATATTCTGCTGACCGGACAACGGCATCCTGCAGAGCCGCGCGGACGCGAGACACCCCTGCTTTGCCGTTCTTGCTCCCTCTCCTGTCCACGTTTATCATAACTTCTTGATTTTATTCCAAGGAAAGCATTTCTAATTTTACTCTTCAGTCAGATAGTAGTATTCACGCCAATGTAGGTGAACCAAGAAACCTTCAGAGAGAATTGAACTAAAAAATGAAAAAAGAACATGATTAAAAAAAGAGTTCAGCGATCTTGCCACGTGGGTGCAAAGTAAAACTTGGAGTTTCGACGCCCTGTTGAAAATAACACGAAAGGTGGAATTGATTTTTCGTGAATGAACAATACAAGAAAGCGCAAAGTAACGATACGCCAGGCTCAGAAGAGTGTGAAAGGTACCGAGAAAAGATGCACCCCGATCTTAGAAATACAGAGCCATTCATGTACACTGCTCCTCTCTCTTGCTCATGGTAACCGACTCTCTTCTCGCGTTCCTTTCTCCTTCGAACAGACATTTTTACTCGTATACGTATTGAGGTTCTGGTATAAATTCGTCTCCCGAGAACATCATAGGAACATTTTCATTTCTCTTCTTTTCACAGATACATTTAAGACAGACGCAAAATCTCGACACTCCGAATGCAATTTTCGCGAACACGAAATCGTTCGCAGATCCATGATCAAATAGTTTCGTTGATCGATTATTCGGATTTCTGAAAAAAGCAAGTTTACCAATGACACTTCCTTCCTGCTAGGAAAAGTTGCATTATGCCAACGATGCTGTTGAAAAAAAATTTTCTGTAAGACCTACGGGATACTACGCAAGACAGCGGCGGCAATGTCACAGCAAGAATTTTCACACTGCTAGGGTCGTCTAAGTAAACAACTTGCGCCATACGAATAAGGTCTGTTCACGCTTGATAAGAACACAAGAAAACTGTTACACGAGTTTTCTTTACAATTTTGTTCATCATGCACGGAAATCATTGCCTCTTTTATTAGGCAACAGCGTTTTGTCCTATTCAGTACTAGGACTTTTTTCGTCTTCGGTACTAGGGCCTCTGATTTTTTCATCAACGACTGGAATTTTTTCTACTAAGCAAATCAGCTTACTATTGACTTTCGGAACAACAATAATGCATGGGGCACCACTAAGATTTTCAAGTTTTCTCCCGAAGAATTTTTAGGCATTCGTCTAGCTCGAGTTTCCATCGAAGCTCAGCACTTGGTTCGACTAGCGGCGTCCAATAGTGAAAGGCTGGCTTGGCATTCTCGCGTTCATAATACGAAGTGGAGGGGCGAGGACAATTTTCGTCATGCTGCTCCTGTTTGTTGTTTTCAGTACGACTTAATGTGCTAGAAGAAGCTCCAGCAGCACCCGCTGCGTTATGGCTTCGCGGGGAACAAGCAGAACTTTTCTTATTCGACAAGCGAGAACTACTTGATGTTGCTGTGCCTCCTATCTTCTTCACAGTAGAGGCTCGCGCATATCCTCCGCCAGCTTGTTCTTCGCGCCAGGTCGGCTTGATGCGCCCATGACTTCCGAATAGACGTGAGCCCGCAGCACTACTTAGTCCGACACGCTTTACAATTTCCTTCGACAAATCCCTGTGCAAGAATTTGTCCGCCGGTAATGACGCAGTTTTCGCAAAGGGACCATCAGTACTTTTCACCTGAGACATGGTCCTGACAGTGCCATATTGACCTTGAAAGTTTGTGCCAGATAAAGCTCCAGGATGATCAAGAACATTTTTACTTGCAAAGGCACTGTGGTGTAGTTGATCGTGTTCAACTCCGTGGTTCATCGACGCATTCTCAGGAGCCGAGAGAAGCGTCGCGCCACTGCTGCTTACGGACATGCTAGGCGGAACTGATCCTCTGGTCGTCCATGAGGAAGATCCCTCCGTGTTCACGGCAAAGTCTTCACAAAACTCACCACCAATGTTGACTCTTGAAGAATAGCAAAGCTTAGAACTACTTCCCGGGAAGTCCATCTTGAAAGTCATCCTGGACCTGTTCCCCCAGACAGAGTTCTTTATGAAAATGAACGTAATCACCAATTAAGGCTGTCCCGTCTTTTACCAGACTGAGGCTCAAGATGCTTCGGCTGATGGATTCCCAGAAGTCTTAAAAGATGTAGTCGTGAGGAGACCGCCTGTTCCTGCTGTACGAGCACCGCTATTGGCCGCAACAAGATTCTTGTTGTCATTTGCATTATCATTTTTCCTCTTAGAAGTAGCCGAAGAAGAGAAATTGCAATCCGCCGCATGTCCTCGGAATAGGTCGCCTGGCGGCGCGCCGGTTGTAAAAGACGAGAAAGGCGCAGTGAGCAACGTTGGAGGCATGTGGTGGGACGCAGGTGACGGGTTCACAAAGCCAGTGTCGTGTATCGTCGTGGCTGTGTGTGAGGATGTTATCGGTGAAGTTGTGGTTGACCGTTCGCGGGCTGCCGCCGCTACGACGCGCCTTCGGTCGTACAGCTGTGCCAACTGAGTATTGGGTAACGATTTGCGCGGCGCAGGTGGCGACGGTGCCAGCAGCGATGACGTGTTGCGTTCCTCTTCATCCTGCGGGAAATGTAAACTTGCTAGAGCACTCTTTGTGAACGGACCGTCCTCGCCACTGCTACTGAATTTTTTCGGAGACGCTCGCTCGTCCACTACTACGGCTTCCAGAGCAGGACGTATTTCGCGACGAGGGGAGCAGGCCACTCTAGTACTACGAGTTTGAAAAGTACTAGTATTTGGAGAAGTCTTAATATCTTTGTCCCCCGCTTCTTTCTGTTCGAAGTTTAGAACTACGTTGCCAGCGACGATGGTTCTCGAGTGGGTATTTTTCTCATCTAGTGGACATCTATTTTCACCTACTTCCCCCGCCTGCTTTTCTTCAAAATCAAAGATAACGTTCCCAAACTCATCCCTGCGGAATGTCGCGACTTGTCCTGCTACTACACTTTCCGCGGGACGCACAATTTGTTGTGCTGCACTCCGAGGCTTCCTTGTTCTTTGGTGGTCTCTTTAGAAGAATCTCGACAGGCCACTTTCATTTTCTAAGACAGAGCCCTTAGCCCGTCATTGTCTGGGAACCGTAAAGCTAGACAAGGCTTCCTCAATGCGGCACCAAACTCCGCATGGAAATGAATTATCGACAACTAACTCCACATGAAAATGAATTAGGGACAAGACCCTTAATGTGCCACTTCTTCATCTGATTCACTTACGGGATTTGAGAGCGTCAGGAGGTGGTCAGCAGTACGCGTCGCAATCTTGTGTTGCGTTGCCGCCAATTCTCCGGTTTTCAAGCCTGTTGCTTTGGCGGATCCGTGACGAACTAATTTCGCTGCAAAACCGGAAAGTGGAAACCGCGCACCGCGGTAGGGATCGTCTTCTACAAACCATCTTGTTCGTGGAGGACGTATCTTCGCAGTGCCCAGTTGCAAGTGCCGGGGGCCGGTGCCTGGCCGGCTCAATGGAAGCGCACGAGCCCTGCGCGGAATATCTGAAGAGGACGGCACGAAAAGTTTATCTATATTCTATCAGCGAAGGCACTAGCTACACTAATGACTCTCCTAAAAAATCAACCAAATTGTATTTTTGCCATCACACCATATATAATTGTCGGCAAAGCAAACAGCCTAAAGTACCCTCGCGCCGAGGCTTTATCGAATCGTCCACCCAAAGAACCGCGCCAACGCGAGACATAGCCGACAGCCCTGTTGTCTGGCCCTCCCCGCGTTCTGGGGAAGGCGCACTCAATGAAGTGAAATCTTCTACCCCGCGTTCTAGAATTCCTAGACCTTTTTGAGACAGAGACCCCGGATGCTTGAAAACATTTAGGCTGAAGGTCGGCCAGAAAAAAATCCTAAGCCGCAGCGGAAAACCTCAGAAAGACGTCTCCAAGACGGAAAAACTTTTTTTGTGGATCATCTTCGTCTTCGCGTTTGCACACTTCGGTAACTCAACAAAAAAAAGATTTCTCCTCCCATGAGATACAAGACGGGGGACACGGTAGCACCCAGACAAGCTGCGTCGTCACGAACCGCGTGCACTCTGCTGGAAAGTTCCAGTAGACACCCGATGTCTAAACGGGTGAACGCATATTGTTCAACCGTTTTGGACAAACAACAGTCCGCAGGCGTTTTTGAGCTTGAGGCCAAAGTAAGCCGCCCCGTCGTGCGAACGGAGTTTTCACGCCTGTCGATGTCTCTCCTGGACAATCAGACTTTACGGATGACAAGGCAGGGGGGCGGGATTTCTGCTATGGACTCGCAACCGCATCGGAACACGCAGGCAGCTGCCTCAACCTTGCGGGGCTCTTCCCTTTGGGGAGGTGAATTAAGTTAGCTCGGCGGGGCTGGTTAGGTTAGCTTGGTCAGGTTAGTTGCTTTAGGTTCGCTGGTTTCGTTCGGTTACTTAGGTTGCTTAGTTTCGTTTGGTTAGTTTCGTTTGGTTAGTTTCGTTTGGTTAGTTTCGTGTGGTTAGTTTCGTTTGGTTAGTTTCGTTTGGTTAGTTTCGTTTGGTTAGTTTCGTTTGGTTGGTTTCGTTTGGTTAGTTTCGTTTGGTTAGTTTCGTTTGGTTAGTTTCGTCTGGTTAGTTTCGTTTGGTTAGTTTCGTTTGGTTGGCTTCGTTAGGTTAGTCCAGTCCCGTTAGCTTAGCGCAGTCCCGATAGGATGCCCCCATTAGCTTAGGCTAGTTTCGTTAGCTTCGTTGGGTTGGTTTGGTTCGGTCGGTTTAGTTCGGTAGGCTTCGTTAGGTTAGCTTCGTCGGGCTGGTCCAGTTTCGTTCGGTTGTTCCAGTTTCGTTAGGTTGTTTCATTTTCGTTGGGTTGGCGCAGTTTCGTTAGGTTCGTGCAGTTTCGCCAGGTTCGTGCAGTTTCGTTAGGTTGGTCCTATTTGGTTACTTAGTCAAGCCCGCGCCCAGTTGGTTTCGCAGGGTCGGTTCAGCTGGGTTGGCCTGGTTAGGTCGGTGCCACTTGGTTGGTTTGGTTCGTGTGGCGTTGGGTTGGTTTGGTTTGGTCGGTAGAGTTTGTTGGGCCAGTCGAGTTGGGTCAGCTGAGCTAGGCCAATTAGGTTTAGTTACTTGAGCCCCGTCCGTTGGGTTTGGCTGGTTGAGTTTAACTAGTTCAGTTGGGATCGGTCAGCATAGTCCTGCTAGTTTAGACAGGCTAGGCCAGATCGGTACGCTTGGCCGGGTCAGTTCAGTTCGGTTGGTTGGGTTAGTGTAGCTAGGTCAGCTGCGTCAGATCGGTAAAGTTGGGCTAGTTTGGTTAGGTTAGTCATATTCGGGCTAGTTTCGTCAGGTGCGGCGAGTTCGATTTGGGCGCGGCAATTTAGGTTAGTCCGGTTAGTTTAGGTGGGTCAGCTTAGCTAGCTTAGTTGGGTTAGCTTGGTTGGGTCAGTTTCGCTGGGTCAGTTTAGTTGGGTTAGGTTGGTTCGGTTGGCTTCGTTGGGTTGGTTGCGTTAGGTTGGTTTAGCGTAGTTAGGTTGGCTTAGCCTAGTCCGGTTGGCTTAGCTCAGTTAGGTCGGCGAAGTTCGGCCAGATTCGTTGGGTCAGCGAATGTGGGCAATTTTGGTTAGGTTGGTCGGGTTGGGTTAGTTTAGCTTGGTGAGCTTGGTTCGGTGAGTTTAGTCCGGTGAGCTCAGTTAGGCTAGCCCGGTGGGGTTGGTTTAGTTTGGTCAGTTCCGTCAGGGTTAACCTGCTCCGCCTAGTTTGGTCAGCCTAGTTCGGCCCGCTTCGTTCGGTGAGTTTGGTTCAGTTAGTTTGGTCAGATTCATCAGTTTACTTAGGTGGGGCCAGCTTAGCTGGATGGGCCTTTTTGCCATTAGTTCGCACGAAAGTGGGGCCCCGTCGCTCCTTTCGAGCACAAGTAGCGAAAAAGCCGCGACTTTGACAGCAGTCGCTGAACTCGGCCGGCTGCTAGGCGGCTCCGCGCTGCGCGTCTCTTATCGACTTAGCGCGGGCCAGCTGCTAGGCAGCTCCGCGCCGGGCGTCTGTCGTCGACTTATTGCGGGCCGGCTGCTAGGCAGCTCCGCGCTGTGCGTCTGTTGTCAACCTATCGCGGGCCGGCTGCTCGGCAGCTCTCCGCCGCGCGTCTGTTGTCGACTTATCGCGGGCCGGCCACTAGGCAGCTCCTCGCTGCGCGTCTGCTATCGACTTACCGCGGGCCGGCTTCCAGGCAGCTCCCCGCTGCGCGTCTGTTGTCGACTTATCGCGGGCCGGCTGCCCGGCCGCTCTGCGCGGCGCGTCTCTTATCGACTTATCTCGGGCCGGCTGCTGGGCAGCTCTGCGGCGCGCGTCTCTTGCCGACTTATCGCGGCCCGGCTGCTAGGCAGCTTCGCGCTGCGCGTCTGTTATCAACTTACCGCGGGCCGGCCGCTAGGCAGCTCTGCGCTGCGCGTCTCTTATCGACTTACCGCGGACAGGAGACCCGACAGCCGCGGCCCCCTAAGGGGGTCAGCTTTCTGACTCGAAGGAAGTCACACACTTCAGCCAGTTGCAAGGACTGCGCGCCACTTGATGGCGGAGGCGGGGGCTCAGGCACCAGCTTCGCGACAGGCAGACAAACGAGCCCACGAACGCGGACAGGCAAGGCCTCGAAAGCGGGCGCCTTCTTAAGGAGATTACTTCCTCAACGCGAAGAGAGTCGCGCCCCCGGGCGAATTGCAAGGACTGCGGGCCACCTAATGGCGGGAAGAAGGCGCGAGGAACCAACTTCGCGAGAAGGCAAACGGACTAACGATCGCGCGAGTCAAAAAGCCAAAAAGGCGACGCGTAAGCCCTCGACGTGGCCACTAGATGGCGCACAGTCTCCGCAACTACCTGAAGAGTGCAGCCCTGTCCAAGTTGAGAAGGTGGCCCCCCTCACAAGTCGCCTGGTTTCGAGATCTTGACTGGCTGCGATCGAACGGCCGCGCCTTTGCAGGTCGCGAGTTCGGTGCTGAGCGTCTTCCTCCTGCCGTCGGATGGCGCGACGAGAGGCGTGGCCTTCGTTGACTTGGAAAGATGATCGACCTCAGAAGGCAACTCTTTTCAAGGCCTTTACTGGCCGCAATGAGTCGAAGACGGACGCAGTCAGGGAATAGCAGACACTGAGCGCGAAGCTGTCCTGTGAGACTCTCGCCCGGCGCTTAGAATTATCGCGCGACTAGATTCCCTGACCTCGTTGCGGCTTCCCGATTTTTGCCCGTTTTTTAATTTTTGTAGTTTACTATGCTCGCCCGGCGTTTAAGCTTCTAGCGCGACGAGATTTCCTCGCGTGGCTGTGACTTCCGGACTTTTGCCCGTTTTTTGAGTTTTTTCCTCGCGAAACGCTTAAGCGAAACCGTTAGGGGGCAGCGGCACCTCTGAGCCATTTCGGCACTTTGCCACTTTTCTTCACAGTTTGGCACGCCAGTCCCTATATCGCGGGGCCAGTTCGTCTCTCTCCTTTTCCCGTTTCCTTATCGGTTTCGCCTCCGTCTTTCCGGGCTCTGTCCAGATGCTTCCGCCATTCCCGTATCGGTTTCGCCGCTCGCTCGGCGTGCTCGTCTCCTCTGCAATCCCTCCGGCTACCGATACACCCTTGCCCGGCGTTTAAAATTCTGGCCCTGCATAAGGAAAACCGCGCACAGCCTCCCAGGCTTTCCGAGGAGCTTGGAGGAGGCTCACCAATGAGCCTCGACCGGGCTGCCGCAAATGTGTCGGGGCGACTCCAGAGGGGCCCGCGGTCCCGAAGGAGTCCCTCGCCCGTTCTGGTTTTCTCTCTGT